TCTAATAGGACTCGACCAACTGTATGTAAAACGTTTGCTAAGCGTTCTCCTATTGTTTTAGTCCCCTACGTCTCAAGCTATTGATTTGTCCTCTTTCCGCGACTGCTATTATTTACCTATTGAGGCATGTATCTTTATAATATATAAAATATCTTACTAATTTATATAATAGAGTATCTACGATGACTTTCCTTCTGATAATAATCAACCACAAAGGATAATTGTATATATTCCTATTATATTATATTTTTATAAACTAATAGTATTATAGGATCGTTTACACGGAAATCCAAATCAGCCAAAAGGAAAAGAAGGACAGCCAGTAAGATTATTTATAAACTATGTATAATTCATTTTATAACTAATTAATATARGCTACAAAAAAAGCCCGAATTCAAAAACAAAATAGCTTACCAGCTAGCCCAGAAGCGCAAGACGATACAGACAACTCTATTCAGATACGGGACTGTCCTCTTTTAAACGGGGTATATAAAACTCTAAAATTCTAAAACTATACTAATAATATTTAGAAGCCAAATATAAATGCAATGCGAGTACAGGTCCAACACCTATATAAGATTAGAAATAATGGTCGATGTGATTTATGCCGCTCAGATAGTAAGTATATATAAAACGAATTAAAAACAAATTCTAATTAATATCCTACTAGAGCGTAAATGTCCGGATATACTTGCAGATAATTGGGAAAAGTCTAACTGCAAGATTATCCAACATTTTATCCAGCCAGAGGACGACTAGCTGTTTAGTCTTATTATTATTTCTTTAGTACTTTTCTTTTCTAGTATTTGGAATTTTAGTTTTTATTATTATATATATATTCAATATATGTTTTGCAACTAATTAAAAGATGATTCTATCTATCTACTAAAAGGCGTAGGTAATATCTCAACATTAAGTAGTTCATTCTCAAGCTTTCTAGCCTGAAGCTGTTTAATCCTTACTTCCGCTTCTAGTTGCTGGACTTGAAGGTTACTCATTTTTGTCTCATGACGCTCGCGTGCTACCCTTGCCTGTTTCTCAAGTTCCCATTCTTCCCGTTTCTTCTTCGTTTCCCAATTGACTTCTTCGTAATTATTAGACTTTGTTAGTCTATCCTGAGCCAGCTCCTTTCCTATACGCTTTACACGCTTCGTCCCTCCGCTACTTGATACTACTGGCTGTGGCTCATATACTTCTGGGACCTGATCAGAATTATCAGGGTCTGTTGAAGGAGTTATAAACTTGAGCCGCCTTTTCTCTAATCTTTCTATATATTTATTAGTATATAGACTAAAGTCATTTTATAAACGAATTCAAGTTGATTTAATAATCGTTTAGTATAACTCCACTTACTGATTTTATCGTAGATCGCATTTACGGGATTTGGAGGGGTATATGAAGACTGAATACCATAGCGTTTATATTGGTCAATATATTCTACTAGCTTTTTGTCTAAGTTGATGCCCCTAATATATAATTAGAAAACGATTCGAACTCAATTACAAAGTACATACTTTAGAATTGCTAGTAGAAGTRCTTGCCCCCTCCCAGTTCGATTTGACATCGACATTAACGAATCAAGAGACTGGTTTGTTCGAGTACAGTTATTCCAAACGTCTTTATCCCCTTTCCAAAAGAGAGGATTAAGACCTGACTTAATCCACGGGACCCGTTTATGAGCTGTATATGCTGCTTCATTAGGGCTATAAGAATAAGAATTAGAAATAATATATAAAACGAATTATATACGAATATAACTTAAAGGGAGAGTACTTACAAATTCTTATCAACTTCATCTAGAATTGTATTAAACATTTCTTCGCTATTAACGTTCAATAGCTCACGCATAACCTCGCCCCATGCAGAGCCAGATGGAAAGCGCGCTTCAAGACCACGGAAGAAATGAGTTGTACAGTAAATAAGAGTCCGCTCGACGTGCCACTGCCAAGGTCTCTTTGGGAATTCAGGATCAATTGTCCAAAAGTAAAGACCCAATGCTAAGACAGTTAGTAAGTATTTGATAAGTATTTACCAAGTACTTGATAAGTGTTTGAGAAGTAATTAAAAAACTTACCATGAGCTTGGGCAGGACACATATCTACTACAATAGCCTTGATACCCTGGCCATGTATGTGGTGCCACTGTAGCCCTTTTCTAGGCTCGGCTTGCGAAAGTATATTATCTGCTACTGAGAAGAACTCCATAAACGCCTTATAGTATGCCCAGATTGACTGCTTATTGGTATAAACTCGACCAAAACACATTACTTAAATAATTAGATAATAGTTGTAAAACGTTTGCAGAGTATTTACTTACACCGTTGAAACTCTTGCATAAACTGTCCAATAAGAATTTCATTAAACTGCCCATGAACCCGTTTATATGACATGTCGATTTGTATAGTATTACAGGTAGCCATACATTCGATTTGCTTTGTAAATGCGCAGGAAATAGTTCCAATATCGCCGTTATGTACCATATTCCGAATATATGGGATCTTCCTACTTTGTCCTTGGTGATACGAGATATAGTAACTCCAAACACCTATATACGTTTAGAAAATATTAAAAAAATATTTACAGAAGACTAACCTTCCCAGTCAGTACCGTCTGGATATTGTAAGTAGATCTGCGCCCGACGTAGAGCTGCAAACCGACTAGTATTAAATAGTGTAGGGTCAAGAGTGCAAATATCAGCGTGTGGATCTTTCTTCTTGAGGTCTATATATAGACTAAATAGCCGATGGCCATTAGGTGGAATAATATGAACAGGAGTCCCTTAAAATAGTTAATAAACGTCTCAAAAACAGAAGTAAAGTATATTATATACCTGCTATAGCTCCGACTTTAATATGCCTCTRGATCTCTTTGATAACGAGCTCGCCAATTTCTTGGGGAGTTTGATTAGGAGGAGGAGGGTTATGAGAATGAATTCCATGTGAGGAAAATAGAATAATCGGTGTCTTCTTTAAGTCGACTGGGATTAACATGTTGAACTTGACTGAACATGGAATCTTCTTTATTAGCTGGGAACTTTGATCATGCGGAACTCCTATAAATATTGTTAGTATTTGGCAATTATTTAACAAGTATTTAACAAGTATTTGAAAAACATTTGAAGAATATTTATATAATACTAGATACGTACCACAAAGACGTCTTCGTGATGTTTGAGGGAGCGTGCGAAAACACTTCTCTTGTACTCCATCGTAGCCATACTCTAATAGCTGGGCTAGATGTGCAAGGTGTATATGAGCGTTGGTAGGGATGGAGTAGTAGTAGTGGTGCGCCTTCTTTGCATATGTCGCCTGATTGCAGGTAATATAATACTTTTTGTTTCCATTTAAATCCTATTAATTAAATAATTAGTAAACGTTTTATAATTATTTGGAAAGACTATACCCTATGTTCAGACTCTCGTACAACAGGCAAACCGCTACAAGGTCGACTAAGTCCAGTATCATTATAGTAACTTGAAAATGGACAGCCGTTCCGGTGTGGACTCTTGAAATCCCGCATAACTGCATTATATAGACTACATAATTAGAAAACAATTTCAAAGTAGAAGGTAAACACTTTACTCAAGAGTCGGTTTGTATGTATCAACAGGGTGATATTCCTCCATAAATAGCCGTTGTACAGCAGACATTCGCTCTGCTTTTCTATCCCAAGCATCTATATCCCATTCCGTATGCGGGTCTAAAAGAGACTCGTGATGATGGGTACATACTTTAACTCCTGAGCAGCGGAACGTAGTTCGAATACATGGGACATTATTTAGGAATTCGGATCGAGTTAGTTTATTATGCGGTTGATATGTTGATGAATAACTATACTGGACCTATATAATATTAATATTTATACATTTTGTAAACAATTTCTATGTAACTTACATTGTACATTAATGTTTTAATTGTTAGATCTAGTGACTCTAGATACCCAAGGGCAGAGAGACAATAGCCTACGCCGGACTTTGATGTTTTTGGATACCAAGGTAGACGGGTGCCATAGAAAAGTTCAGAGACTCGTAGCCCATCCAAACTAGGATTGGTAAAGATTTTTGGGATATTTTCATTATCTTGCATAGAAGTAGTAGGCTCCTATAAGTAATTAGCAAATATTTGATAAGTATTTGGCAAGTATTTGGCAAGTATTTGGCAAGTATTTAGCAAGTATTTGGCAAGTGTATACGTACAGAGAATGAATTGTCTGGAAACAACAGAACATCTGGGAGGGGAATAACAGGATACTTCGTTTCAGCTTCCTGGTAAAGATATTGTTTATCATCTAGGGAGAGACTTGAATTGCGGAGAAGCTCCTCAGGTATAGGGGCAGCAGTATTCGACATAGCTAGAAATTAAAGCTTTATATAAGAAAAGTTGGTCATATAATAGAGATTAATAGTATATACAACAGACGAAGGCATATTTAATACAAAGCTTTAATTGCTCTTGTCGCGAAACACACACGTTAATCGCGCACRGTTATTCTGAAGTTAAATGACATTAATTTCACTTTTCTTAAATTACCGAGCTTCGAATACAAATCTTTTTTAAAACACTTGACAAACGTTATTCAAACATTATTCAAATGCTGTTTAAATGTTCTCTTAGAGGGTCATCTCAGGTCCTTATTTGCACGGCCATTAACTAGGGTGCCCCTACTAGTAGGACTACTATGTTAGGGTTCGACCAGGCGCGCCCGGGTTTAAATCTAGGGGGCTGGCCAGCCACTGTGCGCGTTTAGGTGCAAAGCTCGTATGGCCTATAGCTAGACCCTGTTTAGTCCTTGTTAAGGGCCATTCCAGCTGCTGTGACCGGTCATACCAACTACGCTCTGCGTAACCAGTGCTAATGCAAGCGAGCGGTTCAGCGTCACGTGAGGGGCTTCACCCACGTTCCTTGCGACACGAGGCTGACGATACATTTCATCCACCACACCTGGCTTCTTCTACACATACCATACCTAACATGATCACCATCACCATCACGGTCAGGTAGCATGCCCGCCATAAGACAAAGACTCGGCTCACGTGATCTGCTGGAGTACGATGCCAGGTACGGCGTGTTGATCTGTCGAGAATGCCAGTACGCCATTCAGAAGAGCGCGCTGCAGAGCCACCTGCTCCGGCACAAGATCTACCGCCTCGAAAGACAACGTTTATTGTCCTCCATAGCTGAACTCGACCTTCTCGAGCCGGACCATGTGCCCCTACCTACCCCAACCTCCTCACCAATCGAGGCTCTACCCACCTTCTCTGGCTACTGCTGTGCGGCGGCTGGGTGTGGAAATCTCTGCGTCAGTTCCAAACGCATGAAACGCCACTGGAGCGAAATACATGGCCTCAGCGAGCCCCCTCCTGATTTCTCCTCCTTCGCCCGTCCGGTGAAACTTCAGACGTTCTTCCGTGGCACAAAACTTAGGTATTTCGAGGTCGCTTCTTCGCCGGCAGGTACAGCCGGAGCGGCGCGGCTGGCTGCCACTGATAGTGATGGTGGTGATGAAATGCATGATGAAGGGCATAATGAGGAAAGGCACGGTCACCAAAGTAGCGATGAGCAAAAGAATGGTGAGCAGTGGAATGATGCAGGCCCATCGGCGTCACCACGCGTTCCAACACCCCTCGGGGCCCCTTCCCCGTCATCTCTAGTCGACTTCGACCTGGAAACACTGACATATTTCCACCATTTCATCACCACGACGAGCCTCACCCTTCCTGGCGCCGAAAACCCACAGCTCATAACGCACTACTGGAAGACGGACTTTGTTCCCCAAGCCCTGCGGCGGCGATGGCTCATGTGCGGTCTGTTAGCCATCTCCACGTGTCATTTAGCTGCGCTTGCGGACAACACGACGATCGCGCGGGTCTACTGCGAGCGATCAGCGCAATTCCTTACAGGATTCTGCGTCGGACGGGAAGAGACTGTACAACGTGACTCGGGTACGGTGACCACCGGGGTCGAAGAGGAGGCGAAGGCAGGCCGTCAAGTGAGCTGCGTGTTAAGTTTTGCACACTGGGCATTGGCTGAACTCAGGCTCAATCTCGGGATTACCCCAGAGCCGGCGGCCCCTCGTCAGCTTCAGTCCATCATGACGACTATTCAGAGCTTCGAGGTCGCCCACTCTACGCGTCGTCCCGCCGGTGGCAGTCGCCGACTGGAATCGTTCGCTAACGCAAAGAGAATCTTGGAAATGAGCAGCTCATTAGATGCTGGGAGCATTGGTGCATGTTCCTCTAGTCATAACATACCCTCTGCGCTACTCGACTGCCTTCGAACGCTTCCATCTCGCATGGCAGAGATGTTCGGAAGACCAGACAGTGGCCGGGACGTCCTCGCCACTCTGTCAGCCATTGCCGCCCTGGCTGAATGTTGTGAGACCAGCTTCGCGTCTGATGATGTTGGGCCAGCGTGGCGCGGTATGGCGGCGTGGCTGACCAAGGTCCCGGATCGATTTAACCAGATGGTTTCGCGCCGTAGTCCAGCGGCGCTTGTGGTGCTGGCCCATTGGGCGGCGTGGCTGGTCAAGCGAGCCGAGGATTGCGGCTGCTGGTTCCTGAAGGGCACTGCGAAGACGATTCTTCTCCAGATTGCAGAACGACTTCCTGCAGACGACCGCGCAGTCCAGACCCTGTTGGAAGGCTTATGACGTCGGCAACGAAGATCCAAGCACCGCTAACTAGTAGTTCTAGGTAATTAAGAAGTAAAAAAGACTGTTATAATTACTAGAAAGAAATATAAATAAAAGAATTAAAGAATTATCGTTAAAATATATAGATTAATTTAGTAATAGTTATATCTAGTTGAGACGGGATTCCTGGCGGATGGGGCCAGCAGGAGTACCAGGACCACCGGGCCCCCAGGGAGAGCGTGGCCTACAAGGGCCAGCATGAGCGCGAGGAGAGCCTGGTCCGTGAGGAGAACAAGGTCTACAGGGGGAGAGAGGCGTACATGGGCCAGCAGGAGTTCGATGGGATCCTGGTCGGCAGGGGAACGACGTCCACCGGGGGACAGATACCCGCAAGTGGTAGCAGTACAGCTGGTTATTAATGGTTGAAATTGTTTTCCAGCTGTGCCGAAAGAACTGTCCAGATTCTTGATTATATCCTCTTCCCAACCAATGTAGCCCCGAGGTACGGTATAAGTGATCTGAGGGACTGCACTGTTTCAGTGGCGATTTCATCAGATCTCTAAAATTTGGGGTGTCGCCTAGGAAGGTGGTTGAACTTCGTAGGCCATAGCCTGTTGACGACGACCCCCTTTCGCTCTGCCTGTAGAAGGCCCCACATCAGACATTGGCTCAAACGCAACGAGTTGGTTGTTAATACCAATATCATCCTCTGAAATCAAAATTACCGTATTCGTCCCATCGGCAGTCACTGCTTGGAAACATGTTCGTGGGACCAAGGGATTGAATGGGGTATCAAACGGTCTAAACCTCTTTCTCATGTACTTCTTGGTTACCCGCTCAACCTCGGACGCCTCTAAAAGATTGACCAGGAGACTGCCATCGGTCCTCCAAACGCCTCGCTCTTAAATATTAAACTCAATACGGACCTCAGGTTTGATCTGCAACTCTCCCAGCTGCCGGGCCGTCGTTAGATCAACGTCGTCTGTCCTCACAAGATCCCCATCGGAGGCGACAAGCTCATCGATGTTCTCAACAGCCTGGCCTTCACCGGATGGACTCTCAGGGATATTGGCAGGTCCATTTGCTATAATTCTCTCGAGATCCATCTGGGTGCCCCGCCCATCGTCCCTCTCTAGCGAGAGAAAGGAGTTGACACTCTCGCGCGTTTCCCTCACATTCTCCGCCAGGGGCTGCCACTCCTGCTCCTGCGCGATCTTCAAGGAAAACCCTCGTGTTATTCGCACTTAACAGTTTCACGCTCTTATAAACTCTTTCGCGCTATGAGTGTCCTCCATAAAGATGCGCAGGTCGCTGGTGGATCAGACGATAAAGTGTATTACTTGAATTTCACCACCTCCACCTTCATGAAACGCCAGAAGCCTCTTACCGAGAGAGCCGTTAGCATGACGGGGAAACCTATCGAAAACCCATGGTTCAAAGAACGCTTTCAAAACGAAGCCGCTGCACTACAACTACTCAGAAGCCAAGCGAAGATTCCAGTACCTGGCTTAAGATCATGGAAGGAGGACAGCGAAGGATTGCTGTTCCTTGAGACGGATCATGTTCGGGGAGTCCAACTCGAAAGGGCTGGGGATGAGTGACGGATGCCGAACCTCCATTTCCTCAATGGAGAGAATATTGGCATGAAGTACGACGAATGCGCCGACTTAGCTCAGAAGAATTTCAATCAGTTCGTCGGAGAAAAGCTTCTACCTGAGCTGAGGAGTCTCAAATCATCCACGACGGGACTCAATGGATTGGTGATCCCACCCACGTGGATCCTGGGCTCCGTCGACCGACCAAGTTGGGAGCCCAAAACGTCCGACAAGGAAGAATATGTTATGACCCATGGCGATCTCGGACCCCACAACGTCATGATGAATCTGGAAACATTGGAGGTGATCTCTATCATCGACTGGGAGTACAGCGGCTACTTCCCCCCGGGATTTCAGAAATGGGGTGCTACACGGGGGACATTTCGCACATTTTAAGGATGAGGATCTTGCCCACAAACTGGCCGTTGGGAGAACGACTGGACCTCTCTTCCATAGTAATAAATGGGTTTAGTCTGTTCTTGATAAACAGCTACTTTTATATATATTGGCTGTGGCCTCGTTCATGTTAGCTTTTATCAGGATACAAAACTACCAAGCCCTCGCATGATCATAGAGCATTGCAGGCGAATCAACGCTTAGTTTACTACAAGGTATATATGCACAAGTGTTTGATTCTATGGATTTAATTTGATAGTGATAGGAAGTGAGTATAAGCTCTAAGAAGACTAGGTTGGCTGGTTGAAAATATGTAGTAATGATATAGGGTACTAGGTAATTCTTTTGTTACGTTGCAATCAGCTTTCCATCTTTGCACTTCTCATTTCAAGCTTTCCTATCTTTAAACGCTATATAGCTATGTTAAACGCTTTTATTAAATGTTGTAGTTGGGGTACTTACCTTGCAGGTAAGCGTTCTCAAGCTTCTGCTCTAAATGAGCTGTTTGTTATAGTTGGTAAAGGATAGGTCTATTTTTACGCTAGTATAGGCTTAGGCTAGAGGGGGCTAGAATGTTGAAAGGGGGAGATCTTTTGGTTTTTATCTTCTTTCCTTGCTATATTTTGGGGTATGTCTTGAATAGTTGCTTGAAAATTATTTTCTCTTGGGACTTAACGTCTAGCTATTTGGTAGTAGTGCAATTTGACCTTAATGTTAAAATATAATAAAATTAAATTTCCTGCGTTATAAAATTTTGAAATGACCTTATTTGATAGATATGCTGTTTCTCTCTGGTAAAGGCTGGGGTAAAGGCAGCAAATAATTTCACCTTTTTATATCGGAATTCTTCAAGTCAACGGGGTCTAATAGTATATAGAGGGGTCCTGTATGTTGTATATATATGTCTTGGTCAGATGCTCCTTTCCCTCCTGCTCCTTCACTTGGCACGTGCTCACTAACCTTGACGCGTATTAATAGCTCGGCCTTTCCCTCGACCTTTCTCTGCATTTGACTTGGAGGTGGGGAGAGCGAGTCTCGTGGCGGATAGGTAGGTAGCTGGTTAAGAGGTGGCCAACGAGTTCGGAGTGCGTGACTGCTCTTGGGGTAGCCGTTTTGCCTAACTCCTTTCTATCTTATTGATCTATTATTATTTTTCACTGCCGGAAGATCTTACCTGGGGGGTCACACATAGGAATTCATGCTGTCCACCTCTCCTTTCCTCTTGAGATTGTTTTCAAAGACCTTCCCAATATCGGGAACTCTCTGCGCGTGAGAAATGGACAAGGGCGTTTCATCAAAGGCTGCCAAGGTACATGCTGCGGGGTGTATCATAGTCTATTCGGGAAGGTTATACTACCTCAGGAAAGATACGCAACAAGTCTCAATTAAATATCAGTGAACTAATGATAGTCTATAGGCAGAACTCAAAACCAAGCCTTCTCCTCGTACAGTTATTCAAGTCCTCTCTTAAAGTTTCAATTTCCCTTGAAACTACGCTAACCACGAGAGAAAATGGCGATACCCACTATACAGTGTTCTATTCAGTTGTAGAAAGGTAAAAATTGTAGGAACAAGTGGACGATAATACGACACAAGAGGACGAGTCGCTCTTCGGGCGGAAGATTTACGGGACAAGCTAAGACGAAAGACGAGATTATATATTGGACCTAGCATTCAACAACAGCGAACTGGTTGTAGAAGATTGTTGTAAACGTGCTCTGTCGCGGGAACAAGGGGAATTATCATGAGAGCGCTTGGTCATCAGGTGCTCAAGCCAGCAAGGGATATAGGTGTGGCACAAATTTGGGTGTAGGGAGATGTCGAAATTTTTTAAGAGTATTCATTGCAAGATATTATTTGCAAGGCCCCAGGTCACACAAGGCGTGGCGTTATAATTAAGTGTGTGGAAATCACACTATCAGTGAGGTGGGTACTGCAAGTTGCAGCTGGCAAGTTTGCCTTGGCAGAAGACGGAGATGGCGTGTAAGAAGTCCTGACGCTGTAGCAGTTATAATACCGACTTGATAATAGATCAACGAGCTGATTCCCCAGTCTCAGGTCTTCTGGCTTTAGTGCCCAGATCTAATGGATCATCCGCTATAATTGTCTGCCCTCGATATATCATCAGCTCCGTTCTAATGATCAGCAACCTTGTATTAGGCTAAGTCCTGTAAAGGTGAGTTATCTACATGTAGTTCACACTAACTAGCTCCGCTTCCGCGAGCCGATGAAACTAAAGCATCTAACAGCATTAGAGTCTATTGGGCACACAGCTCAGCCGTCTGTCTTACCTCTATACGGAAAATAATTTTTGTGTTATTGATGACGGGATTGACTGTGCTGTAAACACAAATCACAATTCGATTTGATGAGAAAATCTCGAGCACAGCGACCTATAACGGCATAGTCGGGCATCTACTCTGGCCAACCTTCGAAACGGTTTCGGATCGCGCGGACGCAAATGCAGAAGTCGGTGGTGAAAACGGTGTTCTATTCGTGGGTGTGTTGGGGCGTATGCGGAGTAGTTTGGTCTGGAATGGAGGCTGGGATGCATATCGGTATGCCAGGACCGTTTACGCACACTACTGGCTGGGTAGAAGTAATTCTTTGTTCCTCCGGCCGGTAAGAAAAACGACTACTAAGTTGGGCGCGAATATGAAGCACTGACGCCTGTCTTAGACATTTTATGTCAATGAATTATCTTTTAAAGCTACAACATATTACATGTATTAAACATGTTATCGCATACCATCTATATTTCACTCCCTCGATGTCACACCACCTGTGCTCAATTGGCGATCCGTCGTTGCACAGGCGACCCACACTCGCCATCCTAGCTGTTTTAGTTAAGGTTCTCGCTTTAATCCGTAAGTTACTGTATTCTTAAGCAACGTGGCGCAAATTACTGTAATACTATATAGTAATAGGAATAGCATAGGTTGTAGACCTGATAAGGGAGGGCTACGTAAGTGGCTGGAAATGGTAGCTGCGCGAAGTGAGTCCCCAACCGACAAAATCGGATACTTAAAAACACATGTTTTCGCTTTCTATATGCCATTACATCACGGGCCGACGCCAGGCGTCCTAGTGTTCAGTAGTGAACAGGGATACACATACAATAACCTGCACAGCATCTTACTCTATTATTAGCCCGCTATTTAGCAGAGACCGCATGCTGTACCTCTACATAATAGAAAGTCAATAAACTCATACCTACGCCCGAGAAGAAAGACTAAAATTATATCTTGTGCACCTCCAGCAATACCTGTACCCCAATTATCGACTCTGATAATTTACGCGCTCGTTCTTGTTACCCGACCTATTGTGGGACCTCTTACAATAATTTGTGGTATAATACGTCTGGGACAGAGGCTATGTTAGCTTTGACGGCGTTACATCTTTGTAACGAAATATTTTTGTTCTGACCTGAGCATCACAAACTGCACAAAATATTATTGGCTTCCCCCCTCTCTTCAATTCGAAGCTTTGATTATCTCGAAAGTGGTTTGAACAGGCAACTATTCCAGTATGAAGGGAATATGTGGGTTTATTGCATTCGTCGGGATTTTGAATGTTTTCTCCTGTATGTATAACTCGGTCCTATCACTCCCGAATTGATATCTAGTTAAATATTTTTGCTAATATCTGTCCTCTAGCTCAGGGCATGATACCTTGGGATGTGTCTGACAAGGAGTATGCTGCGATACCTGGTGCTCATAGTATGAAGCGTGCGGCACCTGATTCTCCAACTGGGGGATATGCGCCAGGGAATGTCGAATGCCCTTCGAGTCGTCCAGTTATTCGAGCTGCGTCTGCACTTTCCGACAACGAGACCGCATGGCTGCAACTACGAAGAAACAAAACAATTGGGCCGATGACTTCCATCCTTACTCGGGCTAATATTTCTGGCTTCGACGCATCGAAATACATCTCTAGCATTGCTGGTAACGCTAGTGCTCTGCCAAACATTGGAATTGCGATATCGGGCGGAGGCTATAGAGCAATGTTAAATGGAGCCGGCTTTGTCGCTGCTGCAGACAGTCGAACGGAAAATTCTACAAATGCGGGTGGAATTGGAGGCCTCTTGCAGTCTGCGACATATCTCTCGGGTCTTTCTGGTGGTGCTTGGCTGGTCGGCTCACTCTACGCAAACAATTTTAGTACTGTCACTACTCTACGTGACGGGAGCCCTGGCTCATCTGTTTGGGAATTTGGAAACTCAATTCTCAAAGGCCCTGATTCTAGTGGATTGTCAATCGCAAACATTGCTGACTATTACAATATCCTTCAAGCTGATGTCGATTCAAAATCCAATGCTGGATACGAGACGACCATCACCGATTATTGGGGGCGTGCCCTATCCTTCCAGCTTGTCAATGCTTCCAACGGTGGCCCAGCATATACCTTCTCATCAATTGCACTGGACAAAAGCTTTGTTGACGGCGAGAGCCCGTTTCCAGTCCTAGTCGCTGACGCCCGTGCACCTGGAACCATGATTATATCCTTAAATTCAACTGTGTACGAATTCAATCCATTCGAGTTTGGTTCATGGGATCCAACGACGTACGGATTTGCGCCACTCCGTTATATTGGGTCCAATTTCTCCGGCGGAGTTGTCCTACCAAAGACACCTTGTGTGCGTGGTTTCGATCAAGTTGGATTTATCATGGGCACCTCGTCTTCTCTATTTAACCAGTTCATTCTCCAAATTAATTCCACGGCTATGCCCAATGCTATGAAAAACTCCCTAACGTCGATTCTCGAACGAATTGGTTCTAACGAAAACGATGTCTCTTTATTCAAACCGAACCCCTTTTTTGGCTATAATAATAGCACAAACGATAATTCCCATTCAAGCCAGTTAACTCTTGTAGATGGTGGGGAGGACGGCCAAAATATCCCTCTCTCGCCTCTTATTCAGCCGTTTCGGGCACTGGACGTCATCTTCGCCGTTGACTCCTCTGCAGACACAGGCTTCTACTGGCCAAATGGCACCTCTCTTGTAGCAACCTATCGACGCTCTCTTAATGCTACACTCGAAAATGGCACAATCTTTCCGGCTATTCCTGACCAAAATACGTTTATAAACCTGGGTCTCAACAACCGTCCCTCTTTTTTTGGCTGTAACGCTAGCAATCTCACTGGTGAAGCTCCACTTATTGTCTACGTACCAAATGCGCCATACATCATCCAGTCAAACTTTTCCACGTTTAAGCCAGACTACAGTAACGTTGAAAGGAACCTCATGATTCAAAATGGCTATGATATAGCAACGATGGGCAATGGTACTATGGATAGTGAGTGGCTTACCTGTGTAGGATGTGCAGTCCTCAGCAGGAGTTTTACAAAGACAGGCACGCAGGTCCCAGCTGCTTGTACGAAGTGTTTTAATAGGTACTGCTGGAATGGAACAGTGAATTCTACTTCGCCGAATAATTATGAACCGGCATTAAAGTTAGAGATTAGCGCCGCGAATTGTGCCAGATTTAACAGTAAGGGCTTTATGGTTGCTTTTCTTTCTATGGCATTTTCCTTGCTTGCTAACCTATGATAAGAGTGTCTTGAATAAACTAGCTGGCAATGTCCTCTAATAATTGTACTTATCTCTTCAACCGTCAATTGGCGTATGGCGTGTTTTCCGAGAAAACACTTGAAGGGTTCAAGACTCCCAAGTGGATAAATAGGATTTCTTGTGCTTTTAAAGTTCCAAAGGTGTCTGTAACATGCCTGTACTTGTGTGTTACTAAAATCAACACGAGAACGTCGAACAATTTGAAGTATTTTCACTCAAAACACGTGATGCGCCAATGGCCGGTCGAAACGCTCGTTCTGCATAACAATTCTAATGGGTTCTATTTCTTTTACCCCCTATAATACGTGTTAAACTTGATGTTTTTTTTATAGCAAAGGTCTAGATATACGTATGATAATTTTACGGTCTCTTAAATTTACCTAATTCTTTAACTAAGTATATCGATAAACCCAAGGTATTACACTTGAGAGCAAGCGCGCAAATACTAGAGAACAATAGAAATGGGAATTATAGGGAAATTAAACAAGTAGTATAGAACCTCAGCTGAGTGTTTCTATAAATAACACAGTGGACGATCTGTAGCGTCATGTTACCAAGATCGTTTCGCGTAGCAGCAAGAGGCAGCACTCACACAGCAGAAGGTAGGTATGCGACAAGCCTTCGACAAGAAGTGGTAGAAAGGGCAATCTCAGAGAGTCACAGATAAACCAATTCATTTGAGTATTAGGTTATTAATAGCCCCAGTCACCTGTAGCCATCAAAATTTGTAAGAACATCAGAACCAACCGAGCGAACTCGCCCTACCTCGACCGCAGAGTCAGAAAGAACGACATACATAACCACAAATCATGTAAACCCCAGCTGATCATTTTGGCATGGTATGGTAATTTGCAGTATTAATGGGGTTCCTGGATCCCAACAGATTGAGGGGCGGATTCAGTAGTCTCTTTGGCATGCCCAGCATCATTCTTAGGCTTGCGCCACCGACGTGTCATTCGAGGGACGATTCCCACCTCACTATCGGAGGACCTCATATCTGAAGCTTTTGTGCATACGTATATTCCCTATTTTATTATGTCAGTAGATAGTCTTCCCGGTACCAGGGATTAATAGGAGTGCTTGACTTACAAGTATCCCGCTGATAAACCAGGCCCAACCGCCAAGGAAACTGAAGGCGAGAGTAGTCCGCCACTCTGAGCATCCTGTTGTTCCGATGGCAGATTGAGTAATTGAGACTCGTGGGACTGTATACCAATACCTGCCCCAATAGTATCCCCAAGTGTTCCAATACCAATGTGATTCGCATCCACCGGATACAGTGAGCTATAGGTCCATATTACTATAAGACAGACAAAACACACTCTTAACAGTAACAGTAGAGTAACTCACATTACACAGCAACCCAAAAGCAACCATCCAACATACCCAGAGGGTAAAGTCGAGAGCGAAACAGTAGAAGGAGTACTTTAGCGGAGGTAAAAGGACGATCGAGACGAATATGCTAATGCCAGCGATTACCTCAGCGTAGATGATCCGAGAACCTGCGTTGGCATGGGCAGTGGCTATAAAGTGCAGATATCGTCCTAACATGCCGGCGACGATAGCAGCCGCAATGAGTTGGCAAACACGGAGGATCACCGAACAGGTCTTCGATGCAGCACCCATTATGGTATCAAATGTGATGATAGTGGAAGATTTTGCTGAGTGCCACGTTTGTAGATATGATAATCTGATAACTACAATGCCACTCGAGGAGACAAAACTGGGTTTCTGAGTAGAATGTTGGGGGATAGAGACGGGTCATATAAATAAAATGACCCGGCGCTAGTCTATCAGAGCACACCGGGATATTTTCTGGGGAGACGCAAGTATTGCGACACTGCACAATGTAGATGAATTTCACGATGCCCAGATAGACGCCATGGCTGGGAATCAGCCATCCTCGCTGCTCTGGAATGAGATTGGAGGATTCGATAGCTGAAGTGACGTGGATCTTGTCTGTCGCAAGTTTTTCGAAATCACTTGTTAGCTAGTAAGCCAGGGTTTAGGGTCTCGATCGATTGATTAATAAAAAATGCTTTCGCTTCGACGCATACGCGCGGTGCTGAATAAGGCTGGCTTTCAGCTCAAGTTTAACATGTGAACTACTGTAGAATGCTAAATTGGCCTGTAAACCTTATTGAGTTGCCATCAAAGACTCCGCCGTGTCTACATTAACCAATAGCGCTTCCCTGTCCTCTCAGGGCCATGGATTCATTCCGTCAGCTGTTTTCCCCACCAAAAGGCGGCAAGCCAACGATTGATAGCGTACGGAGAATCCCACTGCCGATATCCAAGTCAACGCTGCTTAAGGCACCAATAATGACTTGACTTCAAAACGTGGCTTTTAATGGGACAATCGTTATTTGTTTCTAAATCACTCAGCAGGATTGATCCTTCCACCCTTCCACCCTTCCACCCTCGACCCTTTTGGCAGAATGGGCAGGACCAGGCTGGATATGCTGCTAATTACAGAAGTAAAGTGTACAGGAGTAAGCGGTTGGCAGAAATAAGAGGTCCATAGAAATAGGAGTGAGTAGGACAGCAAAAGTGGTCTGATACAGAAAGTCCAGACCTACGCCGGTACTTCCCTATCTAATAGGCTGCACTTTTTCCATGCAGCCGCCCTTTTGCGATATGTAACAAAGCTTGAAATGTGTTCGTGGAAAGATGTCAAGCGAGGCCTCCTGCGATGCGCAACAAAAAAGTAAAGTCTGTAGCGGCTTGCAGCTCTCCATCGGGGACATCGAGGACATTTTGCATGGGCGATATAATGCAGCTACGACGGCCGACGCGGTTTGTTCTTGGGGTGGGCATTTCGAACTACTGTCTTTTTAGACGGATTCTCAGGATAGCGTGCACGCTACATGAGGCTTCTAAGGCTATTAGCTTGGTCTCAAACCCTTCTTTTAGTAAAGTTTCGATTAAAATATGATGTGCAGCACCTAGTTGCAGTGCCATGGCCGTGGCCGTGGCTGACACGAAAGCAGGGAAAAGCGGAAGGCAGAATAGGTTACGTGTAGCGCGAATTCTCCTTTTTTACCTTACCAATAAGCACCTCCCTGGTACAAGCCACATAAGCCACAGCCCCACCCCCGCAGTCTCTAAAAAGAGTTGAATAAAAAGATTTAGCGGCACGTAATTCGCCTTTTACTGTACATTCCTGCTTTGACTGCTCAGTAACTCGGGGTAGGCCGGACAAGTTGTTGAGTTTATCGGGGCAGCTCAAGTTAATGTTATTTCTGTCTTCGTCGCTCATCTGAGCTGCTGCAGTTGCCCAAAGGTCAATGCTTCGCACATGCGGAGGATCACGTCGCAGGGGGTTCGGAGGAGGGTTCGCAGCCTCAACACCTCAGAAAAAAGCCCCATCCTTAAACTCCATTTATCTGTGTATCTACAACCAGGTTATGGGTGGTTCCCATCCCGCCACCCCCGTCTCCTCTCTGTCTGACCCCTCCCACTATGCGGAACTCCTCTAGCCTCGATTAACAACTGTTATAATGAGCTATTGCCACCGACAATGACGTCTCCTGGGCACTGGGTTGGGGACCAGAAAGCGCCTTGGTTTAATGATCATCATCGTCTTCAGGTTCTGGTTCCGAGTCAGAGATGACTACAAGCTTGAGAGGCTAGGCAGAAATCGACAGAGATGACTTTCCAGCCGATGCTCGAACTAACTTTCCAGGACGTTGGCTCTACACTCCACCTCCCATGTCTTGTGCCCGCATTCTCGTAAAAACATTGCCAGATCCCCTTTGTCCCTGTTTCCCAGCAGTTTTAGCAGCCTCATCTTGCATACCCGCAACACCCTGTATGCTCTGAATGCTGTAGCCACCTTCTTTCCCGGAAGGAGCAGCCCTTTGAGCATCGGGAGCAGGACTTGGTTTTCTACGTTGTTTGATTTGTTGGTAAGTCGCATCCGGATGAACCAACGCCGCTAATGCTCGAATTTCGTAGGTCTATATGCATATTCGGAAGCATGACCTTCATTCTGGTGGGCCGTTCTTACCGTTTTTGATCTCTGCACCGGCCACCCAACACCTGCCGGGCCTCTGACCACCGTAGTTCGGGGAAATAATTCCATCCCAATCGCCTGTTGAGTTGCAATGTTCCAACTGTAGTTGAAGTCGTGCTCACTGTCATCCGGCCCATCAATCCCTTCCATTTTATCGCCAGGCCCAATACCCGTTCTACGCCTGCACCAAGCGGCCCATATCCAAGCGTTTGCGGGATCTAACCATCTCAATTAACATGACGCTAGGGCTTCCGCTTCTGGGTCTTGACGTAGAGTGTCCCCGTGCGTTGCTAGATTCGATCGCAATCCCAAAGACGGCAGAGACCTCACCAGCTCAGGAGGGGCAACCTCGGGAGGGGGAAAGTGGGAGGGAGACGCCAGTCGTATTCATCTCTGTTGGCCGACCGAAATATGCGAAGTGAACAGATCCCCGATCACTAAACGGCACCGGAAATCCAAACTCATCCACTTCCACACCCATCTCTTGCGCTTCCTTGTGTCCTGCTTCAAGCTCCCAGTATTGTTGGATCATTTGGGCGACCAGAACGCTGTTCCACATCCCCTCTCGCCGCGGACACCGTAACAAGAGCTCCATTGCCGTTGCTCGAATAGAGACAGTAGAACAGTTGATACAGGCGTAATAAAGCGGTCCTATCAAGCCCAAATCGCTACTAAAGGTAAGCGGCGGCTTTCCATTCTTCGCATCCTGTTCCGCAGCTGCAATTAACACTCTCGACAAGTTGATGACAATCTGAAAGTCGTCTAAATATCCTAAGAATTTTTCCGCGTTCACTGCTTCGGACACAGCTCTCATATCACTCATGTCAGGATAGACACCAGCCATGATTTTCGCCGTCGTGTGATGTATTTTCAGGAGTGCGGCGCCTTGCACTTCTCTGCTGGTGAGATCTTTGCTTTTGGATACCATGAATTTTTCGAATGCAAGGTTCCAGAGAGACAACTGGGACGTGTATTTGTCGAATATAGAGAGGCTTTCTGTGGGTTGTAAAATGACAGGTAGAGCTCCACTGTGTATCTATAGGTTAGCATGTGTTCGGTAGAGAAAAGATATCTTCGAGGCTTTAATCTAGAATGAGAAAATGTACTTACTCCCACATGTATAATACCCTAAACAACCCATCCGCAGCCTGATTCAAAGCATTCCGAGCTTCTTCTAGACTTTCAAATTCTTCCGAAATTACAATCTCTTTCCCGGAGACGTCCATCAATTTTCTAGCAAAGGCAGTCTGATCATGCTTACTTTTTGTGTTAACGTAAATAATAGACTGTATCGACAATCTCCTAAAAAGAGGAGCAATATTGTCCTCGATGATATGATTCCCTGTAGACGACCTCCTCATGTCCCGTAGAATCGTAAGCCCGCTTTGAAGATGGACCATGGCTGATTCGAACCAGCCTCGCAGGCTGTCGAAACAGATAAATAGTATGCAGGACATGAGCGCCGTAAGCGGTTCTTCCTTCCCGCTTGAAAGAGACCTCCGCAGTGCTCCCATGGCTTTCGCGTACTGGTTCAGTGCGAATTGAGTTTTTTGGTCCTCCGCTGACGGGGTTGAGGGCACCAGCCTCTTTCGTGAGAAGTCTTCATGCAAGGCTCCTATTGCTATCACAGAGTGCCGTAAAGAAGGCTTTTGTGCAGAAGCAGCCAGTATAAGTTTTCCCCAGAACGAAGAATCATAGTAACCAGATAGCTCCGCTGCTGTATTCCGAAGAAAGAAATCGAAGCCTCTCTTCTCCTCCGCATTCCCAGGTATGTATACAGAGATTCGTTGAATGAGGTCTGTAGAGTTCTTGGGTGTTTGACTGGATATCGTAATATCGCTACTATACCCATCGCACTTTCGTCCGGTCGTCAAACACCGCTGACAACTCGGCCTGGCTTCGTCGCACTTGATTCTCCTAACTCTGAAAGCTGGGTAAGTTAATTGTCAATCTAGGAGAGTTCAGTGTGAACCTACTTGCAAGTTCCGCATCCTGTCTTCACCTTTGGACTGGATCGTCGTTTGCGTTGCTGAACCTGACCTATCGCCATCCCAAGTCTCGTGTTCGAGAATTGCAAAAAATGTCGAGTAAGGGAATTGAGAAAGAGAGAATAGGAGATGACGCCGATTTGAGCATAATGGCATTTGACATGCAGTAAGAGTTTAACCTACCGACCGACCTCGAACCCCGTCTCTGAGCTCCATGCTTGGTGCCTGTCGGATAGTTTGAGGTGGATTTAACGTGGATCTGCCTCGCGAAGGCGCTAGCAAGTAAACGAACAGACGAATCAGAAGAGATAGACATGAGCTACGTAAGCGGATGAGTAAGCATGGATGTGTACTACGAGAAGACTTTCTACGAAAGAAATACTGCAATGGGAAGCTTTATCTAAGAATCTTGAGGACTTGAATTCTCGTGAGTAGCTATAAGTCCAGTCACTGGTGCCAAGGTATATGAGATAAATATCGAGAACATTACTCCTCCTAGACTCAAGCCATGGCCCGATTCTTGAACACATAGCGCAGATGTTCAGTATTTATAAATAGAGAAGGTATATTCTATGTATGCGTCCCTCTCTCTCCATGCAGCCGCGTCACCTCACTCAGTCACTCGCCTAAGTTGCTCTCCAGCGACATAGTAATATATATATATATATACCATGACTGACTGAGGTGAACCCAGCCTGCCTTCTCCCATTCACACCGTTCACACCATGGCCACCCAACCTCCCTTAGATGAGGGCCAGCCAGTCCCGGAGACCGTCATGCAGCAATCCATACTTCAGCAAGCAGAAGCTGTCGTTGCCGCTCAGACCAATCCCGCAAGACCCACGAGACAGGAGGCGCTCCTGCAAGAGACTGACCTCATCGATGTGGCCGTGGACGACGTGCCCCCTCCTGCTTACGGCGACATCTATGGCGAGATCCGCGACGAAAAAGACGGCCTGGGTGCCCATGTCACCGACGACGGCCGTGTCAACATCCGCATCAATCAGTTCAACCGCCGTTTGTCCCAGCTCTTTACTCCTGCCTTGCGTCAACACGTCCAGAGTGTCCAAGATAGTCGCCCGCCTCCTCTCCTTTACATTCTTCCTTCCTTAGGAGGTGAGGAGGGAGTTCCTCCACCACCGCCCTTGAACGTCGTCATCCAGGTCGTGGGCTCGCGCGGAGACGTGCAACCTTTCGTTGCCTTGGGAAAAGTCTTAAAAGCCACATACGGCCATCGCGTACGTCTGGCGACTCACCCCAACTTCAAGGGTTTTGTGCAGGAGAATGGCCTGGAATTCTTCAGCATCGGCGGCGACCCTTCCCAGCTAATGGCCTTCATGGTCAAGAATCCCGGCCTGATGCCCGGTTATCGCAGTCTACTAAGTGGAGATGTTGGTCAGCGAAGAAGAGATGTAGCCCGGTATATTCAAGGCTGCTGGCGATCATGTTACCAAGCCGGTGACGGAATGGGTCTTCGTGCCACCGACAATGACCTTTCCGAGCCCTCTAGGAACGATCCTAGCCCCGAGCCTACAACAAGACCCTTCGTCGCCGACTGCATCATTGCCAACCCCCCAAGCTTTGCCCATATCCATTGCGCAGAGAAGCTAGGCATCCCTCTCCATATCATGTTCGCTATGCCGTATTCTCCCACCCAGGCCTTTCCCCATCCGCTGGCCAACATCCAATCCTCCAATGCCGGCCCTCAACTCACTAATTACATAAGTTATGCCATGATTGAAGTCCTCATGTGGCAGGGCCTAGGTGACATCATCAACAGATTTCGCGTGAAGTGTCTCGGTTTGGATCCCGTGAGTCTGATCTGGGCCCCCGGGATGCTCCAGCGTCTCAAAGTCCCTCACACCTACTGCTGGTCTCCGGCCCTGATAGCCAAACCGAAAGACTGGGGCTCTCACATATCCATCTCCGGGTTCTACTTTCTCAGCGCGGCCTCTAACTACACTCCTACCCCTAACCTCCAGGCATTTCTCGACGCCGGTCTACCCCCCGTCTACATAGGATTCAGGAGCATCGTTTTGGACGACCCCAATGCGATGACGGAGCTTATCTTCGAGGCCGTGAGGAAGACTGGCCAGCGTGTACTCCTTTCCAAGGGCTGGGGAGGCATGGGCGCGGACGAGGTTCGTATCCCCGACGGCGTCTTCATGCTAGGCAACGTGCCGCATGACTGGCTGTTTAAGCGCGTCTCGTGCGTCGTTCACCATGGCGGCGCAGGAACAACGGCGGCAGGCATTACCGCAGGCCGGCCGACTTTGGTTGTTCCCTTCTTTGGAGACCAGCCTTTCTGGGGTACCACGGTTGCGAGGGAAGGCGCCGGCCCAAATCCGATCCCTTACAAACAACTCACAGCGGACAAACTAGCCGATGCCATCACCTTCTGCCTGAAATCCGAAAGCCTGGAACGCGCCAAAGAACTCGCAAGCAAGATCGCCGCGGAGCGAGGCAGCGACATGGGTGCTCAGTCGTTTCATCAATATCTCGATGTCGACCGACTCCGTTGCACCCTTGCACCATGTCGAGCCGCTGCGTGGCGCATCAAGCGCACCCAGGTCAGGTTGAGCGCTTTTGCTGCCTGTACTTTGGCGAATGCAAATCTTGTGGATTTTCATGATTTGAAGCTCTTTAGACCACAAGAATACTACACCGACGAAGGTCCTTGGGATCCAATATCCGGATTTGCTACGGCAGTTTTTGGGGCGATCAGCAGCATGGCGATGGGGGTAGCCGATTTTCCATCGGAGACGTTGAAAGCTTTGCTCATTCCGTTTGGGTCCAGCCGACAGCAATCCCAAGCATCAGTGCCGACAATGGCAAGGAAAAGCGAGGCCTCACATGTGGAGGAAAGATTAACACCGCCAACTTCGCCGGAACAAAGTCAGACGAGCTTGAATGTGCAGGAATCTCTCGCTCGTGTTCGGAGCCCTCTCAACCTCTCCGGTCTGTCAACTCCCACTTCGAACATCGGATCAAGCTCCATGTCCGATGCATTGCAAGGCAAGTTGGGTCCCAAACAAGACGACGCTGGCCGAAGTCGAGTCCGCAGTCGGAATGAAACCGGCTCCGGCAAGGACCATGACATGCTGCGCCAGACTGGCGTGCACACGAGCAAAGGCTTCGGGCGTATCGTAAAGGCGGCTGTGCAGTCACCTATGGAACTCTCAGTGAGCATTACAGAAGGGATTCACAATGCCCCTAATCTTTGGGGAGACGATACCGTGAGCCCTCAACAACAAGTCAGCGATTTCAAGTCAGGCGCCAAGGCAGTAGGAAAAGAGTTTGCCTTTGGCTGGTACGATGGCGTTACTGGCCTGGTCACTCAGCCCTGGAAAGGAGCCCAGAAAGAGGGTACTAGCGGCTTCCTCAAAGGAATCGGCAAAGGGATCGGAGGATTTGTAACCAAGCCAGGCGCAGCCCTCTTTGGTATCCCCGGTTATATAATGAAGGGGGTACACAAAGAGGTGCAAAAGTTATTCGGCAGCAATGTGCAGAACTACATCATCGCGTCCAGGGCAGCTCAAGGATACGAGGAGTGGCTGCAGAGCTCCGATGCAGAAAAGCAAGACGTCATCGTTCGTTGGAAGCTAATCCAGAAATATCTGAAGAAAAAACGCAACCCTGACGAGATGATGCGAGATATCCTGGAAGTACAGCGAAAGATGGACATGGAGGACAGAGAGGCCCTTCAAAACTGCGGACGCACTGCGAGCTCCGCCCAGTCCGCCAACAGTGCAGATGCTTCGACCCAAGATCTCGAATGTGTCATGCTCGCCCTGGGTGGTTCAGAGTCCCATATGCGCCCTGCCAATACGGCCCCCGAAGAGTCGCTGGGAGCGGCTGATATCAACGAAACCATCCGACTGTCAGTCCAGGAGATGTCACGTGGAGACGCAGAAGAGGATGCCAACGCGGAGCGGGCGATTCAGGAAAACGTGTCTCAGCTTCAGCGCCAACGACAAGAAGCTGCAGATCACCAGGCAGATCAGGAGAATTTGCGCCAGGCGATGACTAGCGAAGCCGAAGCTCGGCGACATGCACGCGAAGCATTGGAATATGAGGAAGAGCTGAAGCGAGTCATCGCGCAAAGTCTGAGGGAACAGAGACTGAGGGGCAGCGACAGTGAATGGGAGTCGGATATAGGTCTCGATGACGAGGACGAGGAGCTCGAGCGGGCAAGGAAAAAATCTGAAAAGATGGCGGAGAAGGTAGCAGCCGTGGCTAGTCGGCCACTAGGCGTCCAGCAATCCCCTTCGTATGATCCGGGGCATCTCGCGGGCACCACGCAAAGTGAGTTCGAGGCGCAACAACAGGGACATCAGGGGGAGAAAACGACACAAGAGAAGACGGAAGAAGAGATTGTGATGGAGTACGTCAAGAAGCAAAGCCACTTGGAACAGGACTATCAGAACAAAGGCAAGGGCCGTGCCACTATGACAGAGGACAAGGACGATGAAGACTTGCAGAAGGCATTGAAGCTCAGCATGCAAGGACACGAACATGATGCGGGGTATCGGTACGGGGAGGCTTCAGGGACGTGATCATCGTTGGCCAAGGGTGCCCTCTAGGAGGACCAAATACAATTTTTGAACACCATTAACAACTAAGCCAAAGTTCGACGATCAACTAAGTCGTTGGTACTGAGGAAGGCGAAGGTCATGAGCTATGATGACCTTGAGGAAGCACGAGCGAAGCGTGCTGACAAAGAGGCTGCAAAAGAATCCAAAGAAGCCAAAGGGAAGGGCAAACGTGGTCGGAAGCGCAAGAGTGCTGCGCTAGAGGCAGATGCGCCAGAGCCAAATGCGAAGGTGTTACGGATGAGCGAAGCGCCTGCGCCAGCGAGAGCCTCCGTGGGTGGTGCAGATGAGCGGAACACCGGTTGCGGAAGATGAGATTGTGCCAGAACCATGGAGAGCCCCAGTAGCGCGGATGTATTAGCTGAAGATGCGAAAGATGAGATTCCTGTACGAGGGATAGAAAATCAATAGACTAATACTCAGCTTGGGACTGTTTGAAGCAGGCTCGCGCTTGCTTCGCGACGTGTTCCTGTGGAGTAGAGTTGGTCTTCGTTGCCCTTGTGGCATAGTAATAGCAATAGTCGTATAGACAGGCAAAATATAAATAGAGGCCAGCCTTTGGTGTCCCTCTGCTGTGCTTGTCATCCTCGTGCTTGATATGCCCTGCGATAGCCGTGGCTGCCATCATTGTGCCAGCCGTTGTACTCGTCATCGTCATGCCCACCACTATGCCTTGTCATATGTTCTGGTGGCCGCTCACTCCATCGTCCTGTATGGTCTTGAATCGTCGTGTATCGTGTACATTGCCATGCTTAGTCGTTGCCACGTTGTCACCGCCTGAGCCGCTATCAAGGTCTTCGCCAGGTTATCTGGAAATATCTTCGCACTTCAGCCGGGTATTCCATTCGCGCTTCGCGTGGCATGAATGGAAACTTGAGGACGGCGATCTCGTCGAAGGAGTCAACGCAGGAATTCATAGCGGCAGCCGCCGAAGAGAGGTCAGCCGAAAGCGACACAGCCTTGATTGTGTAAGACACACAGGCGGCAATTGCCGCGACCACGACCAGGGACCCCCAATCGCATGATAGACACAGCACTCCCTGATCAATATAAGGCTGACAATGATTTTCCAGCACCGTGGCAAGGCTTGGAAACCCAAATTAAACTGTTTCTATTAATTTAAAGTATATAAATAGCTCATAGTACTTAGTACTTAGTGGTTCTATCCCTTGGACCGGCACGCCAGTACACAGCGATAGTATGGGCCATGATAGGGGGTCTCCCCATCCCACGTGGGGCCATAGGGTTTGGGACCCCATCCTGCACCCCAACTACTTACTACATGTACCGCCAGGACCATCACCCGGGACGCCGGGGCATCGCCGGGGCACCACCGGGACACCAGGACCGTCGCTTGGACCATTCTCTGGACTATGACTACTAGGACCACGGTTATCAAAACCGCTAAGTACCGCTGGGACCGCGACCGCTAGGACCGCTACCGCTAGGACCCCTATCATTCTCCATATCTTTAGCTAATAGCTAATAAATTTAGGCGCCGTGGGTCGTCTGGAGGTCGCGAATTGCTGAGAGATCGGCATTGCAATACTTCGTTCGGTATTGACTCGTCGCGTTTAGCGGGCGCCCACACTGATTAGCGTGCTATGAATGCCTTCCCCCACAACGCTCTGTGCGTAAGGTACGTACAGTATCTATCGAACTCCCTTCCTGCTTGTAGATCCCTTAGCTTCGAAACTAATCAGGACCCTCTCATCGCCTGTCTGCTGTAACGTAGCCAACAGTACTACGAAGATGACAAGATACCCTCACAGAAGCCATCGTATGAATAATTATTCAACGCACCGAGGCGCCTTTTTCAATCATTATGCTACTCTATAAAAGCCTTTGGCTGGACGGAACGCTGCCCTGCAAGCCACAGTGAGTTAGGCCCAAGCAGTTCGTGCACCCCGTATTTAATACGGCCACTAGTGAAAGGCGCAACATGGAAGCCCTACTTTCCGCCATGCACGGAACGGAATCGAGGCTGGCCGCGACGTTGTATAAGAAGTATCAACCGCATTCGTGCCTGCGTCCTGCCTGCAGCCTGCTTGTCCATTGTTCCTTGTCATCAAGTGTACTGCCCTTTCGATCTCCTCTGTTCCGATTCCCCTACACGCACGATGCCGGGCGGTTTTCACCCCCCTGCGGCCGTCATTTTGGCCTGGCCGAAACCGAATTACACCGATCCTCAAGCTAAGGGCAATGAATTACTTGTCATTACTATAATTTGTATGACCTTATCGACAGCAGCTGTTCTTGCTCGACTCTGGGTGCAGATACGGCACCAAAAGAAACTCAGGGTCGACGATCTGATGCTGGTGATATGCATGGTAGGCGCTTTCCTACTCGCTATGCAGATCAATAGTCTGGTATATAGAGAGTTCCCAACTGCTGACGTAGACCTTGCTAGGTTCCTACGATTGGAATTGGTGCGCTTTTGATACTCAGTAAGGCCTCAAGAGTGGCAATTGCTCCCAGTTTTTACTGATAAGAACATAGCTGAGACGAAATTCCGTTGGTTTAGACATGTCTGGGACTTGCCGCGTAAAGATATAGTTGGCAGGCAATATGTTCGTGAACTACTTGTACTACTTTACGCCCCACGCTAACGAGGTCGCTGGTATAGCATAGTTGGATTACTCAGCTTCTGTATGTTGTCAATACTACCCACGCTGGAAACGATATACAAGACTGATTCCTGCCTAGCTTTATTCTTTCTACTACTTTTAGCAAACTCTCAGCTCTGTTGTTATACAAGCGAGTGGTTGCGGGAAGTCTAAGTCCGACGTCTATTTTCCTCGTTAATACCGCTATCGTCGGCCAGAGTGCCTATGGAATTATCTTCGCTTTTGTCGGGATTTTCCAGTGCCGGCCGGTAAATGCATACTGGCTGCAGTTCTCCTACCCCCACCCGTATACAGAGAAATTCTCTTGTTATTATGAGGGTACAGTGCCACTCGCCAACGCATGCGTCAGCGTTGTGACGGACTTTCTAACTGCTCTACTACCTATATGTCTTTTCCTACAAATGCAAATCCCGAAGAGGGATAAATATGCTCTCGCGGCAATCTTCGGTGTTGCGTTCATGTTAGTTGCTCTTCCCCTTCCTACTAATCGGGTTAGTACAGCTAACCTAGTAATGGTCTACTTATAGTGTCTGCATCGCTGGCACTGTAAGAACTGTCATTGTGCATCGTATCTTTTACGAATCTTACGATAATACCTGTAAGTATCTATTCCTCGCGATCTGATACTTCTTTTTCCCAATATACGCTGACCTGATGCCAGGGGTGAGCCATAATCTCTGGGCATGGTATTACGTCGAGACCAGCCTCCTCGTCATCTGCTCCGCTATACCTCCTCTAAGGGTATACTTGAAACGAATCTTCGGAGGCTCCAAGTCGGACAGCGATCACACACCGGCTGTCAACACGTTCCATAGAAAGCGGGCTATTGATGGTTCAGACCCAGCTGATAGTTCAAATGGTCGGGCTTCTACAGACTCTATCGTCTTGCATGAGGTGGAACACTGTAAGGTTTAGGTTACTCGACAATCTGTCCTAGATGGTTAGGGTAACTGTAACCGGCAACAATTACTGCGTTTTGGTAGGCTCTACCTCGACAAAAAAGCAACTATCCTTACCGATAGTACCCGGGTTGGGCCAAAGGTTTATGACGTAGGGTAATAGCGTAATGTATCTAAAAACAACTTGGCGTTCTTGAATTTCTACGTTCTTGCGTTTCTGTATTTCCGTTTTCCCACATAAAATAATACAGTAGGAGTTTCGGTTTATACAAGCATGTATGTATACCAGGAACTTTTAAATCAGTTTAACTTAAATAAGAATTGGCCAAAGAAGAAAGAGTCATGTATAGTTGTTTTATAGTCGCATGTCGACTATATGACCTGATATAAATGCCAGGACAGTAGTGCTGGGACAGATGATGTGCAAGGACTTGGCTAGGCTTGGCACAACTGCTCTACCCCATAAATAGCCCTGTCCATTTGTGCTGGCACACAGGGAGTGGTAGGACCTGCGGCGGGCTGACCCAGCCTCAAGGCCAGCAGGAATTGTCGCACGGTTGACACGTGTTTAAATATTATGTGATCTCGTTCAAGGATAATTGCAACTTGGGCGAAAAGAATACCTGTAGTTTTAGGGAGATCTCGTAAGGATCTAATCCTTTTGTTTAGGGAATCGTACAAATTCGTCAAAATGACGCTATCCATAAATCCCTTGTCACACGACCTCAACCTTTACCACTCCTCATCCTTCAATTACTTACAAGATAAAGTAATATAACCAAACTTGAAAATTCAATAACCCCCCGAGCATCTCCGGCATCAGCAAGCTCCAGCCTAGGCTGGTTTGACGACAGCATCTCGGACCCTTCCGTGAATGCCGCTCGACCCGGCGACCAGCGCTGGAGCAAGATTGTTTCGAGTACCGCCGCCTGCGACGAGGTGCTCTCTGCTGTTGACAGCCAGCTTTGCTTACTTCTGCGGCCGGCCTCCCGGCCTCCTCTGCTCGAAGTCGCGCCTCGAACTTATCCACCAGCTCCTTCGCAGATCCCAGTGAGTGTTTAGGTACTAGTCTCGGGTGCCAACCCACCAAGAAGTGCAGCACACCACCAACGTCCTCCTTGCTGATGATTTCGCGGATCTCCCTATCCTGGTTGGCGTCGATTGTTTGCGGGCACGGTTGAGATTCAGCTAGGGGAGTGGAGATCCAAATTCAGGGGTCGTAGTTCCGGCAGTGCTGGCGATTTTGCCGTCGGCAGAGATGCTACCGTAATAGTCCCATCATCCTCGTCATTAACCGTATTTGGCGGAGGAGGACGCTGCGATTGTTCATTGGGGCAGTTTGAGGCCATCCCGCCACCGAGGGGACAGAAACCTTCCGCCGCTTTGACCAGATTTACGAAGATCGACGTGTTTGTGCGGTGTCGCGGTGGGAACGAGCGGGAGGTGCGAGAAAATAGCGGCTTGGTAGTGATAGTGAATATGGATGCGGTCAAAGGCAAGACGGTGGAGTTATCAATGGGGCAAATGCCCTCAGCAACAAGACCTGTTCATTTGACAGAGTCTTTTCACCAATGGCAGATCAGCAGATGGTCATTGATGAAGTCATAACGCCTGAATTAGATGAGGTAAGAAAACAAAGACATAACCACGTTAGAGTGGGCAACATTCGAAGATAGGCTAAGAGGCCGACGTTAGTACAGGTGCTCAAAGGTTTCAACTGCACAATCTTTGCATACGGATAGACTGGTACGGGAAAGACATACACCATGTCCGGAGACACTTTCAGATCACACTCTACTACCCGATGACGCTGGTATTATTCCTCGCGTGCTGCACTCCCTCTTTGTCAAGCTTGACTCTCTACAAAACTCACCAACTTGAAACGACGACGACGATCGGAGCTGCACGCGCAGAATCGGGAGCAGTATGGTGGAACGCAGCGAGATGTAGCAGACACTACTAGTCTCTAAAACAGGATCAGCAAAAGAAAGAACTCATCTTAGACTATAGTGATAATATCAGACGACATTTCTTTTTAGATTTCGCTTCTAATACAGTTCGTTAGCGTCGCCGCTCTGCTTAGGCGCTACTCACTCACCCTCGTCTCACCTCTGCTCAGGTTGTTCGGTCATGTTCCTGCTCCCTGTCACACCAGCGTAATGGATGCGCCAGCATCAGGGAGACGAATTTTGCTAATTAACGCTGGCGCAAATACTGTAATGGCGCTTGGGGCGGCCGTGGAGAAAAGGGAGCAGAATCCGGCTTCCCTGTGTCGTTAACCAGCTGTGCGTTCGGTCAGGAATACGGGTAAGCCCAGCATCGTAACCAACCAATAGGCTCGCATAATGCCCAACTAGGTAGTTGGGCATTATTCCCCCGATAAATATACTCTATTCACCATTCATAGAGAGCCAGATGTCATACTGCTCTGAAACCACTTCCTCACAAATACAATCCCAAGTGCCCTGAATACCTATCAAGTTATGCCTTTCTGCAATAGCTGTCAGAACATCACATTTAACCCGGAGAACGACGATTCGCTGGATTATTTTGAAGCAGTCATACATCCTGATTTTGCTTCATTAAAGCGCTCCGCTAAGTCTCGCAAATGCACCCTATGCGCTGCCGTGTACGGCATGATCCGGCATCAGGACTTGTGGTTCCCTTCCCCTGAAAGAGACGAAGAAAAGAAGACCAACCGCCTGGATATCGCCCTGAGCATTCAATATAAAGTAGAAAGCTCGGATGGCGACGAGTGGGAATTTGTCGAGAAGACTGGGAAGAATGATGGCGATGCACCAACTATCCTTACGGTTCGGAATGGGCGCCCTCCTTCTTGCTCTTTTCGAATATGTAATAGGGAAGTAATATCGAGGTCGTCTTGGCGAGATGAACAGGAAGAAACTGCAGTGTCGGCAGTTGTACTTGAGGGCATCAACGGGGCGATTGGGGGTGTTTCCTCTGATACTTCGACAGGAAGCGACGCCAGCATGGAACTAATGAGATTGTGGATCGAGAAGTGCAAAAGGGATCACAAAACCTGTGGCAAGAAGCCCTCCGAATCAGTCCCGACACGCCTCCTTGATGTTTCATTCGCAGAGGGTGAATCTGGGGTTCTCTTTCTAGTGCCATCAGCCCAACTCAATCGACCACCTTATGCAACTCTCAGCCATCGTTGGAAGAAGGGTTCCTATGTTACAACCTCATCAACCGAACAGGAACACATCCAAGAAGGGATTCCGGCGAAGTTACTCCCAAGAACGTTTCGGGAAGCCTCCATCACGGCCAAGAAGCTAGGCCTGAAATATCTCTGGATTGACTCCCTCTGTATTCTCCAAGATTCACGCCAGGACAAGGTCCAGGAGATGCCAAAGATGGCCGACTATTACCAGAATGCAGAGCTGAACATCTGCGCAGCAACAGGAGACAGCGAAGGTCTCTGGCAGGAGCGCGATGGTAAGGCGACTCGGCCTTTCGATATCCCGATTACTATCAGGACGCCTGGTCTTCGTAGAAAGACGCGAAAAGTACTCATGACGGTAGCTCCAATATTAAAAGGAGTACCGTCGCACCTCGACAGTCGCGGTTGGATCCTACAAGAGAGGATCTTCTCGCGAAGGACGTTATTCTTTGACCCGTACTGGGTTTACTTCGAATGTGCTGAGATGAGTGCATCCGAGAGCTGCCCGGAGGGTGTTCGAAGAGACCAGAACACAGACTTCGGCGAGCTAGAGGATGATATTGGAACCACAGTCTCTAGAGACCCTGTTTTGAGTGATATAGGTGGAATGATACGAGACCTAAGTAGTCAAGTCGATAGCGGAATGGAATTAGGTGAGGAGTACTGTATCCCGGTGTATTGACTCTGCTGATAAAGTACAGGCGATGCAGAGCGAAACGCCGCCTTCGGGTTGTGGTTTAATGCTGTAGAAAACTACTCTAAGAGACAGCTATCGTTCGAGACCGATAGGCTCAATGCCATATCCGCCTTAGCAGAGAGATTTTCACGTATACTCAAGGACAAGTACATTGGCGGGATATGGGAACGCAACTGCCTCGTGTGTCTTCAGTGGTGCCACGGAGTGGAAGACATGGATCAGTTAACTGACACGCGCGTATTCGAGGGTGGCGTATTCGAGGGTGCTCCAACATGGTCCTGGGCTAGCGTACGGGTAGGCGACAAGCCTGGTCTGGGTGATAGTACCACGGTTGAGGTCTTTTCTGAGACAAATTGTGTACCGCTGGTGCAGATACTCGGTATTAAGTGTGAAATAGAGTCTAATACATTCAGCGATATTTCCCAAGCCAAACTCACCCTCCTAGGCCACCCATTATGTGGCTGGGCCTATTCTCGAGAAAACGGACCGGACGCATCGATGGATATGGTCACTATGGCAGAGGAGTTGGAAGCGCTTCCACACACAAATCTCCCCCCTGGTAGGTATGGCTCCGAAGGTATAAAGAAATTCGATCAAAAATTGTCCCGAAGGTGGTGGCTGCATATTGGTGGCGAGATGTTGGGACAACGGTCGCAAAGAGTTCTGGACGTATTCCCAGACACAGGTGACGCCATAGTCGAAGGAGTCTTTTATCTGCTTCCTCTTGCCGATTACCCCAATGACGATAATACTATTGCCAAGTCCAGACAATATGGACGGGCTTTTGGCTTGATCCTAAAAGAGCTTGATAATGGGATGTTTCGGCGAGTAGGCTATACTCGTGTCTTCATGACAGACCTCATGACAGCAAAGACACGTTCTATGGTCCTGGTATAGGTTCCTATACCCGTACATACTATGAGAGCAGTGTTACGGTTCGTACCAGCTAATGGCCCTGAGGCTCGGCTCAGGTTAGAGCAGCAACTGCTCCAGTCCAAAGACGGAAACGGAATCTAGTGGCTAAAATTGACGTCTGATATTATATGGGAAGTCGAGACCTTCAACACGCAGTTGCACTTATCTTACTCAAACCTTGGCATGGACTTCAAGACTATCTTTGACGACGTGTCGAAAGGGATCAGTGAGCAGCGTGAAGAGATGCAGTGGCTAAGGGACGAAATGGTCGAGGCGAACCAAGAGCTACAACAGAGTCAATCATCATCGGTTCGCGGGGTATCGGATCTTGTGAACGAGCAGAGAACCATTAGAGACCTGGAGAGCAACGATCTGATGCAGAACATGCACAAGCTCATCGAGGCTACTATGCAGCAGCAAGAGCTGCGTTTTGGAGAGGTTGCTAAAATCTCCGGACAGCTCAGGTCTGCTGCACAGAGTCACTTTGCTGTTGGAGCCTCATTTGCACATGGCAGCGAGCAGCTTGCGGAACGGTCAAGCAATTTCGGTGACGGGCTGATCAAATCCCACGACACGTTGAAGACAGGCATCCAGAGCGATTTTGCAGTGCGAGCTAAACTCACGCAAATCAGGTCGCAAGTATGCACACAGAAAACCCCAAGGCCGTGACTACTTCCATCCAAGACGAGACTACTCGGATAACGAGAGAACAGGTCCAGCACCTAGACACGGAGATGCGCACCCTTGATAACATTGTCGACTGCATCCAGAAGCAGAACAACATCGCGCTCACGCTACCCGGGAGCGGTCCTTCTCCGAGCTCGTCTCCACAGTCCATCACTCGTATGCCAGCATTGGCAGTGCCTTTACCGCATCATTTGACTACGTCGAAGGTCTTGGTAACGATGTCGCGGAGCAGACGGATGGGTTGCGCGAGAACCTACCGCGCCTCAACGAGGATGCGCATATCCCCAGACAGCTGGCAGAGTTGAGGCAGCGTGTCGAGTCCGAGTACATCCACACAAGGCAGACGCCAACGTGCAAGAAGTACAGCTATCCAACAGCAGTGCCACAGACAAGCGGCCGTGCCACGCTCATGGAGCCCATGCACACAGGACGCGCCAGGGATGAGCCGTCATCATCTTCAAGGCCTAGAAGTTCTGGTAAGACGCTCGTGTTTACGGATAACTATGGCGTCTCCAAGTAGCAGGTGAGTAATGGTAGTAGTGCTGTTGGCCCAGGCATGGCGAACAGTTCCACGAGCCTCCGCGAACTAGATATCAACACGGTAGACAACTTTGCCATTATGAAAGGCGTCACGCTCTTGGAGAAAGACATTACGAGTAGCAACGCCCTCGTACCCCTTTCTTCACTTAAGTGGCCCGCCAGAATCAGCGCTTTAGCGGAGAGCAATATTCCGCCTAAGAAGCGCCGGTTACGTAGTACTGTAGAGGTTAGCAACTCGTTGACGGCTAGTAGTACGATACTAGGAGACAGGGAGCGCCTGACGATACCGAATATAAGCGCGAGCGTGGGGGCATAGTACATTGTCTTCGTTAGGGAGGAGGCTAAGGAGCTATAATAAGAGTAATTAAGTAGATAATAAGCTAGGCTTAAGTAGTATCTTTAATACTCTCTTATATATTTATATTAAAGGAATAAAACTATAAATAAGCTCGTATTTATATATTTACTAATTGATTTACTCGTAATAACTTAATAAGAAAAACTTTATTTCTATATATGAATATATATATAATATTAATTTTTATTTCCTTATTTGACTTCTATTCTTATTTGCTATAATAGTAAATACTTATTAATTAAGTATTTCTACTTTTTAAATACACTTTTATATATTAGGTGCTTTGGTAAGAACTTGAAGCACTCAAACCTTCGCAAGTGGGAATCATGTCATTCTACTGGGGCCGGACCATCAGTTCGCACTCCCACAACGGGAAAAGGCATTCGGATATTTTCAACGGATATTTCGTCCCAGAAGACTAGCCAAGTTGCTCAAAGTATACTAATTTATTGTCTCGTTCTCTCATTCTTTGACACTTTCATCGGTAATAGCAACTTCGTTATCCAACATATTCGTTACGCACAGACAGTTGTATACAATTTATATAGTTGTATAAGAATTCCTCCAGGAATTTTATGGCCAGGCACTTTTAATCATATCGTGATTCGACTGTTCCTGTCCCTTGATATACAAGCACCCTATATGATGGGAATCGAAGAAGCTCGGATTATCCCACTAGAACCTTTTATCTCAAATCTAGTGCTGCCAGCAAGATTTAATTTAGTTAAAGAAGCTAAGTTATATAGAGACGCGTTATTATGGGAGGCTAACTTGTTCCTTTACAGAACCTCTTCTTATATCTTCGTTCCTTCGAAAGCTCCTTCACAATCGGATATCAATCATCGCTCACGCTTAATCGCCTAGATACATTTTCTACACACGAATTAATAGAGCCTCTTATTACAAATCTGAGAAGTGATTCTAATTGTCATCCACTTCAAAGAGTCAATTACCTGAAGTTTTATTCTATTATCATGCCTATTGGACGTACTTATTCTCTAAACGCAAAAGAAAGGGCTGCCGACTCCATGATGCCGTTTTTCGAATACACTTTCTCTCTCTATCGGGGAATCCCAGAGTATGAATCTAAAATTGATGCTACATATACGTTTTAGCCTTGTTTCTCTGAACTAAAGATACTAAATGATTTTATAGAATATGGAATATATATATATACAACTTCGACCATCGTATAATTCGAGCGCTTGAAATAATTGCAACTAAATGTCGTAATTCGGATCTTCGCCGATAAGCAGTTGGACTTACGTTTCATCACGCTGTCGAGAAATAATGTGTGGTTCTTTTCCTTACTGGAGAAATTTCCAACTTTATTATCAATGTTAAAGAGGTGGTTATGGACGAAAGTGGGTATATCCCTGAAGACAAGAGAACTTGGGGCGAGTGGATAGAACTAAACGTCCGAATGAAGATGGCTAGGGTAAATATTCGGGTTGGAAGGAAAAGAGATTTCGAATAGAGTGAGAGATGAACAGAGCTGGATTGGTGACGGATTCCTTCTCAATCAGGGACCTGTAGTTATGTATTTTGCCCATCTCTAAAACTAGCTTCAACGCTGCTTAAACTAATTTGTATTAATTCAGATTACCGTATCTCCTATCTTTTCTCTTTGGTTCGTCTGTTTTTCGAACTCGACTTTCCCTGATTGGAATAATCAATACCTTGGCATATCCCGTAGCCATACCTGCGAGCCGGTGCCTGGCAAAACTGAAATTGTTTTGCATTTATTGCATTTCGTATACCTTAGTTTGGCATTTTATCCTCACTCACGTTCCGGAATTTACTGAGACTTAGTTGCGAAAGCTCGATAATGTTAGGTTCAACTGCGTATTTGTAGCGTCATAATTATCCGTTAAACCCTTGATACTGCAGCCCTTGATTCCATGGATATCCGATAAGCTACAAACTTGTATGTTTCCATGGTAAGAAGGTATTCAAGATGAGATGGCTGTTCGCGGGAAAAGATCCATGCTGACTTGTTTGACGGAGCCAGTCCAGCCAAGCCATCTTGTATTCCGTGTAGGACTCGCAAAACCACTTTCCCTGGGGGATAGTCTGAATATTTTTATAATTAACATGAAGCCACTTTCCGTATCTACACCTCTCCTCATCACAATAGATCACCAGCCTTCCATCATCACCCTTTTGACATCTACTGTATTTCCGAAGGTTTCGGGGAGATCCTCTAGGTAGACCTAGAGAAAGTTGAGGAAGACCTGGAATATTTTGTCTTGTTTCATCTGCTGTTTCTCGTATATTCCTAGTTTACTTGCAACGAGAACCGAGCGTAGAGGGAATAAGTGTGGGAATTCTCTTTAGGTATTTCTTGAATAGGGCAATACTAAGTCTTGCGTGTTTCTTTTTAGGTAGATTCAGCTACGAGAGCTTTTTTGGCTATTCAACCTTTCAAGTCAATCCGAACCCGCCTGCAAACTTCTTCGTCATTGATGCTGATAGCTTGAAACTTAGCTACAAGTACCATTAATTTGCGGCCAGAGACATGTACAATGCAAAAGCCAAAGGAGCAGCAGCGTTTGCAAAGTATCTTGCACTACCAGAAGAACAGAGACAAGACGCATCATGGGTGACCAAATCTATAGACGAGAGAATAGAAGGACTCAGGGGTCATGAAGATTACAGTCAAGCCCAATACTCTTTGTGTTATTCCGTTTGTAAGAATCCGGTTCCAATAGTTCCTGTCCCAATTAATTAACTCATGAAACCATACTAACACGCTCCAATTAGGATCAATACCAACGCGTACCGTCTTTGCTTTTGGTGTCTCGCCCACCCTCTCCGTGACAAGTTACGTCTGAATGATATAACAGCAGAGATATGGCCAGACGGAAGCCTCAATATCCACCTCCTCGAAAGTTGCCCCCTTCTTGCTTCGCTCTATGAAGAATTCTTCGCAGATCCAACCAACCTATTGGCGTCCGAGTTGTTACTAGCGAAGTAGCAGTGGGCGATATCCTACTACAACCAGGGAGGCACCTTCTAATGACGTACTCGCAAATGCATTTTAACTTGGAAGTGTTTAGATCTATCGCGAATATTTATAAGAGAGTATTTAGGGAAAGGGCACAACTTCGGCAGAACTAAGCGACGTTTTCCAGTATCATATAGAGAAAGGCAGTTTCGGGTGCAACTGGATACGCAAATTAAATAGGACCCTTATAGCTCATAGCATGCGCTTTATTAAATCGGCCTAGAGCTTATTATGTGCGGTTTTTCTCACAATTCTACTTTAAGATAAATTCTTCCATCTCCCGATCCTCGGTCACCAACTCCCCGTACATAATACCATAAACGAACGTTTCTCCAACCAATACATACGTTCCATCATCGCATCTCCTTAAGACATACGGAAACTTGGCCCCGGGAAAGATAACAATGACATCTCCTTCCTCTACATGTTTAGGAGCAAGTCCAACAAACCCTTTCATAGTCACAAACGGTCTACGCTCAATTTGTTGCCCCATCATAATATAATAACTTCTAAGCGTATTCGTCACCGGAGCTCCAGTACTCGGCCTACGATTTTTCCATTGTATGTAGTCTGTAACGACTTCTGTGTGGCCGAGGTGACACTCATCGATCGTGGCGCGTCGAACAAACCCCGTGGAATATAAATCAGCCACAGGAACACGTTGGTATGCGCTTTCTCGGACCGAAGGGTTGGCATAGATTTCTACACCTGATGTCGCGAGTTTCTCGTCAGAAATATGGCAGAGAGATATTATATCTTGGAGGTATATGCAGGCCTCGTGGCGATGTTGCATGCTTAGCCATTCGCCATTATTGCACTGGGGCCTTAGTGATTCGATAGAGTCGACGAGGAACCCATTTACTTTTAGGTGCAAGACTGGAACAATCTGATCCAGATGTTTCAGAAATTTTGCAGCGCCTGATGCTGAATATGGTGTATCCCAAGGCAATTGTCCAAAGGGTTGCTTTACCTCCTCTCGCCAATCAGGGACCCACGAGGGTATCATTGGGTCTTTCTTGCTCCATTGAGAGAAGGCGAGGATATCAATGTGGCCAGAAGCGATCATGGCACGGGTGGCGTTGCAGTAGACGGCAGTACATGAGTTTGTGTCTGCGTAGTTTGGAGTGATGCGAAGAGTCCCTGTGTCCGCCGCCATTCCAAGAAGTGCCCAAATTCTGTCCCTGGGATCCGTGGCCTCTCTCCCGACACGAGTCCTAGCGAGAAGTTGGATGAGGATAGGTTTCGCCTCGCCGTTCTCCTGAGCAGGGTCATGATATCGTAGTCGCATTCCTGAAACCAGACTTGCGGACGGCGGTATCTCGATAGAGATAACATAGTCAAATTGTGCTTTTAATTTGCAGTCGGGTGGGAAGTTTCCATCGGCTGAAGCTTCCAATAAGGCTGTTAGTGGCTTCACAAGTTGAGTAGAGAGAGATGTTTGCATGTAAATAAGGTACAGCATAGCGGCATGCAGAAATGCGAATCCAATTTTCCGTTTGCCACAGTACACTTCGACGTTACGAGAAACGACGATCTCCTGCAAGATCCAGACACGACTCCAATAGGGGCGCGATAAGAGATTGCAGAATTCCGTAAGGAGACGACACGAGTCCTCAAGCTGGGCGAGAGATCTGTCGAGCATGTCTTCAACGAGCTTTGTGACTTGGTCCTCAGCCTGCGCGGCACCAGATGGATCCTTGATGGATAGAGTAGTCATTCTGATAAAGAGGTCAAATGCTCCACGGTCAATGACAGTCTTCCCGATCCGCGCAAGCTGGACCATGATCTCGTCGCTGGTCTCGTCTGCCGGCCCGAGCCATACTCTCGTACTTTTGGCACAGGCATAAATTTCTCTCATCATGTTGACTTGCTCAATCTTCTCCGCGTCGTCCATCTGGTTTATGCAAAGGGCGTCAACCCATAGAACGACTTCGCTCGTCTCCCCGCGGAGATGCTGCAAGGCGACATGGAGGTTTCTTGTTACGGGCACCTCTGTCCCGTTTACCTGTATGGATAGGGGCTCCTCTGGGGTTCCCCAGGTGTACGACAGTGCTTCGTAACCTTGGTTCCTAGCTTCGCGGACTGCAACAGGATAGAGGTCGCAATAGATTGGTACATTCTTCTCAATTTGAACTAAAGACTTCGTTGAAGAAGAGTGTCGCGAGTGAAGTCGCAGGAGTCGTATTTCACGCGTCGAGTCGAGCGGAGTGTAAAGCATGCTCATTGTTTGATGAATGAATAGTGTGTGAAGAATGGACTTGAACCAGCAATGTTTGAAGAATGAAATTAGAAACGTAGATGGAGAATGGAATTGAAGTATGAAGTTTAGGGAGTAGAAAGGTTTCGTGTAATGTGCGGCTGAGTGCCGGAAACCAATTTTGCATGAGGCTGAATAAAACCATCGCCGCATTTCGTTCTCACTGAGATTCTGGTTCAGCTGTATGGCCGCATTTAGGGGCCTTCAAGGCCAATAGTAACCGAATTATGCATAGGGGGCGCATATGGTACCGGCGAATAGCGTTGCATTGTAAAGCCAGTAATAAAGGCTAGTAGCTTGTTGTTGTGCGATACGATAGATCGTTGTTCTCGTCTAGCGAGTCTCGCTGATGCTACTGAAACATTACTGTATTATGCGTTATGTTACTGTACACGCCAAAAGCCGATGGTATCATACAATGCTATCAATCCGCTGTACGCTATGCCCAGTATCCACGAACGTTTCTTCCTACTGTATAAGACAAGGCCCGAATAGAAAGCAGCCACCATTCTTGATATTTAACAAGCACACCCTTCTTGATTCTGCGGCGTGGGATTGATATTGACATCAATCGCTAGCAAATGCTTAGCATACCCTTGAAGGACTTAGCTGGGATGAAACTTACTTTGGTTTCCAGCGGCTGCACTTCCCTCCGCGCCGTCCATCCCTGGTAAGGCCTGCGCTATTCTCCTGAAGAGATTCTTGACATTATGACCGACCTTTGCGCTGGTCTCGATGAACATCAAGTTATTCTTTTTTGCTTCTTCTTCTCCTTGCTGTGTCGTGACTTCGCGCTTATCATTCAAGTCCGTTTTGTTGCCCACCAGCACAATTATAACATCATTACCTCGTTCGCCACGCACATCGTCCACCCATTTTCGTGTGTTTTGAAACGACTTCGCGTCTGTAGTCAGGTTAGAAAGCGTTGCTTGCTGATGCCGAGGGGGATATTACTGGATATATCGTACACCACCACCGCCACACTCGAATCTCTGATATAGGATGGTATCAAACTTCGGAATCGTTCTTGCCCGGCTGTATCCCATAGTTGTAGTCGCACCGTTCGGTCTTCAAGGTACATAGTCTGCCTCAACCCGTTAGTCCTAATAAACAAGAACTTCAAATAATGTAATGCCTACTTTTGAGAGAAAGTCTATGCCAATGGTCGCCTGATACATATTGTCGAACGAGTCGTACATGAAACGTGTAATAAGGGATGTCTTTCCAACTGGGCTCGAATATCAGCGATTCGTCCATCGGTCCGCTATGTCTTGTCCTTGTTGGCACTGCTCACCACTTTGCTCGCCGAGAAACACTAATCTGTAAGGTAGTCAGTGATGTATTCCTAACGTTATACACTCTAAACGGGACGAGAGCTTACTTGAACTTCTTCAAGGGATTGTTGTAGGATCCGCCTACTTGAGATTGCGCCATCGTGTCGGGGTTTGCAGAGACGTCTATTAAGTGATTCGAAATTCGTGGCGTGTAATCGTAAAGCAGATTCGAGGGCGGCCGTGAAGTGTGAGGTATTAGGTGTCCAGTTCAGTAGACTGGCACTGGAATAATAAAGAAAAGGAGGCCTGATGAGGTGCATATCGGGGATCTCGGACCGACCGATTGGTCTGCACGTGACGGTCCCCGGATTATGGTGGGCGCTTCCTGGCGCTGTCCCCCACCGTAAAACGCCGATAAGTAGCGATAGTGAAAAATATATTTTCATAATGCTATGAAGCCTCTGTGACGGCCTCTCAGCACCAACGATTCTTTTCCACAACACCTTCCATTCATTCGGGATCCGCATCCATCTGTGACAATGCCGATTATCAGGCCTGCTACGATTGCCCCCGAGGCCCCTCAACAACACAAACAGCCATCCCGAAAGGGCAAGAAGGCATGGCGGAAGAATGTGGATGTGACTGAGATTCAAGACGGCCTCGAGATGGTGCGAGATGAGATCATCAAAGGGTATGCATTAGATATGCTGAAAGCCTGGTGATACCTGCTGATAATATTTATAGTGGTGTCCTTGCCGAAAAAGATTCGGCTGAACTCTTCACCCTCGATACGGCTGGAGATGCATCTATACAAAGGAAGCTCTTGAAGGGCTCGAGGGTCCTCAAGGCCGACGAGATTATTGCTCAACGATCCGCCGTTCCCGCTGTGTCGATGCGTAAACGACCTGGAGAGGGGACTACAGATGGAATTATCCAAGCCAAGCGCCAAAGAACCAGTTACGTCTCGCACAAAGAGCTTATACGCCTCCGCAAAATTGCGGACGGCCATCAAGAGCAGTCCGTGGTTCAAGTCACAGAAGCTACCTACGACCCGTGGGATCTCCAAAGGGATGTAAAGGAAGCCGAGCAAGATCCTCGATTCTCTTTCCTTGAGAAATCCAAGAAGAAGACGGCCCCATCAACGATCAAGGAGAAGTCGATTTCTCTAGCCGCCAGTGGAAGGGAGATTCCTGCCGTCCAGAGACCCGAAGGTGGCTACAGCTACAACCCGTTGTTTGCTGATTATGAAGAACGCCTTATTTCAGAAGGGCAGAAGGAACTTGCTGCGGAGAAAAAGCGTCTTATGGCGACAGAGGAAGAGCGTGTGAAGCTTGAGGCCTCTGCTAAGTCTGCAGCTGAGGCAGAAGCCGCTGAGGCCCGAGCTGACTTGTCTGAATGGGAGGAAGATTCGGCTTGGGAAGGATGTGAAAGCGGAGGCGAAAACGTAAAGCTGTCTGCTAAGCGACCCGAGAGGAAAACGCAAGCACAAAGGAATAAGATCAAGCGCAGAAAGGAAGAGCAGCAAAAGGCCAAAATGGCTGCAAACATCAAGATGAGGAACGACCAGGTGGCACATATCAAGAAGCTTGCAAAAGAGTTGTCCGAGAAGGAACAGGCTCGCTCGATAGCTTTGGCTTTGGCGACGAACGATGATAGTGGTAGTGAGGCCGATGATCTAGACCTTCGGAGGCGGAAGTTAGGTAGGATTGCTCTGCCCGAGAAGGATTTGGAGCTGGTTCTACCCGATGAGCTACAGGAGTCTCTCCGGCTCCTGAAGCCGGAAGGGAACCTGTTGAAGGATAGATACAGGAACTTGCTCGTCAGGGGTAAGGTTGAGAGCCGGAGACCTATCAGCTTTGCAAAGCAGGCGAAGAGGAAGGCTACGGAGAAGTGGACGCATAAGGATTTTATGTTGCATTAGATATACTCGTCCATGGATTGGGAAATGATGGGAAATGAACTAGTTTATAATGGCAATTTGAGCAGGTGATTAAGGCGTCTTGATAAAACGTTGGTTCAATTGATGATCAAATGTGAACGCTGTACTAATTTATAGTTAAAATCTGATACCCGTAATATGTGGTAGTGTTCGTTTTTTAAAATACATATACTAGGAAGAAACCTATATGCCTAAAAATAGTAAGAATGAAGCTACCCGCCTAGGTATGCCAGGGAAAATGACGAGGTTTAACGAGTGGTATACTTTCTACCAGTCCAAAGGTCAAATATCTGAGAGATTAAGAAGTGGGAGCACTCTTATATTCCTGGTGCTATATAACCATCGTGGAGTTTATGTACTTTAATTTCAACCTGAAGGCTTGCCCCCCACTAGGTAAGTATCTATTTACTCAAGCATCTGGAAGAGTCTTGGGGTCATTCCTTATCAAAGATACCATAAGCTGGTTAACAACACGCTACACTAGAATATGAAACATAACAAAGCTGTTACTGCTGGCCTCCGTGATTCCAATGTTAGTAGCTCGGCCCTGCCATGACTGCCGTCGTGGATTCGAATGCCCCGAGAGGACACCCGTGTTCAAAAGCTAGCACTATCCTAGACCATCTAGCTTAGCAGCCCAGATACCGTTTCTCTATCCAGCGCGCCTCAAAGTCAGGCACTACAGCGCAAACCACAACTTTCACCCCTGGGAACACCTTTGTCAACCTATTAAGACCAATTCTTCCAGCAGAATACGTGACGAAAACTATCCTGTCTTCTGGAACACCATGGTCCACAAGCACCTGTACAGCCATTAAGGCTGCTCCTCCACTCGACATCTGAGGATCCAAGAGGAGCACACCGTCATGACTCCGAATATCCTGTGGTAGCTTGAGGTAATGTAGCTCTGGCTCTCCAGTGCGAACGTTGGACTGGATGAGGAGTCGGCCGGTGCGGCAGTCTGGCAAGACACGCTTCAATCCCGTCTCAAGAATAGAGCCTGCCCGAAGAATGACCACGGCGCTGGTCTCTCCGATTGGACTTAAACCGCAGTACTTGCCACCTGTTGGTGTCTCGACGATTTTATCATTGAAATAGATATTGTTCATAGCACTTTGAAATGTTAGTTGTAAACAGCAACGTTATCTCGACTATATTCTGAACCTACTGTTCAATGAGCAAGGTAGTCAAGCGGTCGAAGTAAAAGATAAAGTCCTCATTCGAGGTATCGATGTCTTGCATAATCGTGCTCATAGCTCGGACTTGTGGTGTTTGTTCAAGAAGCATGATCTTGTCGGAAAAGGTATCATCCTCGGCACTTTGTCCCAATTTCTTGAGCGCGGCTCGATGTGTCTTGGACTTTTCGACGAGCTTACGCTCAATATATTGTATCACCATTACTAGAACTAGTCAGCTAAGAGGGCCAAGAGATGGCTGGGTTACTCACCTATGGCTACTTTGTTTTGAACCCCTCTGGGCACGATTATGTCTAACAATTAGCATCAAATTTGATACTACACGGGACATTAGCTTACCTGCAACTTTCCTCTGAGGTTCAACATATCGTTCAAAATTTGGTTTAACAAATGCGAACCACTGCTTGATACAACCATCGATATCCCTACCGCGTTCTTCAACATCTCTGAGAACTTAAGTCAGAGGTTAGCTGGGTAGGATAATCACAGATATAACAAGCCGTACTTCTTCGAGAGAGACAAGTGTCTGCGTCTGCTTCGCAGAAGATCTGGATGACCACATTACAATTAGATGGATGAATTGAGTGGGAAGTAAGGGCCAAGTACCTTCATATCGAGAAGGTCAAGAACTCTCGGATCGTACAATGCAAAGATTCCCTCCAGTATGAGAACATGTGGCGAGTAAATTGAAGTGGTTTCTTTTTGCCGTGCATGTTCTGCGAAGGAGTAAACTGGGATCTCAGCCCTCTTCCTAGAGTAAGAAGTTAATTACCGGTAGACATGCGTGTATTCATGAGCTGCAGAGTAGTATAGCAACATACCCAGCCTTCAGGTCACGTAAACAGTCGATAAGAACATCAAAGTCTATGGCGTCTGGCGAATCAAAATCGTACTCGTTTCTGAACGCCATTCTCAACCCCTCGTCATCCAGAGTCTTATAGAACGAGTCCTATTAAATCCCAGTTTTAGCCACCATATAACGTGTGGTGGCTCGAAACAATTACCATTGAGAGAATTACGACCCATGGAAGATTCAATTGGGACACAATCGCATGTGAGAGCGTAGATTTACCTGAGCCTGAGCTCCCAGCAATGCCGATAATACAGACATCGGCCCATGGTGGCGAGTATGGAGGCCGCTCGCTCGAGCTTGCAGCCATGGCCCAGTATGGATGAGAAAGGTGACCGAAACGAAACTGTAGGACGAAGCTTGGGCGTCTTTAAGCTGGCCTGGATAGATCTTCAAGGTGTTTGATTCACGTGCATTAACGTGTTAACGCTCGAGAGATATAGCATAGGCAGAAGTTAGAGAAGCCATAGTCGATTTGTAATGAAGATAAGGTGAAGCTTTTCGGAGGTAGATGTAGATGCTCTCAAGAGGTGCACCTACAACTTAGCAGTTATCTCAAAATACAGTTCAGGGGAGCTTCAGTCCGGCCTCAGCTCGCCCGCCTGAACCTCGGAACTCCAGGCTTACTGTACAGCACATTAAGCGAGCCAGCCCAAACCCCCTCGGTACTAGCCCCAAGTCCTCGCTTCTTCCTGATAGATCTCTGCTTTTCTTTCACCTCCACATCCACTTCGCTGCCTTTTTCCTTTTGCTCCTCGTCCTTCACCGCATCTCCATCTCTACCGCCCTCTGCTGCGGTGAATGCCCAGTCATCAGTGTTGGTGCAGGACATTCCAGCTCCCTCGCCAATCCGGCCCATCCTACATGGAGATTGGGCGGTAAATCTTGACTGCAAGAATGGTCTGTCTCAACTCCTGGCTGCCATGGACTGTCTTGAGCTGACGCATACAAGACGTCGTCGACGGCTTCTACCGCAACTCCCCTCCGGCATGCCTTTGATAGACGTGCCGAGGAGGTCAAGCCTCTGAAGAGGTACGTTCAATGCTCCTACTTGTATATCGAGCTTCCCTGGGCGCCGGTCTCGGGGTATTGATCAACCGACCGGCCCATGCGCACTCTTATATGATGACTTTCATCAACTGGGAATCTCTCCTACAAAAATTAAGCATGCGGAGAACATATAACAAGTTGTTTTCTGATTGAGTGCGCATGGCGGACCTCGTCAGGCCTTTATTTGTGTCTACCATACGATTAGGCAAATATGCTGACCCCGCCGTCTCTCTTAGTGACATCAACGCTCTCATACTTGACTATCTTACAACCGAAGGCTACCCGTCAGCTGCTGCTAAGTTCTCGAAAGAAGCGAATCTTCGGCCACAGCAGGAGGAAGAGTCTGTGAGGGCACGTCGACAGATCCAACATTCTATTCATCTTGGAAGCATTCAAGAAGCTATCGATGAGCTGAATGATCTGGAGCCTCATGTTAGTTCTAACACCCTTCTCTATCTTCCTTATTGTCCATTTTGCTATGATTAGACACGAGTTTCATGCACCACTCATATAGCCTTCGGGTCGGTGATGAGAAATATACCATTTTTTTTAGTATGAGCAATTTATCACTTCATTATTTTACCGAGGAATCATGTTATTCTTGGCGCATATACTGACTTGAATCATAGGTGCTTGATGGCAATCCTTCGTTGCATTTTGCACTTCTTCGACTGCAACTCGTTGAGCTTATTCGAGTTTGCAACTCCACCCCGGGAGCCGATATCACACCAGCGTTGTCTTTTGCAACCAAAGAGTTGGCACCTCGAGCTCCGACAAACCCAGAGTTCTTGGAAGATTTGGAGAGAACTATGGCCCTCCTTGTCTTCCCACAGGAAAGCCTAGAACCTCAATTAGCTGCTATTCTGCACCCTGACCTACGAAGAACCGTAGCAGATCGGGTCAACAAGGCTATTCTGAGTTGTCAAAACCAGCGGCGAGACGCTGCCATCAGAAACCTCGTGCGACTGCGTGCTTGGGCCGAAAACACTGCACGAGATTCCAAGAAGGACCTTCCGGCCCGCATTGAGCTAGGCTTAGATGCCAGAAATGACGGTCGTGGGGACAGCCCTATGATTAGCTGATGATATTATGATAGCGGGGAGTTGAATGTATTATACGTTCTCGCAGACCAGTATTGGTGCTGGCGCCTAAAGAATTTGCTGTTTTCCCTCGGGGCTGGAAGGAGTTTATGGATTGGCATGGCTCCAAGTTGAAATGAATTATAGGCGTTGGGTCTGGGGGGGTTGGTTGGCGTCCACGGGATACCATTGCATTCGGCGATTGTGGCCTTGTTTAAGGACGGACTCCATGGAGTAACTTGCGCGGCAAGAGAGCGACATCTTTGATTTTAAAGTGCTGCTTGAGCAGCGTTCTCTCGCTTTGTTAGGCCTCGTAATATAATTACTGAACCTCAACCTCAAACCTCAAACCTGTGATAAATACATATTGTTTCGTGTACGTTATCTTTGTTTGCCCCACAAGAGTGGACCGAGTTTTCTTGTCAGCGGCACGGCGACCCCTGAAGGCTTTTCTTCCAAGGCCACTGGCGCGACTTAATTCCGTCACTCCCGTCGCGCCGTCACTACCGTCATCCGCCAGGAACACCTTTCGCTGGCCGACAAAATACTTCTCCCAACTTACCCAATTGCAAGTATAACTGATCTGCTTGTGGTGAATCGTGTCCCAATGTCACCCTGGCGCTCTTTATATACGGTCTACAGCCTGCAAGAACGACATTGAACAACTAGCAATCAAGCAAGCAGTTGGGAGCAATGCTGTCGCGACAGGCCGTTGCGCGCCTTTCTCCGCGGACGAGCAGTGCACAGCTCATATTCAGGCGGGGATCTCAGAGATATGATGCTGTGGCATCCAAGCGGATAAACTTGGTGGATAGGAACTTCTCTGCTCGACGATTATACTCTTCGAATACTCGTGGACCCTTATTCCGCCCACTGGCCCCTTGGGCGCTCTTGAGAGCGCCCCGTCCCCAGCCAAATATCCGATTTCTATCTGGCAAGTCCCTTCCACAAGGGCGACTATGGATCCTCAACTTCGCCTACCGATCTGCCGCATGGTTTGGGGGGACAATAGTTATTCTGGGAGCCGGGGTGGTAGCTTTCTTCCTCTACGATGCGTCGACATACCGCGAAACCTCGTCCTATCAAGATATCCATGTTGCAGAGAACGCACTCAGTCCTATAAGAGGAGGCCCGAAGAACCTGCCTATATACGATATACAGATAGATGACGACGACACTGCTGAAATGCAAACACAAAAAGACAAGCCCAAGTTGGTTATTCTTGGAGGTGGATGGGGAGGTGTTGCGCTACTCAAAACATTGGATCCAGACGCATACCATGTCACCTTGGTTTCACCGACCAACTACTTCCTTTTCACACCAATGCTGCCCTCCGCCACGGTTGGGACGTTGGAACTCCGCTCGTTGATAGAGCCGATTAGACGTATTGTTTCGAGGGTCAAGGGCCATTTCATAAGGGCAAAGGCAGAAACTATCGAGTACTCTGAGAAATTGGTGGAAATGTCACAGATGGATTATAACGGAAATGAGGTTCGGTTTTACTTGCCCTACGACAAGCTTGTTATCAGTGTGGGATCAACTACCAACCCTCATGGAGTCAAGGGTTTGGACAATTGCCACTTTTTGAAAGATATAGAGGACGCACACACGATCCAGAATCATATTCTGACCAATTTAGAGAATGCTTGCCTGCCGACAACATCGGATGAGGAGAGAAAGCGGTTGCTTTCGTTCGTTATTTGCGGTGGCGGCCCAACTGGAGTTGAATTCGCTGCTGAGCTCTTTGATCTGCTCAACGAAGACATTACCAGATGGTTTCCCAAGATTCTGAGGAATGAAGTATCTGTCCACTTAATTCAGAGTAGAGGGCATATTTTAAATACATACGACGAAGCTGTCTCGAAATACGCGGAAGATCACTTCTCTCGCGATCAGGTCGCGGTTCTCACCAACTCGAGGGTGAAGGAAGTCACGCCTCGCTCCATCCTTTTCACTCAGAAGGACGACAATGGGGAACCCGTTATAAAGGAGCTTCCAATGGGGTTCTGCCTGTGGTCTACAGGCGTGTCACAGACTGAGTTCTGCCAAAAGGTTTCAGCTGCCCTGGGATCTGCCCAAACGAACCGTCATGCTCTCGAAACAGATACTCATTTACGACTTAATGGGACGCCCTTAGGAGACGTATATGCTATTGGGGACTGTTCAACCGTGCAAAACAACGTTGCAGATCACCTTGTGACATTTCTCCGAACAATAGCATGGGAGAAGGGCCAAGACCCAGAGACAGTACACCTCACGTTCGGCGAATGGCGCGCGGTCGCCCAGAGAGTGAGGAAACGATTCCCTCAGGCAGCGGACCACTTGAAACGTCTAGATAGGCTATTTTTTGACTACGACAAGGATGAATCAGGCACCCTTGAATTTAGTGAACTGCGAGAGCTGTTGATGCAAATTGATAGCAAACTAACATCCTTGCCCGCGACGGCTCAACGAGCACACCAGCAGGGCCGATACCTTGGGCATAAATTTAACAAGATGGCGAAAGCGGCGCCGGGCATGAAAGCCAATGATATCATTCATGGAGATCTAGATGAGACTGTCTTCAAAGCGTTCGAATACAATCATCTAGGAAGCCTGGCATATATTGGGAACTCGGCCGTCTTTGACCTCGGTGGTGGCTGGAGTGTTATGGGAGGGCTGTGGGCCGTTTATGCTTGGAGAAGCGTGTATTTTGCGCAGAGCGTCAGTCTAAGGACGAGGATCTTGCTCGCTATGGATTGGGCTAAGAGGACTTTATTTGGACGAGGTGAGTTTGCTCTTTGCCGTTTACCTTGATAGACGAAGCGCTAATAATGTATAGACTTGATCAGTTGGTAGTGACCGAAGGGTTGGTCGATATGATATTACTCTACCCTGGGGGAGATGTATGGTTTGTATAACGTATATTGTCTTGGGGAGGTCCCATATTTCAGATAAGATGAAAGATAGATGAGGAGACTTTGTATTCAAATCATGATAGAGCGAGAACAGTCCTTTATATTTGGCTTTCCTTTACTTCGTCAAACATGATACACCTATATAGAACGACTGATCATTCTAAAATTAAAAGTGTGCGGGTAGCTTACTGGCCTTATTCTTGCCTATATTTGCTCATGGTGTACCTTATATCGGAAATCAAGCTATTTTTCTATCCTGATATCCCTGCCGGGCCTTGGCTTGCTCTATCGCTTCCTTCGAATATGCTAGTAGTTCAAGGAGTCACTTCTTCTTTTCGAGCAAGACTAACCAGGCGGCTCTAGTAAGGGAAAGCCCCCCCTCGGGCATCTAGCTCCTAGCGGGGTCGCCAGGAACTGACTGCCCGGCGCAAATGTTGCTTGCAATATGGGACATTAAATCAGTACCACATGCTGATGAGTTCCTCGCTGACCGCACTGGGCGTCAATACACCTGACTCGGTGATCAACGCTGATACAAGCGCTGGCGGCTGTAACCGAATTAGCATTGACTTGAAGTTCCTGAGAAGATCTACTTACTGTGTAATCCACGGCATCCACCGCGGTATTCGGCTTTGTCGGCGAACTGCTGAAATATTCCGGTGCTTCCGCGCTCTTCGGTGTAATATCCGTAAAGTCCACGGGCTCTGTCGAGCCCGGCTCATCCTCCGTCCGAAATTCGATAACCTCTTGGTCAATGCCAAGGTCATACTGTCCTAGAGGATAAAGCCTTACAAATTTATGACTCTCGGCTGCAACATAGAAAGGCTTGCCAGCTGCCTTTGCCAGAAGCGCGAGCTGATAGGTGCCTAGTCTGGAGATGATCCCGCCGTTCTCAACGACTCCCTCTGCGCCCACGATCACTAGATCGACCTTGCCCATTGCATACCCCACGGCGCCTTCCGGAATCGTGGCGACAGGCACGCCTCTGGCCCGCAAGTCTGATACAGCTCTTTTGCTCTCCGAGACCCGGTCACCGTTTAAAACGTAAATAACTCTGAATCTGACGTTCCCTCCACTGGCGCTCGCCTCAGCCGCTTTGCTTAACAGCGCGCCCACAACTCTTGATCCGCCATGCGTAAGAACGACGCTTGCATCCCTCACAAAATGCCTTCCATAGTTCGCTATCCTCTCCCTGGCGGCTTTCGCCCTGCTGACAAATAATCTGCCGTTGCTCAACAGATGTTGTCTGACGGTCTCGAAGTTGCCTGTACTAGTCGGCTTCAAGGACGATATCATGTATCTTTGGAACAGATCTGTCCCAGCTGAGAGTGAAATCGAATTGGTGACGCGCGACTTGAGATATTCGGATTGTGTTTTGACCAGATCTAGGGTTTCGAATACGGTCACTGCGCGAGAGTGTACCAGGAGCTCGATCAGAGCTTCAATAGCTGCAACCGGCATGGTGAGTTCGGGGTCTTCGGCCAGCAGGCGCTGGTAAGTTTCCACGATACTGGGAGGGGGGACTGAGTCAGTAATTGAACCCGGGACTAGGGAGAAGGAGGGTATATCTGTATTTACTCAAATGGTTTAGATTTGCCATCCCGAGGAACAACGTCGCCCACAGTCGACATTCTGTCCAGCACTGGAGGTTGACCTGCTAACGGTGGTGGGGAGGTGCTGCCTTGGTATAAGAGTTGGCCTTTATGATTTTATTTTTGCCAAACCACGACACTACCTCGCTACTCTGTGGCCCACGATGATGGCACCAAGTTATAGCAGTAGTTGTTAGAGCTATCTCTTATTTGTTCTCTGGATATGAAGGCCTGGAACTGGTGGAGTAGGGAGTAGGGTGGAATGGCGAGAGTGACGAAGATGAGGCCTCAGAAAGCTTTGGGATGGAGTACAACATCTACATCTCAGTCTCTGGCATTGGTGGGGCAGTACTCTAGATCGACAATAAATACTACGCTCACAGCCTAACATTTATAAAGACCGACACCGCCTTCAGTATCCCGGGTAAACACCTTCTCAATTCTGGCTCCATTCACCCCATTGACAACGTTAAAGTCACGCAACAGTGCCGCGGGGAAGCTTACACGTTTGGAGTTCAGGGTCATTGTTTTCAAACTTCATCAACCTCAACCTCGATCTGGGTAACCATGATCGTCGAGAAATAAAGTGTTTCTCTCATTCCCTACCTGCGCCTGGCCCTGCCTCCGCCATGGAACCATCCATTGACCCTTCCACTGGCAGCCCCCTTCCCGCAGACGCCATCCAAAGAATCCTCTTCATTGCGCCCACGGTGCACGTATATAACATACCGCCTCTTACCAGTACAAAGGGCTACGTCGCTGCCTCATGGACCGCCGACAACAACAAGCGTCAGATTTTCAGCGCGCGATTACGAGTTCTTGAAACGGCCATTCCGAAGCCGAATAATGACAATGAGGAGACAGTGAAGACAGATATATTGCTTGAGGATCCAAGCAATGGGCAGTTATTCGCAGCAGCCCCGTACACCATACCAGCGGTGGTTGAGCAGGTCTTAGATTCGTCGAGATTCTTCGCCCTAAGGGTTCAGGGTGAAGGAGGAAGGAAAGCGGTTCTAGGAATTGGGTTCGAGGAGAGGAGCGACGCTTTTGATTTCAGCGTCGCCCTGCAGGAAGCGAGAAAGGCTTTAGGAATTGATGCTAGTAGCGATGGGGGAGCTGGAGGCAAGAAAGCCTCCAAGGCGAAGGAGAAAGTTCCAGAGAAGAAAGACTTCAGCTTGAAGGAGGGGGAAACCATCACGGTGAATATTGGAGGGCGAGGCAGGAGGAATCCTCCCAAGAAAGAGGGCTCGGGAGAGGCCTCGGGCAGTTTCCAGTTACCACCTCCTCCTCAAGGAGGCTCGTTCCTGCCTCCACCACCAAGCGCCCAAGAAGTCAAGGCCCAGAAGAGACTCAGCCAGAATAGCGCCCCCCCAGCACCTGGCTCCATGGAAGATTTAGGGTTTGATGACGGTGAATTTGGAGAGTTTCAATAGAATTGAGACAATGATATCTTCATCACCAGTCCATCTATTATACATGATGTGTTATCAAGACGGCTGCGAATTGAAATGGTTCAGACTCGACATTTGCAGCGTATTCCGAGCTACACAAGATACATCACTCCCCAACGCAAACTTTTAATAGACACCGAACCAGTTGTGTTATCTACTTCTGACGATCACATCATGACATCAGAATGTAAGGAGTGGCTGCTTTCATAGCCGCCAATCTCTTCCCCCTTCTCCTTGTCCGTGAGAGCCCATATCATCGAAAGCCCTGGGATTGCAGGTAAGCTATTCCTTTTAGCTACCGCCAATTCCATCGGGGAAGGACTGGTGAAGGAAGCATCCAGCATGGCAGAGTCCAGAGACGATGATCTAGGTGTTGTTAGAAGCACTGGAACAAGATCGCTTTGCGTCATACCATCGTCTAAACATTGCCCGGTGGGACAAATATTGTTCATATTTAACCCTCCTTGGGGCACAGCGGCTTTCCCCTGAGCATTCACCTGGTAGTCAGACCGGTACTCAGATTGTGATTCCTTGGACGGCCACTGTACCGAATCCCACTGCATCTGATACCCACGAGGTCGAAATTCTGGTGATGTTGGGTCTAAATTCAACTGCTGCATATTATTGCACATCTGAAAAGGCGTGTCGGGAACCTTGTTCTGTTGAAGCCGCTCATTCTCGTTCTGAAGCCATGCTTCCATGGACTGTATGTCAGATGTCAATTGCCCAAGGCGAGTCAGCATGGCATTTTCTTGCTGGTTCGTTTCATTGAGACGGTGCTTCAACCAGCCTAACTGCTTGTTGGCTTTTCTCTCTGCGTATGGTGCCTTCCGGTGTAGGCCACCCTCCAAAGCCGATATCCTTTCCAGGAGCACAGTCGCCTTTGAATTTTCTCGTCGAAGAGAATTCAAAATATAAGCTCGCTCAGCATGACGCTCCTGCATCCGCCGCGGCGGAACAACCGGGGCCTCCTGTTGATCATGATGGGCGCTTGTGGGTTGTGGCGTGAAGTAACCAGGATTCGGGATAGGTAGCGGGGGATATGACACTCTGTCAAGCGTTCCATAAGTTAACGGTTAGATAGAGTAATTATCGAGAATTTTGGCCCTTTTTCTCACCTGGACGGACCGGCCGCTGGAGGACTTTGCCGATCGTGAGCGCTCCACGAAAAGCTCATTGGTAAAATCTGTCAGGATAGAAAACCCTGTCTATCCCATTAATTCGTAGCCTGATCCTTGAAGTTTTATAGCTCAAAAATGCAAATCAGTCATAGATGTTTAATACCAGACTGGATGAAGCAAAGCCGTTCTTCCAAGGAATTATCTGTGGTCCGGTCCTGTAGCTAAAACGGAACATCACTCAAAGGAAACCTACCAACATCGGTACTGGTTGGGGCATGAGGGGCTTGCATTTCTTTCCCATCTCATACATGATAAATTGTTATCATTCCAGTTACGACAAAGCCGTGCATGCCTCACGCCTAGTTTGAATAAGGGGAGGCGCTGTGGAATTATAAGCGGAGGGCGAACAAAGCCTGCGGGCAACTAACAGTTCCTGGTTCGTTGCGGAAAGTTGGACATCCAACTAAATTGTGGGTTATAACTCGGAGGGGGTAGAGAAAAGCTCCGTTGGTTGAAACGGCTAAAGGTCGGCTGGTTGAAACTTTGAAAACTGACATTTTTCAACCTGCGGAGCTTTTCTCTACCCCCTCCGAGCTGTAACCCCCGGCGCAGCGTCATCAAGGCTGGGAACACCAGTGATACGAGTATTGGCTAAAACTCACCTTAAATTTAAGACATCTCTTGAGCGTTTTCTTGTTTAATTTATTTGAAATTTGTTGTATAATAAAATTATCTGAAGGATAGTATCTAGTTATGACAAATGTAAAGAAATCGTATCCATATATGTTGGAGTTCTTAGACTCGAATAAACAAAACTCCTATGCCAGGTGCCATACAACCAAAGAAAAACAAATCAATCTTGCCATGTGTGAACGCCGTATCCTAAACGCCGTATCCTAAAAGCAAGTGGCTAACCCCTATTCTAAGGGTTGTAATACAAAGGAAAATATAAATGAGTGTTCAAGCTTTCTCCCCTTGTATCTCCAAGGAAGACATGTAATAAAACACTATCCCAAAATTTGCTTTGCCGTTCCAACCTGTGGAGAGAGCAATTCGACCTGTCCCTCTATAGTTGGGAATCGGACAAGGTCTTCCACGCTGACACTAAAGCTCTTCGCCCTCAATAGGACTGCCAGCTGTGCAACGTTTACAACATCACCGCCCAATTCGAAGATCGAAGATTCCAATTTGATCTCTGAAGGGCTCTCCAAAACCTCGCTCCATGCTCCCTTCAAGACCGTCTGGAGTGCCGCTGCCTCTTTAGGCTCGAGCGACTCAAATGTGCGTGAGCTTGCAACGGATCCAGGGGATTTAGGTGCGAGCGGAATGACTTGCTTCTGCTGAGTGATAGCAGATGGATTAGGCAGAGGAGCGTTCGGGTTCGAGGAAAAGCTCATCGTGTATTCGCATAACATTTCGAGTAGCTCCTCGGCGAGTTCTGAAGGAATGTTGTGTGAGTAATTGAGACTGATTTCCATTGAACCATCCTCAAGGGGCGTGGAGACGATAGAAACGTCCACTAGGTCGAGATCGGTTCCCATGAATCCAGGTTCGTAGGTGGTGCCATCAAGTTTGATCGGCTCGTTGGGGCCAATGTTTTGATGCTGCACAATGCTGCTGAAGTATGTCCATTTCGGCCAGCTTGTGCATTTTTTGAATATATCACGGTAACCCATCGATTCGAAAGGTGTGCTGAGAAGCTGCTGGCTTTGCACATGCTTTAGAAGGTCGATTATCTTCCAGTCTGACTGCAAGGTGACTCTGACTGGTACAATGTTCAGGCAAGGACCGACAATATCCTCGACCCCGTCGATAGGCAAGCTTCGACCGTTAACAGTATTTCCGAAAACAACGTCTGGCTTGGACGACAAATTTGCAAGGGTAAGAGACCACGCAGCTTTGACGGTTGTTGCAAATGTCAGTCCTGGGGTGGAAAGAGCTGCGGGCCGAATGGCCCTCGTCAGCGTTGCGACCTTATCTGATGGTTTGCGCAGCTCAGGCGCTTGGCGAGAAACAAGACTTGTCATGCTGGAACCCGCAAGAAGTTTCGTCCAGTGATTCTTCGTGGCCGCCTTCGCGCTGACTACGTTAGACAGGAAGGCATAGCGAGAGAACCCAGGTGCTTGTGGCATAGATTGTTCTTTGAAAGCAGCCATAAGAGTCTCCCAGATACCAGATATAGATACACCGTCATACTGCGCATGTGACAGGCGCATGGTGATGCGGTGCTTCGAAGAGGACAGTTGCTTGATAACGGTGAACTGGATTAAAGGCTGCTCGAGGGGAATGTCGCGGTTGAAACTGTCTTCGTAGAGGCGTTGGGCGAAAACGTCGATATCGCCATCCGTTTCATAGACCGAGAACTTAGGGGCGAGTGATTCAAGAACGACTTGCAAGAATCTGCCTTCATGAAGGATAAAAACAGTGCGAAGGATTTCGAGGCTCTGGACAAGCTTGAAGCAACTTCGTCGGACTCGTTCAATATCGACTGGTCCATTGCCGTCGAAGTAGAAGTGGTTCAACATCCAGCGAGAATCTGTTAGGCCTCCAACTAGGGCTATATCTTGAGATGTAGTTGTAGGTAGGACATCCACGATGTTATTCTTTTCAACAACAGCCTTCTCGGATACCTTTTGGAGGAAGGCACCCAAGTTGGCATTCCCAACAATCGAGAAGGGCTTGTAGGGCGAAATATCTCTGGCTGGGGCACCCGTAACGAGAGAGCGGTTTGTAGTGATAAAGGTAGCTGCATCTACAATTCTCGGGTGTTCGAAAATGTCAACGATGGTCATTGAGATACCGGCTGATCTCAAGCGGCCGACAAGTTTCATTGCGGAAATAGAATCGCCTCCAAGTTGGAAGAAGTTGTCGGTGGCTCCGATCGAGTCTTGTGGAGTGCCTAAGACGCTGGCCCAGAGACTGGAAAGCTGCTTCTCTAGCGCGGTCGAAGGCGCCTTCTTTTCGGCATCGACAAGGGCATAGCTTCGGAATGATGCATTGTTGAGGCCGTTGACCAATTGCCGGAGCACCAATCGATTCAATTTGAAAGAGGTATTGATCGGCATCCCCCTCAGCGGAATGAAGAGAGAGGGAATCATGAACGAAGGTATCGAGCGGAGAAGATCGGATCGTAAATCAACAAACATGTTCTGTGTGGTATCGCTCAAGCTGAGAGCGAGCTCGTCTGCGGTCCACTCCGATGATACGTTATCTGGATGATAGAAGAAGGCGACTAGAATCTTCTTGTCGTTTTGGGATGCTAGGTTAATAGCATCGACAGTAATGTCCAAACGGTCGAGTCGAGACCTAATATGATGCTCGATTTCCTGGGTTTCCAGCCGTTGTCCGTTAAACTTCACCTGGTTGTCTCTGCGTCCACAAAACTCGACTGTTCCATCAAAATTATACTTGGCCATATCGCCAGTTCTGTAAAGTCGACGATTTCCTCCGATTTGAGGGTAATTCTGCATCCAAAGAGGATTCTCGATAAAGGCCGCCCTAGTTTTCCCAGCATCGTTTAGGTAGCCTCGTGCCAAGCTAGGCCCCTCAATCAACATCTCTCCCACACCTCCAACAGGGACCAGCTTTTGAGGATCCTCTTTTTCAGTAATCCACACCCTCAACCCACTTCCTGTTCCAATGTTCGTTGGGCTTGTGGTTGCGAGTACGTTTGATTGGATGCAGCAATAGACTGAAGCTTCGGCAGGACCGTATGCATTCACAAACTCAACCTTTCCTCCCCACGTCGATACATTGCCCTCAGTCGGACTTTCGCCACAAAGAGTTAGAGTTTTCAAGCTCGGGACTTCCGAAGGCTGAAATAGACCAGCCACAGTTGCAGTCAGGCAGGCCCAGTTGGCGTCTAGGTTGTTGATGGCCTGGACCAGATTATTCGTCCTGTCAGTATCGGAAATAACGCATACCGTCCCACCAACAATGAGAGTTGAGAAGATATCGGCCATACTGATGTCGAAAGTGTAGGCTGCAAATTGTAACACCCGGGAGCTTGAATTCAGCTTTATCATCTTGGAATGGTGGCGAGCACTTGTAACGAAAGCCTTGTGCTCGATGACAACCCCTTTGGGCTTGCCCGTGCTTCCAGAAGTGAAAACGACATATACTGGAGATCTGGGGCTCACGAAGAGCTTCCCTATCGTAGGCACTGGTCCAAATCGAACTACGAGGCTTGAATCAACGGGTAAGACGGAATCAGCGAGATCTTTGACGATTGCAGCCTCTTTTAGTCCAGCTAGGATAACATTTGCCCCGGTCTCCTCGACGATTTCCCTGAGACGTGCAACTGGGTGCTCCGGATTTAGCATGACAATTGCAGCTCCGGCTTTCAAGACTGCTAACATGGCAACGATAGCCCAGGCTGATTTGTTGAAGCACAACGGGACGTATGAGTTCTGTTGTACTCCAATGCTCCGAAGATGGCTGCTGATGAGGGTTGATAGGGAATCCAATTGGCCGTACGTGAAATCCCCGTCCCATGAGCGTATAGCTTGCTTGGATGGGTTAAGCTCGGCCTGAGTTTTGAACAAGTCGTGTACGCAAGCCTCACATGTTTCGACGGGAGGGCCAACCCACTCCATAAGTTGGTGAATGTCGTTTTCGCTGAACAGAGACATCTCGTTAAGTTGCGAAGACGGATTAAGCAGCAAGTTCCGGGCAGCGACTTCAAAGTGCGTCAGCAACCAGGAGACTTCCCCTTCATCGATCACAGCCTCATCAAATCGGACGAGAAGTTCAACAGGACCGGAATCTGAGACGTGGCATTCGAGAAGAAGAGCGTAAGTTTCGAAGTCATCGTGTGATGTTGGGATTATTTCCATGCCTAGTGGACCTGCAACACCCGCTGCCAAGGCTGGCTGAATAAGGAACAAGTTTCCAGATCCCGATCCTGCGTCGACACCCGGCAGACGACGGATGTTTTGAACGCCTGCTTGTTCGAATGGCATCATCTCTATTGATTGCAGTTGAATATCGGACAGAAACTCCTCTGCCTTCTTGGTCCTGTCAATACGGACACGGAATGGCACTGTACATAGCGTGGGGCCGATCATAGTGTCGATATTCTCCACGGGAGCACTGCGACCTGACAAGACATGATCAAAAATCACGTCATCCGAATCACTATATTGACTTAGAACCATTGACCATGCGGCTTTTAACAAGGTTGTCAGGGTGAACGTAGAGCCGGTTCTTGGAAGCTCAAGCTTGCGGGATTGCACCTTAGTAGGCTTTGGCTCAAATGTAGGAGATAGCAGTCGAGGAAAGCTTGTCGGAGTTCCTCCAGAGAGTTGATTTTGCCAGAATTTGTTTGAAGCGGCAACATCGGTATTTTCAAGGAATTGAATGAACTTGTTGTATTGGGTAACATCAGGTAGACTGGCAACACCATGTGTATATGCCAACTCAATACCTTCGATTAACGAAGAGTCACTCCATCCATCATATACCGAGTGATGGGCGGTGTAGACGAAGAAGGAGTCAGACTGGCTGTCCCTACCATTTATGAGGCAATATCGAATCAAGGGTGTTCCGTAGGTCATTGGCGTCTCGAGGTCTTTTGCCGTGTATTCCTCTAATGTAGGCGAAGACTGCCATTCTGGCCCATCTTTTACCACGACCTGGAATGTTCGGGAAGCAGTTTGGACAATGCGAGTTCGGAGAATAGACTGGGTACGGCCCACATGCTCCCATGTGTCTCTGAAGCGATTCAAGTCAATACTATCAGGCAAACGATAGATTGTTCGAGAAATATAGGAGAGTTCGCGTCGAGCTGTCAGAGCCATCAGCCCTTCTTGAAGGGGAGTGCAAGGGTAAATGTCTTCGACGTCCTCATCGCTGACGCCGCATTGTCTTGCGGCATCACTTCGTAAAGTTGCAATATCGCATTTCTTGGGGAGTAGTGAATAAGGTTGTAGCGTGTTGGGAGCAAAGTTTGTTGGAGGCTGGAACGAACGGCCCGGATTTGTTTGAGGTTGGGACGAAAGTCCAGGATTTGTTCGAGGCTGGGACGGAAGCCCAGGATTTGTTTGAGGTTGGGACGAAATCCCGAGGCCGTTTGTCGTCTTCTCCGTTGCTCCTCTTTTGACGTTCGAGACAGAGTACGAGGCAAGCGCTTCACCAGATAATTGATTTCCCATTTGGCGAAGTGTCTTTCGGTCAAGCTTTGCGGAGGTTGACAGAGGCATATATGACACAGGAATGAACATAGCCGGTATCATGTAGGCTGGCAAGACAGACTGGAGCTTGGATAGCAACTCTGCAAGCATGGCCTGCAGGCTATCCTGTGAAGGTAAAATAAGATTGTCGGTTCCTACAGCAGTTGAATTGCCCTGGCAAAAGAAGGCTGTAAGAGACTTGTTCTTCCCTCGCGATTCTGGAGTAAGAACCTCCACGGCAACTTGGTACGTGCTATCTGGGAGGGCTAACTTGACTTGATGTTCGATTTCTCCAAGTTCAATTCGCTGGCCGTAAAGCTTTACTTGGTTATCTCGTCGGCCAATAAAGCTGATAGTCGAGTCTGCGTTATACTGAACTAAGTCTCCAGTCTTGTAGAACTTTTTAAGGTCTCCGGGCATATCCTTTGCCCAAGGAACATCGCGAACGAATGAAGCTGCTGTCTTCTCGGGATCATTTAAGTATTCTCTTGCGACAATGGGTCCTTCAATCAAAAGTTCCCCAATTGACCCAATTGGAGCGAGGCGGTTGTGATTTTGAGGGTCAACAATCCAAAGCGTACATCCAAAGCCTTTGCCAACATTAGAGAAATCCCTTGTCTCCGCCAAACGGGTGTTGCAAGATGTTGCGACTGTGCATTCACTTGGACCGTAGCTGTTAACCAATTTAACATGGTCAGCCCAGAGTTCGACAACTTCCTTGGTGATTGATTCCCCACTGAGCACAAGTGTCTCCATCGTTGGTATGATGCTTGGGTCGAGGAGGACAGCAACAGTCGGGGTAAGGTCTGCCCAGTTGACTCGCATCCTTGCCATAGCACCAGAAACATCGTTCATTCTGTCGAAGTCGGAGGGCACACAGACTGTTCCGCCGAGCATCAGGGTGGAGAGAATTTCCTCAATGCTGTTATCAAAGGTATAGGAGGCAAACTGGAAAGTACGTGTGTGTGTTCCCATGCCTGTTTGCTCACCGTGAGCTAGCAAGCCAGTGCAGACAGACCTATGCTCTAGAACAATCCCCTTTGGCTTCCCTGTACTGCCGGAGGTAAATTGTACCAAGACAGCGCTTGAGGGCGGCACTATAGCGGGCGCGATATTTTCGACTGGGAGATTTTGGATAAAAGCCTCGTCCATGAGAATGACCCCTGAACTTGGGAGCACCGAAGCGAAGGCCGTGGCTGAGTGCGAATCGCACAATACCATGTTGGATCCCAAATCGTTGATGAGGCCCCGTTGCCGATCAACAGGACTTTCGGGATTAAGCAAGACAAAAGTTCCTCCACTCTTCATGATACCAAACATAGCCACAATAACCCATGCCGACTTCTTATAGCAAATAGGAATTTTGTCCTCAAGCTTCACTCCTCGACTGACCAAAAATTGGCTGAGGCGGGTTGCCATGTCATTGAGCAGGGCATATGTGAAGTTGCCATCGAAGGACTCAACAGCAGATGCGTTGGGCTGTTTGAGTGCTTGCTCTTCGAAAAAGCTATGGACACAGGCCTCCAAAGCACGCGGCCTCTCGGTATTCCACTCTGCAATACGCTGGAGATCCTGGGCGGTAATGGTTTCGATCTGATCGACCGTCATAGCGGAATTCATGTCGAGATCGTTTAGTTGATGGACGATGAGCTCGAATTGATTCATTATCCCCTCGATATGCTCTGCCGGGAGAACGTTCCTGTCCCAAGCAACTTGGACTTCCACAGAATTTTCACCCAAGTTGCATTCTAGGACAAGGGCATAGGCATAAGGACTTTTCACATCAACATCCTTTCGAGTCAAGCCCAGGAAATCGGATGGGTAGCCATGTTTGGGAGTAGGCCGAATGACGAGAAGATTTTTGAAGTCGACGGCATCTTTGGCTTCCTTGCTGACACGCTGAATATTTTTCAAGCCTGTGTGCTCGTAGGGAATCATAGCAACCGCCTGGCTGTTGACTTGTCGGAGGAAGTCTGAGACGGATTTGGAGCGATCCAAGCTAATTTGAACTGGAACTGTGGAGACAGTAGGCCCCATAACTTGCATGCTACCCTCGAGATTTGCGTAACGGCCAGGGAGAGTAGCACCGAATACAACATCTTCAGAGTTTCCATGTACGGAGAGGACAATTGCCCAAGCTGCACGGAGGATATTGGAAAGTGGAACCTCACTGTCAATTCGAGAAGCGCGGATGGTGCGGGCTGTCCTGTTGTTTGTCCGTGGTTGATACGTAGTAGAGGGTAGTGGCGGGTATCTAGATGACTCCTCTGCGAGCTGAGCGCGCCAAAAGGACCCAACAGAGTTTGGATCAACTGCTCCAAGATAGTGGACGAATTTGTTGTAGGTGACTTCCTCTAAAACGACGCCCTCTGTGTAGATTGATGTAATCTGTTGCGCAACCAGTTGTGTGGTAAATTCATCATACACGCTATGATGTGCGGTCCAGACTATGAACCTCTTTCGGGGATTGCCAACAATGGCGTAACGAGTGAGCGGACTTCCATATGTGACCGAGATATCCTTATCTTGGTTTAGATACTGCTCGAGAGATTCGCCATTCTGCCATGATATCTTTTCTTTCAAAACGACCTGGAATAGACCGTGCTCCGTGTTGACGATCCTGGTTCTTAAAGTAGCACTAGAGGCAAAGAGAACCTCCCAGGCGCTTCGGAAGCGCGGAATATCCACATTAGAGGGGATCTCGTACACGTGTCGAGAGACGTTGGTTGACAATTTATGTGTCTCGACCGCCATCAAATCTTCTTGGAAAGGTGTGCAGGGGTATATATCCTCAATCAAATCTTTGTCGATACCGCACTGCTTGGCCACCTCCTCGGTGAGTGGTTCGACGTCGGCCTTTCCATCAACCAAGGAGAAAACATCTGGGTCTTCCGAGCCTATGATGGAAAGTTCAGTCGACTCGTTGAGCTTCCTAAACACCTTCAACATCGCTGACAATTGGGGATTTTGGAATGCGTCCGACACCGTGATAGAGTATCCTTGGGTCCGGGCTATGGTGACCATCTTCATCGCCGTGATAGAGTCACCTCCCAGACGGAAGAAGTGGTCGTTCGCTCCAATAGACTCAACCGGGACGCCAAGAGCCTGGGCCCAGATACTGGAGAGCGTCTTTCCTTTAGAGGACATAGCTGACTTCTTTGGCTTTGCTGACTCACTCAACGAGTATAGAGCGAGCTGATCCTCGGTGAAGTTGCTGCTAAGATCCTGCAACGAACGGCGGTTTAGTTTCATCGAGGAAGTTAACGGCAAGGAACCAAGCGGCACAAGCACGGTCGGGATCATGTACTGTGGAAGTACTTTCCCAAGCTCGGCCTGCATGGATTTCAAGTATTTCCGGGAAGTGTCTGAAGGCGGTAGGAGTAGCCCTTCCCCTGAAAGGTTCGGCACGGTGCTCTTGTTTTCAGAGAAGAATGCGATCAGAGTATGCTTTCCTTCCTGTGTCGCCATTGAGACGACTTCTACAGCAACTTGTTGGGATCCGGGGAGAACCATGGCGACTTGATTTTCGATTTCGCTGCAGTCGATTGCTTGACCATGTAGTTTGACCTTGGAATCCTTGCGGCCGACGAATGTTAACATCCCGTTGGAGCTGTATCGGACTAAGTCACCCGTCTTGAAAATATGAGCAGGCTCGGATTCGGAGGTTTCGTCATATTCTTCGAACCATTCTGGCTCCGTGACAAATGCAGATTCTGCTTCGGGAGTTTCAAGATAGCCTCTAGCAACAAGTGGCCCATCAATTAACAGCTCACCGACAGCGCCAACTGGGACAAGGCGATTGTGATTTGAGGGGTCGGCGATCCATAACCTTGATGCAATTCCTCTCCCAATATTCGAAGGGGAGACAGCTCCACTTCTCTTCTGCCAGGCATTTGATGTCCACAGGGAGCACTCAGATAAACCGTATGAATTAACGATCTGTACAGTTTTCCACTGCTTGGTGAGAGATGAAGTAACGGGCTCGCCACCAAGCACCAGAGTCTGGAGGCTCGGAACGTCGGATGGGTTGACAAGTTTAGCAACAGTCGGTGAAAGGAATGCCCAGTTGACGTCCATTCTGCTGATAGCGCCACTAATATCATTTGTCTTCTCATCGTCAGATGGGATACAGATACACCCTCCGTTAATCAAAGTGGTCAAGATCTCCGAGTTGCTGACGCTAGAAGTGTAGGCAGCGAATTGCAACACACTTGCTCTTTGGGTCATAGAAACAGTGGGTCCATGTCGTGTTGCCATTGTGCATATAGACCTGTGTTCTAAAATAGTGCCTCTTGGAGCGCCCGTGCTCCCTGAGGTATAAACAACCATGGCAGCATTCCTGGGAGTTGTTTTGTTTGGCGAAAAGCGTTTGGCAGGTGGCAGTTTCTTGAAGGAAGGACCATCTATGGAGATGACGTTGACTCCCATGTCCGAAAACAGTGAGGAATACTGTGGAGATGTGATGACCACGGAAGCTGCGGTACATTTGATCAGACTTTCCAAGCGGGCTCGAGTGTCATTGGGGCTGAGCATAACATAAGCTCCTCCTGCTTTGAGAACTCCCAACATTGCCACAATAGTCCAGGCAGAATTTTTGAGACAGAGAGGTACAAGAACCTCTGGTCCAACTCCGGAAGTTTTCAGTTTCTGGGCAAAGCGTACGGCGGCTTGATTCAGTTCGTGATAAGTGAAAGTTGCATCGCCTTCCCATGATTGCACGGCTGGTTCGTAGGGTTGAGCGAGAGCTTGCTCCTCAATCAACCAGTGGATGCAACTGTCGACGGGTCGTGGGCTAAGGCCACTCCACATGCTTATTTGCTCCTTGTCCTCCTCACTGACAAGGTCGAGGCTGCCTACGGTCTTGTCGTAAGACGACATTAGACATTTGATGGCAGTGCCAAACGTGTTAGCAATATTAACTGCGCGATCCTCAGGGATATGTGAAATTATATGTGTCAGGACGACTTCAATTTCAGCTCCTCCAGTGGTTATGTCCAACGAGAGAACATACTAAAAAGAATGTTAGCAAAGAAAGCCAGTATAATGGGAGATTAGAGAAACGAACCTCTGTGGGATCCATTTGGTCCACCACCTCAAAAGCTATCTTTGGCTCTGGGCCAGGAGGAGGTAGTCTCTGCAAAGATATACTGGTATTGAAGAGCGCCAGACCGGGAATTTCTAACGCGTGCTGAATTTTGGCAAGTGATGTGTGTTGATGTGGAAGTGAGTCAACATATTCGTCCTGGAGCTTGGCTAAAAGTTGGCCCACTGCGACTTCTCCTGATAAATCTAATCGGCAGACCAGGAGGTTAATGTACGGCCCAACTGCATTGTAAATATCCTCCACGGGGACATCGCGGCCTGCTGCCATATATCCAAAGCAAACATCATCTGATCCAGTATATGATTTCAATACCAGACCCCAGGCTGCTTGCATCAAGTTTCCCACGGTTATTTCGTGCTGCTCACAGAATTTCTGTAGGTCACACTCAACATCCAAATTCACAACTATTGAGTGCTGTTCATTTGACATCTCCTTAGGTGGCACATCCCGCAAGCTTGGGAAATGGCATGGCTCAATATCTGCAAGATAACCGGTCCAGAAGTCCAAAGAGGCCGACTCAGGCTGCTTCTTCAAGTACGCAATGTAGTCACTGTATAGTGGCCCTGTACCGGAAGGTAGGAGGTCTTCAAAGGCAAGCGTAAAGTCCCGCATGACAAGTGCCATTGAAGTGCCATCAATAAGCGAGTGGGATATTTCCCAATGCATATAAATGCCGTCTGTTGCCTCGCACAATGTGATGCGGTGAGGAGGACGACGCTCACTGTAGTCTGGGCTTGGCTGTTCCTCGAGGAAGGACACGACGTCTTCGCCCTCACCATCATATTGAAGGATTTGGACATCGGCCGGGAAATCTTTGAGGACAAGTTGATCATAGAAGCCTGCCCCAGATTCGTCGAATGAGTCCAAGAAGATGGTTCGAAGCAAGGCGTGGAAGTTGACCACCTTTTGCCACGCGTTTTGAATGGTTGCCGCATCAATGGGGAGTGACTGGTCATTTGAGGTAACCTTGAATATTTGGCGTACTTTGTAAGCGTCAGGTTCCCTGGCCTGGCTGATCAGAATGCCTTCTTGCATTGCAGACGCAGGATAGAGATCTTCGACGTTCGAACTGGAAACTCCGATTTCATTGAGTGTGTTAGAAAATGAGGTAAGGCCATCATAATCCATCGACATCAGAGGGAAGTCGCTCAATGTTTGTTGAGTAGATGCCTTGATGAGGAGTTGAGCGACGGATTGCAATAGTTGCTCGAATTGTGAGACCCAGCTATGGATCTTATCCATACGTTGCGTGGTGCGGTTAACGAAGAACGAAACCTTAAGTTGTCCCTTGGTTACAACAGCAGAAATATCAAACACTGCGAGGCGTCGTGCGTCTTCGCCAACAGGGCTGATAACTTCGCCATCCTGCAAAGCCTCTTGCCGGATTAGAGCACCGTCACGCTCGAGTTGCTGGTAGCGACCCATGTAGTTGAAGCATATCTCCATATCCTTGTGGTGTCTGAACGATTCGATTCCGGCTGGTGAGAAATGCCGGCAGCTGAAGTAGTCACAACCGTTGCGTGGGATCTTTCGGCGAATGTCCTTAGTTCGTCTGATGGCGTCCAGGGGATCTGATTGAGAATCGCCCGAAACGTGAATGGGGTTGAAGGTTGTGAACCAGCCAACAGTCCCCGAGGCATCGACTTGAGGGCCCCAGGCGTCTCGACCGTGGCCTTCACAGAAGATGGCAGGTGCATCGCGGTCATCGAAAGTGTTACGGAAGGACTGCTGAAGCGCAGCCAAGATGATTTCCACGGGCTCTGTTTTAAGGGACTCATTCGCAGTGCCAAAAAGCAGAGAAGTCGTCTCCTCGCTAGATGCGAAATTTATCTCTTCGACATCGTTCCAGGAAGGCATTTCAGACATTCCCCAATATTTGAGGTCTGCTGGAGGAAGCTGGACAGGAAGCGCTGTGCTGGGGATAAGATCCTTCGACCTCTCTATTTGCAAACGATTCAAGGTCTGGAAAGGCACGGGTGTCTCGATGCTCATGGACTTTGACTCAAGCAGTTCCTCAAGATTCTGGAGGATGATTCGCCAGGACACCAAGTCGATCACCAAGTGATGGGCGCAGAGCGAAATCAATTGGCCGCCATCTGCCATGTCAAAGAGATCAACCGCGAAGATTGGACCATTCTGGATATCCATGCCAGCCTGGCGATTGTTTACCACTGAGACCATTCTCTCACGGCTTGTCCTGCCATGACTCTCGAACACATGAGATCCGGAGATATCGCGACTAACAGTCTGCATCCACTGGCCAGTATTGTCTTTCTTGAAGGATGCACGCAGCATAGAATGATGCTTAACAATCGTGGTGATTGCTTGAGCAACGTCGGCGGCGTTGACATGGCGAGTGAAACGAGCGAGAACATTTTGATTGTAGTGAACCCCCTTCTTCGTTGAACCATCACGTGGAACAACATCGTTGAAGTAGAGCTGTTGGACAGGAGAAAGCTGGAAGGGAGTATCGAAATCTTCATCCTTGGAGATGGATGGACCTAGCAACGATTTTGCCCGCGATGCGAGTTCTGCCAGGGACTTGCTCTTCAAGATGTCTTCGACACTCAGTTGAATTTTCATGGTTCGGCATCGGGATACCACTTGCATAGCAGTGATCGAGTCACCTCCAAGACTGAGGAAGGATCGGTTGGCACCAATATTGTCGGCTGGGATATCCAGGATATGACTCCACACGTCAGTGAGTTGCTTCTCCATCGAGGTGGTTGGTTGCTCATTCTTGCTGGCGGTGACGTCAACAATCTCGAGGTAATCTTCTTTGCTAACTTCTCGAATCCATTTATTTATCGGCACTCTGTTGATCTTTCGCGATGCTGTGAGAGGAATGGCGTCCAAAACCATCCAGACAGTGGGCACCATATAAGGTGGAAGGAGATCAGACAGCCCATCTCGGATGTCACTGACGATGGCTTGAGCTCTTTCCTTGAAGTTGGGTTTAACAAGTGCAACAGCATCACCTTCGAGAGCTAGCGGCTCGAATTCTGTGATAGCTATAACCGCAACGAGCTTGGAGTTGCAAAGCCCGGTTTTCGGCATAGCAACCATGCCGGCTTCGATCTCAGGTCGGGCCCTAATATGGAATTCGATCTCGCCTAGCTCGATTCGCTGACCGTGGAATTTAACTTGACTATCGATACGTCCGGCAATAGTGAGGGAGCCATCGGAATTGTATCGGACTAAATCACCAGTCTTGTAAAAGCGATGAGGGCCAGAGGCGAATTGCTGCATCCACGCTGGGTTCTCGATAAAGGCGGCTTTGGTTTTCTCGGGTTCCTTTAAGTATCCTCTAGATACAACAGGACCTTCAATTAAGAGTTCTCCGACACAGCCCACAGGTGTCAGCCTGTTGTGGTCTGAACTCTCAACGACCCATAATCGACAGCCAACGCCGAATCCAATGTTAGATGGTGCGACATTTGGGCCAGGCATTGCATGGGATGTCCAGATAGTACTCTCAGCTGGTCCGTATGAGTCAATCATAGTTAAGTGTGGGGACCACCGATCAACTAAGCTTTGGGAGACTGCCTCTCCACCAAGGACAAGGGTCTTCAGGTTTGGCACATCTTTCGGATCTAACAGAGCAGCAACGGTTGGTGTCATGAAAGTCCAATCAATCTCCATGGACCTAATCACGCCAGCCAAGTTGTTTATTCTGTCATATTCAGTCGCGATGCAGATGGTTCCTCCGTGCATTAACGTGATGAATATTTCGCCAACGCTAACATCGAAGGTGTAATTGGCGAATTGAAGCACTCGGGAGCCCACTCCTCCGAATCCAAGACCCTCTCCATGCTGGGTCGCGACTGTACAGAGAGCATTATGTTGAACAATAATACCCTTTGGCTTTCCTGTACTGCCGGAAGTAAAGATAATGACAGCAGGGTTAGTTGGGGCCACTTGGAGTTGAGACAACTGGTCAGGTGCAACAGGTGGAAGATTCTTGAGGAATGTACCTTCAACGGAAGTAGCAGTCCATGGAAGAGTTTCGAAGAGATGCAGGTTCTGTGGCGCAGCAAGAAGGACATGGGAATCAATGTCCGAAAGGAGTGCTCCTAGACGGGTAACTGGATGTTCCGGATTCAACATGACACAAGCCCCGCCAGCCTTGACAACTGAGATCATGGTGACCACGGTCCAAACCGATTTATCAAAGCACATCGGAACCAGGACCTCAGGCTTGACTCCCAAAGTCGTGCGGAGGAAATAGGCCATTTTCGAGGAAAGATCATCCAACTCTTGATAGGTCACATTACCATCCCAAGATTCAACAGCCATAGCTTGGGGATGGCTCATGACTTGTTGACGGATGAGATTATGAACACACTCATCAGTCGACGTTGGGGCAACGGAGTTCCAAGCCCAGACCTGCTTCCTGTCTTGTGCACTGAAAAGGTCGATTTGGCCAAGGGTTGTGGTTGCTGATTGCTCGTTGATTTGGAGTATCACTTTCTCAAATTGATTGAGAAGCCTATAAACTTGATCGCTTGGCAGGATATTGTCGTCATAGCTGGCCTTGATATCCACCTTGTTATCCTTATAGTTACACTCCACCAACAAAGCGTAGGTGTCGAAACCAAGGGTATCAATTTTCACTTCTTCTAATCCGAGGAAGTCGACCATATCTCCAGGTTGTGGTTGAACAACGAACAGATTCTTGAAGTTAGCGGCATCCATGGCCTCCGCATTAACACGTTTGATTTTTTGCAGACCAGTATGTTGATATGGCATCATATCAATGGATTGTTTTTGAGTATCCTTGAGGTAGTTTGCAATCGTTTGCTCGGAGTCAATATGCATCTTCAGGGGAACTGTCGTGATTGTGGGGCCGAGTGTTTGTTGAATACCTGGAACAGATAGATCCCGACCAGATAATGTAAGGCCAAGGACGACGTCGTTAGACTCAGCATAGCGAGCAACAACAATTGCCCAGGCAGCACGGAGAACGATGGCCAATGTGATATCCGAATCGGACTTCGCAGAGACGTCCACCCGAAGCGTCTGAGTTTGGTTTGTACGGGGCTGGTAGGCTGCGTTTGGAAGTCTCGGGAAACTGGCTGGAGTCTCACCGGAAAGTTGTGAACGCCAGAAATTGTTGGAGTCCTCGACACTAGTATTTTCAAGATGCTTGATGAATTGGTTGAAAGGCGCTTCCGTGGGAGTTATTCCCTCGTTATAGATCAGGCCGACCTGCTCGAGTACCAAAGGCACAGACCATCCATCATACACAGCATGATGCACGGTCCAAACAAATGACAACCGTCCGGTCTTCTCATCCTTGACAAGGCCATATCGGGTCAACTCGCCACCGTAGACGATTGGGCGCTTCTTGTCCTGTGCAAGATATGCATCGAGAGACGAGGCTTCTTGCCATGAAATTTTCTGCTGATGTAGCACAACCTGAAGGAACCGAGTCGAAACAGGTGAGATGACTCTCGTCCTCAAAATAGAGTGAGTGTCAACCATCGTCTGCCACGCGTCCTTGAAAAGCTCGACATCCATGTCGGCGGGCAAGTGGAAGGCATTTTGAGCGACGTATGCTCCAAGCTGTGTGGTTGATATCGCAACAAGGGCCTCTTGAAGTGGTGTACAAGGATAGATGTCATGAATATGGGCTTTTGGAATCTGGTACTGATCCGAGACTTCGCTGAGTAGAGCATCGACGTCTGAGACATCCGAAAGAAGCTGGAAGGGAGCTGGCGCCTCGGTTGTTGTCGTTCCATCTTTAGGTTCGGAGGTTTCCAAGAACTCGGCCATCTTCGACAGCTCAGGAGATTGGAAAATATCAGCAACGCCAAGAGTAAATCCAGCAGCTCGGGCAACATTGACCAGCTTCATGGCAACGATAGAATCACCACCCAGTCTGAAGAAGTTGTCATCTGCTCCGATGGCTTCTAAATCCCTCTTTAGAACTTCTGCCCACAGTTGCTGCAGCTTACTCTCCATCTCTGTAGCTGGAGCTCTCTTATGCTGATTGGCTAAAGAATACATCTCAAATTCAGCAGTGGTGAACTTGATGGCATTCTGTCGAAGCTGGATGCGATCAACCTTGCCAGATATCGTCATCGGAACGAATCTAATCGGCACGAAGAGTGATGGGACGAAGTAGGTTGGAAGACTGTCCATCAAGGCTTTTTCGAGCTGGCGGAGTTTGAGTGTCAGATCTTGATCGAGGGGCACAACCAAATCATTCGATCTTGATTTGCCTTCCGATAAGTCTTCGATGTGGATGAAGGCAACTATGGCTTGCCCGGACGCCGGGAAGACGACTGAGTCTACAGTCACATGGATCACAGAATCTAAGTTCTGCAGGATTGCATGTTCGATTTCGCCAAGTTCGACTCTCTGACCTCGAATCTTCACCTGGGTATCTTTACGTCCGATGAACATCATATCTCCATCAGGCAGATAACGGACCAAATCGCCAGTCTTGTAGAAGCGGCGTGGTGGTGTATTGGCATCCACGGGCATCCACTTGGGATTTCCAATATAAGAGATCTTAGTTCTTTCTGGGTCGTTCAAGTATCCCCGAGTGACGAGGGGACCTTCGATTAGCATTTCTCCAATGCACCCAACAGGAGCAAGCTTGTCGGTGTTCTTGCTGTCGGTAATCCAGACTCTGGTTCCTACACCGTGACCCAAGCCGGTTGGATCACTTGCTGGGGTCAATGGATCAGTGCCCATGCTGAAAATGGTACATTCTGTGGGTCCGTAGACAATTCTCAGGGAGATATCAGCGGTCCAAGGATCGATATCCTCCGACGAGATAGCCTCCCCGCCCAATACAACTGTTTTCAGGAATGGTACAGTAGCAGGCGACAGTGTGCCCAGGACCCTTGGAGTCAAGAATGCCCAATTGACTTCCATATGGGTCATTGCTGCGGCCAAGTCGTTGGTCCGATCATGTTCGGACGGTATGCATACGCAGCCACCTCTGGAAAGCGTGGTAAAGGTATCTGAGACAGCAGCATCGAAGGCGTAAGCGGAAAATTGGATGACACGGCTTCCAGGACCAATACCCCATTCTGATCCGTGAGCTTGGATGCTTGTAATCAGAGAGCGGTGCTCGAGGACAATTCCTTTTGGCTTTCCGGTACTACCCGAAGTGAATGACACAAAGGCAGGGTTTGAAGGGTGTACCTTGGGTAGACGCGAACCTTCAACAACACCAGGGAGGCTTTGAATAAATTGACGGTCCACGATGATGGTAGAGGTGTTGATTTCTTCGAAGAGATGAGCATGCTGTGGCGCCACTATAGTGACCTTAGCATCGCAGTTCTCAATGATGGAGCTGAGACGCGACACAGGGTGAGCAGGACTCAAGCCAACTCCTGCTCCTCCGGCCTTCATGATAGCAACCATAACCACTGTTGCCCATTTTGACTTATCAAAGCAATGTGGGACAAGTATCTCAGGACCGACACCGCGGTAGGAAAGATAAAAGGCCAGACGGTTGGAAAATTGATCAAGTTCACGGTAGGTGAATTCTCCATCCCAAGAGAATACTGCAGGTGCATCAGGTTGTGCGAGGACTTGCTCGTGGAAGTAGTCGTGGACAACACCCTCAATTGCCAAAGGTTCCTGCTTGTTCCAGGTCCATACTTGACTTCGGTCACGCTCGTTAAACAGATCAAGCTCTTCGATGGTCTGGCTGCCTCTTAGCATTGCAGAAATCGCCCCGCTGAATGTGTTCGCAATGTTTGCCATTTCGCCATCAGAGATAACGGATGACCAATAACCAAGAGAGATATTCAGGTCGTTGTCACTCAGATAAGCACCAACGGCAATATCAAACTAGAAGATAAGTTAGCATAGGCCGTAAAGGCGCGGAGTAGGTTATCAAATCTTACCTCGCAAGGATCAACCTCATCAATTGCTGTAAGTGAGACAATATCCCCGCCTGCATTCGTTGCAGGTTTGTAGAAGGACATTATCGTGTTAAACAATGGCATTCCTTGCGTGTTCATGGCGTGCTGGATCTTTCCTAGTGGGGTATACTGGTGAGGATGGCCAGAGACATAATGTTCTTGTGCTAATTGGGCCATCTCGGCAGGCGTAGCTGCTTCATTGAATGCGAGATGGCAAACAACCATGGTTAGGTATACACCAACCGCACTTTCGATTCCCGGAACTGGCAAATCTCTCCCTGAGGCCATATAACCAAAGAGAACTTCATTCGATCCGGTATAGGCTCTCAGAGTTAACGCCCATGCAGTTTGCACAACGTTGGATATTGTAACACCATTTGCCTCTGAGAATCGGACAAGTTCGTCCCATTGGGAGAAGGCTACCTTCATTGATCGAGCTTGCTTTGCAGACTTCTTGTCGCCATTGTACATGGGTACAATGCAAGGTTGCATGGAACCAAGGGTGGTTTTCCAATACTCAATGGATTCGCTTTCCGGTAGCCTTTGGATGTGGGAGATGTAGTCGCCATGGAGTGGGCCTGAACCAGACGGAAGGCTACCTTCGAGGGCAAGTGCAAGATCTTGAAGTATCGCTTCCGCAGAGATACCATCAACAACTGCGTGGCTGACGTCGATCATGAGATAGGATCTGTTACCGGCCACGTTGCAAATAGTGAGTCTATGCTCAGGTTTAGATGAGCCATATGCCGGTGGGGCAAGACTCCTGAGATAAGTGGAAATACTAGAAGGAGTAGCGTCTCCATTGTACTGGACTTGGACAACTTCTGCATCGTATTGCTTCAATACGACTTGGTGGAAGACTGCATCGCCAGGGATACCAGCAATTGCATTGACAATCACAGCTCGTAGTGATTGATGTCGATCGACAACCTTCTGCCAAGCACTTCGAATGTGCTGAGCGTTCAGTATCGCAGAGTCCTGGGATTCCAACACAATAACTTTCTTAATCTCATAAGTGCCGGGAAACCTTGCCCGGGTGAGGACGATGCTCTCCTGCATAGGTGAGCAAATAAATGCGTCCTCGACTTGAGAAGTGCTGAGCAAGCCGAGTTCTGAAAGCACGTCTTGGCCGATGGTGGCGATTCTTTGAGAAGCTGAAAGCTCAGAGGAGGTGTCATACTCTTGTTGTTGAACAAGAGGAGCATCAGACAATTTTACTCGAGTAGCTAGCTCGGACAAGCCCTTACTCAAGAAAATGTCCTTAACCGCAATATCGATATGTTGATTGCGGCAGCGAGAAACCATCTTCATCGCTGATATAGAATCGCCGCCGATGCTAAGGAATGATCGATTCAAACCAATCTCGCTTGTTGGGATATTCAGCACCTCGCTCCAGATGTTTTGCAGCATTTTCTCCATATCGGAGGTAGGCGTCTCATCAACGTCCAGCGCCGCAACATCTGCGATCTCGTTATATACGTCTCCGGACACGTTTTCCAACCACTGGGTCACCGCCCGTCCATTGATTTTACCGGAAGTTGTCAGGGGAAGTGATTCGAGGATTGCCCATACAGTAGGAACCATATATTTAGTGAGGTGAAGACTGATACTCTCGCGAATCTGAGAAGCAAGGATTCTGGATTGATCCTTATACTCTTGCTTAACAAGCCTAATATCCGAGGGGTCGGATGAGGTGACGGGGAAATCGTGGAGAGAAAGAACAGCCACCAAGCGTTCTTTGCAACGACCGGTCTTAGGAAGGACAACGAGCGCGTGGCGGACGTGACTGTCAAGAGATAAATGACTTTCTATCTCTCCAAGCTCCAAGCGTTGTCCTCTCAACTTGACTTGCTTATCCTTCCGACCAATAAATTGAATTGTACCATCGCTGTTATAGCGGACGAGATCTCCAGTCTTGTAAAGTCTCATTGGCGCCAATCCAGGCAGTTTTTCGGCGAAGGTAGGAGGATCCTCAATGAATACCTCCTGGGTCTTCTCCGGGCTTTGGAAATAGCCCCTAGCAACGATTGGTCCTTGGACAATCAACTCGCCAACCGCGCCGATGGGCACAAGTGTATTGTGATCGTCAGCCTTGACAATCCAGCAAAGCGATCCCACGCCACGGCCGATATTTGCAGGATCTGTCTCAAGGCTAAGGGGCGCATTTATCGTGGCGGCAACTGATGTTTCAGTCGGCCCATAGCCATTGACCAGGTGCAGACGATCCGCCCAAACTCGAACATCGCCGGTTGAGAGCGGTTCTCCGCCTAAAGCTAGCGTCTCCAAGCCCGGAACATCTGCGGGCTCTATCAACCGTACCAAAGACGGCGTCATAAAGGTCCAGGTAATGCCAAGCTTGTTAATAACGTTTGCAATACCACCCTTCGCCATCTCATCTCCACAAGAACATACACACGCTCCAACGCTCAACGCAGTAAAGATTTCAAGCATACTGACGTCAAACGTATATGGTGTACCTTGGAAAACACGGCTTTTGTTGGTCATGTTTGAGGCCTTAACGTGAGCTGCGGCCGCAGTGAGAAAGGATTCATGCTCAATCACACAACCCTTTGGAGTCCCGGTACTCCCCGAAGTGAAGATCACATATAGGATGTTGTTTGGGGTGGCGGTAGTGACAGGTGGCTCGGCGTGGTGGGCCAAATTTATGATGTTCTCTTGGTCGACAACAAAGACCATCATCCGATCCTCCCATAGCTTCCCATACCTCTGTGATGTGAGGACCAAGGTAGCCTTCAATTTGTCCATCAACCCATTCAACCGCGCCATCGGTTGCTGGGCATCCAAGTTCACAATCGCAGCTCCTGCCTTGATCACACCGAGCATAGCTACGATCGCCCACTTCGACTTCTCGAAGCTAAGGGGAACAACATTCTCTGGGCCGACACCGAGTCCAACGAGGTGGTGAGCCAGTCTTGTGGAAAGGTTGCTGAGCATGCCGTATGAAAGTTCTCCGTCCTCGGCTACAACGGCCTGAGCTTCTGGCCGGAGTTTGGCCTGTGCTTCAATAAGATCATTGACGCGTTTGGAGATCGCCCTGGGCATCTCCTTGTTCCATCTCCAGATTTGTGCCAAGTGAGCTAGGCCAACCAAATCAATTTCTCCAACCTTGTTCAGTGGTTGCTCAACAATTTCCATCAAAGCTTGGCTGAATGTCGAAGCGACATTTTGTGCTTGTGCTGTGGGAAGAAGGGAGCTTGGGTAGGCGAGTTCGACTTCGACTCGCGATAAAGTCTCTCTGACGGTAATACACATGAAATCACCCTAAAATATGTTAGTGGCCATTACTACCGGAAAACGCCAAAGGAGTAAAACATACTTCGAGACGTTCTTCTCGGGCGGCTGTTCTAGACAACCTTTCGTCTAATTCTTGGAAAACCACAACGCTGTTGAACGCTGGGCGTCCTTCTGCTGTCATTAGCATTTGTAGCTCCGAAAGGGGCGTTCTGTGTTGTGTCGAGTAGCTCCCTTTCATCTTTTCCTCGACATTCTTTAAAGCCTCGATTGTTGAGGCTCCATCATCAAGTTCGACTTCGCAAATTCCAACTTCGATTTTTTCTTTCTGAGACTTCACCGCAATGAAGTTCACATTTTGCGTACCGATATAACTCGCAAGAACTACACTCCATGCAAATTGGAAGAGTGCCGGGGCGTCAAAATTATGTTTGGCGCAGAAGGCACGAAGCTCTCCGCTGCTGCTAAGTCGTCCGAGGTCAATCGGTGTGACATAGCGGTTCATATCTAGTCCCTTGCGGGAAGCATCTTGTTCTATAATAACACCATTGGTTAGGAGGGGGAAATAGCAGGTATCTACCTTGGTCTCATTTTGGAGATAGTTAGACTCCTCTGCGGGGATCTCGAATGCGGTGGGCTCTGTGTACTCTCCCATGACTGCGACTGTGACTTTGACAAGTAGAAGGCGGGTGAGGGGAACTTTGGTACAAGAAAAGGATAATGGTATAGAACAAAGGGGTGTTGTAGAGCCCAGAGGTTTTCGAGGAGATTGCGAGGAGAGTAATGAATGGCTCAGGTAGGAACCAAGTCTCAATGATTGCAAAGATGGCTATCTGATTGCTAAGATTCGTCCTGACTTCCAAAAGATTTTAGAGACATAGTATACCACTTAACTCTTGATCCCAGCCCTCCCATAGGGCCTACACGTGGAAAGTTCCTCCGATCTTCCGCAACTAGAAACCCTGCTTAGAGCATCGGAGGTCGAGAACAAGACATTTTGACAGCAGGGTAGGTATGCCGGGCTGCAGCCATGTGGCAACAACGTGATAGCTGATGTGATGGATAAACATAGGAGCATCATCCGTGTCCAGCACCGGGATCGATGCTCCCACTTCTCCAGACCAGGAGGATCGGGATGTCCTAGGCAGGCACGTTGCACAGAAACGAGGGAGCAGATTACATGCGGCTGGATCCAGGTCCCAGGATTCCAGATGCCATATGCACGGTGAGCTTCCATGCAGTAGTCGCTGCAGATTCCAACCCGGTTGCCAGGCTATTAACCGTATATCCCGGAGGATCCGAACCCCGAAGCTGAAGGAACAGCCCTCCAGCCCTCGTACCTTTGCACCCCGTTGCTGTAGGGGTGTTGTAAGGATGCTGTCAGGATGGTGTAGATGTTGTAGGTGGTAGTGTAACGCCGGTAAAAGGATGTGTACATGTTACATGTACCGTCAGCACAACGCGCTAGTCGAGAAACGGATCCCTGTGCTTACCTACTCACATAATCCCGGGGGTGTCTCCTCAGCCATGTTATCAAGGTACAGGGCTTCAAGGGTAACCACCGGGTACACTCTACTTCGTACAGCAGGCCGTACTCTGTATGCCTTACTGACGAAGCACAAACCGTAAGACGACATCTGTAATCATTCGTATATGGCAAAGTAGTACAGTAAGCGTCAGAATTAAAAACATACTGGTAGTAGTCATTGTCTGATTAATCGATTAAAACTACCCCAGTGGGGGAGGCCACCGGCTGGCTAAACTAAGATAAGCACGGCCAAATACATACAAAGAGGGATAGTATGCGAGCATCTATTTCCAGCAGAAGTACAAAGAAAATTATATGACTAGTAGATAGATCATGTGACTCGCATCTGAGGCTTGAAAATATGTCACATGACCGGCCGCGAATAAGCAGATTGACCCAGGAGTAAAGCGTGATCATTTACATGATGTATTATTTTCTGCATGTGGGGAAGCACCTTGAGAGGGGGGCCTGTCAATCCAGCCATAGGAGCAAATCCCAAAGCCGAGATTTTCCGAAAAGTTGTGGTTAATATTTCCCAGAAAATAACTAGGAGTCATTAATATGTCCTCTCTCGGGTTGTGTTCAATGAGGTGAGTTTCATTTCTAATAACCCCTCAACTTATTACACAATTTAATCCTTGATTATAAACTCGCTACTCAATTCAATTCAACTCGTCTTGAATAGCTAAATAAGTAGATTAATATTTTGTTCATATGCTATCCGCTCGTCACTCGCCAGCCATCTTGCTCTGAGAAGGCATGTTTCACTTGGCAAACTTCTCTAAAGACATTAATTGACTCCTCATAAAACTGCATTTCGTAGCCGAAAGTGTTTTAAGCTATTGCCAAAATTGGGATTCCAATCTTTACGTAGATATCTTATTCCTATTTCTTCGCTTCAAATAATCTCTTTAGAATCGGCCCACTACAGATTTTCAGTATCCCCCCTTAGTCCCAACTTATTTGCAGCATATAGCTCTTTCACATACTTTGCTGTATAACAATTTAAAAATGTAATAATATCAAATCATAAGACTGCCCCATTACCTAGTTAGACAGTACATTATAAAAATAACATATTGTCCAGAGGTGAAATTTAACGTTATTATTATTTTATATTAAATAAGTCTTAAGATTAAAATTCATATTTTTACATTCGAAGTATTTAGCAGTTGAATATTCTTTTAGAACGGGCCTAATAACCACAGCAAGCCATTATGTCCTGGTAGTATGCAATAATATTAAAGTGCGAAACTCCTCTTGAACTTATACTGACGTTATTAATCTTATGAGGGACATGGGGGTGAACATCACGATGGAGATAAATGAATAGATAGAAGTTCGTAACGAATGTGCATTTTAATTGTAATTAACTTGAAGGGCTGCCAATGCTATCTGAAAACAAAACAAACAATCTATTGCTGCTACAAAGGAAAATAATAATGTACAATAAATAAGGTTCTATGCATGTTTCGTTACTCCCTAAGATCTATGTTGGATAATCTCTTCCTTGGTATCTCCCACCTCACCACCTTTAACCAATCCACCCCACTACGTCTGGTTTAAACCCATATCTCTGAAGTTCCATCTCGGTCATACTACCTGCGTCATCGTCATCGTCGACTGAGGACGAAATCGCATAGCCCGGATTTGAATCCAAATACAGTCCCCGGAAGGCGCTGAAAGGAGTGTCACGGAGTTGCATCGGGTTGCCACTTTCCCTGATCTCTCCCTTGTCCATGTAAATGACTTGGTCAAAATCGAGGATGCTATCCAGGCGATGTGCGATGGCGATGACGGTGTGGTGCTCAAACTCGGTCCGGATCAGCGAGTGCACAACAGCGTCTGTTTGCGAATCCACGCTACACAAAATATGTTAGATCGCGAAAATGCGGAGTCGGGGGAGTGGGAATGACTCACCTGCTAGTAGCCTCATCAAGAACAAGAATATTTCCCTTGCGTAACATGGCGCTGGCAATACAAAGAAGCTGCTTCTGGCCATGAGAGAAGAAATCATTTGTAACGCGGGCTGAGAGACCGCCAGATTCGTGGATAGTATCCCAGAGTTGGACTTTTTTCAACGCCCCCTCAATGGCCTCATCAGGAAGTTCTCCTGTTGGATCTACGTTCAAACGGACGGATCCATCAAAGAGGTATGGGTCTTGAGGAACAACAATTAACCTGGATCGAATTTCTTGTCGTGGGAGAGTGGCAAGGTCGACTCCATCAACGTAGATGGAACCGCTATCAAGCTCTAGGATGCGGAAGAGGGTCGATACGAGAGATGACTTGCCGCTGAAAGTGACATAATTAGTATAATTCCAATAGAAGAGGGCAAGAGTGCTTACCTTCCCGTTCGACCACAGATGCCCACCTTTTTCCCTCCAGGAATCGAGAGGTTAATCGTCTTGAGGACGGGATCCGCATCAGCCCTGTGTACAGTTAGTACCGCTTCAAGAAAGACAATAGAAAGATATCGCGAGCTTACTTGTATGAAGCAACTACGTCCTTAAATTCAATACCCCCTTTGTCTGGCCAGCTGTCCGGTGGGGTGCCGGTTTCCTCGGGTAGATTTTCTGAAGGAGTCTTTGCAAAGCTTCGAACTCTGGAAACTGCCCCAATGGATGTTTCTAAAACAGTCCAATGCGTGATTAGTGCTTGAAGATTCTCACTGAATGTGACAATGTTAACTAGGGCAACGCCAATGAAACCTGCGCTGATTTGCCCCTTGGTTGATACGGCCACACCCACAAGCAAGACTGCTAATCCAGCAACCGAAAGTCCAACTACTAACTCAAGCCAACGCTGAATGCAGAATAGGAGATAGAACGGCTTTTGTGAGTCGTTGATGTGCTTGGCATTTCGAACACAATACTTTTCTACCCAACCGTAGCTTCGAATGGTCACGAGTCCGCTCAGAGATTCCAAGAAATGCGAGAAAAGTGGTGCCTTGGATTCGATATCTAGAAAACGGAGTTGTCGGGATGTCCGGAGGTAGTACCGCTGAATGAGATAAAAAGTTCCTATAGCCACTGGAACGGTGGCCGCAATGTATTTCGTTGTGGCACAAATCACGATTAATTGGGCAAGACAAGTGAGGAATGCTGCAGTGCGTTAGCCAACTATTAGCAAGTCTGGGAGTAGGTTATGTGGCTCCTACATAATACAGTGTTAAGCATCGCAATGGGCAACTCCATATCAATGAGTTGAAGGTCCTGGCTGAATCTGTTTCGGTTATATTAGTGGCATTCGACGAAGGCTGCGGATTTACACACCTGTTTACTGTATTACCGACGTCTGTAGTAGAGAAGAACGACATCGGAGCGCTACGAAGAATGTTAGCGATATTAAAGACAGCGGAGGGTAAGTCTTACTTTAGAACAGTCTTGAGTAGCTCCTCATGGAACTTCCTGGCGGCTTGGGCTACCAAATTTTTCATAAGATGCCTGTAACGGTTAGCAGTGTTCCAAACAACTGTCAGACGTGCGAGTCGGTAGGGAGAAGTGATATATATGACTCTGGAATAAAAAGGGGGAGGGTCAATGCTCACCAACACGAAGCCACGACAGAAAAAACTGCCAGCGCGGCGAGGAAATAATAAATCCCAAGCCAGTATCCTAGATTATTGTTTGGATTTATGTCATTGGATGCCGCCCATTTTTCAACCCAAACAGCTAGAAAACAGTTAGCCAAACCATCCGTAAAAATGAACTTGCGAGTTTGGTAACTGACGTTGGTAAGTGAGGCAGAATACATAAGAGCATAGAGCTAGAATGAATATAAGAGAGCGTTTGATTCCCATGACCCTAATATAGTAGAGATAGATCGTCATGTCGCCTGTACGCCTATCACCTTCTTCCCGTGGCCCCTCATGTGCCGGGTTAGCAAGCGGTGCTGGTGGTAGACCAGCATCATCCTTCTTGACTGTATCAGAATCATCATCGTGTTGGATTGCCAGGCTTTGAATATATCCTTTAGTCGAATTCAAAGTCACGAAACTACCTTGTTGGATAAGCTTTCCATCCTCTCCAATAACGATGATATGATCAGAGTATGGTAGTCGGTGAACTGTACCGTTAGCCTAGGAATGATAATGCAATACAAGAGAGCTTACTGTTATTTGTTGTTACGACCACGCTGGTGCCATTTTCCCGCCATATTCCATCGGCTCCGAGTAAGGCGTGGAATACATGATCTTCGGTAGTCGGATCTAAACCGCTCAACACATCATCAAGGATTACCGTGGGCATCTTCGAGTACACGGCTCGAGCGAGAGCCTATAAATATGGTTAGCAATCATGCACACGATAGAAGCGTATCTTGAACTGTGCGACATACTAATCTTTGCTTCTGTCCCCCACTCAATACTGCTCCTTTGCTTCCTACCATTGACTGGTCCCCGCGAGGGAAGATCTTGATATCGTGATCGAGGGCACAAGCCCGTAGAACGGTATTGTACCATTGAAGATCAAACTGGGATTCGCCGAGAATATTATTCTGCACAGTATCGTTCTTAAGCCAACAAGTCTGACTGCAATATGCAATCGTAGACGTGCTGACGCTCAAGTAACCATTATTAACCGGCGTTTCGCCCAAGAGGGTGTTTATGAACGTTGATTTCCCACATCCGACAGGCCCGACAACCATTGTCAAACTTGAACTCGGGATTTGGAACGTAAGGCCGCTGATAGCTGCTGGCTTCTCCGCTGACCACCCAGAACTCGCATCTCGGCTTTCAAAGAGAACTGACTTGCTGCTCTTTCCCTTTTCAGTCAGCTTTTCAGAGGAGCTGTCAGCACCCTCGACGAGTGTTTCGCTACTGAAAAATCCTGTATGTGCCCTTCCATCTTTCCTAGGTTCTTCCAAAAGGAACTTGTTGATTCTCTCAATAGATCCAACAGCTGTTGCCAGACCTGTCACGGCCTGAACGAGCAAGGTAATTGGTATGGCGAGGTTGTTGAATAACACGAGAGACGTAAATGCCTTTGGAGTGGTAAGGGTTTCGGTTCCATTTCGTCTGGCCAAGAGAGTATAGATAGTAAAGCAGATAACGGGGGAGATAGCTAAGTTACTAAACGCTGCCAGACTGTCAGTACATATGTTCAGAGTTTTCTAGAAGTTTTTCTCTTACAGATTCCAACCATGACGATAAGCAATTCTCTAAACTTTTGCGATTTTGTTATTTCTTCATCCCTGTGTCCTCGAATCATGGTGAATAATTTGTCTGTCAATCCTGTCATCTTTACTCCCTTCATAGTACCAAGCATCTGTGCCGTAGCGTCAACCCGGGTTTGGATTGCTTCGAGCCAAATTGCCTGTCGCGCACCCGCCAAAGACGAAATGGCGACAGCCCCTAACATACACACTATAGCAATAATTAAATCAAATCCAGGAAGGGTTGGAGAAAGAACACTTACGAATGGCCACCCCAAGTGGTGCCATACTTGCCACACCGAGTTCTCGCCACAGCAGGTAGAGGGCAAGCGGAATTTGCACAAATGATGCCCATGAATCATGGATAAATCGGAGGCCGGTTGAGATCCTCTCAATATCGGCACTCATCAACGTGACTGGGGCACTTTCCTCGATAGTTGTAGCTTCCAGTACCATTGTTTTGCTATAAATAAGCTCCACGAGGCTCCCTCTCAGCATTGCGATTACCCGAAAGACTGTATGCTGGGCCACAGCCGTCGAAATCTATTCTTAATTAGCATCCATTCACAATCTCAACTTGAAACAGGCACGTGAACTAACCGCAAGGCCGACGTATACAAAAGCGAATGCTCCTATCAAACCGTAGCCTTCATTCTTGGTGCCATTCGGGTCCGATATGAAAACCGTCGTTCTGCCCACAAGATAGGGTTGAGCAAAGAAAAATCCGATCTGGGCGAAACGAGGAATGAGGCCTGCCATGATCGGCCATTTGAAGTATTTGATGGAGGCAATCAGAAGAGCGTGTGTTGACCGTCCTTTTGAAACTTTACATACTTTTAGCATATATAGATAGAAGTAATCGACGGATAGGAAAGAATGAAAAGCCCTACCTTTTTCCCATTGAAGGTATAATCCACTCTTCCCATCAGGTGTTGTCACAAAATCATCGTCCAAAGTCATCAAATCGTCCATAGATATCAACACCTTATATCCTCGTCTAAGGAGGGGGTTCAACCACCAGAACATACTTTGGCCGATGATACCAGTGGTAGTTTCTGACGGGGCGTCCTTGTATAGGGGCTTTAATAAAACCCGCTTCCCGAGCGCTTCCAGAGATAGCAATACAACCTTGACCCCAAGGGTTATGGAGAACATAATAGAGATGGTCGCATTGCCGGTGATGTTCCACAATGTTCTGGTACGAGCAATATCAAACAAGGTAGAGAATAACAAGGAGACAATCAAAATGGAAGATGGACGAATAGAGCGCTTATGCTCAAGGTGCGAGAGGGGAACTGAAATCAGAGACACTGCAACACTCAGAGCGGCGGTTGCCAGAGTAAGTCGCGTCTTTGGTGTTGATGGCTTTGCCCAAATACCCAAGAGGATTATTTGGAAGGAAGCAAGCACCGCCGTACCAGCCTATAGACTCACAGGTCAGTGAAATTCTGATGAGTATATGTCTTCTGGGATTGTTCTTACAAGTTTGATATGGTGATGCAAGCCGCCATTGACTTTGACTGACCCCCTCGATAGGTACCGAATTCGTGGAACCGCGGCCAGGAGCAGTAGTATCATCAAAGGAACCGTGAGGATACTCTCTTCAAAGAGAAGGGTAAAGTCAAAATCGCCGTGACAGCCTTTGACCTGGGGGCCAAATACATTCTGCACTTGGATCGGGCATGCCTCTACACGAGAAGAGTTAGCTGCCATACCGTCCATGATTCCCCAGTTGACGATGGTGTTGTCGTTGTCGTTGTCGTCGTTGTTTGTTGTCGGCCAAAACGGTCCGAGCGGAGAGGAAACGAAACGAAACTGGGCTCGTAGGCAGGGCTTGAACTTGTTGCAGGACCTTGAACACCGGGCATCATAGGTATCATAGGAACCCGAGATGAAAGACAAGGCTGAAAGAAGAATTCGAGGCTGTTAGTTGCAAGTCAAGACAAGATGCCCACGCGATGAGGCTCGTAACCGCGAGGCAGGTATGGGATACCACGCTCACCGTAATTCGCAGTTCGTTCCATCTTAGTAGAAAAACGTGGCAGCCTGGTTGGAAAAGCTGCGCGAGAGTGGCGTTTCTCGGGGATGGCCATGCTTGTGTGTGCTGTACTTGCTGTTTAACCGGTGGACATGACTCCCTGGTACATCAAGCTTGCGCATATTACTGTGAATATTTAGAATCCTGCCGGAAGGTTGTAGACGGTACTTCGAATTGAGTCCAGCCTCCTGCAAAGTAAGCAAATCCCTGACGCCAGGCCACCAGGGGGTGATGCGAGGTGAGAGTAAGGTTTAGGACCCTGCTCGCCACCCCGGCTTCCCTACTTGCTCACCGTGCATGAGTCTTGCAGGGGTGGGAGGCACCCCAGACGCGGGACCGCCTGCATATGCACACCGATGGCAGGGACAGGCCTGCTGGAGGGGAGAGTGGAGCTGCGGCTGGATCATGTCGTGCTAGTAGGGTATAATTACGCTAAGATCAGGGGAACTAAAACGGTCTTTCAGCTGGGGGGTTTGGCAGGGCTGCCAGTGCGATTAGCGATTACGGGATCTATTCTTCGTACTGCGAATGCTACAATGGCGACACGTTGCGCCGACGGCTAGTGTGAGACGGAGGCCGGGGAATCGAGGTCACCGAACAAACACAAATGTAATTATAGGGTAAACAAGTGTAAGAAAATAGAGTCTTTTGTAATATGTAGCTATTCTTATAAACCGTCGTAGAATTAGGCAGTAGGTAAATAAAATTGAATAAAAGAGACGACGAATAGGAATATTTGATTTCCACTGCATTTAAAAAGGAGAGCCTGAGGGTAAAGGCTTAGTTAGTAGAGAACAGAAAATAGTGTTTTGTCTCGAGGGAAATAAAAAACGTGAGGCAAGAAACAAATTTAATCGTTGTAATAGATAGATATTGTTTTATGAACTGTTGTAGAATTAAGTACACAAGTATAATATAATTATGTCATTGTCAACGGGCAGCTACTGTCTTATACATTCCTGTAGAAATTGGGTAAACCAGTAGAATCAATTTAATCAATTTAAGCATATATCTATTCTGATATAAACTATAGTCAAATTACTTAAACAAGTAGAATCAAATTGAAATACTGTAAGCAAATAGATATTCTCTTATAACTATCGTCAAATTGGCTAAACAGGTGAAATAAATTTGGATCATTTTTAAGTTTTGACAAATAAATATATCTCATAAACTGCAGTAGAATTTGAAAGACGCTTATGCATTCCTCTAACAATGTAATATACCTAGGCACACATCTAACAAAAAGAGAAAAGAAAAACACTAATACAGCGAGACAGTATAACGAGTAATGAAATTCATATGAAATTCAGCATCTACAAGAGGTAGGCCGACTGAATTCAACCCCCTACACCAGTAATGACTGTAACCTAAATCCTATTCTTATCAAATTTGGTAAATATCAGCGAGGGACTTCTTCCCAAGTGAGTAGGCCTCCCACTATTCAAAGTGATGTTAGTAAAAGTATCATCATAAGAGCAAGAAAGAAGGGGAAGAACATACGTCATCTGCGACTTTTCTTAATAGTGGACTCCCTGTCAACGCAGCCACCTCTTTGAACGACTCCTCACTAATCTCAAACGGCTTTGCAGTCAGATTTGGGATATATCGACCACTCAACTTGCTCAAATCGAGGGTATCCTGATTGATATGGTGACGGAGCACGTTACGGAAGCTGCCAACGCCGGGCTTGAGGAAGGACGAGTGAAAGGGTACGTCGATGCCCTTGAGCGGGATGGTAGCTTTGCCGCGCGTGAGGGTTTTGACGGGCGTCTTGTATATGGCACGGATTTCATCATGTGTGATGGCCAATATCTGATGTTGGCTTGGTGTGAGGTCTTGTAGTAGAGGTTCGGAGTCGCCCGATGAGTTTGCCTCCACAATAACGTTCTTTTCCTTGATACTGTTCAGGATATTGGTGAGGCATTCAAGTGCGCGGAGCTGTACGATAGTTAGTTATGTGGTTGATAATAGTATATTAAGGGGAAACGAGAAGAGGATAATTCCATACCTCGCCAGCACAGACATATTGCAAGTTAGCAATGTTGTAGTTGACAATCTCGAGTAACCACCCAGTCTCCAAGCTGATTCTTTGGATTATGAGTTTCAAAGCCGCCTCGTTGAATCCTGCAGAAATGTAAGTATATAATGAGACAGTAATTGAAGGGGTATTTACCTTTAGTGAGTCTACTGGGATCAACCGCACACATGCTGAAATTTGAGCGGCCCAACTCATCACGCTCGACAGCAACTTGCATCGTCAAGCCACGATAGAAGACAACGGACGTAAGGCTCTCGATTGACATGATGTTTGCTACCGCACACAATCCCGAGTACTCACCAAGGGAGTGGCCAGCATAGGGGCTATTATCGGAGATCAAGCCACGATCTTGCAAGTCAAAGAAGATAGCCAACTCCATGAGCGCCAAAGCTGGTTGGGTGAACTCAGTGGAAGACAGAAGACCGGTAGCAGAGCGGTATGTATGCGATTCGGTTTCCTCGTTAATGTCCTTGAAGACCTTCTCGATGCGAGACGTCCCGTCAGGGCCAATCTGTTCATACGTCATGGACATGTAGGATTCACGAATATGTCTACCACGAGGACCACCGAAATGGACCGTCAATTCCTTGGGGTCATTTTTCACAATGTCGGTGATCTTGAAGCCTATTCTATTGTTACCTTGAGCTCACCTGTTCTAGAGATTGAGACTTACCATAATTCTCATGATAATGCTTATCAGCGTAGTCCCAGACACGCCGAGCAGCATCACTTGTAGCGTAAAGCTCCATGCCCATACCCTTTTGCTGACTTCCCTGTCCAGTAAAGATATACGCGGTATCCTCGGGCTCGATTTCAGCTTCACCAACCAGAACTACTGCATGGGTATCGACATTGCTGGCTTCGACTTTGATGATTTTCCTCCCGCTAATCATCCCGATGTGAGAGTATTGCACCTCAAGCTTGTCCCCGGGTAGCACCATAGATGTAAATGAGCACTTCCAAGTCTTGAAGAGTTTAGTGTGCGAAGCACACACCAAATGTTCTACAGTGCTTCTCGCTCGGGCACTGGTGTACATTCCATGTGTGATGGTCCCTGGGAGGTTGACATACTTGGATAGAGATCGCGAGACGTGAATGGGGTTGTAATCTCCAGATTTGACGGCATATGCCTCATTGGACGACGGCATTTCAATTACCACCGGGGCCTCTCCCGCTGGGACAGGATTTGGAAAGATGCGGCGAGGCTCCAATGTTGCTCCATGGCGTTTCAAGTAGTCTGTAACTGGGTTTCCAGTTGATCTACCAGCCATATAAGTGATTGTAGCAATCGGCGCAAGATCTTTCCTTGATGCCTTTATTCTCACATCTCCGGTGGTCTTAACGGCACTGAAGATAGTATTATCTTCGAAATGATAAGCGGATCGGAGGTTGAAGATAAGTCGTTGGCCAAGCAAGTCAAATTTTGGGTCATAGAGATGGAACCAACTCTTCGATAGTAAGATAGCCACATCCATGGGTGTTTCCAGATAGATTTCCATATCAGCTTCCTTCACGTGGGAGAAAGTATTCTCGAAGTCCTTGAAGGTTCCACGATAGAGAAATTGGCTGGTAAGCTCCATGACCTGTTTCCCGTCCCTGTGAATGTATCCTTGCACTTCTACCATCTTGCCGGAGTCTTGATTGATAATCGCGTTGATATAAGACTCTGACTTGAGATTGTCGCCTTCTCGGATTGGCTCGGCGTTAGGTACCATTCTGAATTCATTTGAGAGATGGACCAGCTTTAGGAGATCGCCTTGAATCCCCTGAGCAAACAAGGGCCGCATAAGAGATTTCCAAGCTACAACAACTGCAAAGTCCAGTGGAGCAGAGAGCTGTTTACCAAGACGCTTGCTGTAGGCATCGTCCTGATTACCAATGCAGTGTGCAAATTTAGCTATGGTATGCCCATCAACCGTAAATTCTCCGCCATCAAATCGATTGGTCGTCGGAACCGCGACTGTAGGGAGGTCTTGAGCAAACCAAAGACGATGGTAGAAATCCTTGACGCGATCTTCCCGGTCACGCATGGCCTCATGTATAGGAGCGAAACGTGCTTCAGGGTGGTAATTATAACGTAGAACAAGGCCAGTAGGCATTCCAAGGGCATTGCGATGGTCAAATATTTCCATGACAATAACATTGGCCGCTTCTGCCCTGATCTCCACCACTTTCATCTGCTCCTTGCCATCGTTTTGGAAGTTCTCCATCAAGGATATCTTTGTTTTCTCCGCGTTTTGGGTATCTTCCATCAGAACAAAAGTATCGGATGAAGGCTTGAAAATCCTTCTCACTGGATTCTCGTGGACAGTCTGGTTTTGGACGATTGACCGAGTTTTAAAGAAAGATTCTCTCCAGTCGCTGTTGCTACCTCCCAAAAAGCTAAGCCATTGATACAGATCAACGGACGCATCTTTTTCTATTTGGTAAAGTATACCACTCTCGTGCTCGGATGCCGTGACTCCATTTGGAATCAGGGACACGTTCTCGTAAAAGTTGCCAAAGCAATCAATATCGGGAACGATGTCCATCTCGTCGTTGTGGGCGATTTCCCGAGTCCTCTCGATGTAGCCGTTGTGGATGTTACCCAGTATTTGGCTAATAGGTTCATCGACAACCTTTGACCATTGAACAGCAACAGGGCCTTGCAGGATACAAACTCGCTGAACATCCTGATCCACAACTGCAGTAATATCTTCCGATTGCCATAGTGAATCTTTCTTGAAAAGCGTCTCGAATTCCTCGTCAAGAACCGGTATAAATGGAACTGGTTTCTGACCCGGTCTCTTGCAGATCATCACGAAGTGTTTCGCATCTTCATAGCCAATTAATTGCTGTGATATCTTCGCGTTTTTGTTGAAGAACTCCTGCACTTTCATCTCCGGATTGCTAAGATCGCTAATGCCTTTGAAAAATGACGACGACTTTTCACCAGACGGGAGGAATCGAGATTCGACTAGGAGCAAAAAGTCGTATAGCAGCTTCTGCCACGACTTATCTACCCATCGGCCCTCACTTGCAACATACATGAGATTGATAATGCGGAAGGTGACTTCAGAGTAGGTCATTTCCTCGAGGTCGACCACTTCTCCAGCTGAGTTTCTCCCAAACCAGGGCTTGGCGAAATCGTTGTTGAGGCGTCCGATAATATATGCCTTTTTGTTCTGGAGCCAAGCCACACGCTTAGATCTATCGATTTTGAATAGCGTATGGTCAAGTTCGTACCAAAGCTTGACACCTCTAGTCGCTAGCTTATGGATCGGCTCCCCCATTTCAGAGGTGACTGTGATGATGCCGCCAGCTTCTCCCTTGTATGTCTCCTCCCAGCGGGAATCGTCAACTCCAGGCGTATTAACAATGGCTTCCTTGACGGCAAGACTGGTTTTTGCCTCCTTGGCAACCATAACTCGACTTCCCAGTAATACACCATCAAATGGCATAGGCATCTGGTTGTACTTCTCACTCCAGGTGCCGCTCATGTAGGGGTAGGAGTCTTCGTAACCTCCAAACCCACTACCAGCCACAAGAATGATGTTTCCACAGCGCCGAAGCTGGTTGTAGGTCTGCAAAATGGGTTGATGGAAGTCCTCGTATGAATGATGGCCACCACCGCGACCTCCGGTCCATTGCATAATGATTGGGAAATTGGGGTTCTCACGGGCAATCTTGATGACTTGATGGATAGCCTCGACTGAGCCAGGCTTGAGCCCGATATGTTTAAGAGACATAGTATTGATATACTCATTCACAACCTCAACGGAAGGGACTCCGGCCCCGATAGTGAGGCCATCGATGGGAACGCCTTTGGCTCGAAGCTCGGTGAGCAATGGAATTTGCCACCGGACTGCTTGCGGAGCGGCATAGATAATGTTGCAAGTGATACCCCTCCCTGGGGTCACGCTTTTGACGATGTTGTCAATAGCGGCCGTCAAAGCAGCGGCGTTATGATAGCCACCTAGCGCAAGCTCAATATGATACCCGGCATTCATAGTGGCGGCGACAAACTCCCAGGAAACAGTCGTAGGAGTCATGCCAGCTACCATGATTGGTGGTAGGCCTAAAAGCCGGCTGAACTTGGTGTCGAGATATGATTGCCCCATCGCACTCGTGCTTAGTCGGGGCTCGTATTTCTGGCCCCAAACCTCGCCGTAGAGAAGTCGTGGGTGATCGCTATTGAAGATTTCAGACTTATATCCAACATCTCTCGAGGTTCCCTCATTTCGAGTGGCAATGATAACCCGAACACTGGCGCCGTATTTATTTTTGCTGATCATCGGCTTGATGCCAGATATGCCTCCGGGGCCAAAATCAAGGATGTGTGTGGCATCGTCCCAATCTGTAGCAGCTTGCCACCGAAGTATGTTTTCCGTAATCATGCAAACAATTTCAGGAATGATGTTGGTTACTCCTCTATAGCGGAGATCCGTTCCGTTGACGGTGCTAAAGACGGGGATGCGTAGATCGTTCCCTAGAAGAGAGACCTCCTTAACATCCACTGCAACTGAGGCGGCGACCTCACCGAGGTAGGAGCTGTGGAAAGGCGCGGTAATAGGGAGAAATCGGTTCACGATATTCGGCTTCCTCTGGCTGAAAGGTATCTTGCTCTGGCTTGCATTGGCGGGTTTCAGTCCCCGCAACAACAAGTTGAGACCATATAGAGAGAGCGGTGGCCCAGCTACTACCGTCAAAGTAGGACTATTGATTAGTGCCACTTCCACCTTCTCCCCGTTGGGGAGATGGCTGTTGGCCTTGGCGACCAACTTGTGCACCTCTTCAACAGGTAGGCCACCTATGCTGAGCATAGGTGATAGGGAGCCTTCACCATTGTCCGCTACATCGTTGGAAATTTCGGGATCTAGCGACGCAACAGCGAACTTTTCCTGACTTCGAGCGCCAATGGACTGTAGAATGCTTAGAGCATCCAGCGCCAACTTGTCAAATGACTTCCAGGAGGTCGCTGCTGCGACAGTTGCCGCAATCACAATTCCCTGAGAATGACCAGTCACGGCGTTAAGGGTCTCGTTCATTTGTCGGGGGGTATATCCCAAAACATGGCATGTGACTTTAAAATGCATGAGTTGTAAGAGTCCGATCAACGGGAAACTCAAGGGAGCCGTAACGAGGTAATCATGGTCGGGCTGTGATTCCTCGTCTAGGAGCCATTGCTCAACGTTTAGCCCCTGAGGGTAATGAGTGCGGAATCTTTCGTCGTCTGCAAGCCGATGCAAATGGTTCGAGGCTTCGCGCACAAACTGGCTGATGAGAGGCCGATAAGTCGTATGGACGTTCCGGATGTCGTCAAAATACTTCTTGTCGCTTCCCTGCCCCCCGAAGATAGCGTACACAGTAGCCTTTCCAACGTTTGCCGCCCGACACAGGGCAGATGGCACTCGTCCGCTTGATCGGCCCAAGATATTCTGAGCTTGGAAATAAGTAGAGATGATGGCGGTGCTTTCGTCGGAAGTAAGATCAAAATCTGCCACCACGGCATGTACTTCGTTGCCTTGGAGAAAGTCGTGCTCGAAGGTCTCAAAGGATAAGGCTAGTATTGTATTATAGGTATCGATATCTCTTGGATCACTCTCTGGACTCTCAATCTTCTTCGTCAGAAAGACCATAAAGTCGGCGAGGAAGGCAATAGCGGTGGAGGGCGTCTCAGCAATGGTGGATATAAATTCATCTCGGAGCGGGATGGCTATAGGGTGGAGGCGATTTGGCACCGAGAGCGGAAAAGTCATCGTCTCGTATGTTATATCGAGCTTCTCAGAAGGGGTTGATGCTGAGTTAGGCGTACAGAACCCTGAGATAGTTTCTCCCATATACACATCACTGCTGGGAGTGTTGATGTGGGAGAAATCAGTATCTGCGCGGGTAGGTGGCGATGGCCTCGAGGGGAAGCTTGGGTGTTGAGAGATGGAAAACATGATCGCCGGAGACTCTCGTAAGAGTGGTAAGACTATATCGGTCGACAGAGGTGGGTGGGTATAGGCTGCGCGGAGGTTGCTCCTAGAGCGGCGTCTTGCTCCCTTCACGCAGACTCATACAATGTCCAAAGAAGAAGATCGGCGATGACGTCAATGAGTCAATAGGTAGAGTGATATGAAGAGGAACCACTCAGAAGGTTGGAAAGTTCGCAACCATGGCGTGTCAACTGGATGGTCTGGTATCGGCAGGAATTAACAACTGAGCGGAGCGAAGGGCTAGGCAAGTATTTCGAGACAGGTTTTCGTCGTGCTTGGACCAACTCATGTAGATTTTGAATACAAGAGACCCACGTTTCGCTTAGTAGTGAAAGCCTTTAGTCGAAATAGCCTGGAGCAAAAACGTGGTCGTGGTTGAACAATGATCACTTAACATCCATCTCTATCTTTTTTCGTCTCTTACTTCGTCTCTTGCCTATCCTTGCCTCTCTTTTCCGAAAGACCTCGGTCCTAGCGGACTTTTAACGGCATGGCCGGTAGCAAAAGCGTGATTATGGATGGCGTAAGTAGTAACGGTAACTTAATTCCGCCTCTTACTCTCCTCTCTTTTGCCCCTGTCTCGCTACGCCCACCATGGTAGCGGGCCTTTTACTGCAATGGCCATGTGGAAAGGTGTGGCTGGGAGTATGGGACCCCCATAACGATTACTTGAGATCCATTTCCCCTTTCCCCCGACTGCCTCAGAGAGCCAGAACCCCCGTCTCTAAGATCACGTTAGACTGAAATCCAAATCAAGTAACCTGGATGGATAGTCATCAAATGTAGAATCGCCTTCTAAGCTTCCTTATTGAGACAGCTGTGGTGTGTAGCCTTGCATCACGCCTGCTGCATAGCCTGCGGCTCGTATCCCCGGATGCCACGCGGCCTAGACTATTTACCTCTTCCTACAGCGTGGTAGGACCTGCATTCCATAGGCTTGGGCTCAACACGCCACCGTACAGCCTGACAGGATAGAAGGAGGGGGAACGTTCGTTTCGTGTTGAAAAGAAGGATCTCTGAATAAGTGATGTCGGGGCCACAGCACGCCATGAGCGTTCCACGTGCGGCTCCTTAGCCATCCTGCCCTAGTCTCCGTGGCGCTAACCAGGGTGTTTGACAGTGCAGCCAGGATTGCAAACGCTAGCCAGGGGTTGCGCTAGGGCCAGGGTCCACCTTGCAGCCAAGGCGTTGAAACAAGCCTTGACCGGGCAGCGGCCGTAAGCAAGGACTAAGCTTTTCGCCGACGGTTGTTGTACGGCGTAGACGCACTTTGCTCACCTTGCTTAAGCGAGGCATCCCTCATATCCCTCTCCACATAACGACAAGGCCCCCCCCGTCCAATCTGCACACCCTGCTCTCCGCACCATCGCCTTACGAAGTACGTAAAGACCTAGTCCCTGGCAGCTGAATGCTTATTAGCGTCGATTCTAGGGTATTTTCGAGATTTCCTCTCCGACCACCTCTACTAGAGATTGATTGAGCCTTACTGTGGCCCGTTCACACTAAGCAAAACACCGAGGAAGAATATCACCGTCGTACTCGAGTTGCCACGAACGATGATCACCACGATGACTTCGAAGCATTTCGGCATGATTATGGTATATGTTATGTCTTAGCTTCTCGGCAATACTAAAAATAGAAGCGTGAGAAATTCTTAGGCAATGCGATGCGACCGGTCCCTTATAGATAAAATTTGTTTGTAAGGCGAGAAAAGGTTGGTAAGAAACCCTCTTATTGCGAGCGTGGGCTGAGCTAATAGCACGTGAGCATTTTTCAACAGCGATAACAAGAGCAATACCGGTACTTTTTGGAGTGGTTGCGTGATGAGCGAAATCGCTGAGGTTCCTCGATGCAAGAGCTTAAACAGCGCCGCAATTCACCCTGCACCCTCCCGGCATGCGGAACGCCCCACGACCAACTGCGACCGGTGACAGCGCAACTTCCCATGAGCCTCGCCCACCGCGCAATGATTCATGTAGACCCCGTCGAGAGACGGCGAGTGCAGAATCGAATTGCCCAGCGAGGATATCGTCAACGTCCGTTCAACCTTTTCTTTTCATCTTGATCGTTTGTTTGTGTCTTTGCGTTGAGAATAGGGCAATATCCAGCTGACCGAGAAATCTCACCAGGGCTCAAAGAGAGTCAGAAACTCCAGAAGTTAAATGCGGCCAAAGAGAGTAATGCCAGTACCGACAAGAGCGACAAAGACAGCAATACCAACAGTAGTACCAAAGACACCAAGACCAACGATACCTCAAGCACCAACACCAAGTCTACCAAGAAGGGCACCAAATCTGCCTTAGATGCAGATGCCTCCACTCCGGCCCCCAAGCGCCCCCAGAATGCCTCGACGGCTAATGAGAAGGAGGCCTGGAGCAACGGTACCGTAGACCAAAGGCAAAAGCCAGATTTACAACAACTTCAACCTCAGGAGCAACTACGCAGAACTCAACAACCTCAAACTTTTCAAGAACAACGACAAGAAGATGACCCACAACACCACCTCAATCAGCCTTCAGAAGAGCTGCAACAAGCTCACTTACAGCAAATCCAACAGCTAGTTCGCCCAGGCCCGCAAAGACTGCAAACGCAATCAGCAGGTAGCCAACATGGCTCACCCCATCTAAGTGATCGAATGTCTGTTTCTAGTCACCGGAATGCACTCCAGACTATCGAAGGGGAGAACGGTATTTATTCGCGCTATATGGGTAGCCAGAGCCCTGCCGAAGCTCCATCACTGTACATGGCTTCATCTGGTTCAAGCAGTGTGTCTCCATTTGAGACGTTTATGGACCCGGTGCTGATGGACACTTTACCATCAACTGGTCACTCTATCAACCCGCCAACCTCAATGCAGAGATCAAGTAGGAGCGGAAAAAGCAGTTCAGCAGGGAGTACTAAGGGAGAAATCGCAGACGCAATGTCTTATGTTCAAGTAAATCTCCAACTACCAACCCAACAGGCCCCTTTACAACTTCCCCAAATTTCGCTTGCTTCCTCAATTCGCTTTACTAACGTAAATAACATAGGAGCATGCAGAAGGCGCAGGGGATAATTATGGACATCATTGGTCGGAAAGTGCAACCGCGAGTCTCTACGGAGGCACAGCACTGCATCGTGCCGTCTTCTACGGCCATGAAAGGGTTGTTGAGGCGCTCCTCAAAGCAGGGGCAAATCCTGAGGTACGAAACCGCCAGGGACGAACAGCAATGCACTTGGTGGCCCAGAGTGGCCGCCACCGCTTGCTGCGTCTATTACTCGAGTATAAGGCTGACCCACAGGCGCGCACCTGTACCGGCCAAACGCCGCTGCATCTAGCAGCGCGGAATGATGAGCAGACCATGGTCAAGTCTCTTCTCCGCGCCCACGTCCATCGCCATCCTCACCAGACCCCACAAGGCTTGGGTCGCCAGCCCATTCCCGGCCGCGTTGATGTAAACGCTGCCGATTCTCGAGGTTTTACGCCCCTCCATGTTGCGAGCGAGAAGGGTCACCATGGGATGGTAAGAGTTCTCGTGGAGAACGGGGCAGATCTTGAGCAGAGGGATTTAGAGGGGTTAACGGCGCTTCACCATGCTAGCATTGCAGGTATGGAGGTGGCGGTAAAACTTTTGCTTGATATGGGCGCGGATATTTCGGGATAGGAATACCTAAACGGCGTTGGCTCGGGCGGTGGGCTTTTCTTTTGTTTTGCGTTTAGACTTACGTATCGAGGTTGGCCTGTAGAGGAGAGTGTGCGAGAATTATACCATGCCTGGAGTTTTGTACCAAAAAGAATGTATAGAATGCTAAGAGTTAGTTTGTTGAACAAGCCGAGTTTATTATTAGAGTCAGTGAAGTGAAGTTTGCAATCCATCATGGCCATTAATTGTCCATCAAATCATTCAATTCAATTCAACTCAACTCTTTGAATAACTACTTATGTATTTTCCTATTCTATTAACTCACGGATAGGACTTGAGAAAGTAGTATATTAAATGTTAAAAATAAGACACAACAGATGTACATTGGATTTGTGTATAGGAATAATTCATGAAGATCTTGGAAGCTCCGCTCTTTTATTATAGGTGAAATTTCAACACGAGACGAATTGAATATCATTCCTTCTATTATTTAACACACTCGAGTACCTACTGTATAGAATTGATAGCTTCGATCCTTTGGCTTCCGCTGACTGAACCAGAACACGTGAGGAATTTCATCTTCATTCTTTCTATTATGTAATATAAACCAGCTTCCAATAATAACGACGTAGTAGTTACTTAAGCAATTCTTATATCACGTGGAATTGCCCCTGATTTCTCGTATTTTTATGATTGGTATGCGTTGTGCTTACTTGGTGGTATCAGAAAGAACTTTAAATTGGTTTGGAATCTCGGATCAAACAGCCTCAGCTCGAGCCGCCAGGTAAAACTCGATATGGCACAAAAGGTGCAAGTTTCCGGCGTGTCCGATTGTTGTCCGATTGTTCGCCTTTGAATCCTTCGAAATGAAAATTCATATGAGGGTGCTCACCAACCGTAAATGCCAATTTTCGGCTGCAATTTCGAGCCGTGATCTATCGATTCTACTAAGACGTTTACGTGTGAGAAAAACTGCCTCAGACGTCCAAGGCGGCGCCAAGTAAAACGAACCCCGGAAAGCACTGTACATTGCACAGCGAACTATTGCGCGCGGCCGAAATTCCCTAATTCCGTCACTGGCAATGGTCCGATGGAGTATACCCGGTGAGACGAATACGTAGGTAAGACGGAGTAAGACGTGGCCGTTTAGCACACTGCGGGCTGGCTCTTTTCCCCTACAGGTGTTCCCTGCAGGGCATTACAGGGGAGTTAATAGACTTTTGAATCCTCCGCAGCCACCAACCACCACAACCGGCACATACCACGCAACCCTAGCCGCTGTAATTCGTAGTCCTTGCGGCTGAGCGCCAATCTTCGGGGCTATTCCGTAATGTCGCATCACGCTAGAACGGTCATCTGAGACAGGTTGGTATAATGCAGCTGGAGCAAATCATCACAGATGGCGCTGCACCGTGCCCCAGCGGTCGAGGCCTTTGTACTCCGTAAACCGTTGGGGTACTAGCAGCACCCCGCCACATGTTAATTTATGGAATTGCGAAGCTGTGCAGAATTACACGTCTTATTTACATAATCTGCCTGGTTGTTACCTAACCGGCAATTCAGCACAGAGTAAGCCACCAACTTAGCATCCTATGATTCCTATGATCGCACACACTTCCTCCTTTCCTTCCCACAGGAATAGAATAAGCGGAATGGAGTCAGAGAACGAGATACTGCCTTGTCCCTTAGCCCTCCGGATGCCTCATCACAACCTCTATAATACAGACTCGGTTGTAAGCCCTAGTTGATGTCTTTGAAGGGTTTAGCATCCCCGTTTTGATTACGGAGCAGCTTGCGGCCAGTGCGACGAATTATCACGAACAAGGCGTTCGGGATCGTCGATGTGCTGTGATAGGTCGTAAACCCGAAGCTTACATTTATTATTAACTGCCATTGGGAGAGGGTGAAACTGGCTGGGGAACTTGAAAGTGGAGTTGCTGATGGGCGGCGATAGAGATTTAACGTAACCATCTATCATTTTCCTTGGTGAGTACATTATTCGGTTGTCGTCACCCAATACCTTACGCGTAAGAGTGTTGGTTGGTGGGGGGTCATGCTTACTGTTTCACTCTAAGTACGTACACCATCAGCATTCCTCTGCTGGCGGCTCCTGCGACGACGTGCTCACTGATTTCCGCTTGGGCGACGGACGTGGCAGCGCTCAGGAATGGAGAGAAAGCATTGCGCGGCGTTGGACCGCAAGCACCGTTCACACACAGTTCACCTGCAGGCCGTGGTTGGGTTCCGTTGCGTCTGTCGCTTGGCGCTGTCGCTTCCCTCCGCCTTTTGATCCCCCACCGCCCAGCTACTTTTGTCATTCTGTGATTGATTGATTTAATGGCTGCCTCATTGAACTTGTCGACTTGTTTTCAGCTCTAACTTCCCGCCGCCTGTCGAAATCTTACTCCCCTGAGTAACTGAATTGCGCCGCCTTCAATATCGACTTGAAGGCTTCGGTTGTCGAACCCGTACTGTACCTGATCTCCCGAGTGCTTCGGAAGTTGCTCGTTGACCGGCAACGCTACCTATTACAGACGGGGCGTTCGTCCTGTTTGGCGCCCGTTAAGTTGGCTCGAACCATCGCAAAGCGACCCCTCCTCAACGCCCGCGATATCGTAGCCTAACGGCCCCCGCCCTCATCATGTTGTGGGAACCAATTTGCAGTGAGAATTCTCTTGCCCATATCCCGCCTCGCCCATAGAGCGGGATGGAAATCAAATGAACATGAGGCTAAGAAATAATCCCTAGATACGACGAGCGTTGATGCTCAGTTCAACTATTGCGCCCAGCCAGATCCGGCCGTCGCCTTTTCGGTGTTCTTTGGCCTAACTTTCTTCGCCCATGTCCTCCAGTCGTTCACGTTTCGTAAAGCGTTCTGCTGGGTGGTTGTCATGGCCGCGTTGTGGCAGTTTGTGGGCTTCGCATGTCGAGTCTACGCTACCAAGAACCAGACCGTGAATTCCTCGGGGGCAGCAGCGAATCTTCTCGTGTTGCTAGCCCCGCTGTGGGTGAATGCCTTTGTATACATGGTGTTTGGTAGGATAGTATTTTACTTCCTTCCAGAGCAGAAGGTTGCCGGAATCAAGGCAGTGAACATGGCTAGGTGGTTTGTATGGCTTGATATCACGTAATTATTCCCGCTCCATACATGCCCCATTCAGGCATGGTAGTCTTTTCTTTGAGGAGCGTTGACTAACACAGCGCAGTGCGTTCATTATTCAAGCCACAGGAGGTGTCTTGACCCAAAATGATGATTCAAAAATGATAAAGCTCGGTCTCCGGCTATACACGGTCGGTATTGGAGTTCAGGAGGCCTTTGTCTTGATGTTCATGGGGCTAGCTATCCGGTTTCACTGGAAGATGGCCCATGGCTTCGGCGTCATTGAGCGCGGGGACGGCTGGAAAAAACTCCTGTATACTACCTACGCCACTTTGGCTTTGATCACCGTAAGTTTTCCATATTTGCTGCTCTACTACACTCTGCTTACAACATATTCAGATCCGTATCATCTACCGGTTGTGTGAATTTGCAAGCGGGGACGTCAACAGCACCCTCTCGACCACTGAATCTTACTTCTACGCCTTGGACGCGACGCCCATGTGTGTTGCTCTTTTCCTGTGGAACATTATCCACCCGGGCTCCATCCTCCAAGGTCCCGAGTCTCTGTTTCCCAAGAAGATCAAGCTCACACGAGCTCAAAAGAGGTTTGCAAAGGAAGAGAAGAAGAACGGCAAGGCGGCCTTGAAGCTAGAGGAGCGCCCGGGGCGGACGGAGAGGAAGTCCCGTAGGCATAGGCATTCCCACCGCGAAAGTGATGGGATTGATATGACCTACCAATCGCACCGTGAAATGGTTTAGGGGCCTCTACATTAGGTTTCCCTCAACCACTTTTTGCATGGCGCTCGGAGTTGTTACGGAAGAGGCGGAAACGGAGAGCAATATAGAGGGAGAGCATTCAATGCTCATGCATGCAAGCAAAAGGCTGCAAAGTACGCTTTGAAATTGATTTGTACGTGGGGAGGGCAAGTTCTTGGGGCATATTGGTATATACAGCGACATAGAAGTTTTCGTTTTCCTTTGTCTTTTCTTATCTATCCGTTCCTTATTCATCCATTCACGGTTGTATTCTCAACAAAACATTCGAGTTTTAAACTCGACCTCCTGTGTACTCGCTCTGTTCTGATGCTGCTGGTTCGGCTCGGGCATTTACTTTCCTCCGAGGATTGGTTGGAATGGATTGGCACTCAGGACTGGACTGCAACACTGTGGATGAAATGGGGCGAGATGGGAATAGGCTCTGGAAGTTTACTCATAGCGAGGAAGGATTGTTTTTGCCGGGATTGTTCATATAAAGTTTGGTGGGCGAACAAAATTGGAAATAGATCGATGTAATTAATAGAGTAGGTTCCTTTCGGACGTAAATACATCTATCTATTTTCTTTCAACATATATCATGATCACTCATCTTACCTACAACTAAATGAGCTAAGTCGTACCATCTTATGCGAGATTCAGCTGTGCGTACATTAGAGTAAATTATTCATAGGGGATAAATGATAAATCGTAAGGGGGTAGATGATAGATCATCAAGTCCACTAAGTTGACCTTGGCAGAGTATATATGGCATACGACGCTGGTAGACGAAGTCAGCTGATATATCCACCATCGTTCTAAAATAAGTTCATCTAAAAGCTCAGGTGATATTTGGCAAGATAGCCTTTTTGAAACAGTCAGGCCTCTATACAACGTATGGGCATGGGGGTGATAAAACTCGGCACTGTCTGTTTTTCGGCGCTCGTTTGCGTGATGGGTGCGTCGGGAGTTTCGTCAGCCACTGGCTATGGTGGATGGTGAGCATCCGAGAGAGATTATTCCATTCGGTCATCGGCTGCTTCTAGTGCCGATGGCTGAAAGTTGACCTGAGCATGCCCCAGGCGTAGGCGTTCGTGTCGACAGAGAAGGGCTAGTAGCTTACGGGGGGCGTGGGCCACGGCTTATTCAGTGGGGGGCGTTGGCCACGGATTATTCAGTGGGTAGCTGGGGAAGCACAACATGGGGAATAAGTCATAACAGGCCGTATTATCACCCATGCTGCACAACGTGGTGAGCAACTGCCTCAGCCATACTAGCATGTCCCTAAAACTCGGAATGGTAGGCTGCTCGAGGCATGGAAGTGTTGAATGTACAAGGATTATGCCTGCAGGCGGCTTTGCTTACTTATTACTTATTCGGGATAGCGCCAGTTGTCGGTAAGATGCGGTACCTCCCGCCTCCCACACCCCACAGCCAGTCCACCTGCCCACCTAAGATCGCCAAGCAGCCGCCCCCCCGCCAAGCCACCCGCCCAGTCCAGCCCGCTCCAGCCCATCTCGATACGACGCAGCCTCAACGGCCGGGGTGTTGACAAAGCGCCACTACGTTCAGTAAACGCTTTTGGGTGTAAGGGAAAGTATATTGCTCCGGGCTGTTGGACCACAGGCATAGTAAGACACGAGGTAATCCTATCGGGTTTACCGGTAGCCAACAGCGCTTCTGCTGACTATCAAATTCGAATTGGCAACCTTGCCGCAGTATTGCGTTTTGACCGTGTGCTAGAAACGTGGTGAGCAGAAGGAACGCTGTCGAACGACAAACCGGTCGTTGGATGGTTCCTATATATCCAACCAGCAGAACAGAATAGGCAACGTTGATATACATCACGTGGCGAAGTTCCAAGCAATTATTGCATCCTCGATCACTGCATCTATCCTGAGACTTCTTACATAAACCAAAATTAAGGAGACTTTTGTACATAGTTGATCTTTGCTTTATTTCCCAACCAGCCAAGCTTCTTGTCCAACCATGTCGTTCCCTCCTCCCTCAGCGAAAAACGTCGGTTAGTTTTATCCTGTTATGTCCTATGGCTTTGAAGACCCCCCTTACGAGAATGTTTCTAACTCCCGCGCGCCTATAGATTGGTCCAAGTTGAGCATAGCCGTTACTGATATAGGTATGAATTAAACAGCCCCCGTTTAAAACAAAGCTTCTACTCTCACTCTTCTATCATCATTTGGTCAAGTACCACAAGATAAAAAGTGGAACTAGGTTGTTTCCAATAGGGTAGTCGCTGATAAATATTAGTAAATGGCCATGTCGAGTCGCGCTACAGCGTCGAGACCCAGAAATGGAGCGATCCCGTCTTCGTGAAAGATCCATACCTGCGAGTACACGGACTTGCACCAGCGTTCAACTATGGTGAGTGATTTATTATGAAACATCCGAATGCATAATTGATGCTAATCTAGTATATAGGGCAGCAAGCATACGAAGGGTTGAAGGGTAAGTCTGAATTCGGACCTCTCCTACCCTATCATTTTGAATTCCAAACCAACTAACTGTATTGCAGCATACCGTAGCGCCAAGAATGAAATCCTGCTTTTCCGCCCAGACTTCCACGCCCGTCGCCTCTCCCACTCCAGCACAACTGTCTCCATCCCGCCCATTCCAGAAGATCACGTCCAGCGCTGTGTCAGCTCTGCCGTGGCCAACAATGCCGCTTTCGTGCCTCCGCACTCCTCTGGTGGCGCCCTTTACATAAGGCCTGTCGTCTTTGGCACTGCACCGCACCTTGCCCTTACGTCGCCCTCTGAGTTCCTTCTCTGCGTCTATGTGCAGCCGTTTGGGACTTATCATGGTACTGCGCCGTTAGATGCGCTTATCCTCGAGGGCTACGACCGCGCTGCGCCGCGGGGCACAGGAAACGCCAAGGTTGGCGGAAACTATGCTCCGGCTATTAAATGGACAGATGCGGCGCGTGCTGAGGGGTATCCAGTGACTCTGCATCTGGACAGCCAGACTCGGACTGAGGTCGAGGAGTTCTCGACGAGTGGGTTTGTAGGCGTGAAGATCAAGGGCAAGGAGGAGAAGGTAACGCTGGTATTGCCAGATAGTAAGAACATCATCGAGAGCGTGACGTCCGATAGCGTGGTCCAGATTGCGCGGGGTTTGGGATGGGACGTCCAGATTCGAGCGGTATGTCTTTCGGTTCGGCTAGCATTTCACAGGGATACATACTGACAAGCTCAACAGATCAAATACCCTGAGCTTCCAGAGTTCAACGAGGTTCTAGCTTGTGGCACAGCTGCGGCACTCGTTCCCATCCGCTCTATTACATGCAAGTCGGCTGGTGACAAATTCCACTACGACGCCTCAACTGATGGCAAGGAGGCTGGCGACGTTTGCAAGCAGCTCTTTGACCATCTGAATGGGGTGCAGCGAGGAGATCGCGTAGACGAATGGGGTTGGACCCGTACGATTACTGAGGAGGATCTGTTGGACGTTTAATATGGCAGCTGGTAATAACGGTACAGGAGAAGAGTTAAGAAGTGCTTGATATGTGAAAATATAAAATTTCTTGAATAAATATCTGTCAGTCTGCCGGTGGTTTTACAAATATTGTGAGCTTAGTATATTAAGTAAATACTTTGTCTTCATCTCTATCCGCTACTCCAAGTACCTCATTCAGAATACACGTAAATCAATATATTAAGACTTAGTCACATGACCGATCACGTGGTCCAGGGGCTCGCTTAGCACCCACAACCCCCGTTCGTAATCTTACCTCGTTCGGGTTAAGATTCATCCGGACATTCGCTTCTACGAAGTACTCAACATCAAACATTTGCGCAAACCTCACTTTAAACATAGCTGATATACAAGCGTTTGTAACAATAGTGACTTAGTTCTTTTAACCTCTGACATAGGAGTTATGGTGTTGTACAACAACAAATAAATGTATATTTCGCCGCATTCCTTTCCGATCCTTCGGAATCCTTCCCTTTCCTTATGTTTCCTGCCATCCTTTACGCCCTTGAGCGGAATTGCACTATCGGTCCATTCTTTGCCGCTGTGATGTGATCATCAAGTTGGTATTCATTAACACGGTGCCGGCCATACTCGGCGTCGCTGTTCCCACAGCCGATGATGCCTTCAGGGCCATCGGCGAGCTTGATGTCGAAACGCGACAGCATAGTTGCCATGGTCAGCATCAGCTCAGTGTTCGCGAGGCCCTTACCCACGCAACCACGAGGGCCAATGGAGAAGGGATTGAAGGCACTCTGCGCGAGGACGACTGATGGCGCCTTCAGACTTCCAGCAGGTGGTTCGACGCACCAGCGCTCGGGACTGAAAGTGAAGGGCTCGGGGTAGTATGCGGCGTTGTGGTGAATGGCATAAATAGAGGTGCCCACATCGCACCCGCGGGGAATGAAGTGCCCGTCGATGGTAACGCCCCCTTCAAGAACTTCGCGCCACGGGGCTACGGCAGCAGGCGGCGACATGCGCATGCTCTCGTCGATACATGCGCGGAGGTATACGCATGAGTTGAGTGCCGGCCCCAAATGCACATCTTCATGTGAGGCAAAGACAGAACGCACTTCCGCAGCAGCCTTCTGGTAGCATTCGGGGTTGTGCATGAGGTAGAAAAACGAGGATGCGATCGCCGTGGAGGTCGTGTCAGAGCCAGCAACAATCATCGTCGTGCTCTCGGCTCCTATCTCAGCCATACCCAGACCCTGCTGGGTTTCCGGATCCTTCGCATCCAGCAGGAACGAGAAAACATCAGGACGTTTGATCGGTTTCGCGGCCATGCGCTCCTTGAGGAGCCCACTGACGAACGAGATGAATTTATTCCTGGCGATAATGGCCTCTGGAAAGAGGTATCGATCTAGACGACGGAACCCAATCTCGGCCGCCTGAACCAAGACGCTGGTGCGAATGTTGGAGTCTTCAATAGCTTTGATCACGAACCGATTATCCGGCTTCTCCAACAGCGCATATGACTCGCCGAAGATCACGTCGGACATGATATCGAAGGTCAGGTAATTTGCTAAAGCAGCGAAATTAACGTGGGAACAATTAGTGTCTTGACTGAGCACTACTTACACCACTTTCCCATGTTCTGGCCTTCTGACCATGGAGCGGACTTGGAGTCCATTTTCTGTGGAGCAACATCGGCCTCGACCTGGTTGCATAACTTTCGGATGTGTGTCAATATTGTGTTTTCGAACCCGCGGAGGGCAGAATCTGAGAAGCCTTGACTAATGATTCTCCGCTTCCGGCCATGTTTCTTCTTATCAACACACGTCAAAGTGTTGGGCGCTCGATGCACCATGGCATGGTAGACTTCCGACTTTTGAAAGCTCTTGCTGTATGAATAAATATCTACATTCCGACATGTCAGCAACAGGGTTGGAGAACTATCGAATAGGGAGACTGACCCTTCAATCCAGTGTTCGTGTTTATCATCAATCGATTAGGGGCATATCGAACGTAGTCTCCTACGAAATCATCAGTTGGGCTTCTCTGTCGAGCCAGCGGCAAGATTGCGTACCATATTGCTCATGGCATCTCCACATGTCAACATGGAGATCCCCTTTCCAGGCATGATAACCACCGTAAAGGTTGCTAATCTTCGCCCAAAAGGGTCCTGGGAACTTGGATAATGGATGGAAGTATAGTCGATAGATGATCGCCCCAATAACCTGGCCAACGGATAATGGTTAGCATCAAAGGTGAGATACGGAAGGTCGAATAACAAAGATGAACATCGCTTACATAAACTACTCCAGAAGCTAGCAAGCATGAGATCAAGGGCAGCAGAAGGCGCCCTCCAACTGCGCTTGTTAATCCCATCGTGTCAGATCAAGATAACGAGGTAAGGAGGTCTAAAAACGTGCCCTCAGAAAATTGGGTTTCTAGAAGTTGAGTCGGAACTGTCAAATCTCCGTGAGGAAAAGCTCGTTATTCAAGTCCGTATTTTAAGCTAATATTATCTACAGAAACAGGCCGCAATTTCACATGGTCAATGCGACTCCTTCAATCGTTTGATATCATGAATCATTCGACTTTAGCATTCCATGCGCACCGTTTATTCGGGAATTTCGGACTAGAGTGATGGTACCATTGATCCTACCAAAGCCACGAGGCACTAGGGCTGCGAGTGGAGCCTTCAGCTATTTTCAACGCATTCTGCTTATTTTCATACGATTTGCTTATTCTCATCAGCATTTCAAGGCACACGCTGAGAATATGTGCTAAAATCGAACGTTATGATTATTTAAATGGGTGATGTCTTAGCTTATGCATCAGCATATGCTTACTAGTAACCGTCGTTTTTAGCCGCGATGCTGCAAGGTAAGCGAATCAATTGGCCCGCACGTGCTGAAATAGACACGACGGTACCTTACTTACTTTAGCACTCGGAGTCGCCTTCTGCTCTGTAGTCCCTGATCGTTGAACAACGTGTGGTATCCCAATCTCACGTGGCGTCCATCCTCGACGTGCGGAAGCCATGTGTGGCCCCTGACTGCCCCTGAAAGCCTCGGACCTGCCTCAAAATGGAAGAAGCTGGGCTAATCAATATCGACACAGTGAGCCAGAAGGCTCGAGATGCCTGTCCAGGCGTTTTTGGCAGGTATCTATTAATAATAGTAAGTCATTAAATGCGTGATTCGGGAGCGACGGGGTGAAAGGCCACGCACAGATAACTGTCAACCCCTCTCTCCAAGTGGAGAGTCAACAAGCGTCGACCGATCTACTTTGATTCTTCGAAAAGCAGCCATGCATCCCCAAATCGAGCAACAACTCGCACACCTACTGTTGACCGAACTGTTAGCGTGAGTTACAACAGATAGTATGAACACTATGACGCGGTAAACTAACCCTTCTGTCTACTCATAGCCATCAGTTCGCGTCTCCAGTTAGGTGGTAAGTCATCGTTCCACTCCAAGAAATCTTGGAAATACTAAGTTGTCTGTCAACCAGGATTGAGACTCAAGATGTTTTACTCAACAAACAGCGCATTGAGCGAATCATCGAGATTGGTCCTGCGGATACCTTGGTGTCCATGGCAAAGAAAACACTTGCTTCCCGGTACCAGCAAATGGACAACGCTCGTCACATCAAGAGAAAACTTCTCTATTACGGAAAAGATGCCCAGGAAATCTGCTATGAGGGAGATCAAAAACCCGAGCAAGCTACGAAGAAGCCAACCCCGAAGAAAGCGGATACCAAGGTTGAGGCCAAGAAAGACACTCCGGCCCCACCTCCACCTCCACCAGCTGTCCCAACCCAAGCTCCTCCCCAGTCAGCACCTGCAGCCGCGAGCCACGTGGATGATATCCCAGTCTCCGCAAGGGATATTGTGATGACAATTATAGCTATGAAGTTGAAAAAGTCTTTTGAAGAAATTCCACTGACTAAGAATATCAAACAACTTGTTGGAGGTTTGTCCTACCCCAACCTTATCTTGACAATACTTCCAGCTAACCGAAATTATAGGACGATCAACACTTGAGAATGAACTTGTTGGAGATATCGGTACCGAGTTTGGCTCCACTCCAGAGAGGCCCGAAGAGCTTCCTCTTGACGAATTGTGTCTAAATATCCAAAATTCTTCTGGCTTCAGCGGCAAGATGGGTAAGACTACCACCGGACTGTTATCAAAGTTGTTCTCGCTCAAGATGCCCGGCGGATGCAGCCCCCCTGTTCTCCGATCGTATCTTAACGATCGTTGGGGGCTTCCTTCTGGTCGCCAGGATTCCATATTTCTCCGTGTCTGTGCCGCACCACCTGCGGCACGACTCGGCTCTATGACAGATGTGCATGGCCACTTCGATAATATTGTACAACAATATTCCAAGGAGACTGGCTTGAATCTCGGAGCATCACAAAGCAATGACTCCGGAAATGGCGGAAATTCTGGAGCCGCCGTGATGGTCGATAACAAAGCTCTTGAGAAAGTCACCCGCGACAGAGATCTCTTCATGAGAAAGAAGCTTGAACTCTATGCGCATACCCTTGGGGTTGATCTGCGTGCTAGTGACAAAGCAACCAATGAGGCGCAAAAGAACATCAGCACCCTGCAAGGTCAGCTCGATCTGTTCGATGCAGAACTTGGCGATGTCTTTGCCTCTGGAATTAAACCCATGTGGTCGGCGCCTAAGGTCCGCCGCTTCGACTCGCATTGGAATTGGGTTGTGCAAGAAACACTTGAGTTGTTTTACACCGTTCTTAATGGCGACTCTGAGATTAGCACCAGCGAATTGGCCAGCCGAAGCATCCGGATTGCAAACCGGTCAAATCCTAGGCTATTGGGCGTGATGCAATACTTGGTGAACAGTTCTCCTGAAACATGGGGACCCCGCTTCGAGATTGCAAAGGAGATGTTATCTCAATTAATCCGACTTTGTGAGGCGACCAAGAATCCTTGCTACATGCCCTTGTTTTCCTTCAAGGACACCTGCATCAAATCGCCAAGAACTCAAATCGACAGGCATGGGAAAGTCCAATACGATGAAGTCCCACGGTCCACTGTGGGAGACATCGCACCCGTCCACATCAAAACCAGGCAATTCTCGGGCTGGGCGAAAGACAAGAAGCTCACAAACATCCTTCTTGATCAAGCTAAAGACATCCGTCAAAAAGGCTTAACCCTGCAATCACGAAAAGTCCTTCTCACAGGAGCCAGTCCAGGATCTATTGGTTCCGAGATCCTCATTGGTCTTCTTAGCAGTAGCTGCCGAGTCATTGTCACCACAAGCAGCTACTCACCAGACGTTGTAAGGTACTACCAGGGGCTGTATGAAAATTACGGTGCTCGCGGTTCTGAGTTGGTGGTTGCACCCTTTAACCAGGGAAGCCAACAGGACTTGGAAGCTCTCGTGGCTTACATATTTGATCCGACTAACGGACTTGGCTGGGATCTTGATTACATCGTTCCATTTGCTGCTATATCCGAGGCGGGTCGTCAGATCGATGGCGTTGATTCGAAATCTGAACTCGCCCATCGGATCATGTTGACCAATACCATACGTCTTCTAGGTGCAGTGAAACAAAACAAGGAGTCAAGAGGATTTCACAGCCATCCAGCACAGGTCATACTTCCTCTATCACCGAATCATGGTGCTTTTGGCAACGATGGCTTGTATGCTGAATCCAAGATCGGACTCGAGTCACTCTTTGACAAGTGGCATTCAGAAAGTTGGGCCGCATACCTATCCATCTGTGGTGCTGTTATCGGCTGGACACGGGGCACTGGCCTCATGGCTGATAACAACGTGGTTGCCGCTGGCATCGAACGACTAGGCGTAAGGACTTTCTCGCAGTCTGAGATGGCGTATTACATCCTAGTCCTCATGAGCCGGCCCATTGCTCTTCAGTCACAACTTCAACCCCTCTACGCAGATCTTACCGGAGGTTTGGATTCCGTGAAAAATCTGAAATCTACCCTGGATACCATTCGACGGAATATTTCAGACACCAGCCACTTCAGGCGTGCTATCGCCAGCGAGGAGACTCTGGATCAAGTGGCTAACACTGTTGCCAAGGAGTTGGCTCCAACCCCTCCTCCTCAAGTATTGCCACGAGCAAACATTCCATTCGACTTCCCACAATTACCTGACGCCAAAGAACTCGACCCACTGCGCCAGAAGCTTAATGGCATGGTTGACTTGGACCGTGTGGTAGTGGTCACCGGATATTCTGAAGTCGGCCCCTGGGGTAATTCTCGCACAAGGTGGGAAATGGAAGCCTACGGCCGCTTCTCCCTTGAAGGATGCGTAGAGATGGCCTGGATTATGGGTATGATCAAACACCACAGCGGCCCACTCGAAGGAAGTCAATACAATGGCTGGGTCGACACAAAGACCCTTAAGCCAGTGCATGACTCGGAAGTCAAGGCGAAATACGAGGCGCAAATTCTCACCAGCTCGGGTATTAGGCTTATTGAGCCTGAGCTTGATGATGGATATGACCCCAAAAAGAAGCTCCTTATTCAAGAAACGCAGCTTAACGAAGACATGCCTCCTTTCTTAGCTCCAGCCGAGTTGGCTGAGCAGTTTGCACATGAGCATGGTGATAAGGTGCACCTTTCTCCAGCAGAAGATGGCTTCATGGTCTATCTAAAGAAGGGTGCTACCTTGTTCATCCCCAAGGCTATAGGTTTTGACCGAACAGTGGCCGGCCAAATACCCACTGGATGGAACGCTCGCACCTACGGAATCCCAGAAGACATTATTCAACAAGTGGATAGAACGACGCTCTTCACTCTGGTCAGTACGGCTGAGGCTCTTCTTGCCTCTGGAATTACAGACCCATACGAGCTTTACAAGCACGTCCATGTGTCAGAGGTCGGAAACTGTATCGGCTCTGGTATCGGTGGCGCGACTGCGCTAAAGAGAATGTTCCAAAATCGTTTCATGGATAAGCCGGCTGCAAATGATGTCCTCCAAGAATCATTTATTAACACTACATCTGCTTGGGTCAATATGCTTCTCTTGTCATCCTCTGGCCCTATTCGCACTCCTGTAGGCGCTTGTGCAACATCGATCGAGTCTCTGGAAACTGGCTACGAAACCATTGTCAGTGGAAAAGCAAAGATGTGCTTGGTAGGAGGCTTCGACGATATGAACGAGGTCCTTTCATATGAATTTGCAAATATGAAAGCTACAAGCAGCGCCGAAGAAGAATTCAAGAAAGGTCGCACACCTCAGGATATGTCTCGACCAGCTACTACAACTCGATCAGGTTTCATGGAGTCCCAAGGCAGCGGCGTCCAGGTTCTCACCACGGCCCGTCTCGCTGTGGATATGGGTCTTCCTATTCATGGTATTGTTGCGTATGCTAGTACGTCAAGTGACAAAATGGGGAGGTCCGTGCCAGCTCCTGGTCAAGGTATCACCACGAACGCAAGGCAAACAGCCTCAGCTAAATTTCCTTCACCGTTACTCAACATTGATTATCGACGAAAACGCTTAACTATGCGACTAAAGCAGATTCAGGAATATCGGGATACCGAGTTGGAAATCATTCAAGAGGAATTTGCAGTCTTTGGATGTAGCCGACCGTCCGATGTTACCGAGGAAATCAAGTATCGGACACAGTACATCGAAGAAGAGGCCACCAGACAAACTAGTGAAGCCTTGAATACCTGGGGGAATGAATTTTGGAAAAATAACCCCCAAATATCACCCCTAGCTGGCTCTCTGGGTGTTTGGGGCTTGACTGTCGGTATGTTTTAGCCTTCCCAACACTATGAAATAGACTAACAGATATAGATGACATTGATTTTGCTTCATTCCATGGGACATCTACAGTCATGAATGATAAAAATGAATCCGAGGTTATTCAGCAGCAGCTTTCCCACATGGGCCGCAAAGAAGGGCATCCGATATATGGTATCTTCCAGAAATACCTGACTGGTCACCCCAAGGGTGCTGCTGGAGCCTGGATGTTCAACGGCTGCCTCCAGGTTCTTGACAGCGGCATCATCCCTGGAAATCGTGCAGCGGATAACATCGATGCCAAGCTGGAGAAGAATGATCTCATCTTCTTCCCTAACCGCAGCATCCAGATGGCTGGGTTGAAAGCGTTCTCCGTGACCTCGTTTGGCTTCGGACAGAAAGGAGCCCAGGCCATCGGAATCCATCCGAAATACCTCTTGGCCGCTCTCGACGCTAAAACGTACGATGAATACAAGAAGAAGCTCGAGCAAAGGCAGAAGAAGGCCTTCACAGCATTCCATACCCACATGGCAACCAACAGCCTCTTCGCCATCAAGGAGAGCGCGCCATACGGCAAAGACCAGGAAACAGCTGTCTACCTCGACCCCAAAGCACGTGTCTCTCAAATCGAGACGCCTACGGATGGCACAGTTTACCTGTTCAAAGACGGCAAATAAAAACATTCCCTGCAAATATTTCTTTTGTTGTACCTTATTAGCGGCCACTACTTGGGCATACAAATTGCAACATAGGCGTCGGGCGTTCTAGGATTTGGGATCCTAGTCTGTTTATATTTGATTTCCAGTTCTTTTGCATTTCATGTCCATTTCAATGTATATTACTATAGCATAGACGTTATTTATTTCATTGCAAGCGTTATTTAGTTTTCTTTTATAGAACATCAATCTCAGAGTTTACATCCTCCATATACTTGAACTACACCATGTGAAATATTAAATACAGGAACTCCTAGTAAACGTGATTTTTTTGGTAAATTTTTGTGCTTATACAGACAGAACTCAATAGGATCAGGGCGACCGAAGCCCAACGAGAGCCTACTGTCCAACCACGTGGTACCTAGTATGGTGCGAGTCGTAACGGAGGGGTAATACACGTGATATGCCCCGATCCAGTAAGCTATGCGCCTTCTCTTCGGAAGGATTTGGGTGTGCTTATGGTCCGGCCATCAACGCTCATAAACTTATAAAATTCATTAGGTGGTACTTGAGTGTTTTATGTACGGGGTATTTGTTTTCGTATTTATTTCTATATAAGTCGTAATATAACCCAGCCTCTCAGCCTTCGGGCTACTTCGTAAAAATGCCTGTTCTAAGCCCGGGGATTTAGTAGTGTGTCCACTAGCCGAATCGGGGAATACCCCAGCTGATCCGGCAGAAACGGGCTTGGTCAAATATTCTAGAAGACGCGCCATAACTCCTTCGCAATCCTTTTTCCCAACATGCATCCTTCCACACGGCCGAAAGAAACCAGATCGCCAGGGCCTGAGACACCACTGGATGTACGTACTCTACTTCCCTACATGCCACCTGCTAACCCTCGTGGCTTTTTGCATTGGCATCGGCACCGCACTCCAGCAGGAGTCTTACTACAGCATCGCGCCCATGTTCCGCCGCCTTGTGCAGGGCTGTCAACCCACTATTCATCCTCTGGTTGATGTTGATCCCCCGCTCCAGTAGTAGCTGGACCACTCTCACGTGGCCGTCCGCAGACGCAACGTGGAGGGCCGTCTGACCCCGGAGATCGCATGCGTTGATATTGGCATTGGCGTTCGCGTTCAGGAGCATCCGCACTACAGTGCGATGCCCGTTCCGTGCAGCGAGATGTAATGGAACCTGGCCGTTGTTGTCGGCGTCCTGGACCATGCCTTGGACCTGAGCATGGGAGCATTTTTCCAACAGGAGGGTCAGCACAGGTTGATGCCCGCGTTTGGCGGCAAGATGGATGGCTGTCTCCCCAAGCGAGTTTTTCCCTCTGATATCCGCGCCACTGTTGAGCAGTAACTCGACGACCTTCGCATGCCCGTGATACGCGGCCTTTTGCAATGAATCTGCACCGTCAAAATCACTCGCACTGGTGCCGGGGCCGGTACTGGTTTTGCTGGGTACTGTCGACGGTTCAGATGGAAGCATATACTGCCACGCGAGATCGTGTTAGCTAGATGTCTTGGGTAAAGTGTATACAAGGGCCAGGGCATGTGGAGACTTACCCCTCGCGGATTCCAAAGCTCCTTGTCGAAATTGCCGAGCTGCTCCTCCATCGTGCTATTGCCTGGCCCAAGCTGCAAAGGATCCCAAGAAATGGAGCCATCTTGTCCGAGGGGGTCGGTCATGATTGCAACACTGTGGTGTGGTGACGTTGGGATGGGGGCAGAGGCTGACTCGGGGTCAAACAATGAAAGCGAGAGTGATGCTACCCGCCGGTCTTGAGGATTTGGCGGTATCGGGTAACCTTCCGTGTATAGTGGCGATACGGCGGCCGACGAATGGAGTTGATTATGAGGCGAAGGCATTCCTCCCGCATCTCTGGGAGGATGTTGCCAATGAGTTATGGAGGAAATGCTCGATCTCGAATCCAGTGGAGGGTTTGATAAGTTTGGACTCTGTCCGTAGTTGTTCCACTCGCCTCCTTGATTTTTTTCTGCCCATCGTCTTGGTGTTCTGCCACCTGTAGGCATGTCAGCGACGATATGTGGAAAATCATATAGCGTTCTTACGGGATTCTGGAGATGATGGGTTACGCAAGTCTCGTGTGTATCCTGGATTGTAGGCCGGATCTTGGAATGCCGGGAATTTTTCAGACGGCGGTGCGTTTGGAAAAGATGTCGCCATGGTGTAATGGCTATCGCCTGTTCCTAATGGATCCATTCTTTATATATGGGAATCGGTCTAGGAGAACGGTTGAAGAGTAACAAGGAACTTGGTTGTATTGTGATGGCTCGTCCGGAGACATTAACTCGAGTTCAGCTAGATGGAAATGTGGAAATCATGAAGAACACCGGGCTTTCCTGAACTTAAGTGCCAAAACCGGGACGAATAAGTACAGATGAACGGTTCCCGATGTTTTATAATTCCGCCCTGGGATCCGCACCAGGGTCTGCCTGCGCCTATATATAGGATTCAGCCATTTGGCTAGATTCGCCATAGCAGAGGAGTAGGTAATTAGCAGGTAAGATAATAAATCCACCCCCGACGGGTATTAAAATTGCTGTCAGCCAGTGCTTTGGGCCAATGGCCCGGCTTATTTTAAGCCACTCCAGCTACTAGCAACACACTAACAAGGGGAGGATATCGAAACACCAAAATACGAAGTAGGAAGGTTCCAAAGGTCATGTCGTGAGGGGACCGTACTTATATTTGCAATGTCGCTGTCGCCGTCTTGATGCTTGGATGGCATTGCGAGGGTGTGATCGCTTGACGGGGTTGAAAGTCTCGAGGTATGAGTGTGTCGCTTTCCCGAGATACTGAAAGCTTAACCAGCATAACCGAAGAAGTCTTCGCGCCTATGCTAATATGCTTGGAGTGTCTTGAAAAATATTCCTGTTAACTCTAAAGAGATGTCGCTATTTCCAGCAAATCTTCTCGGGTCTTGTCTTCCGGCGTTCCTCGAAGTGCGAGGCGTTTTGTCTGACAGCGAGGTGCGGCTCTCATCATCGTTTCGGGCCGCCAATCCGTGGAAATATGTCCTGTGATTTGTCAATTTAAGCCTGGATATCACCTGTTCGCTTCGAGGCCAGTAATTTGAGTCAGCTCGGAAAGGAGAGAGTTCTCCTCAATGCCTAACTGCACTAACCTTCTCATTACCAAGCGGACCAATGTGTTGAGAGAAGAATGTCTTGTAACACTCGAATGGCCTCGGTACGAAGTACGAGGTTCGCAAGACCCGATGTTGGCTGAGAAGATATTCCACGGGTGGGATGATGTTGGGTACATATATATAGGTACCCCCTTTGTTTCAGACTGGATTTGTCAAGCGATGGCTGGGACGCAGGATAGGCGACTGATAGAAGTATGTCTGTAGTCCAGCTAAGTAACACTTGCGAGAAGCAGTTGGAGCTGCAGAGGGGAAGCAGGCTCTATATCAACAAACAACGCCCCAGCCACGCGGGATGTGTCAAAGCGTGCTGAGGAATCATCACGGTCAATGGTGGCACAAGAGGATCGGAAGCAGCAGGTGATTGAGTTTAAGTTCCTGCACGGCTCGAGCAGTTATAACTGACTCTACGTTGGTATAAATGTACACAGGTCCAATGGACTCCGTGTGCTATGCTTGCAGGTTGTTCATCTTGGCCCAAGTGTTTGCAAGGCGTACGTTATCTCTGAGAGCGTAAGCATCTGGTCAAACATTGGACTGTAGTGCATTATCAGGGGTCTTCTTATCTCCTTACGTGGCTGGCTAAGACGTATTACAGCCATCAGACCCACGATCATGGCGAATCTCTGTCCTTTCCTGGTAGTGTTCTTATCGAGAACTACGTTTCTCGCCCGATACTGATTACCTGCACTGTCATGTTTGGAAACGCTTGGGCTGGCTGCATTGATCTTCGGGTGGTGCACCCGTGAGAACCCGTGGGAATCCGTCGGAACCTGGTGGTACAGGTAAAATTAAAGTCGAATCTTGGGTCAATTTAATATTGGGCTGGGCTATTTCCATATCTTGAGCATTTTGGAAAACATCATAAGTATTAGTAAGAGAAGTGTACGGGGAGGAGGGCGGGCGGCCAATCCTAAGCAGCACACTTGGAGGAAGCATGAAGTCATGTGGATGGTGAGCAGACATTTTTACTAATGTAAGCATGCAGAATCTGTTCTAGCTAACCCTATTTCTATATTGCCATTGAGTTTTGCTTACGAAGTATCTATATTGCCCTTGGATTATGCTTACGTAGCAGCGTCAAGATGCAAGGCATTATGGAACACAGTATATTCTTATGTAACAGTACCATAGATCACTCTCATATTCTTGGGGAACCGGGATATGAGCTGCCGCATGGTCCTTTACATTTTATCTGCCACAATTCGTCTAACAAATCTATAGAAGGCGCACAATTCTTTCAATAAAATCCCACTCCATCGAAATTCCCGAGAGCGTTTGCGGTGGGCAAAATGGGCAATACATGAAGTTCATCCAGACTAGCAAAGTGGCTGGCTATTCCAAAACCACGTTGTTTCTCCTCTTGCACGCGTTTCCAATCCCACTGACATTCGTCTACTAAAGTGCTTGACGGTTTTATTTGACTTCCATTCCCTTCATGTCTCACCGTGCCACCATTTATCACTCGGCTCGGTGTGGTCGACTGTCCGTTTGACGCTGTCGCTGTTGATGCTTCGTGCGCTGATCCGGGCTGTTGAGGTAACAAGTTGATGCTCTCAAAGACTTGCTCTGGTGGAATAGTCCGGCGTCCCTGCTTGAAGACGTACTTAGATATTGCCGAAGCGAATATTGCCTTGCCCACATCGTCTGAACTTCTATTTTTTCCCCTCTTTCCGGCCGAATTGATACGAGAAGGCTGGAGAGTATATCCTTGAGGCAGGACCGCGCCATTCCGCACAAAGTAGCTCACAATATAAACCCATTTCTCATCCCAAGAGAGGACCCGCGACCAGATCTGATATTTTTCATAGGGCTTAATTTCCCTCTTGAATGTGCATGACACGCCGCCAAGCGCGAGCCTCAGCTTTGCCAATGGTTCGGAAGAAGTAGCCTGGCGCTTTTCCGGAGATAAAACATCTTTGAATAGGGCACCAAAGAGATGCATTCGATTTGCATCCAAGTCGGAATAAAACGTGCTGTTGGATTTGTGGCCGTTGAAATCGCATTCTAGCAGTGGACTGCGTGATGTGGTTACAATAGGTTGAAATAACGCATCTGCACCATGTCGAGCCACATTAACCCGGCGAGATCGATTGAAGATTAAATGGTTGAAGAGGGCATGAAATATGCGGATCTAGAAGTCAATCGTTAGAAAAGCCGTCCAGACTCAAGAGGAAAGCCTGAATAAACTCACGTGGTATACACCTAATAGACCTTTAACGTTGACTAGAAGAAACAACGGAATAACCACCAACCAGAACCAGGCCCAGAAGCCAAGTTCGGAAAGGTTCCACATAGTGAGAGAGGTGCTGGTATTGAGGCAGCCGAGGAATTGATAGACGATATTACGAAGTGCAACAATTCCTCCTGTACGTCTGAGAACTGATTAAATTGTTACTATTCCACAAACTAAAATTTCTACCCGCAGATGCAAATATTTCGAGCTTTTGATCCCATAATGAAACGCTAACACGAATATCCAGCTTATCGAATTCAACAAAAACCATGCATGTTGCAACCGGAAAATGTTCGTCTGTTCGTCTGCTGCTCACCATGCATTCAGTACCTGCCAAGTGCTGCTGCGTTGTCGTCGTAATCAGCCCACGCAACGTAAGCCCAGCAGTTATATATCCCTGCGCCCGTTAGGCTGACTACTTTGTATGGCGCGTAATACAACTCCGGCTTATGGGTTGCACCCTGTTCGATAGCTGGCTGACCCTTGCAGCTGATAACTTTGTCGATACAACCTTCACTAGCCAGAATAAATCACTCCGCTTCAGCCTCTCGTGCCTAACTTCATACAATTTCAAATCTCAGGTCTCGCCAGCAAACAAAGAACAGACAAATTTCCTTCTAGCGCCACAATCCTACTCGTATTCTCTATTCAGGAAGTCCACTTTCAACGGTTTACAACCCGACTCCAAGCGACATTAAAAACGACATCAAACGGTCCTCGTCGCTCACCGAACAGCCAACGGCCAACGGCTAACCAAGAAAGTCCTTCATCAAACCTCCTTCGTATGACAGTTCCACACAGCCAACTGCTCCTCAGAGCTGATTTTTACCAGGTCAAAGCTAATTAAGCCACCACCTGAACAAGCTATCTCAAGCCTTACCCGACGCGCGACGCCATTCCCGACGCACTTCTCACCGTTCTCGTCGGCACATATTAGGCGTCAGCAACTGCGAACCATGGCCCCATCATCTCTCGCCTCGCTTGTGAACGGTAACGGTCCAGTCAGCATCCAAGGGGTTGCAAACACTAAGCCAACCACCTGTCCCGGCAAAGCTTCCTGTGCTGGGTGTGACTGCTGCGGCTGCTGGTGCGCAGTCCCTTGTGTTGTGATGTGAGAGGCTCTATGTTTTCTGCAGGCTTTCAAGCCACTCCTGTCTCGGGTTCGGACTGGCCGTGAGCTACTCGGCGAAATCAAAGTGTTCCCATAGCAAATACAACCAATCCATCATCTTGATTCTTTGAGATCACCATGGCGTTGTACACTTCGGTATACGAAGCGATTATGATTCATTTTATTTTTAGTTCGGTTGGGTATTGTAAAGTAAGCTTCTTAAAAGTGTTTTTCACGGACCGACTATACCCCTATAACCTACCTTGCGTAGGTGGTGCTACGCGGGTCAAGTCTCCCGAAGGGTATCTCTATTTCTGTACATGATCCAGGGTTCCGGTGGAACAACACTCCACGTGTGCCGCAAGGTCCGCAACAAGATTCCCCAAAATCACTGGAGACTCTGAGAGAGTAATCAGGCGAGCAGATGGGCTATGACAAATGAAATACTCACTGACAAACCGTGGAAGCAGGTCAGCTGACACAAATAGCCGTGCTGTCATTTGGGGACCTTGATTGACTTCACCAGTTGTCCAACTTATAGTTGTAATATTATAAATTGCTACTTACAGATAATAAGTTTGGCTATTAATAGAGGTTATTAGGTGAAAATACGATAGCACACAAATCGTTGAAGCGAGCAGAGTCGGGTGCTGTCAAGTATAGGGTTTTGCTCTCGCCCAGCTCCATCTTACTTTATTTACCATAGCGAGATTTAAGATACTAGGAATACAACTCTATAGGCTTCTTTGTAATAATATCTTCACCTTCTAACCCTCCAAATTCCTTACTTTCATTGTGCAGTGATCTACCTACAAAAAGATGAAAATTGTTGGCTAAGGCTAATTTTGAAGGGGAAACTTCAGCAAATAATGTAAATCTGCATGCTCATGTATAAAAATTCCCCACTCAATGACGAGCCAACTCCTAGCCATCATCCTGATTCATATCACCCAGTTCACATCTGCTTCTTAATGTCATTTCTCTCATGCCGCAAAGTAGCTCCTAGACTTTCTCTTTTGTTGCTTAGGTCCTCTATTTGACGTGTAGCCGCTCTATGGGTATCCATTATATACTGCCTCAGCAAACTCCATGGCCTCTTGATCCTCTTCTTTTACTGCCTTTTGCTCATCCAACTTCTTACCAATGCCGCTTTTATTCTTAACCATAACTCAACATCATATTGTGTAACAAATGGCATGACAGCACCACTTTTACCAACACAAACAGTTATGCCAACCCGATGGATATAAGTCTTGCTGTCCTAGAGTGAGTCGTAGTTGATAACGAAATCAACCAAAGATATCGTGTCCTCGAACTGCTATGTGGAAGGTAATGTAGAATTCGAGACCCAGCCAAAAGTTGTTCAATGCTCCTAATTGCACACTCTGTGAGAGTTGGTTATGGAGAGGTATTGCAAGAAGTCTAAAATGTCGTGGGATGATTATATCACTCTAACACTTATTACCATCACAGCCGCACAGGTAAATATGATCGTGATCTACCTTGCTCGCTCGTCTGGTGTATAAATTAAGCATATACTTTTGGGGTCGCATGGGATGAAAGCATATCATTACACTAATACGCGACAAATTTCATTGCCACAGAGAAATACTCTTCTCCATCGATCACTTCATGTCACAAGAAAGAAAGGCAAACAGCGAAACAGACATCGTCGGCAAAAGGATCATACATTTTTACAACCAGATCAGGCTGTCGTCAGCTTCAAGACTAACCAAAACAAAAATATCTGTCCTCTTTCAGGAAGAACAATGGCTTCAACCCTAAACATATTGCGTAGGTCAAAACTCTGATCAAGCTCTCTTCCTAATCAAGATCTCCGCCGTCGTGCTAACAGCACAACTATGTCCATGCATAACGGTACTTGGCCGCTCCGCGCCAGGGGGCAACCTGACCTCGTAACAACGCAAGAACTCCACCATAATCATCTTAATCTCGTTGCTTGCAAAGAATCTACCCGGGCTTCACAACCACCACAACGTCAGTCTTACAATATCATATCACATCATGAACGTGGAAAACTAACCAAGCATGTGCCCCGTGTCCAAACGCCATAGTCTCCAGGCTCGTAGTGACAAACTGGTATTTATGCTCCTCCCCCGGTTTGCTCCTCATTCTCTCGAAGCGAAACATGTCGAAATCGTCCGGGTTCTCGAAGATCTCGGGATCGCGGCAGATCTGGCTATTTGCGACGGCGAAGTAGGAACCTTTTTGCAGGAGTCGGCCATCGGGCAGCTCGATCGGGCTGTTGACTCTGCGGGTGATGCTCAGCTAGAAATTTTTCAGAAGTCAGTACGTCTTGATTAATCAAGGCGAATTTGGGAGTCCATAGTGATGGCGGTAGAGTCGAGTAGATTGTCTTCAAGCAATACGATAGTTCTGATACTTACAAGAGCAGGCGGATAGAGACGTTGAGACTCCTTCATGAAACTGTCAAGTTTGCGCAGTTTTGGCAGTGAACCCTTAAATAAAGCGTGATCCGATCCCGAGGCGAGTACTTCCTCAATTTCAAGCCGCAGAGGCTCGTGGTACTCAGGATGAGCAGCCAGATCGTAAAGCATATTGGTCAACTGGTTGGAAGTCGTGTGGATAGCAGCAAAAGCGACTAACAGTTGAGCTGCAGCGATGACTGACGGGTCAAATTTTGGAACGTTGTGCATGTTCCAAGTCAACATGTCGTTGATCGGTTCCTGACCGGCTGCTTTGGCCGCAAGGCGCTGAGCTACCAGTGGTCTCAGTAGATTATGGGCCGTTTTCCTGTGGCGGTGGCATTCTTGGAGGGCAGGAGTGAAGTATCTTTCGAAGGAATTCTAGTTAGCTTGATGCTCTCGTGGGCTTGACAGAATACAGCCAGTTGTTGGAGCTTCAATCACCAGACTAATGAACTTTGAAATAGACGTCACGAGGTATAATTGCCTGAAGCCTATATACCAGTGATAGATCCTGTAATCCGAGCAATACATACTGAATAAGGGGACGCACAAAGCGTGGAAAGTCCAGTAGGGCTGCATGTTTCTAGAATTAGTTACTACTCAACACGAAAGAAGGGTGAGATAACGATATCATATTGAACTTTGATGAAAGCCCGAATATGTGAGAAAACACTTCAAACGAAACGACTCAACACCTGCTCCGCATCCCAATGGCACAAGCGAAAACACGCTAATTTCACTCACCAAAGGCCGCCATCATACTTGATGTTGTATAGTTGACGGTCGACTCAATGTACGCTTCATTACGATTGAGTTCCGGGCCGACGAAAACCCTGCCAGAAACGAGCGACACAATCCGCAGCATATTATGAAAGGGCTTTATCGGGATCCACTCTGTGACTACATCAATTCCGTTCCGCGACTAACATCCCTTCATACCTACCTTTGTCACAATCAGGAAGCTCGGTTGAGAGTGCATATTTCGTCTCATCAAGTAGGTCTGGCATAATACCACCTTGTTAAATTAAGAGTTAACTCGGTTTCAAGCAAGCTGGCTCTTTTGAGTTGCGGGGACACCTACCGAGATGTTTCGTCAAGTCTATTCGTGTGCTCTTAGCAACAATGTCCAAGTGGTATCCCAGCGACGTGTACGGGGCTAGGCTGCTATCTTCTATGTCTCCTTGAAAGGTGGCCTTGCTCTCCGGAATATTCTTCACGAAATCGACAAACTTAGGTGGGATAATGAGGTAATCTGCATGCGGGGCCTTGACTGAAAAATAACCACCGTTTTTGTTCTGGTTTTCAGCAATGAGTAAAATCATCTTGCTCGATTAGGAGATCTCCAGCTATTACCTGCTTGTAGTATCCATCTTTGATGGCTGAGTGCACCAGAACGCCGAAACGACTGCTACTTGTGCGGCCGAATTTCAGAAACTCGAAGAGGAAAGACTGGAATTGGCCGCTGCGACAAACCAGGAAAAGGGCGCATGTGAGGATTCCGGCCGTGCTTGAAAGTAACAGCTGACCTGTGAGCGGGGAGAAGGTGTTCTCCATGATGACGATAGAGAGTGAAAGTGTCAGTGTCAATTTGGGGAGATGTTCAAAAAGAGACAAGTAAAAGCTCTACAAGAGCACTCTATGATGTCTTTTATAAGCTGTAGAAAGACAGATCTAGAGAAATGAACGGACTATAGAGTTTCCCGCTCCCGTTGGTCATTCATGTGAAGGGGATGATTGTTTTCTTGACTAGGCAGAAAGCTCTTACTCTCAGCGGATCCTTTTGAGCTTGGAAGACGGTAACCAGTAGGAGGTCTTCCGTGTTGCTGTGAAGAATCTCAATTGTTTCCTTCGGTTGGATAATATGCCCACAGTCAATCGTAATGTGACAGGCAAACTGGGGCTCGAATCACCATTCAACGGCGGTTATTTGGTGATGGGTGTTGACTACCAGTAGGGTCAACGCACGGAACGGCCCACCGCAGAACGGTCCGGGAGATCACCGTCTGGTTTTCTCTACTCTCCCACTCTTGTCCTTGCGAAATGTTCTGTATGGAACGCAGTGCAATATATATCCTTGAGGCCTCATGACAATACGCCATTCGGCTCATTCGCATCTCGGAACAGGAACTTTGTGATCCGAGGTAAATATTGTTACCAACTTATCACAAAGGAATATCTGGGAGCCTATCAAAGATGACAGTAAGCATAAAAACGTGTCTGCAGAGCGAGTAACTTAGGCAGGGTCGTCACTATCCCCACTCTATCTTTGCGTTTTGAAAGCCGATCTGCTAGATACAATTCCAGCTTCTCTCATGGCGGCTCAGAAGGCGGGATTCAGTTCTATACTCTTCAAAAAGTATTCCCGACTAAGTTCCCACACAGATTAAAGTCAAATATCACCTGAAATTCTTATTCCGCCTGGTAAGCCACTGCCCAAAATCTTTCTTGTCAAGTCCAGAGATTTCACGCACACGCATCCCAAGCCAGTCCATCTCTCTCCAGATCCTGTTTTTTGACATCTTCCCACATGACTCTATCAGCCTCCGACCAATACCTATTCCAGCACCAACTATACTCCACTTTCTTCTAGCTCTCATAGAAGCCATCGAACCGCTCGCCCAACGCGTCTTCTAACGTCGTGACGTCACTGTCGGGGTGAAGCTCTTTCTATGGTGCGCGGCAGGTGCTGCTCGAGCAGGAATTCTGGACCAGGAGGAGGGTGTCGAGGTGCGATACGATCTTTTGCATGGTGTGTCCTACGATTATAGGTGAGGAAGAGATAGGGGATTGGACGGAGGGAGAGGATGTGGAAGTAGGTTATGCATTTGTCCAGGGTCGACGGAGAGGTCGTAGAGCTCGTGTTCGTTCATGCACCAGATGCTGTGGTAGAGGTTGTATCGGGGGCCGGTGATTTGTACTCGTGCAACTCAGTTCCATATTTCCCTTCCCCGCCAAAGTAGCCCCAGTTCTCAACATTCACGTGCTCTCTTACCAGCCGCTATGCCAGCTACACGGCCAAACCCCTCAATTGATTGCGTGTCCAGAGCGATATTGATTATTGCTCCTGTAGCTGATGGCGAACCTCCCCTTGGCTCACTAGCTGTCGTAGAGTGATGGGGTATCTCGGGGTGCTTTGTTGCCTCGCTCGAAGCTTCCGTGGTCGCCTGTGCGGAGCCTTTCTATCACCTGGCTCAATATTCGCGTCTTTTGACAAGGATGGGCTCCCCTCTTCTTGATATTGGACTGGGCCCCTTGGGCCGAACCTGCTAGAGGTCCGTTTGACAGAACTGAAAGTGTTCGCCTGGGGGGTGTAAAGGAGCACAGTTCCGGATCTAAGGAATAGCATCTTGAAATTTGAAACAGAGATCTTGCTGCTGTGGTAGGCTAATAGTTGACAATAATGGCAATGAAAATTAGTGGTAACGACTTGAGGTGAAGGGAGAAATTGTAGGCTTTTATAATCGTAAAATGGGCGCACCTCTTGGCCTGGCGTTCCTTCTATACCAACATTGCCGTTTGATAGCTGAGCAGGCTGTGTTCGGTGTTCAGTGTTGGGCAGGTCCAAACAGCGGCAGGGTCATCGATCCCCACGGTATCAATGGCAATTCCGAGGAAAAAATCTCAGCGGGGGCCTACCAAATCGTGTGGCACTTTCCCTATGATGCAGCTTTGCCATTGCATGAACTTGGTCGTGCCAAGGGATGAACGATCCATCGTATCCTCAAACCCATCAATCAATGCCACTTTACCGCCACAATTCTACCTTATATTGCTCCCTGGACTCCATGTCTCTTAAAGGCTGACTAGGCCATGATACCAAACACTCCCTTAACTCAGCTTTGCCGCCGTACGGGTCGCGGTATTTAGGGCGTGCGTAATAGTTGGATAACCCCTCTATCAGCTAGATTTTACCTTGCCCGCATGAATTTCCCAATTCCTTCACAGACCATGCCGTGGTGCTAACCACTGATGCAGCACTACCACCGTATGAATCCCTGGACAATACAACTGGTTGTCTCGGCCTGACCGTCACAGGAGAGAGAGGAGAGAGAGAGGAGAGAAGGGGGAGGGAATATGAGTGAAGAGTTGTAGGAGGAGATATGTGAGAAGATGGGTCAGAAGATGGGTGAGAAAAGGGGTGAGAAAAGGGGTGAGAAAAGGGGTGAAGACAAGAGGAAAATGGTCACTTATAAAGTACGAAGCCCCAGGCAAAACGCAGAGGACAGAGTAAAACACCGAAGTAAGACGCAGAAAAAGGTCCCGCGCATGAGGACAGGCGACACTGCTCAATAATGACCGTCGAAAGACAATTCTGTATAGTTTTAAAAGTCTGAAAGAATGATAGCATAAATCTTGGGTATTAACGTCTGGTGCTTCCCACAAATGTTACCATTCATACGAGACGAGGTGCAATCCTCTTACTAGTAGGGTTGTGCCCAGGGAATGGGAATACAACGTCCGGTGCTTCTCCTAGGCAAGGTACCATTCATGCAAGACCTGGCAATACCGGCACGGCATTACGGTTGTATCTAGGGTTACGATAGCTGGTGTGAAATCACATTAGGAGAAGATCTATACTAAGGCTCTGTTTGCCCGAGGACCAGAGAATTTCATGCAAGTAGGCAAGGCAAGGCAGAATCATCTTGGCGGCAGATGTTGGAACTCGGAACGCTCATCAGGCCCGTTCAAATCCCGGCATCGAAGCTTGGCTATATATGGCTCGATTAGCTTGCCGGCATTCCATCGGCTGCTGTGCGGAAGAGAATGAGATGCTCGAGACATGTACGCGATTGGTACTTGCGGCAGAGGTTGGCAAACGAGGACAACCTGTGAGAATTCTGCTGTGTGTGATGCCAGCAGAATCTTTTCAGAGACTCTTTGGCCACTCAGTCTTGGCTGTAAGTGCAGCGCCCTTTAAATGGGAATTCTGCTTAGTCTGAGCTTATTATCCAGTTCAAACCGAGCTTGCTGTTCTTCCTTAAGGTCATAAACATTGGCGGACCGATCGGATCTGCAAGGAATCAGGGGTCTACTAGGAGCGGCCATCCTCTTCCTCGCAATTCATGCCAACTGGTACGGCACGCTAGTGCATGTCTCGAGTCCCCAGGACCAAGGTCCTCCCCTCATGCTCGTCTTATAGCTAAGCTGAGTAGGATGGCCCTATGCCTGGCACGATACCAGTCTTCTCCGGTTGGAACCACATCCGATTGGCATCAATCATTGGTGTTTGCAGTGCAGCTGAAAGGGCCATTCGCGGGGGTCTTTACAGGCTTGATAAGTTCACTATCCGAGAGACGGTGCTGGCACCCATCACTGGTTAGAAGAGGGAGAGGTGCCAACGGTAGGGTCCGAAGAGCAAATCAAAGCATAGGATCAGGAAGGGGAGCAGGATCCGGGGTGACTGCTAGTCCGCAAGTCTCAGAATTGAAGGGCTTTGGGGTCAGCTATGACGGCCTAGTAAATGATAAGAATGAAGGTGGCAATGCAGATGATTCCTTTTCTGTATCCCGTACATGATTCCAATCGGAACGAATAGGTTAATCCCGAATTGAGAAGTGCTCATGGCTGAACCGTATAGAAGTGGTTTTCCATGCGCTCAAAATGGTTTTGCAGGACGCACTTAGCGGTTTTCAAAACCCGAAATCCCATTTTCCGCAGTCGAGGAGGGGTTTTCGATACAGCTTAGCGCATTTGACCATCTCTCTACCTGCCTCGCAGCAAGTCGAAAGCCGCGCTTGAAGGCGTGATTATCAGGCCAAGGTAATTCGACTGGCTCAGATCCCCAGATCTTGCATTCTGTCTCAAGAAATGGCGTGTGACGCTGTATGCTCTGGAGAACCAGGTCTGATAGTATAAGGAGAAGCTGCAGAACGAGGCAATCTGCTGCATGTGCACCTTTGGCTGTAGAGCGAGGCAGTCAATGGCGACCCTTCCCCCAGCATACGAGACGTCCCAAGACGCAAGTTCAGTGGAAGCTGATCAGGCGACGCACCCGTGGCCAACGCCAACGGCTCTTCTCCCTAGCTATTCTACCTCAAGTCCCTTACATTGGATGAAGGAGGAAGCTTCAGAAGTTCTCCTCACCACGCACGATTTCGACACTGGCAGACTTACCTGCGAGTTTGTTCCTAGCCTAGACCCCGTTGTTGCTGCCACCGTCCTATCCAAACGGCGGAGAGGTTGGCTAGGAGCTTTTTTGAAAGTCCTCTGCCGAAGTCATGCCGCCCGGGAGCCTTCTTGCGACTCTCCTCTATCCACAGCCACGGCAATTGTGGGTATCATCAGGCGGAGGCTGGTTTCACCTGCGCCAGAATGGAACGTGGCCTGGATCTTTTCAGCTCTCACTTCCTCAACAGATATCTCTACAATCTCCGAGAAACTTAATGCTCAGATTGATTCAGTTTTCTCCAGGATCTCGTTTAGAGACTGGCTAGAATAGTACTGTAGGCTTCCGAACGACCCTATTTAAAGCCTTCTCGACACGGGGCTCAATCTCCGCAATGGCCTTGCTTGATCCGTTCAGGAAAAAGGTATACTAGTCGATAGATTAGTGTCGCTTCAAGAAGTAAGCCTATATTCGCTGAAATAGTTTAAGTTTTAATATAAAATTTCAGCTTGCTTTAAGTTTTACTAAACTGAGTTTGTGTACTTTAAGCTAAAACAATTCGTATTATACTATTATAATACAGACTGTTTTGGCTTAAAGTATAAATAAGGCATATACGCGATCTTGTACTATATTACAGTATCCTACTTTAGACGTAATTACTTCGAGGTGCATTGTTTTAAACAAATGTAATCGCAATTATAATACTCGGAATCGAAAAATAGAATGAGAGGAGCCCAATTCGGTCGAGGCACTGGCGCAAAGGAACATTAACGATTGGAAGGAAAGTCCTGGGTTAATAATCCGCTCTTCCACCAAGTTAATTAAAAGAGGGGCCCGGGTTTGCATAAACAGGTGGGGCCCTGTCCGTGCAGCGCCCCTAGGTCGGTCGCTGTTTAGATCCGAGCGCTTCTCCCCCGTGGCGTAGGGAACCGCAACTCAAGTCGTGCGAGCACCAGACCTGTCCACCAGCAGAGTGTGATATCCCTGGTCTTATTGACTGCTGCAAGACTATGTGATTTCCTTACCACGTCTCCTTCTACCACATCTCTGCCGAAATGCAGAGCTCAGCGCCAAAAAAGCCTCGATCGGCTATGGCATGCTGTTAGAATATGGGAGTTATGGGAGTTCCCCTGGCCGGCTGGTCAAGCCACTTAGGCACCCCACTTGGCACTTCTCCACCACAAAGGAGAAATGAGATATGTGTACTCGCGATGAGCCGAATACACGGATATCATCGCATCCCATACTAATTAGTATGGCACATGATGATGGAGGCCCTGGGAAGCCATTCGGATACCATCGGTATTATTTCCTTGAGTCACCTGATTGATCACCTGACCYCATACATTCATTTGCCTATATATGTGAGGCTTTCACCCTATAGTATTAAGCTTTTTAATCAATTCAATTACTCTATTCCATGACCTATTCTGACTAATCAATTACTTGTATTAAGTATACCAATTTGGGTCCCATTAATCAACAGTTATGAGCCCGGGCTGTTAAAGCATCACGTAGCAAACAAATTGTTTGAGTATTCTTTATATTTATTTGGAATCCTATTGATTCTACTACTAATTCTTCAATATTTTCAAATCCCTTGTAATCTACACTTCTTACCACTTTATACCTTTCATATCTACTAATATGTCGACAGAATATTCAACTCCAACTATATCTAGACTACCCCTAGTTCTTGATAAGCCCAGAGACTGGGAACTCTAGCTTGAGACAGTTAGATCAATAGCCTCAGGAGAAGACTGGTACACCTAGGAGTATATTAATCCTAATTCGGAAACTACTCCTGAAAAACGTCAAAAGCTAACTAAGCTTACTTTCAAGAATATCAACCCTGAAGCTGACTCATTTAGTAAACTCTCAGCTAATAAGATAGAGCTATTACGTCTATAGTACTTCGACTATCAGATCGAATATAAGGAATACTAGGAGATTTCCAGACTAATTAACTCAGTACAGAAGTATATCTTCAAGTCTGTCTCAATTAGGAATAAAGTATACTTCTAGGATTAAACTACTATATACGATATATTAGTAGTATTTAAAAAACGTCTAGCTCCTACCGACTATACGACTAAATTGGACTTGTCAGCAGAATACGCTAAATTGAGAAAATATAACAAAAGAGAAAGTATTAAATAATTCCTCTAAAAGTAGGAAATTATTTATAGAAAAGCTGTAAAACTTAATCTATCGGAAGTTTAAGGTAACAAACTCTTCCTTGACTTTGTATAAACTATAAAGTTAATTGAACTTAACTTTTCAGTAACGTAGGATTATCACCTAACTAAAGATATTAAGAATAAGTCCCTATTACTAACTCTATATAATCTTGTAGTAGATTTCAGAGATATATACTAGAGAAATATCGCTATTTCTAGTTATTCAAAAACATACACATTTTTTACTATATTCCAGAATCAGGAATAGCTAAAGAACCTCCCGAAAGATAAAACAGTAAAATCTAAGAAAATCCCAAAACCAAAGTACTTATATAGATTTATCTATAAATAGGAATAATACTAGTACTTGAATCTATCAAAAAAGCTTATAGATTAGAAACTTAATCCGGAAAGAATTGACTAATTAAACAAACTATTAGATTATCTAGACTAATCAAAAACAAAAGAATAGTAGATATAAAAAAAGTACGACTTAGCAAATAACTAAAGTTCTATTATTACTCTAGTTTCTACTTCGAGCTCTACTCTTAAAAGAACATTAATAGTTTATACTACTTCTTTTGCCGGAGTATATACGTCTAGTAGTCAAACTAACATATATCGCTTAGTAAACTACTAGACACTTAATAGTACTTCCGATATATATTTATATAACGACAGAAAGAAGAGCTAATTCAAAAAGACTAAAGATACTTATAATAGTAATAAACTTACTTCTAGTAAAACAACTTATCTAATTGAAGTTTGGGGAACTATAATCTTGAATATAAATACTCCAAAAAGTTCTGACTAAATCAAGTTAGTCAATATAACTTTGGTGCTAAGATATATGACCAACTTTGTAGCTATAGATATTATCAATGAAAAAAGACTTTACTAGAGTTCACGACGACTATTGGAACTATACTAAAATACAGAGGAAACTATATATTACTTCAAAAAGATCGACAGACACTTAGTTATCGACTAAACTACTGAAATTGAACATTTATCATTTACTACTTCAACTTAATTACTAATAGCTAGACTAACAAAACAAGAACTTTATTCAGTACTTAGTTACCTAAGACTACAAGTTATCGACTATATATTTAATTCAGTAAAGAACTTGATAGTTCTTGATTTAGAAAGTCCGATACTTAAAACGATAGATTATAAGGATTATAGTGTCTCTAAAGCCTATAGAGTAATCTCCAGAAGAACCGAAGTCGACGATCGTTCAAATAGGAAGCTTTTCGACTATATAGCCTAAGACTTAATCTAAGAAGATATAAGTTATAATAAATACAAGTAAGTAAGCTATTTTTACTATCTAGATTACCGATATTACTTTATATTTACTTATTACTCGAAATCTGACTTTTTTGCTTTTATAGTATAAGTTATAATATAAGTCAAAGCTTAATTCGGATACGACGTTCGATTTATTCGTCTTAATAGAGAAACTACTTTAAGTACTAAATTCGTTATATTCGTTAATTCAAAAAGTATTAAGTAAAAGAGAACAGCTCCTGACTCTCCTGAGTAAAATAGAAGCTCTAAGTGTGTTAGTAAGATCTTTACCCAAATCGCTAGAATAATAATTATATCTGTAAAAATACTATTCAACTTATAGTTAGAGGTATACTAAATAGCAGCTTATCTGGCCAATAGACGTCTAATACTAGCTCTCTTCTAGAAAACACTTTTTGAGTTAGTTAAAAGATATAAACTTAAACTAAAGTACTTATACCTATTTAGCTGTAAAATATACACTTTAATTAAAAGTATACCAAAGTCCCAAAAGATATGTCTAAAAGCTTATGTTGGGTACTTTATAAACTATTCGTCGACTAATATATTCCGAATTTGGGTCCTATTACTAGAGAAAGTAGTAAAAACTAAGGACGCGACGTTTAACTACAAAAGCTTTTACTAGCTAAGTAATATTGATCTAAGTTTTATATTATACTAAGAGGAGGAAGTTATTGAGAGTCTTCAGCTCCTAGACGATATAATTGCTGAAAAGGAGGTAGATGTAGATTCAGATACTATTATTATTGACGTTCTATTTCTGCCGGCAGAAACAGCTACTCTTAGTACTCTCGAGGATCAACTAACTAATCAGGAAGCCGAGAATACAATTACTCAACAGCCGACAGTAGAAAACAAACAAGCGAATGATCAAGCAGCGTATTACTCAACCCCGGAGATTACACCAGATCTAATTTCAATTCCAACTTTACTACTAGCAAATCCAAGCCCTAATTCCACGATTGAGGCTACCTATAATAAAGGAACTGCACCCCAATTAATGGATTCATCGTCCACAGGCCAAAATACAGTGCCAAATAGTGCAAAGAACTCAAGTACCCGCAGAAATGAGATTTCGTCCTACTTAGACGAAGAAAATATCATATAGGGACCAAGGAGCAGGAGACGGAGGAATGTATACGCTACAGTACTCCTTAATACTTATCACTTATCAGGGTATAATATAGCTTTTGGAGCTGCCTATTCACTAACTTCCACTCAAATACATCTATATCACACTTAGCTTGAAAAAGAACCCAAAAGCTAGTATCAAATAATTTGTCACCCAAATACTACTGAATTCAGGAAAGTAGCCGATACCGAATTTAATATACTAAAAACTATAGAAGTATTTAAATTCGTTCCGAAGTAGAATTATCAAGTACAGGAACTACTCCTACTTACTTGGGTATTTAAATACAAGTTTAATATAAATAGATTCTTGACTAAGTACAAAGTTAAACTCTATACTAAAAGAGACTTACAAAAGCTAGAATATTAGCAAGAAACTTACACAACAACTCTAGCTGCTCAAACCTTCAGATTTATAATAGTTCTAGTAGCTGGATTTAGTTTAGAGATCTGCTAATATAATACTGTTAATATATTTATTAACTCCAAGTTGGAGCTTCTACTATTATACAAGTATTCTGAGAAATATAAAGCTCCTAGTAAGCTGTTGTTACTCTACAAAGCTCTGTACAAACTCAAAGAGTCGCTTTTATTCTAGTATAAAGAACTTACATCTACTTTAATTTAGTTAAAATTTTACTTTGTTCCTAGAATTAATTACTTATATTCAAGCTCTTAGTTTATTCTATTCTTTTACGTAGATGATATTATCACTATTTTTGCCCCAAAAGATACTATCAAAATAGACTAATTTAAAGCTAAATTAATAGCTAAATACTATTTATACTTACTTAGAGAAGCTAATCACTTTCTTAGGATCAGAATCTTTAGAGAACGTTCTACTAAGAAACTCTAGTTTATTCAGGACTTATATATTCAAAGTATGAACTCCAAATTCAACGTCAATATCAATGCTAAAACTTTATCTACTCTACTGCCAACTAGAGAATTAAACCTTTATACTAGCCAAACTACTTCCCAACAGATCTTTACTTACTAGCAAAAAGTAGGTAATATCAATTACACCTCCGTTATTATACATGCCGACGTAGCTAAAGCTATCTCCAGATTGGCCGAATTTCAGCTTAATCTTAGACTAAAACACTTTGTTATTACTAACTATTTATTATAATACTTAGAAAGTAGTAAAAGATTAGCTATTGAGTTCAATAGTAATACGACTCAATCTAAAAAGCTCTTTTCGGTATAGAGCAACGCAGCTTATAGAGATAATCCAACTACTAGATATAGTTCAAATAGCTTTTACTTTAAGCTCTTTAGTAGAGTAATCTACTATAAAGTTACTAAGTAAAAGACTGTTATTATATCGAGTACTAAAGTAGAGCTCTTAGCTATCTCATTAGCTACCAAAGAACTTATTTAGTAGAATAAGCTCTTCAAAGTTATCTAATTCGATCTCTAAGACGACTAATTACAGATATTATACTATGATAATCAACAGACAATATACTTTCTCACTATAGATATTCTATAGTTGGAGACTAAGTTCAAGTATATTAATATCTATTAGTACTAGTTGCGCTAAGAAGTACTTTCTAGGTCAATTAAAGTAGAGTAAGTATCTACTGCCAAAATAGTAGTAGATAAGTTTACTAAAAGCTTACTTGCCCAAAAATATGCCGAATTCGTATAACAACTCAATATAGTAGATATCTCCAACAAACTCGATTCCAGGGATAAACTCAATTAAGTTTTAAATAAGTCCTAATTAAGTAGTCGATCTCTGAAGGGGAGTATTAGAATATAGGAGTTATAGGAGTTCCCCTGGCTGGCTGGTTAAGCTACTTAGGCACCCTACTTGGCACTTCTCTACCACAAAGGAGAAATGAGATATGTATACTCGCGATGAGCCGAATACACGGATATCATCGTATCCTATACTAATTAGTATGGCACATGATGATAGAGGCCCTGGGAAGCTATTCGGATACTATCGGTATTATTTCCTTGAGTCACCTGATTGATCACCTGACCCCATACATTCATTTGCCTATATATGTGAGACTTTCACCCCATAGTATTAGGCTTTTWAATCAATTCAATTACCCCATTCCATGACCCATTCTGACCAATCAATTACCTGTATTAAGTATACCAATTTGGGTCCCATTAATCAACACATGCGAGTTCGTGCCAATGCCCCGCTGAGTGCGTCTATCACAGCTAACGAGTCTAGAATATGTCGGAAACGCAAGATCAAGTGCGATGGACGAAAGCCCAGTTGCTCAGGTAAATCCGCATTCGCGCTTCACGCAACAGTCCGTCTGTTCATGCTTTGTTGTTTGCACTGTTGACGATATTTCGCTTTGTCCTACGACAGCTAGCTCTTCTTTCTTTCTTCTTCTGGATTTATTCTGACACAGTTAGGTTGCCATGCGGCACTCCAAACATGTATATATCGGTCGCCAGCGAACTATAGATTTGTATTCAAGACTGTCGGCATTTCAGGCCCGGCGAAGAAACAGAAAAAGGCCGTGCAGGAGGATGGGCCATCTGCTCTCGCCCCTATCCAATCCTCAACCGGAATTCCACCGGCATGTTCACAGGTAGAGAGAGGGCAGCTCGATCTGGGTGCACAGCAAATAAACACCCAGATGCCTCTGACCAATCCGTCACCACCTTTACGGATTCCGTTCTTCAGATGGTTTGGCCCTACAGGCATTGCACCTGGCTATAAGAGGATTTTTGTTCAGATTAAAGATGGTACGGATCACCAGGAACTCCAGAGTCCATCTTCTTCCACGCCGGCCGCTTTCAGTAGTCTACCAAGCGATTATCAACAAACAACTAAGAGGGGGGACCTAGATCAGCTGCTTTTCGAACCAGATGATAATCTAACACCCATTTGCGGGATTCTGTTCCCGCTTCTTGAAACCTTCTTCGAGTACTATGGATGCCACTTTCCATTCTATTCCAAGGATTCATTCATTGATCTAGCGAGAGAGAAGAAGGTCCCTGCACTGCTACTCAACAGCATGTGCGCCTTAGCGGCGCGGTTTTCAGCATTGCCAGTGTTCAAGGGCAAACCTGCCTATGTACGCGGGGAGTTGTTTGCTGATAAGGCAAAGCACCTACTTGTCCCGTTGCTTAATCTACCAAGCTACGACGTCGTAGCGAGTATTCTTATGATTGCCTGGATGGAGATGGCGACTTGCCATGACGTTGGTATATGGATGTATACAGGTATGGCTGTGAGGATGGCAGAAGATATGGGTATGCACAAGGTACGTTGTGTTCGCGTGAAGTGCAGTTTCACAGAGAACTAACCCCGAAAAAGAAAAGTACACTGAGCCCAGCTGAGCCGGAGTCTGGCGATGACCGTCGATTATACTGGGCCATAAACCTTCTTGATCACATAATCTGCTTTGCTACCGGCCGACCACTCACCACGCGGCGAGAATATGTTGACGTTGCGTTGCCGGCAGAGACACTAGTCCAGACGGAGCCTTTTGAATTAGCATCGCCGTTCCCAAGCATGATACGGGTTATCCAGATACAGGGCTTAGTGAATGGAGAAATCGGCATACTACCGGAGCAGCCCTTGGATCTAACACCGCAGACGAGACAGCGACTATTACAATATGGTAATGATCTAGTTGCGCATTACGCTTCTATGCACCCCAGCCTTGCCTTTGATGCGCCCAACTTCCGAGCTCACGCAATTAAGGGTCAAGGGGGGACATTCTTACTTTTGCATCTGTGGTTCAATAGCGTAAGAGTGCACTATCTGTTCCTAAAGCATTTCTTGCCCGTTTCATGTCATTGACACGTTCAACAACAATAGGTCCTAATATCGCTCCATCGGCCAGGTCTCCGTTTTGGCCAACAAAATCACCGTGACACAAACTTCCTCTCTCCTTCCAGCCGGCAGATCTCGCTCTCAACAGCGCGCACCACTAGTTCGATTCTCTCCCTCGCCGACTTGGTCGACATAAAGTCCATCTTTGGCAGCCCATTTATTGACCAAGCAGTGGAGATGGCGGGGCTCGTCTTCGTCGCCGAGCTGCGTATTCCAACACCCATGCCGTCTATTCCAGATGTAGTAGGACTGCATGAGGCTGGGCTGGGTGAGCTGAGCCACGAAGCGCACTACGTGGTGTGTCTCCGTACACTTCGGTTGCTGATGATCTACTGGCGCGGTATCGGCTGGATCCTCACAGCCCTGGAGCAGAAGTATAAAGGCGTAAAGGATACCGACCCTGGTGCGGCTAACGTTGATCCATATAGCGAAGTGGCTCTGAGTGATCGCAAGATGATCAAACGCCTGCTACGTCATGTCGAGAGCAGCAACAATAAGAATCATAACGGCGCTGTTGATGGAACGCAAGATTCTAGTAAGTCTCCCTTTCGTCATTCCTCCTCCGTATTTTTCGGCGCTGCGATTACAGTTCCCGGCTTACCTTCACATAGCTATTGGAATTGCCGTGGCGGGCACAACAAACTCAGCTGCAAAGAGAATGGTCACCGTCATTGAGTCATCGGATCCCAGGTACAGCCAGCAGACCTTTACGGTACCGCTATTGGATGACACTGTTGCGAGCAGCAGGGACGTTAGCGATCTGGAAAGCGAATTAGTTTGGACATCGTGGCTTGGCAATGACAGCGGGCTGTGGAATTTGGGTTTCGAGCACTTTGATCAATTCGATAACTTCGATAACTTAGGTCATTTCGACACCTCCACATAGCTAACTCGGAAATCAAGTCTATGGCCCTATTTAATCTATGTGGTCGTTTGACGTACATTTGTACTACGCCAGTCACTTTTATATCTAACGTCCGTGTGTATCTCGGCAATGTCGTCGTTGGCTTCTATTTTGTGATCACACAAGTGTCTTCTCATCCAAGTTACACACCGCGAAGCCGCCATACTGCAGCACACCTCCTGCAATCAGCACACGGTTGTTCGGATCAATTGCTGCAACCGTCATGTAGCTGATCCCTGACCCGTCGCCCTTATACACCAGCTCGGGCGTATATCCATTTTTTTTGCGCAGACGCAATGCCGCAGTGGGAACGAGCAGGTCCTTTCCCAGCGAATGTACATTGGCTTTATAGAGGGGCAGGTCTTCAAGTATTGGGAAGACTTTTGTCAAGCGGTTAGTCCTTTCCTTCTAACCTTACAAGGAACGGGATGAGAAAGCTACCTACTCGAAATAATTATGTCGCCGTTATTTGGGAGGAGTTTGATATTATCTGCTGCCCCACCTAGTGGCTGTAGGCTTCATTAGCCCCGGGTTGTCTTTAATAGCTTGTGCACAGGGGTGGGCGCTACGTACAATGGAATTCGCCTTGATTAGCGACTTATCTTCCGTGATGTTGAATATGGTCAGAACTCCGATCTTCGAGTCGCCGACAAACAGTGTTTTCTTGTCCTTCGATACCGCAATGCCGTTGAATCCGGGGTGCCGCTCTGAGACACGGTGGCAAACAGTAGCCTACGAAGGCAGCAAAACTCAATATCACGGATATATGGACGAATAAATGATGGGGTGAGTAGGGAGTGGACGGGAGGAGACTCTTACATCACCACTAGCATCGCAGTACTGAACGTCTGTAGCCCAAGGCCAAGGCCCAAAGAAGTCCTCGATCTTTCGTAGGATGCCACCAGCAAAATAGTGGTCGTTCGTTATGAAGAAACCGCTATTCGAGAATTAGAGATTGTGCATTCGCCTTGCCGGCACCGGAGAGGAGATGTAGAGAAGACATACAACGGGCCGACTGCAGCAACTCCGTTTGCTGTCTTAATCCCTGGATGTCTGGCCTGTCTTACGAGCTGTACGCTGTCCGAACCAAGGACGTGCGAGAAGATCATTATAGAATCCCCGCCCCGGCCGTGGTTGACAGCAAAGATATTGACCTGCGATGTCGATTTAGCACGTGATATACCATTGATTTCAAACACTGCACAGCACAGGAAATAAAATGTCACACCTTGGTCGGGTCTTCAGGCAAGCCGTAAACATCGACGCCATGGTTGATAAAGTCACCACTCAACCCCTCGATTCGGAGCTTCGTTGTCCTCTTCTTTTTGATATCATACTTGAACAGGTCTTCCTGGAAGGAATCCTCGCTCCTCGCGGCCGCATTGTGCGCACACGCCGGGGGATACCAGTGCACACGTTCGGCAGGATTGCCGCACGCTATGAAGGCGGTGCTAGAGGCAAAGTGGACAACGACATCCTCGCACGCATTGGCATCGTAGTTGACGGCACAATGATCGCTGTTGATAGAACTGTTGTTCGCATATCTCGTGAGGCTGGCGACGCGATCCTTGTTGCGGAAAGCATACAGCTGCACAGCGGGGCGAGAGAAGAGAGAGACGAGGACGGTGAGGACGGCGAGGAGAGGGAAAGCGAAGCGGAAGGGGGATGCGGCGGTCTCTGGAGGAGCCATGGCTGCTTGAATGACAACAAGAGTAACGATGCACTGGAGGGAGCATCCACGAGCTCCCAGAGCGTCAAAGATATGCTCTGGCCGGTCGATCACAGTTCAGCAGGTGGAGAACTGCTGCCATGAGGAACAGAGGCCGAGCGAGAAGCGCCGTCCAGATCGAGCAATGAGAGGCCGAGCAAACCGCAACCTTATATAGAGGCCCTGGGTCACGATGCTCTCGCATCGCACGTCCTGTGGTGCTGTGCATGGTGGTTTGCCTCTGACGACGTCTCCAACATCCCACCTACAGTCGGTAAAATGCTCCGCCCGGAACTGTATTGCCGCTTTGGGCAATTCTCTACCGACTATACTATTGTCGTCCCTGCCAGGAGCTGATCACGGTGGTTTGCCCCTGACGACGTCCCCAATATCCCACCTATGGTCGGTAGAGAATTGCCCAAAGCGGCAATACAGTTCCGGGAGGAGCATTGCCTCATCCGGGCCAAGTTCGCAGATGACATACCCCAGATTCCAAACTCCAACTCCCCACAAGCTGTCGTACCCCACGGGCCTGCAACACCAAGGGTCGGTATATAAATATGGCCGCTGTCCACACTAGGGAACAAGTTCGAATACTTTTTCTTATACCTTCTGCGTAGTCCTTCGTCCGCCATGGCCGAGAAGAAAAGAAACCCCTATAATGTGGCCATTGTGCTCTTTGTGGCCTTTGGCTCCCTGGCCTTTGGCTACTCCGTCGGCATCATCTCCACGACCCTTGCACAGCCCTCGTTCATGTTGGTTATAGCAGAATCCCCCCCGTGCCTTGACTAGACGCTAACCGTGGCTCCAGTTCCTACTTCCAGCTCGACACGCGCTCTAATCGCGCGGCCGTTGAGGGCGCCATGAGTGGTCTCTACACGGCCGGTGGTCTGGTGGGCGCCTTGTCGTCCTCCCTGCTGGCCGACCGGTTTGGCCGCAAACGTGTGATTTTTGGTGCTTCAATTGTTGCTACGATCGGTGGCGCTCTTCAGGGTGGCTCGGTCAACCTGGGCATGTTTATCTTTGTCCGTTTCGTGTCCGGCTTTGGTGTTGGTGAGTTCCTCAGTCGACAGCGCGTGGAATGTTATCTGACCCTCTAGGTCTCATCCTGGTCCTGATTCCCATGTACCAGACAGAGGTCTCTCCCCCGCACTCGCGCGGTCTGATGGTGGGTCTGCACGGCGCTGTCATCACCTTTGGCTTTGCCTCCGGCAGTTGGATTGGATATGGCTTTTTTTTCGTCGACGCCAACGGGGCGCAATGGCGAGTACCGCTTGTCCTCCAAGCCGTACCACCACTTGTCCTCTCCGTTGGTGTCTTGTTCCTGCCTGAATCTCCCCGGTGGCGTACGTACTCTCTTCAACGCCCGTACCTAAGCCTCGAGGATTTGCTAACCCGGCCAATAGTGATTTCGAAAGATAGAGATGATGCAGCCCTCAAGATTGTCCAGAGATTGCACCGCGATGTCGACGATCCCGATAATTCATTCGCCTATCGCGAATATACGCAGATCAGACAGCAATATGATATCGACAAGCAGAATGACGTTTCTTGGAAGGAGATGTTCGTGAAGCCGTCGTACCGCAAGCGCATCATCATTGGTTTTACGGTCATGTTTGCATCGCAAACAACTGGAACTACGGTTATAAGCAGTACGTACATCTCGAGCTCTATCAACATTGTAGCGCAATACTCATTGTAACTCTAGACTACCAGGGCCTCTTGTATGGCGCACTAGGATTCGACGCCAGCAAAACACTCCTGCTAGGATCATGCTGGATTACACTCGCATTTTTTGGCAACTGCTTCAATGCTCTAACGCTGGATCGTATAGGCCGTGTCCGTGCCCTACAATGTGGCTGGATCGGCGACATCATTGCATTGATTGGCGAGTGTGTCGCCTTCTCCAACTATCTGGAGACGGGGACCCGTGCTGCAGCAATTGCTAGTGTTGTATTCCTCTTCCTTCATATCTTTTTCTTCTCCTTTAACGTAGACGCTACTTCATAGTAAGCTCCTCTGAAACGCATGCTAGTATAAAGCATACTGACCAAGGACATTTTAGCGTTTATGTTTCCGAGATCTTCCCAACCCATATCCGTGCGAAGGGCATGGCTATTTCTATATCAGGATATTTTATATCCCTGTTGATATACCTTGAAGTGTCACCAACAGCATTTGGTGCTGTTCAGTGGAAGTAAGTCTATCCATCACCTCCGTGACTTGTCAAATTCCGTCAATGAAAGTATACCCGTACTAATCCTTATTTTCAGATTCTACCTGTACTTCCTCTGCACCATGTGTATCTTCATCATTCCAACATTTTTCTACTTCCCCGAGACAAAAGGTCTCTCTCTCGAGGAAATCAATAGGCTCTTTAATGACGAGGTAACTGGCGTACACTTGTATGGCGACAATGACGAGAAAGGAAACCCCGTGATTGAGGAGGAAGTTGCCAGTTCCTAAGCTGGTGATGCGTACTTGTAGCTTACATACCTCCTCAAAATCCGACCAATTAAAAACCCCCTCATCACGTACTCTGATTGCTTTCCGTCCTCCGGTCCCTGGAAACGAAAGGCATGAGAAATTGATAGGAAACGAGTAGGAAAGGAATGGCAGGGAAGAGGGAGGATTGCCGCCCTGGGGGATGGATTACCGCACCAATAGATTAAGCAGAGTAACCCGAGCCTTCACAACAACCATTTGAGTAATACTCCTTGTAAGGATGAGAAAACAATACAATAACCACAATAGCAATTACCACAATGCTTCCTGGAGCCGTGTCCATCTATCCCGCTACTCCCACTAGCATATTAATTGCTGCACTAGTGGATTAACTTATAACTAGTGGATTAAATGCAGTAGCTTTAGCCGTAATCACTTAACTGGTGCGCCTCGCGGAATGCGAAAAGGAATATAATATTAGATTGCAAATGCTTTTATTCAGTCAAATCGCAATTTAAAATCTTAAACTCCGGGCTATTAAAGCTCCTTCCTGTGAACTAAGTTTGCTCAATAGAGCAAATAAGAGTATAAGTAACCGTGTCTGTGGGTGCGTATTCGAGTCTCAGCGACACACCTGCGACCATTGCAACCATTGCATCCTCAAGTTATTGTAACTATATCGAGTCCGATCCATTCTGTAAAATTCTTACCATGCGGTCTGGGTTGTTAGTCTTAGCGGCTGCAGATATTGTTCGCAGCCTGCCACAAACTGTATCAGAGAAGCCCGACAATCTTGACCGTCGACTTATGAATGGTCTTGGGAAGACCCCTGCTCTAGGCTGGAATAGCTGGGTATGCAAACATTCTCCTTTCGTTCACCGCATATTAAATGGGTGCCAACTTGAACAGTATTTTAATTATCCCAGAACCAAGGCGGCTGTGAAGCTGCTACTGCAGTTGTAGCCCTCAACACCGCAAGCGCTTTCATCAACCTCGGCCTTAGAGATGTTGGCTATACCTATATCAACATTGACGACTGCTGGTCCACCACATCCCGCAATAGCTCTGGCTATCTTGTTCCAGACCCCAATAAATTTCCCCAGGGCATTAAGGCGCTGACAGACCAGATCCACTCAATGGGTCTGAAATTCGGGTTGTATGGTGATGCCGGCACTATGACTTGTGCTGGGCACCCTGGCAGCCAAGGGTACGAAGTGCAAGACGCCAAATTGCTGGCCAGTTGGGGGGTCGACTACTGGAAGCATGATAATTGCTACACGCCTTGCAATGCAGGGCTACAACAAACATGCACTAACCCTGCTGGAAGCTCGCAGACGTGGTACATTAAGATGCGAGATGCACTGCTGAGCTCGGGACGACCCATTTTCTACTCGTTGTGCAACTGGGGACGCGATAATGTCTGGACATGGGGAGCGGATGTCGGGAATAGCTGGCGAATGAGCATCGATAACTGGGGCAATTGGGCAGATGTTGTGCGCATCGCTAGTGAGGCAGCACCAATTGCCTCTTACTCTGCTGCTTACGGATTCAACGACCTAGATATGATGGTACCTGAGACCAATCTCCGCACTTTGGTGTCTTCTTATGGTTATATTGCGCTGACACTAGACTGTTTAACAGATAATTGGCAACGGCAGGCTCACAACCGCCGAGGAGCGAACCCACTTCGGTATATGGGCTATTTCGAAGTCACCTATTATCATGGGAACAGACCTGACGAAGCTGACAACTGAGCGGCTTAATCTGATCAAAAACAGAGTATGTAGAGCTATTATTTCTTTATCTTCAACCCCCAACCGACTGCTTCCATTGTTTTAGTCCGGGTGCTGATAACTAATTTATAGGCCCTATTAGCCATCAACCAAGATTCCCTCGGAAAGGCTGCAACTACCTTCCGTCCCAGCGGGGCAGCCTCCCCCGTTTCTGGCCAGCTCTATCCCTACTGGGCGGGACCGCTCTCTGACGGTGTCGTTGTTGGCCTAGTGGCTCCTGACGGTGCCCAGACTTTGTCAGTCAACTTTGCTGACGTGCCGGGACTCGGCGCAGGGACCTTCGCCTGGACGGAACTGTATAGTGGGCACACAGGCAGTGGAATCTCTGTTAGTGCCAATCTAAATGCACATGATATGGCCGTCTTCAAGGTGGTTCGGATTGCGAGCGGGTAGTTCGTGCCAATTCCAGAATGACTGTAAGTGACATTTCTATTACTAGGTTCGGGGCCCAGCTCTGACGGATCTGTTATTAGGGTACTCTTAGTGTTTATAATTTGGAAGAAGTCATCTTGAACTTGAAACTTCTATTTCGCCCGGCTCGGTCGTTTTAATGCCGTAGCGGCAAGATGGCCCTTGGTTGTTGCATTTCCGATGTGTTGTACATAACGGAGTCCCGAGTCTATGATTACTCCCCAGATCTTGGCGGTTAGTTTCCTTTGGTGTGATTGCTTCCCCTTTGATTGTGACCGGTCTTGGTTTTGACAGGTTAGAGGACTGAAATGTATTGACTGCACTGCTAGGTTTCGTACGGGCAGATCTCCATGCAATGAGATGAAGTCTCACTCCCGGGCTCGATGAGCGCTGCTGGTTGGGCGGCTTCCACCACACCTGGTACTTGAGTTCGCAATGTACTAGGGTGGTTCATGACAATCACATGGGTTTCCATGGGAGCTACAGCGTTGATTTAATGAGTGTTATTGAAGACAGAGGGGAATTTGACTTTTAATGGTTAGAATTGTCTTGAATAAGACAATACCACCCACCAACGCCAAACAACACATATTTGCCTTCATCAAGTGTAATCTCTTACTAGCTTAATGCATGTTTCGTGCAATATCCCCATTTCCTTCCCCTGTGAGAGAAGTCTTCACTTCTATATTTGACTCTGTTTTTCAGTAGCACCAGCTCAGCGAAGCTAAGTCCCAAATGTCAGCCGCGTTCCACCCCGCGATTTTGTGCCTAAAAAAGCCTACACAAGACTTGTCGGCCACAAACATGTCGGTTACAAAACCTGCGATATCCACTTTACATTCCCAAAATTCTCGATTTGTACACTTTCCCCACCACACCTTTTGCCTCCTATTTACCCACCACCATGTGTCACGACGGTGATATAGAATCAGCCCTGGCTGAAATGAACTCTTTTCTTCGTCTTAATGCAACTCAAATCGGGCATTGAGCGTATGACACTGTCCAAACGATTCAAAGGCCAAACCACCTCCCGCGGAGCCTACCTCTCTGATCACCGCTTCTGTCTAACTGACGAACAAGAACAAGAGCTTATATATCATATCAACTGTCTTGCCGACCAAGGTATGCCCCTAACAACTCAAATGGTCAAGAATTTTTGCAGAAGAGATGGTTGGGACGGTGGTAAATAAGAACTGGACCATAGGGTTTATTAGGAGACATCCAAAGGCCCTGAAAAGTCTGTATTTGCGCAATATCGATAATATACGAGTAAATGGCGAATATGCCCCTACTTATATAAGATATTCTTTGATCTTGTTCATCCTTACTTTTATGTTACTTCTTATTTATATCTTATTTATAGAGATACTGACTAAAACTCGACAGTTACTCCATGCAATCGAAAAGTACAACTTGATGGCTGATAATATATATAACTAGGATGAGAAAGGGTTTCTGATTAGTCTACTATACGCCTTGAAGAGAATCATGTCTAAAGAGGCACATGATTCAGGGTGTGTCCGTCAAGCTACCTAGGATGGTTCACGAGAGTTTATTACTCTTATGGCATGTATATCTACGAGTAGGAAAGATCTACCACTAATGTTAATATACAAAGAGGAAAGCTATGATCTATGAGACTCTTGGTTAGGTGAATTGAATATTAGGGATAAGGCACACTTTGGTGCACCGAGTACAGGATAGTGTAACGATAATTTAAGCTTGTCTGGCTTGAGCAAGTGTTTAATTGGTATATACGAAGGCAAGTAGGAAATAGTAGGAGACTACTTATCATTTGTCGGAGCCAGCCCTTTTGGGGTCCGATTACACGGTCCAAACTTTAGCGATATGCTAAGCCCGGTTGGTCAATTTCGCCTATTGACTAATCGGACCCTCCAATTGGTCAATATACCACCCCATACCTCAATTTCTCCCCATTAACCAATATACCACCCTATTACTCAATATATATTGACTTCTAGGGTAGTATATTAAAGGCATATTGATTAATAGGATTATCAATCATAGCCCGTTAGTTAATACAGCGATCAGTCAATTAGGGGGGCTTTAAGGGGCTTAAATCACGGGATCTCCACTTCCATGTACAAAAATCACGGGATCTGYACTTCCAGGAAAATAGTTAGTTTTACCTTTRGATTAATTCCAAATACTCTTATTCTCTAGAAAATGATAGTTTGTTAATAAATAGTACTATACCTATCATCAAATTCTAGTCAAAGTACAACTTTGTAATTCATTTCTACCCACTTATCCAAATCAATTATTTTCCACCCCCATTTATATATACCAATATAGCTTCTACTTCTACTTCCACCCCCCCTTTTACTCCACGTAACAGGGTATACGGCCGCCATGATCAATATATTGATATTACTAATCCATTAGTCCATACTTCAGGTACTTCCTTTCTCCCCTCCTCCCCAGAGGCTCCTGCTGGCCAGGAGAAAGCAGATAATTGGTCAGCAGAGATTGAGGAGGCCTGGGATAAGCGCTTTGCTCAAGGAGAATCAAAGAAGGTTCTTACTAGCCGTAAGCGGTACGACTACCGTTGGTATTTGGAGAACCCAAAGGCAGGGCCTCAAGGGCTCTCCAAAAAGGAAAGGCAGGAGGAGATTAATACAAAGTACTATTGTTTGGATAACTTTGAGCTTCAAAAAGGTCAAATCTATCGTCGGGGTAGGGTAGATAAGTCAGGTAATCTATACCCTGCAAGGTATGCTGTCTGTTACTCAGATGCCTTTGAAATTATCTGTTCTACACACGAAAAACTATTATATTATAGTAAGTTGTAACTTTATATATAAACTCTATACTAATAATAAATAGAAGTCAAACCAACATTTGAACGCCTGTAGCAACTATACTACGGTATCTCACGGGAGGACGTAGAATAGGTTATACAAAGATGTACTCAATGTAATAGAGCTATACAGTAAAAAGGGAAGCTTCCCCTTCAGCCAATTAAATCGCACTATCTAGGAGAGAGAATGGTTCTTGATCTAATTGACTTTCGATCTATGGCCGACGGGTCGTACTACTGGATTGCGTAGCTTAAGTGCCACTTTTCCAAGTATATTTGGCTGTAGCCCTTGGAGGGCAAGACAGCCCTTGAAGTGGCTACCCCTTTACGGACGTGGTTAGACAGTAATGGGTGCCCAAAAAAGCTGTAAGTAGCTCTATTCTATCTTTAGTATTATATAAGCTAATAAAGTATAAGGTAATTGATAATAGAACTGAATTTAAAGGGGAACTTGAAGACCTTCTTAAAGAGAAGGTAATTAAGCTAATCAGGGGCCGAGCTTACTACCCACAAACCCAAGGATCCGTAGAAGTAGCTAATAAGATCTTTAAGGCCCGGCTACAGGCTGCGCAGGGTAATACAAGTATTAAAGAATAGTCAAAATTACTCCCTATTATTACCTGGGTAATTAATACAACTAGACCTTCTACTTTACTAAAAAGTATTACCTTATACCAAGTATAGTTTGGCAGGGAGCCTCTTAATTGGCCGAATATCTCGCCCCAAAACTAGAACAGAGAGCTTGCTGAAGAGAGTACTGATGAGGAGGAGGAGGGTGAGCTAGGTATAGCCAATCAGGAGGAGCCTCAGGCTGAGGAGGAGCACTTACTCTCTGAATTAAATAAGAGAGTAAGTGAGTATAATAAAGTTACAGCTGAGCGTATAGTTAGGGCTGAAAAGGGGCAGGTAGTTGAGTATAGTGATCAGGAGGTAGCTAYTTTACAGATCCCAAAAAAGCTAAGGGTAGGGAATGAGGTAAGTAGAATACCTGTACAGGTATTACGAAAAGAGTATAAAGTAAGTTATATTCTTATTATTTTATTTATTACTAATTAAGTCTTAGGAGTATATTCTACTTATACAATAGGGTCAGCTGACCTGTATTCATTCCCCTGGGACTTTGAATAAGCTCCATAGTCAGGATATATACTCCAACCTTCCCAAAACAGGCGCGGTACACAAAAAGGACTGTATTACGCTTAATAAAGCTGTTCAGTTATTTAATAATCGTGGTACTGTCTCTGTACAACAAGCTGCAGGTCGTACTAGTAGCAAAAGGAGGATGGAGCCTCAAAGGGAGGCTCAGGCTGTACGGGCGAAAAGAACAAAAGTGGCTTCAGTTAAGGCTAAGGCAATTCAGGAGGGTAGGGCAGGAACCTAATAATTGTATATTAAATTGACCAATAGGGTGTTAATATATCCGATACGTCAATATTGAGTAATGGGGTGGCCCAAAAGTCAATATATATTGAATTGACGTATGGGGTGGTGTATTGACTAATTGGAGGGCCCATTGACTAATAGGCGAGATTGACCAACCGGGCTTAGCAGATAGACTAAATAGTTAGCGTCAACGTAAGCGAACCTATTATTCTACAAATGCTCGCTACATTACCCACCCTCACTATCTCTTACTGTTTACATCTCCGCACCGATCTTAAACCCATCAACCCCTCAGAAAGACGCCAAAGCCCCGTCCTGCAGCCCCAAAAACATACAATTCTCCTCAAATTACACCCAGACGTTTCCCCCCCTTCCCACAATCAAGTATCTCCCGAACAAGCAACTTTCCTCCATACTTTCTTTACACTTTCCGTAAAGCTCCATCCATCAAACAGTCACACTATGCGTCGCGGAATCCGTAAACGTGCCTTTTGATCTCGATAGTTTCTAGTCTGTGCAGTATTCGAGTTTCCTGAGATTACATCGCCGGAGTTGTTGCACTCCCATCTACGGGCGTGCCTATAGAGCCAGAAGAACATGTAGCCGCCGAAGACGAGACGACTGCAACGGGAGCAACGAGGCCTTGCCGCTCAAAACCCTCCAAAGCCCTTCCAACAAGCAAGCAGATATCCAAGTATGACCCCGATGGATGCAAAACACTATAGCACATGCAGAGTCTCACTCCAGTCCCCAATGCATAAAAAGATGGGTGCCCCAGATCAGCTCGTCCTCCTGTAGTTCCCTCCTCTCTAGTGTTTCCACCGCCACTTGAGTCTCCCGCTGCTCCAACTCCTCAAGGCCCTGAGCTGGGGTGCCATATCGAGAAGCATCTCGCAGCTCTTCTGGTCTGCTACCAGTGGGATCAGTCCATTCTTTGACTTTTGATCTCGTCCTGTGATGCCTCGACCAAACGAGGATGGGGGAGCCTGGTGCGCTGGTCGCTGATGAATTCACTTGCTCTACCAAAGCTAGCTCTAGTTCTTTCTCCAATTCAGCCATTCCATCATCAGTCCATCTATCATCGCCGTTGTTGGGAAGCTTGGGCAGGGAGCGAGGCGCGACTCCATCGACGTGCTCGAGTGATACTGCTGATGTCTTGCTGGTTAATCTGATCCTGTAGTGGAGTAGAGAATTGGGGGAGGATCTGGGGCTGATCTTGTGCGGGAGCAGCAGACACGCCTTGCTGCTCACAAACTCCAAGTCTTGGAGCAGGCTCGTTGATCCAACAACCCTCCTCAACATCACATCATTGACCGGATGTATCAATGTCGCGGTGCAAATTGAGTCGAGGATTAGACGACAGGTTGGAGGGCTGTTCCAGCTCGCGGCGCAATTTTGTGGAGGGCAATTGCAGTCGCGGCGCAGTATTAAAACCTTATCATATGAACCCTCTTCCCTTCCACTTACACGTCCTCCCGTAACTCAAGGGGAAGGGCATGGTCAAGGTATACACTCCCAGCTGTTTTAATGAGTACCTGTACTGTAGATGCGCTGATAAGATAAGCGGATATCGTCACTCCACATGCGCTATCTGGGGCTAAATCTGGCGCAGCCGCCGCTAGGTAAGGTACTCGTAACATCTCAAGTCAAATTCGACCTTATATTCAAAACCGACCCCAAAACCTGCCCGGTATTTGAGATCTGCGAACTCACTCTTACGCTCACCCTCCCAGTTCCAGGGCACCATCATTTTCCCACCGCACCCCTAGTTGATGCTCAATGCCGCCGGCCCCACGGTTGTTGTTGCTCTGAATCCTACGCTGCGACTACTGCGAAGTACTGCCGTCCGCGCATTCCTCCTCCTCCTCCTCCTCCTATATACCTAGGTATTAGCGCCCTGTGAGGGCATTCCAGGTTCTGTCCTGGGGGACGTATGGCATCGACCCCGCTGGCTTAAGCTTGAACGGAGGAGCGGGCTGCGACGAGCGGAGCGCGCAATGCCCCTCCCACCACGGTTGTTCCCCGGCGACGTCGAGCTGGGGAAACGAGACGATGACCACAGGCCAGGCACGAAGATAACGAATCCCCTTGGGTTGGGGCTGGGGCTCCTCTGGGAGCCGCGGCGGCTGCCTCATGCGCCGCATCGAAGAAGCATACGGCGGTTCGCATTGGGCGTGTTGGCTTTAATCGCCCTTTACTATTTTTTCAACAACATACCAACTGATCTCGGCCCTCCAAGAAAGCGGCCATATTACAACCCCCCAGATAGCGGACCGACACCAGCACTCCCGACAGGTTTGAAGACGTCATCTGCGGAACCTCCACATAAGCACAAGCAAGAGCAAGAAGAGGACGGAGTGGAAATACTACGACGTAATTTCAATGGCCCGATCAAGTTTTATAAGCTTGCCTCGTCACTTCGGGCCGCTCCGACGGCAAGACCTGCTGATCTATACAACCGAGATATCGTGAGTGTTATGGTCCTTCAAGCTGCTACAACATTGCTAATGATCCCAGCTCTTCGCCGCTGCTAGTTTGAAAAGTGCTGCCATTTTGCTGCCTATCGCCTGTGACATGGCTATGCGCAAAAGGAACTTTGTACATTTTGCTCTTATGGGGAGGGACCCTATCTCGATAGACATATTGAAATCGGTAAATGGTATTTCAGAGGATTGCGGGATCCTATTCCATGGTATGCCATATGTGCTCCAACGCTGCGAGATTTGAGGGTCTAACTTCTTCAGATGCACGTCCTGATTTCTCTACCACTAGCACCGACTTTCGCATGGAAGTCAGTAGTTCCGCAGCCTTCAATCATATCAACAACTTTGTGAAACCAAATGCAGCGTTGGTGGATGGGTCAGGAGGAGAAGAGCCATTCTTTCTAAAGGGTATCAAGGCGAGAGCCTTGGCTCTTCAAAAGACAGTAATAGAACTCCCTGAGAATGCGGAACAAAATTTGATGTGGATCACATTATTGGATAGCTCCTCACTAAGTGGTAAGTCATCCTCACTTTCTTCTCCGGCCGTGACTAAACCTTTCTAGCCTGGAACATGGCCAGTATTGACATTGCTGTGCATGCTCAGCCTTCCGCCTCCGGGTCATTGATGAGATTGCTCGACTCTTTAACGAGGGCAGACTTTTTCTCCAGTGCGCCGCCGCGTTTAACAATCGAATTACCCAACCAGATTGACGAACCTACCAAAGAATATTTAGCTCGATTTAAGTGGCCCCCGAATAGGGTTGATAATTCGGGCAGCTTGCTGACATTGCATCATCGAATTTCCCAACATAAAGCTACAGCGGAAGAAAATTCGATCCGTTTTCTCGAAACTTTTTGGCCCGCCGATCCGTGGACATCCCATGTTCTAGTGCTCTCGCCCCAGGCAGAGCTTTCACCTCTATTCTTTCACTACCTCAAGTATACATTGTTAGAGCACAGATATTCGAATGATAACCCGGCCTTACATTATAATATGATGGGAATCAGCTTGGATCTCCCTTCAACATACCTCAACGATTCTTCTGCGTTCACGCCACCAGCCACTAATACGTCGGACGTCACTCCCTTCCTCTGGCAAGCACCAAATAGCAATGCAGCTTTATATTTTGGGGATAAATGGGTTGAGCTCCATGATTTTGTAGCTCGACTTCTTACATCGCAACATAATCTACCCACCCCACCGACATTGAACGAGAAGTTGGTTAGCAAGACGTACCCTTCTTGGCTCGAGCATGTCTTGAAGCTCATCCGCGCTCGGGGGTACTGGCTCTTATATCCAGGTCTAGAGAAAACAGATTCTCTTGTCACCCTTCACAACGATCTATATCTACCGCCTGACGAGTATAGGGAGGATGTCGAGATGGGGGCAGAGTCTGACCAGGGAGAGCTAACCGCTGATCCTGACCGGCACCTGTCTCTTAAACACACAGAGACTCCGCTAATTACTAAACCCCTCCTGACCCTCTTACCTTTTAGTGGAAGTCTTCCGAAGGTCGCGGGAATGCCACTGCTGAGCTGGGATGGGGAGAGAATTGATGCAGGTGATATTGGAAACCATGCTGCTAGTTATAGTGTGCTATTCCGGGAGGAGATCGGAGGTTGCGACGCCTCTGCAGCCCTGGAGCCGGTCCTTGGACTAACTGCGGAGGACTTGTTCTGCTTAGATAGTGCGCCGGCCGAGGGCTAGTATATAATCGTACTGTGTATAAATTTCTAGAAACAACATTTAATATCCCTAATACCTCCCAACGCCAACGGCAACTGCAATAAACCGTATAGCAGCATCACCACTAGTCACTGCTCCCCTGGAATCAATTATCGTATTATTAGGGGCAGGTTTTTACTTCAATTAATACACTATTGTGGCATTTCAGAACCTGACAGTTCAATTTCTCGTTTGTGTGCGCGATTGGCCATGAATTATTTGTAAACACTGTAAAGGTTCGATGTGGCCCGTGCGCATACATTCCTTCGTGTACCTAACAGAACACGAATTCATCTCAGCCCGCTCAACAACAATCCCATCTCGGTTTGCTTTGAATGTTCTCTGCTGAAAAAAATGTATGAAGATTCCTGGTACAGTTATGTGCCTGAACCAAGCTCCCACAAGGACGATGCCCAGGCATCAAAGCATCGTCGTGGGGAGTCCATGTTAAAACAAACCAATGTCAGCTACCCCACTGCAGTATACAAGCACGCTATTAATGAGTCCAGTAGGGGAACAACCAGATACCTGGACCATCTGGATCAATACTTGAGCTCTTCGAGGAGACCGCAGATTCTAATGGCCCACCTAAAGCCACATTAGCCAGAAGAGCCAAATCGTATGGCAATTTCTATGAGATCGCTGTTGGCTACCTGGATAAAGAGTCCAAGGGGCAAACAGTTCGAGATCCCTTCGAACCTCTAGAAGTGGGCCTGGGGAATCGCCCTCTCGATGCCTCGTACGAGGAGTGCGAAGAAGAGTTGTTAAATGCGAGTCACGAGGAGTACCAGTATGCCAAGCTAGGTGAAGCTCTTATCATGAATCTCTACTAATATTTGAAAATAGACTGTATAGAGATCAGTTGGCATTATCGGCACGGCATCTTGATAACCTCCTCAGCGACACTACGTCTGCATTGGACCTACTAGCCACACTATCTGAATCTTTTAAAGCCGTTGAGTCTGAAACGACAGCATTTCAGAGCCAATGTGAAGATCTCTTATCAGACCAAAACCGCCTTCGTGATCTAGCCGATGAGGTAGGAACAGAGCTGCAGTATTATGCATATCTAGAACCTCTGACTCGTCGTCTCAACGCTCCGGGTGCGGGGAGATTGATTAGAAGTGATGACTTTCTAGACATGCTTATGAATTTGAATACATGTATAGATTTCATGGACCAACATGTAAGCTTTCACTTTGCTTCGAATCGTGCTATTGGGCTACTCTTACTTCAAGAGACAATTACGTGACACCATCACGAGCTTACCAGTTTTAAACTTGAACTGCGCTAACTCACATAGCCAACTTACCGAGATTCAAGTATTTACAAGACCCGATATACATCTCTTCTTGAGAAATCTCTCAGTCTTGTGCAGATGGCATTCTCGAACGCTTTGCGCGAGGTAACCGACGATGCCACCAAACAGCTTCGATTGAAGGAACAAACAGAGACTGCAGAGTACATCCTTTTGTACGGCAAATACGAGACAGTCATCTCAGACCTAGGTCCTCAGGTCGAGAAGCTTCTACGGACCACCGAATTTCCATTCAGCGATAACAGCGGGTTCAATAGTCGAAGTGCTAATGTCCAACAATGGCCTGAGTTCTACAAACAAGTCGTCGACACCTATATCAAGAGCCGTGAGCCAGTTGGCCCCTTGGTACTGAAGAGTCTCCGGAAATTTGCCGCCAGCGATCCAAAACCAGAAACAGATTTCAAATCATTTGTGAGACGTTGTATCCAATACGTTTTTGACATCTGTTACAACGAACTTACCCTCGTGGAAAAGTTCTTCCAAGATGGTCCCAACTGGAACAAGGATGGGGAGCTGGCAGAGAAGATCGAAGAGAATCGATTTTCACATCTAGCAACCCTCTACACGTTCTTAACACCATATCTCAGCAATTGCGACCTAACACGTATTTGCGGTCTGACTAGCTGGTTAGAGGCGAATTATCTGACGTCGAATGAGGACTTTGACAGCGATAGAACCCGGGAGGCTCAGAAATTGACGGCGCATGTCCTACTTGACAAGCATCTCTGGCCGCTCTCAGACGCACTCTTCCTCAAAGCAGCTGCCGAAATCGAACACTTCAAGCCGTCGCCCGATGATCTTCAAATTGCCATCAAACCCGCCACAGCCCCGGTCGATGAGAATAAAGCGGTGGCGACGAGCGAAGCACTTGATAGCGAAGCACATGGAGACGCCCATACACAAGCGAGCCCGGGCATGTCAAATGCATATCCAACCGTAAAGACTGCCATTAAACTATTAGTCATGTATAACGATAGAGTATATGACAGACCCGTAAGTAACCCGTTCTATTTAATTCTGGCTGCTGTATTTACATTCTTTCCAGAGAACAGGTGATGTGCTCTACGAGATTGTCCACCAAGCGACCGAATCTCTTCAGAAAGCAGCGACAATCATCAAACGCAATTCTACCATCATGGATGCACAATTATTCCTCATCAAAAACCTGATGCTCATCGAAACCTTATTCATGACACATGAATTACCAGACTCTATCCGGCAGTCTGCCGAGTTTGACTTCACACCGATATGGGAGACTATCAAGGAACTCCAGGATAGGAAGCAGCTCTTTAATCCTCTAGCATATTTTACACCTCTTTTGAAGGGCAAGCTGCTTCCTACTGTTGTTGACCACCTATTGGATGCAAGGAAGGAGTTGGAGAAGGTCCTTGTGCAGCAGATCACGGCATTTACAAAGTATTGGCAATCACGTTTGGGTGATAAGGATCCCAACAAGAAGGGCTCGATCGAAAAATCAACGGTTGAACTGGACAGCTTGCTACGGAATGTTTTCGAGGACGAAACTACCAGAGCTGCGTTGTGGAAGATGATCAGGGCTGAAGAACAATATTAGATACGAAAAGGTAAAGATCAGAACGACATTTGAAAATACACTGGTGTTATGAACCCCCTATACTTCCATCGATATTAGTTCCTCTTCACGTACCTCCCTGAATCTGTGGTGTGGGAGTATTATTCCTAACTTGAAATTTGCCATTACGAACCTACCTAGGTAGTATTCAGTCGACTTATCCTAGAAGATGAGTGGGACAGGGAATTATAGGGCGTAGTTAGTCAACTGAAGTGATATTAATAAAACCAACTCCCTAGGTTTTATCAGGCTAAATTGACTATAAGGCTCATATCTCAATGCTGCATACCCAGGTTTCAGGTAGATAGGTATGTTGGTGTTTGTACTTTGTATTGACCTGGAATCCATGGCACAAATCCCGAGCTCCGAATTCACGACGCGGATTTTGACTTCGCGTCGTCCAACATCATCACCATTTCCCTCCCAGCATTTCCGTCCGCTGTACCTCTTCCTTCTCCAAATAGGGCATTCTACGCGGCGCAAGCGCTCGGCCTCTCGCAAACAGTCTCCGTATCACCATTTTCCTCAACCTCGAGTCAATTGCGACGCCTTCGAGTATGCGATGAAGCCCAGCAATGCGCCTCCACAGAACAATTAGCCCACGCTCCCGATTTTGACTGGGAGAATGCCCCCAGCAGTTTGCAAGTTCTGGCAGCAAGGCACATGCCGAAATGGAGGTTGGTACAAATATATCAGCGATAAGGCTTCGAAGCTAAATATAAGGGGTAGACAGGTGCAGGTTTCTACATCAATCAAACGGCGTGGCCACGGGCAATCGTTTTGCAGCCCTCCAGACCCCAGATACCTCGAACCCTCGGCGCAATGTTGGATATCATCAAAGTCAGGCCGCGAGTAAGCATCTCCTACGAATTACCTTGGGGTAGGCTGATATTGAAGGCTCGTCGACAGGACAACTACCCTTCTCCCTCGACAAAGATCACATCGTGACGGATTTGTCTTCAGAACGACCACAATGGATTCTGTCTGCCTACGGGCCTGGAAGGAATGCCCCCGCACAATTATTTGGCGGGGAGCAACGAGAAAAGAGCTTCGAAGAAATACGACTTGCGCATTATGCAGGGATCGCGTCAGGTAACCCACAACAAGCTGTAGGACACCTTCCCATTCAAAATGGTTGGTTACTGACTTGGGATAGGTCCAAGAAGCCGATGCGTTGTATCAGGCGTCGGAGCAGCAGATCCAGACTGCATTGAATGATGTCGATGGGGCCATCAATTTTATAATAAACGCCGAGAAAGAGCACCCCAATAGAATAGATATTTGCAAAGGCGCACAAGGAGCTGCAGCTGGTCCATCATCAAATCCATTTAGCACCAACGCCTCTCAACCTACCGTTGCGAAGAATCCTTTTGGAGCCCCAAGTCAACCAGCCAGTATATCAGCATTCGGAGCGCCTTCTGGAGCCGCCGGCGCATTCGGTCAACCATCAGCTCTTGGTGCAAAACCAAACCCATTCGGAGCACCGACCCAGGCCTTCGGGGCTCCTTCACAACTTGGAGCGACAGGAGGGTTCGGGCAACCCTCCGCATTAGGCCAAAAACCAAACCCGTTTGGGGCCCCATCAGCTGGCCAAGCGCCAGGAACATCTGGCCCTTCAGCATCGGGCTTCGCAGCATTTGCTGGCACGCCCGCTCCCTTTTCTCAGCAAAATCAGCCACCCAGTACTAATGCGTTTGGGGCGCCTTCTCAGCCTACAACTTCGAGCGCTTTTGGAGCCCCATCACAGCCTGCTCCGGCTGGTGTATTTGGTGCTCCATCACAAACAGCACAGTCCAGTGCGTTTGGTGCCCCATCACAACCAGCACAGTCCAGTGCGTTTGGTGCACCATCACAACTTGGCCAATCCCGTCCGTTTGGCACATCAACCTCACAGACCCAGCCCAATCCATTCGCGTCAAACACGTCTCAGCCTTTCGGCGGACCGCCTCCTTCAAAACCTGACTTTGGTGCCCTATCACAACCCGCAACTCAAACTCCGTTTGGAGGAGCAACAGGCCAACAGCAGAATCCTTTTGGAGCACCTTCATCTGCTAGTGCTGCTACTCCCAACCCCTTCGGTCCGCCTCAACCGACTCCTACAGCACCCCCAAATCCATTTGGAAATGCAGGAGCCGGGCCATCAGGCGCAACCCCCTTTGGTACCCCAGCTCAACCAGTTGTCAATGGCCATGCTGGGAAAGGCTCTCAACACCCGCCCCTGAGTAACTATGCCTCCAAGGATGGCAGTGGAAGATTGACTATGTTTAAAGGCAAACGGGTCATATATCGCGACGGTGAACCAGGCGTACAGAATAGGGATGGAACTTGGGCGAAGATCTGGTTTCCCGATGGGCCACCACCCTACTATAAGGACACAGAGCTGGAAGACGAGGCATATGATGAAAACACAAAGGCGGCGTATATGCATATGATGCAGACGGGCATGTTTCAAAATGGCGCCATGCCGCTGGTGCCTCCTAAAAGGGAGTGGTGTTTGTGGGATTTCTGAATCATACGGTGTTTAGACTCATGGTCTGGGAAGCATTGGGAAGGCGTTGTGGCATTATTATCGGTCTATACCAGAAATCAAGATGTAACAGCAAGAGATCTACACGATTCAACAGCCAATCGACTGATGATTGACAATTATAATGCGCGACATCTGAAGATTGATGCAATCCCTATATCAAGTTGGGTTGTGAGCAATGGTCGTACGCTACTTATTATTATTATTACCTATTTTGGAGAAGTTTATATCGGACGATCAAGTGGGGTATATATATGAGCGAGTACCACAAATAGAAGAAGCTTGCTAACAAGCCAATACGTGCTTTCCTGGTCTCACCAGGCACCCAAGTTGGTGGCTCTGTCACGTGGAGGCATCGTGTCAGCATGTCTTTATACCCCGCGCTTTCGTTTCTGACTTCCAAGCAATGAACTCGCAAAAAGATCACTGTGGCTTTGAGGATAATGGCGCAGATGCCAGAACAGACCACCCCGACGGTTGTGGACTCCATTGACTCGCTGCAATTTCTTATCCGGGAGCTGATCAATCAGGTGGAACCTAAGACCTTGTATATCGATCTTGAAGGGATAAATCTCTCCCGCCATGGAACTGTGTCTTTTCTCACACTACTCGTAAATTATGGCGGCGTTCACCCTGATCATCTATATCTAATCGATATCCATACGCTTGGATCTGCGGCATTCAATACCTCCTCAACTACCCTCGCTTTGAACAACCAATCCAAAACATTAAAAGATATTCTCGAGTCTCCAACGCAAACCAAAGTGATTTTCGACGTCCGCAATGACTCTGACGCTCTGTTTAGCAATTTTGGTATCAGGCTGCAGGGTGTCATGGATTTGCAACTCATGGAGAATGCAGCTCGCAAGGGCAATGTTCGCGGCAAGAAAATGGTCCATGGGCTGGCGAAATGCATCAAAGAGGACTCGAATCTTTCAGAGGATCAGAAGATAAAGTGGGAACTCGCGAAAGAAGAAGGTCGGCGTCTTTTTGCTCCAGAGCTTGGGGGCTGCTACGAAGTCTTTAACGAGCGGCCTTTGAAGAAAGAGATCAAAGCCTATTGTGAACAAGATGTTTGGTTCTTACCACATCTATACAAGGTTTACAGAGATAGACTTGGCATTGGATATTCTGAGGGCCCGAATTGGTACAAAGCGATCTCTTCTGAGACGGCAAAAAGACTCGAAGAGTCGAGGAGTGAGACGTACGAACCGCAGGGGCGAGATAAAGCATTGGCACCAGTGTGGGAAACATCTCAATATGTTTGAGGACAATGGGGAGTTCTTCATTTGATAACTGGTTTTGTCAATGCTAGCACGAACTCTTTTTCCCTGCAGCAAGAAAATCATTGCGATCAAGACAAAGGCAGCACTTCAAATTTTGCCATGGGTGTGCTACAGGCATTTAAATAAGTCTAAGGTAGCTAAAAATTCGATTCAATGGAGAAAGTGGGATGGCATAGGTATAGCAAAAATCCATACAAATTGATGGGTCTGACGATATTCTTGTTTCGCATGCCGTCGCGACTCCACGTTTGTACGAAGAAGGGCAAGTCTAGTCTAGATATCGGCGGGAATATATCCCACGTATATCCTTCGATCATACATTTCTGTTGTCCATCGCTTGGAAGCGATAGGAATAGTACTATATTGGAGTAAGTTTTGCCCGAATGTCAGCTAGTCCTGGTGTGCGACCTCTCCGGTATATATATTGATTTAAGCAAATAGCTGTCACATACGACCATAGACTGAGGAGAAATGGGCATCCCGTCCGCTCTGCCATACACAAGCCTCAGATCGGCAGATTAGTAGTTGGGTGGGTGACCACCAGCGAATACCTGCTGTTGTATGTTTTTATTTTTACATTTTGTATCGTTTAATTACTTTTTGCTCTTTTTTTTTTTTTTTTTGCGGACTGCAATTACTGTTGTTGTCCTCCATGGTCCTAGTGGGATATTGAGAGGGGAGCACCGAATCCGTCGTCCAACCAACCTCAATCACTAACCTTACCTCCTCCATCCAACTCTACGCTACGACAGTGAATGAAGTCCTGTATATAATGAACGAATCCGCGACCGTTCTTTAATAAAAGGCCCCAGAAATCAGGAGCCCAAGTCAAAACAATTTCTGGCATAAAGGAGATCAAGGAATTTTGGGAAAAGTTGCTTGTCGGGAAGCTTTAAGAGATAATAATTAGAAAGTTTCAAGCTTAGGGAGGAGTCCTCGATCATCTCAATTGTCAAAATCAGAACCACAACGGATTTGGTTTGAAGTCCCAGCCTTCAAGTCAATTCCAAGCTATATTCCATCAGACTCGCCCTATAAATGCCCTTGCGGAGTCCCCCCCTCCCTTGGCTACCAACTTCACGGCAGAATGTAGGAGACGGCCACAATTTACAAAGGCTAGAAAGAGTTCTTGTTGGTCTAAACTATGTTCTATCTTCAACCCTTGCTCTCCGGATCGGTGTTCATTTTGGCGGTGATGCACTTAGTTCAAGTTTCGGTTCAGGCATTAGGGAAGGTGACGGAGACGATAGAGGTAGTGTTACGTAGTACCGGGTCTTTTCTCCACAAATGCATTCGGGAGCACTATTAGATATTGGATGGCCGCAACCCTTGCAGGGCTCAGGATCACCCATTGTAAAGGTGTGATATTGACGTATTATTGAGGTGGTAATTAAATCTGTAGCTAGAAAGAGTAATGTTGAATGGAAGTTCGTGTTGATGGTTGCCACTGATTTGGGGCGACGGGGCGGCTGCTTATACAGTACTCGTGCTAATTAATACAGTAGTACGCATAGGGGTGTTGTATTATACCTAGGTACGAAGTAGATTGATTTGTTGGTGACTGTTAGTGACTTGCAAGTGCTGACGGTCAGTGAGAGCGAGACCTGGGGGCTGTTTCTTATAGAGCCAACCCCGACCACATATCCAGCACCGCAGCGAGCCAGTCACATATTCTGGCGCTACGTAGCGTTGCGTCAACTGTACGAAGTAGTAGTTTATGCTCCTGTCCCCTATACATACTCTAGGTAGTTAATATATCAACTACCCTCGTAGTAGTCTTCGTTAATCGGGAAATATCCAAGAAGGCAGGGCCGTGAGTCAATTATATTCCTCTTCTCCTGTAGCGCCTTCAAAAACAGGATTTAACAGATATAGAACAACACCTTCCGATCACATTGCAATCATGCCATCATCAACAACATCATCATCTTGCACCTCACCTGATCCCTCCCACCTCACCATACCAAGCAAACCCACGGCTCCAATATCATATACCTTCTTCCCAGGCGCCAACCCCAGTTCCTCCCCCTCAACCCACCTGATAATCTTCATAAATGGCCTCGGCCTCCCTGCCGCCTCCTGGACCCCCAGCATAAACATTCTCCGCACTAAACTCCCCTCGCACCCAGCTTGTCTAACCTACGACCGCTACGGCCAAGGACTAACAACCGCACGGGACCCTATCGACGGCAGCCCCGGAAAAGAAGATGGCCACGATTTCCTCGACGTCGTAGCGGACTTGCACGAGATCATCAATGTCATTGCAGCCACGAAATTTAGTTTCGCCGACGACGCAAAAGATATAGAGAATGGAAAACTACAGCTATTAATGATAGGCTCCTCTATCGGTTGCCCTATCATCCGTCTCTACGCGCAACACCACTCGGGTCTAGTATCCGGCGCCATATTCCTCGATTCTAACATAGCGAACGCGAATTTCTCAGATTTCCTCCCGGATCCGGACGACCCTTCTTTCACTCCTGACATGGTGGTTGCGGATGATTGCACGCTGATGCAATATAGAGGTGCGAGGGATCGACTCGCTGCTATGTTTGATCTTGGTGTAAAGAATGCCGAGAATTTGGATCGAAGGAGTGGGAGAACGTTGTTACCGAGTGCTGAGAGCCCCAAACTGGTGGGACCAGCGGGGAAAGGACCTTGGTTGAATGTTGTAGGACATGATCCTGAGGTGTTTGCGGAGAGTGGGTTGGAGAGGATGGGGACGCCGAAGAGTTTGACTATGAGGTTTACTAATCCGTGAGTTTTTGTATTGTGAATGGCAGTGGGATCGATATGCTAATTTATATATAGGTATTGGGCCAAGTATAATAAAGGGCTTACGCGTATTACGGATCCAGAGAGGTGCCAGGGTGTCGCTATTGCAAAGGGCTGTGGCCATTTTATTCACTCTGATGATCCTGAGTTTGTGGCGGGTGAGGTTATGAGTATTATTGAGAAGCTAGGATGGTGAGAATGCTTAGTTTTACTCTAAAGTCGGTTGCTGGGTATCAGATAACAAGCCCTGCTCCAGATCGAATGAGTTAGATAGGCAACATGCAAAATTACTTTTCCTAGGAGTTATAAACCTCGCAGTATATAGTGCTTTACTTGAACTAGTTTTCCCGGTTGTATATTTCTGAACCAGCCGCCATGGATCCGATACCAAGTATCTTCAGTCTCATTTGATATAATATGACTAACCCCATGATCGCAATGACAAGTCATGGCCCGGTCTAGAGCCATGTTACCCAATTTGAGGTTCAATTTTAAACCACGTGGACTGGAACGGATGCTAGGTTCAATGATTTTGTTTGATGCCTTCTGACTATCACAACTCCCCCAACCACCCCTTCAGACGCCCTATAATACACACCTCTTACGCCAAATCATACAACCTAGAGCAAATCACATCATCCTTGGTAAGCTCAAATCCATTTATGTCCCGTAATTTTGACCTCCATCCGCTCTTTACTCTCCTCTCTAAACTTCTCAGCTCGCTTCTTCCTCGTGGACGCATCCTCTTGTTGCACAGCAAGCCTACACAGATCCAGGTCCCTTACCTCCTTCCACTTTTCCCCATGCAGTTGCTTATACAATTCGTCGGTGCCATTGTCCATATCCTTCATCCAGCTTTCCAAGGACGCCAGCTTCTGGTCTATAATCCACTGTCTTTTACCATCACCGTCGGCCTTCATGCGCTTGATCTTTGTACTCGCCTCGGCCTCTAAGTGGGTCTCGCGGATTTTTCGTTTGTTAGCCTCTGCCTCCTTGCTACGTGCTTTGTCGGCGAGGTAGCGTAGGCTATGGCCGAGTTTTTGAGTATCCTCGGGAATAGGATTGATGTCCAGGGGAGGCGCAGTGAAGAATATCACCTTGCCGTATTCATCTTGTTGGAATTGACCACGAATATCGGCGGGGATGGACAAATTTGCAGACTCTGATAGGGTATAGACCTCGACAGGACGAGGAGGATTATAGGCATTAGTATGAGGTGTATGAGTTGTCGGGGGTGGTGCAATACTGCGCACTGGGGTCACAGAAGCACTGTTCTGATATTGACCATAATTGGTAAGCGGAGTCGCATGTTGAGCGACTGGGGTTGCGCCAGAAGTGAATTGAGGGGTGTAAGAGGTCTGTTGGTAGAGTGGCGTATGTGTTGAGGGCGGGAGGCTACTAGAGCTATGGCTTCCGTAGGATGTTTGTTGTGCTAAAGGAGCAGGTGAGGGCGATGGGCGAGCCGCTGCGTATGATTGACCATATTGAGTTGGAGCTGTGGTTCGGCTCGCAGCTGGGGAGGGAAGAGGGGCACTGGCTCGCGTACCAGACATGGCAACATCTCCTTGCGAGTCGAATCGCGGACGATCAAGAGCCACCGACCGGCGAGGTGGTTCAGGTGTGGGTGGTGGAGGTGATGGGGTTGGCTCAGGGGGCGGAGATTCCTAAAGTTAGATGTTAGGATTGCGGTTTGTCATTGAAAATAAACCAGTTTTCAACTCACATTATCTTGGCGAGGGCGTTTGTGAACGGCCCCAACAATCGGTGGGGCATTGGGGGCTCCCCAGGTCGGTTTCGGAATGGAATCCTCCTCCTTTGCGTCTTCTCGAAGCAGGTGCTTGATTGGACTTGGAACTTTTTTCATCTTCCTCGGGGCATCAAAAAGATCCATCTCATAATCCCTATCCCTCACCTCATCCGGTACACAACTAGCCCACGTCTTGATCTTATTCATCACATGCTCCTTCTCGTTGTAGCGAGCCTCACACACATAGACTTCTTTATCAGCGGGGAATCCTCGAGGGCGGCCTTTGTTGTATCGGGTGAAGAACATGACAAAGCAGCGATCAACAACCTCTTCGATTTTGGAATCTCGGTATTGTCCAGTTTTCACCACCTCGTTTTCGTAAAAGTGTTTCTCGTAACGATGAACGGTCTGCTCAGGGCGGTAGTACCAACAGGCGTTGATCCATTTCTGCCCTTCCTGATCCTGCCACGTCCGGAAGATTTGGGCCACGATAGGCTTGGTAACGTCGTTGGGGTTTAACAAATGGACCCAATCTCCCACTTTCCACAACTCCCCATTGTACATAATCTCAGACAGTGGCAGCCTTCCATCTTCGTCTAGGAAATCGGTGTCCGGCTTTTTCTTTTCTTGTTCGCCGATTATCCTAGCCTCTTTCTGCAGATCAACCGCATCTTTATACACCTGGCTGCTATCCAGATTGTACGATTTGGCATTCTCAAACATAAGTTCTAGATCTTTCAACACTTGATCCACGGATTGGTACTTCTTCCTCTTCGCCTTTCTCTTAATCAAGTCCATGGCTATCGGATTCTTGACTTCTTGGTAATATTCTGGCATGACCGATTTATCTGGCAGCTTCTCAAAGTGCAAGATCTTAAGATCGCCCATGGAATTCTTGAATTTGCGCAACCCTTTCAGAAGTGCGCTGATTCGAGCTTCCATGGGAGTATGGACCTTGGGTGGCCTGCCTCTCTTCTTTTGGGACTCGTGGTCCTTTTTATCGTCGTCGACCTTTCCGTCCCGTTTAGCAGCGCCAGAAGATCGCCGCCCTCTCTTATTCCGCCGTCCTCGCGGGCGGTCGTCATCTGTGCCATCATCCTCTTCATCCTCGTCTGACTCGTCCTCGTCCTCTTCGGGTTCTTCATCCTCTAGTTCAGGAGGCGGCGAGGGGTCGGCGGGAGGTATTTCACCAAGATCTGGAAGCTCTGCTTCTTCCTCGGTCAAGACCTTCTGCTCAACTAACTTCTGCAACTCGGCTTTGAAAAGTTCTTGGAGAGCGACGGCATCTTTGTAAACGATGGATGAAGGTCGATTATAAACCATGGCATTGTGACAGATCAAAGCGAAGTCCCGGACGAACTCTCTGTAATTCTGGTATTGCTTCTTAAGGATTTTACTCTAGCCTGGGTTTTAGTACTGGCTCCGCAGCTTGGGATAGAATTTGAGGAGGTCTACATACGCGAATGGTGCTGAGGGCAATCGGCTCCTTTATTATCTCGAAGTACGTTGGGAAATTCCGCTTATTGAGCATGCGCTGGAAAGGGAGCGCTACCTCATGCTCACTATCACCCATAACATTAGCTCGACTTCCAAGCGTGCAACCAACCAATTGGCAATGGAACCTGGCTTTGGACGTACTCCTCTGGATCTTTATAATCGCTCAGCCGCCTTACAATTCCATCTAGAATATCAAGCGCTTGTTTGTTAAGGCCAGTCGCTAGGGGCGGCGCCGGGGCCGTCTGCGATGGAGTCGCGTTCGCATCGTCCTCAGCCCCCGCAGTCGCATTCGCAGTGGCAGTTGGAGTTGGAGTCGCAATCGCAGTGTCTTCGGTCTTCACCTCCACAGACGTCTCAATTGTCGGGGTTGGCTCGACATTTGGCGCATCCGTAGCTGGGGCAGACTGTTCTGAGGCCATTGCGCCACGTCTTCAGAAGTCGTACTCCTCTGCGTGAGGTATGGAACTTGGGCTGTCAATCGACTCAATCAAAACAACGATGCTCTGCGATCGCGAAAACGTTCGAGGCTCCCTTTCGCCTGTTCGCCTTTCGCGTCCAAGGCCAACGTGCACGAGCCACGACACGTGACTGACCCTGAAGCTTACATAAAGGATTAGCTAAGGCCCCCCGGCACCTGACGTAGTACTCGGCAGGCTTAAGGTTGAGATCCAGCCTTGTCTCCTCATTCCCACTGCTGTTGCCATTGCCACTGCCACTGCCACTGCCTTTCCATTGCATTTGCCATTCCCTTTACGTCGCCGATAGATCACCATGATTTCGTGATATCTTCATCATTCTCTCCCAAATCTAGCAAATTTCACGTTTGAACGACAATATGCGAACACGCCTTCGAGGCCCTGGCGGCGCATCAACAATCACCCTCGCAGAAGACGCCACAATAGGCGACTTAGTCTCCCAAATAACATCCAACACATCTCTCACCAATTTCGACGTGAAATATGGATACCCACCACGGCCGTTATTATTACAACAGTACACAAAATCCGAGGCCTTGAGCGTTCTCGGGGTGAAGCTCGATGGGGAGCAGCTTACGATAAGCCCGAGAGAGGAGAAGGCTGGGGCGGCGAGGAGGGAGACAGAGCAAACAAGTGGACCTGTTACTCAAAGTACATCTACGTCGGAAAAAGCGCACAAGGGAGCAACAGAGGGATTTTCCTTCACTAATATCCCTGGGCTCTCACAACCACAATCGCAAGCGTCAACAGGGGAGAATTTGAACAAACCAGTATCATTGCACAGGAAAGGCATGGAAGGCGATGTCCCAGAACTCCCTCTTCCAGAGCGCGGGGCAACCCTTGGTTCGTTCCTCTCCACGTGTCTATAATAGTAGCAAATTCCCTAATCAAGAACCCTCAAAAGTCCTCCGCGTAATGCCCGACGACAACAGTTGTCTCTTCCGTGCCTTCGGCACTGCCGTCCTGCCAGGCGACGACCAAACCATGCCAGAGCTACGCTCCCTAGTCGCCAGTGCAATCCACAACGAGCCCGAACTGTACACCAAAGTAGTGCTGGAGCAGAACCCAGATGATTATTGCCGGTGGATACAGACTCCTGATGCGTGGGGAGGGGCGATAGAGATGGGTATTTTGGCGAAGCATTTTGATATGGAGATTTGTAGTATTGATGTACAGGTAACTCGCCCCACCAGCCCCCTCAAGAACTTAATTATACTTTGTATGTGTGCTAACAACCAAACGCAAATAGTCTTTACGAGTCGACACATTCAACTCCGGCCGGCCCACGCGCTGCATCCTCGTATACTCCGGCATCCACTACGACACGATCGTACAATCGCCCTCCGACCCGCCTCATACCAAAGCCGACGCGCCCCCTGAATTCGATAAAAGGGTATGGGACAGCGACGATGACGAGATCCTGATAAAAGCGCAAGAGCTATGCAAGAAGCTGAAAGACAGGCATTATTTTACCGATACGGGTGGCATGGCTATTAAATGTAATGAGTGTGGCGCTGTGGTATATGGGGAGGGACAGGCGAGTTCACATGCCCAGCAGATGGGTCATTATGATATGGCGGAGGTGGTTGCGTGAAGTAGTAGCGCTACATTTGAGTGGGTGGATAAGAGCATTAGGAGATAGATACCCTATGATGACTCGTTATGACGGTATATATAGGTACCTATATATTACTAGATATCATGAATATGCAGACAATGAAGTTCGCTATCTGATTCAATGCCTCAGAACACATATTATGGACACCTCGATTTTCCATTGTAGCATTGATGTGAAATCAGGCTGAGATGGAGCCCCCAAAAAAGGAGAACAAAAGGACCGAGGACTGTATTATTATGTCGATGGTTCTGATGACCACTTCACTCACTCTCCGCTTGAGAAACTTATCGAAGAATGAGGGGAACACCTCGCTATCATCATCTCACTTCACTTAATAGCAACATAATCACATATTTTCAATAATCATTTGTAATTCTCATTTTCATTTTCATTTTCATTTTCATTTTCATTTTCATTTTCATTTTCATTTTCATTTTCATTTTCATTTNTCATTTTCATTTTCATTTTCATTTTCATTTTCATTTTCATTTTCATTTTCATTTTCATTTTCATTTTCATTTCAATTTTCATTTTCATTTTCATTTTCATTTTCATTTTCATTTTCATTTTCATTAAAAGGCGGGGGGTGGGCCATCAAGGACCCAACAAAGTGGTATAATATATACAAAGAATTCGCGATGTGCTCGTGAGCTATCGACGCGCCAAAAAAATAGAAGAAAGAACAGAAGGTAAATCAAGAGGTCTAAACCCCGTTGTTTGAAGTATGTACGTCGGTACAAGAAATTTCAACGAATAAAAAGCGACATCACCCCATCTTACGCCCCCAGGTCGAAAGTGTCTCTGACTCTTGTTTTTGCTGTGGGAGAGAATCCGTTGCGAGGGCGCGGTTTATACGCAGCTAGCTGCTTAGCCGGAAGGAGAGTCACCAAGGAAGCCCCAGTACTGCTCAGCAGAGAACTGAGAAGGGCTGCTGACCTTCCACAGATCATTGAAAGTAGTGAACAGGATGATATGTCCTGGGTTTGACGAGAAGCTGCTCTTGATGGAGCTAATAGCAGCAACTTGGTTCTCTGAGGACGGCACAGCGGCGCCGTTGGTGTCTCCCTTTGATGGCCATCCGGTCTCGGTGATGATGATCTCCTGGTTCTGGTTGGCGAGCTTGGATTTGAGAGTGGGGATTTCACGCTCAAGGAACGCTCCGGATTCTTTAGCTTCGATGGTGCCGTCGAAGAAGGGATGGCAGTTGACGGCACAGAAGTCGGAGGCGTCGCAGAGAGACGGGTTCGCGCGGGCGGCGACGAGGGTGTCAACGGTGACAACTGGGCCAGTGTATCCTGCGCTTCTGAGCTGGCTTCGGGCGCTATTAACCGCAGCGACCACCTTCTCGGGAGATGCGGCACCGCTGTTGACGAGCTCGTTGCCGATAGAGATGGTGTCGAAGGTGCTCCAGTCGCCGTTGGCAGCTGAGGTAATTAGACCAATTTCCTGGCTCAAGTTGTCGATATTGTAGACACCAGCGAAGATGGTAAGACCCTTGGACTTGGCTACTGAAAGAACATTGGAGACTTGGTTGCAGTCAGTGCCGTAGATTCGGACGCGCGAGTATCCACTAGGGATGGCAGCGAAATCCGTCCTGACTTGGTCCTGGGACTTGCAGGTGTTATCCTTGTTGTATGGAGTGTACGAGAAGCCGAAACCACTACCCTCTCCGGATGAGGGAGATGATGACGATGATGGTGATGATACTGGCGCAACAGCAGCTGCAACTACAACAGGCGCTGGGATAACGGCCGGGGGAGCCACTTCTGGTGAAGGAGACGGTTCAGCGGCCTGTTCAGTTACGGTAGAGTATGCCCAGCCCTCTTGGTCCACATAGACAATGACCCTGGGACCACTGGTAGCCCTCTCGTAGACAGTGTTCACAACGGTGGCAACAACATCGCCATCCTTCTTCTGGTGCTGAGGAGCATGACGGCCTAGGAATATTTGTTAGTTATAGATTAATCAGGGGGGGGGGGGGGGGGGGGGTAATAACGTACGCAAAGGGTGAGCGGAAACAAGTTGAAGCAGGGAGGGGGGGGGAACGGCGAAAGTGGTTGTCTTCATATTGAAAGATTGAAAATATGTAGAAGACCGGTTCTATTTTTTTTGTCGTTTTGTCGTTTGGTGAAAAGAGTGGATGATTGTTCAGTCTGTAAATCCGACCAGCGGTGGTTAGCAAAGGATATAATTGCGATGTGCTTGGCAAAGCGTGTGTTGATTGACAACTTGGATATTGAATTTGAAGTGTATTAGAAGGACAAAAGTAGGAATGCATCTCCAGAGGGATGAGAGGCAGGAATGCATATATGTAGCTTAACAGCACGGGTGTTCCACGCATAACCAACCCATGAGGCGCACTGGCACCCCCACATGTCTAAATTAGGGAAATATGATGACGTTTATTGTTTTTAGAATAGGACAATGCATTGGATATGAATCAAAGGATAGCACACACATACCTTTGTTTTCTTTTTCTCTTTGGCGGTTGCTAGGCAATGGTATCCAAAAGTGTGATTGAACGACGACTCGATATTGAAGGAATGTAATGTAACGGTGGTGGGCAGTTTCAAACTGGCACGATAGAAGATTTGACTCTAGGTCGTTGAAGTGCTTCGCACCGGTGCGGTAAGGATCGAAAGTGGCCGGGTCAACTGGTTAACGGGGCAGTGGGTGAAAGGAATGTAGTTCGTGGCTGTGGTCGTGAGTACCGTGTGTCGTGTCGTCGTCAAGTGTCCACCTGGGAAGACTGAAGGAGTGAAGGGGTGAGGAACAAGGGGATAGGAAGGAGAACAAGAGCAAGAAAGGGAGGGGGAGGGTTTAAGAACTAGCTGTAAAGGCATGTACAAAGGAGAGAAGGCGTGCGTGGGCCATTGTCATGGATTAGTTTAGTGGTACATTTTGACTCGTAGAGTGTTGGCGGGTTTGGGGCGCTGTTGGTGGTGATGTGGTGCCAGTGAGGGATGACTATTATTGACCATCCACGGCAGCACTCTACAGCCACTAGCGGGGTCTGCGTGGTGGGCTGGCTAGTGGAGTGCTGTACGGAGGTACAGCCCATAAGTATAGTAATAGCGCTAGCAGGGATCTCACTTTACTCCCCTTGCATCACAACCACAACGCATCACCAAAACGTGAAAAAGGAGAAGTGTATAGTCCTCCTCATTAGCATTATTTTCGTGCTTAAATGAAGTTTTTTGGTTGTGTATATCAAAAGTTATCAAGTGTTGAAATCGCCTGTTGCGTTCAGACCCTTGTCCGCTGTTACTATACTTATGGGCTGTACCTCCGTATGGTAACGATTTTGATTTATTAGGTGGTTTGCAACGTTTCTTGGATACCCACAGCACACATCCGTGGCCCCGTCTCCGTAAAAGCCACCGGCAAGGAACACACCGATGGGCAAGTCAGGTACAGCACAGGACTCGTACACTCCGCAGTTGGGATATGCTTGTGATTCGTCCTGAGTCCCGACTACTTCCAACTAATAGAATTCGGCTATGTATTGTTGCTGTTGCTGCACCGCAATATGTCAGACCGGCATGCTGCGTACGAGGCACATGTGCTGACTGAGCCAGAAGCAGAAGCACCTTTGCCATGTTATTAATCGATCCCAAAATACCCAATACCTGATACCCATTAGGTGAAGGCGAAGGCATGGTAGAAATCTCCCCTGGAACCTGGATATCAAACTGACTGTGTTCCACGAATACTCCGGATGAACCTTAGGTCCCCAACTACTAGTCCTGTAGGTCCATGGCCGGATGAGTTTCCACTCCCCACCACGGCTGATGAGTGTGTGCTCGACCTCCGAGCCCCAGGCCTAGGCGCAAAGCCACACGCACACATGCTATTTGAAAGAGTCTTCATGGTGCATAAGCAGTGGAACTTTGGAAGGCGACGAGGCGCTGGTGACTTGGCGGGGGCCGGATGCTGAAGATTTCTTGCGTCGTAGTGACTCTGTACCCCTCTGTGCCCTCTGTGCCCTCTGATTCCGACGGTGGTAACGTGGTTAGTGGGAGCGTAGATGCCCTTGCGATTGCGATTGTGGTTATCGATAGGAGGTGGGACACCGGGGGGCAATCAAAGCCAAGACAACTCCCAAGACCGTCCGGCGGTGATCCGGTGGTGATCCGGAGGAAAAAGAAGGCATTCGACTAAACAAAAAACCCACCCACGCTCCGTCCTCCCCAACGGGGATCCATCGTCAAGAGTCCAGACTCGGGGCAAGAGCCATATCCTCCGTAGCCCTCCTATCTAGGAAAGGCGTCTCCCTTCGAGTTTTACGCCTGTGTTAGGATCGGTCCCAATCCGGATGCGTGGTTGGCTACCAATTGGGCAAACCCGCTCAGGTACCCGCTGGTCGCTCTCTCGCTCTGTTGGGCGAACTTGGGTCTCTGTTCCTGGTGCCTGGCTAGAATACTGCGAAGTGCTGCGTAATCGATAACGGATCCCGGGAGTGTCCTTGTAGCCATCCGCCCTCGTGTGTAGACGCACCCCAAAGAAGCAATTCTATGCCATGTTTCCAGGACGCGTTGGGTCCATCTCTTCTATCTACACGCCTGGTCATTCTATTATTCCCCCAATTACTATTGTTTCACTAACTTACCCGACTTTTCAACAGACGACGAAAAAAGCCCAGACTCGTCCCAGCTCGCCCCAACTCGCTCTGCCGGCATCGTAACCCCTTGGCGATGGGGTTATCGTGCGTACGATTACGGAGTATTTCCATCTAGAACCTGGCTGAGGAGCTTTGCTTCATCGGCTATTACTCGCTCGGTGCATAGCCATCGATCACATCGTCGGATGTATTTGCGAGAATGAACCCGAGACGCAGGGCGGTGCCTGGATGTAGCGTACCAAGGGAACCGGATTATTGCTACTCGAACAACCCCGAGTGGGACATAATACCCATTCCTAAGGTATAGGCACCGTACCGATCCCTTCCTTCCACGAATCGCCGCTCCGACGCCCAATGTCCCAAATGCCAGCGCATGGAATGGAAATGCAAGACATTCATTTGGTCTGATGTTTGTAGCCCGAGGGCGGAGCGGGAGGGCGTTCCTTGGTTAACGAGGTCGTCAATGGGCACTTGTGCGTTGCTTATTAGTACCTAAGGTACATACGTAGTGCTACGTAGAAGATGTGCTTTCCTGGCTCCAATAATATCGCCCACCCGTGACATTTCTCCAGCAACGAATTCCTAGAATCACCATCGGGAAAAGAAAATAAATCGGGAATGCGTTGTCACCGCACCTGAGGCCCTGGAGGGGGCAACGCTGAGCTGTACTTTCGGGCCCGTTCTTCTAACTCACGACTTTCTAGACATGTGACGTTTCTCAAAAGCTGTGCTCGTCCATGTTTCTAATAAGTTAGAGTGCATAGACAGGTACCTAGGCTAGGGTACTCTCGAATCGTACTTTTACTCCCATATATTTTGAAATTTAGGTAGGTAGGAGATCTATGCAATTCAACTAATTGTATAATATCCCTAAACTATATTGATATCTGCCCCACGCATATCCTAGATGACATCCATATCTTGCGTGCACGCATTAATCACGACGGAACAAGCTATTTTTAGTCCTAGAACTATTAGTTCTTAATACCAATAGTTATTTGCAAAGCCACGAGAACAAAGCCCAAGGTAATCGATATATAGATTCCTCTAATTTCTAAACACCCCCCAGCCCCTTTCTCTCTATCTTTATACACCGATAATTACACATTAAACCTCCACCAACTACCCTCCCAAAACCCACATAAACGCCCTAAAATGCCCAGTCTACTAGTAATACCGAATATCGAGAGCTACACATCTTAATAACCCTCAGTCTTTTATGCCTACACAACAGATATTTCAACTCGTACCGGGCAACGCAAGCTTACTACTCGTCTTCCTCGTCAAGACCTTCGTAACAGCATGTCTAATGATAACACCAGCCTTCTCGATCTCTTTCTTCGAGAGACCGGTGGTGACGCAGATTTTGAGCGCGGGTTGTAGTTTCCATGCGTCGTCTTTGCCGTTGCTACCGTGGGCTACGGGCATGCTTTTCAGGCGGGTGATGAGGACGCCGTTTGCGAGGGCCTGGAGGGGTTTATATTAGTTCCTAGATATCACCACACAGCAAGTAAGGAAAAGGGGACTTACCTCGTCAACACATTCCTGCATTATCCGCTCCTGCTCCTCCGTGCCTAGGCGTCTAGAGTTGACGACCTCGGGCTTGAGAACAAGCAGCATGATCGGATTTTCCGGCGCGCTTGTACAGCGCACCCAGTCACTGCGGGGATCTAGCTGTGCGCGTAGAGCTTTTATGTTCTCGCGGCACTGCATCAGGATTTCGGGGTTGGTCTGGAGCATGTTGAGCGTTTCACTTGCCGTGGTGGCAAGCATTGCAGGTAGAGCTGCTGAGAAGGTATATGAAGCCGCTGAGATACGCTGATGCTCGACGACGTCTGTCGACCCAGCGCAGAACCCACCACCGGCACAGAGAGGTCCCGCAAGTGATCCGACCAGCATATCGATTTGGGATGCATCTAAGTTTTGTGCCTCCGTTAGACCCCGACCTGTTCTGCCGAGGACGCCGAAGGACCAGGTCTCGTCGAGCATGAGGCGGAACTTATAGCGGAGCTTTAACTCGACCTAGGAGTAACCGTTAGATAGTATATCCAAATGCTGGGAAACGAGAACTCGTACCAGTTTCGGCAAATCCGAACAATCCCCAACCGTCTCGAACAAGCCCTCCGTAACAATGAACCTCCTCGTCAGCGGCTTCTTCGCCTGGTCCTTAACAACCTTCTGCAGCACACGCTCTAAATCTTCCATGTCATTGTGCTCGTAATACTTAATCGTGCTCCTGCAAATCTGCAGCCCCTTTCGAATAGCATAGTTAACCGCCCGATCTGCTACGATGATATCACCTCTCTTGCAAAACGCCGGGATAACACTGGAAATCGTAGAGAATGCCTGCGCGTAGACGATACAGCCCTGGGTGCCCAGACAAGACGCAATATCCGCCTCCGTCTTCATGTGAACATCCTGAGTGCCGTAGAATTGGGGAGGTCCGCAAGGTCCGACGCCGTATGTTCGTAGGGTCTGGATAGCTTTTTCTTTAACCTGCTCGTTGCCGACGAAGTTGTAGAAGTTGTAGGATGCGAGATTCGTTGCTGTTCGGCCGTTGGATAGCTTGACTTTTGGACCGGTTGGTCTGTAATTCGGGTTAGCACTGCTGCATTACCCCCCAAGCTCCATCTTTCAACGTACCCAACAATCACCGGCAGCTTCTCCTGCTCCGCTTCCTCAAATGTCGTCTGCGGCGCAACCAAAGGCTCGGGCTGCCACTCATCAACCAGCTCATCAATCTCCTATGCACAGAGTCAATCAAGCCGCCCCAAGTCAGCATCCTTCGAACGGGCGCCCACCTCTTCAGTCAAAGTAACGAAATTGCCCGTATGCGTAGCATACGACGGCGCCAGCAGGTACCGCACGAAGAAGATCACCAGAATCAACTCAATGGCCGAACGAACCGGATCATCTTGGTAGCTCGACTGGATATACCGGATCAGCATGGCCGAGCCAGGAACCTTCTGAAACGTATTCCGGATGTCATGGATAGACTGGACCACGAATTTCTGCGCATCTTGGAGATCCATGGTGTCGCTGTTGGCGCTGGGGCGGGTGAAGAACGACATACGACGTGAGACTGTGAAATGTGAAAATGGATGCCGCTCCTTCCCTCCTTCTCCCCTATTGTCGTCGCGATTGTCGAGTCCTCGGCTCGCGGGTGATTTTTAACGCCGAGATTACGTTAGTCATGTGATCGCTACCGAGTCGGAAGTATTCCAAGCCCTATTATGTTAATGTATAAAGTACGGGCTCTAATACACGGATAGCCGGGAATAGTTCAAATACATAAAGCAGATAGAGCCAGATGGCAGAAAGTAAAGTAGGAAGGATATAGAATTAGGGATTATCACGATATCTTCAGGGTTACTTTGCTGCTCGAGCTATCTTGGGTACGGAGGCATTCATCAAAGGTAATTAGACATAGAACCATGACATCTATCAACTATTGCATCGTCTCACAATCCATATCTATCACGTGTAAAACATCGTATTATGATCATGCTGTCTCACACTGTACAACCGCTCTCCAGCTGCGAAACATCGGAGCTTCGCAAGCTGGACCAGATATGTAGTTCGTAACAAGAAAACGCTTGTGGAAAAAGAAAAGAGAAACACATGTCTAACCCGTGTACCATGCAAACACCGAAAGCAATTACTTGATCCACACCCATGACCACCCATCGAGCCAAAGGTTCATTGTAATGTACTGCCATTCCAAACAGTCTATTGTACACCTCCGCGCCGTGATTTCAACCACCTTAAAATAGTCGGACTCTGTTGGGTGAGCCTGACGACGTTTGTGCAGCACCGCCGGTACTGGCCGCAGCGCCCGTCTTATTACGGTTTCGCGTATCGTTATTATTCTGTCCAGTGGGTTGATACAAGTCCATCGGGATCTTGCTCGTCAGGCTATCGGACAACAGGGACTTGCCTGCGACGATGGGGCCAACAACGAGAGCAAGACCAATGACGAGGAGGAGGAAATATAAGATTGCGAAGCGCCAAACGCGTCTTCTTCGAAGCTTAGATTGCTTCATAGAGTAGATTGGCGGTCGTATTTGACGACTAAAGTATCAAAATGTTAGCAAGGTCAAATAATATGGGGTCGGGGATGGGAGCTTACCTTGGACGGAGCCAGAACAGCATTACTGAGTGAGCCTTGTCAACCTGGGGAATGATGATGATTGGGAACATGATGAATAGTAGGATGTGGCCGAGGACGAAATCGCCGGCGAACATCCCAAGCTCTGTAATCTTGCAAAGGAATTCACGTGCAGGCTGAGACACGGAGTGCCATCCCATCGAATACCATTTTCCTGTCCAGAACGCAATATTTGAAGTATCAGTCTTCATTTCTCTTGTCAAGGCCAGTGCGATGATGAGCTTGTAAACGAATCTCTGGATGGCTGTAGCAGCAATCATTCCAAGCAAGGCCTTGGCGAAGACGAAGCCCTCTAGGAAGAACATGATCTCGAATGAAACGATAAGCATAACGACGGCGACACCGTGGGCGATGGCAGCAAGCACGGAACCAAACTTTTTGCAGCACATGCTGAGAACTGGGCCCATACAGCAAGCCATTGCAAACATGGCGGCGAGGACGCCGGCATTAACTGCAATAGGAGCCAAAGCCACAATACCCAAGCGGATCAACGATGCCGTAGGCTTGATCTCCGTTATATTGGGATTGTTTTTCAAGATGACACCGGTTTGTGCGTTGATGAACAGATATGGGATCATCGTGACGGCAACAAGAATGAGGGGGGAAATGATCTCTCCAAGGAAGAGGTTGGTGAACCCTACACGCGGCACATCACCCGACATCTTTGATGAGGGATCTCCCAACACCTTGCGCTTATACCCGGTGATCCTGGTACGGGACAACCGACAGTATGCAATCCAGGACGAGGAATGAGATCGAGAGTTTCCTCGGGATAGCCATCTCAAGAAGTCCCGGTAATCAATGAAGAAGTCATTCCACGCAAACTGGTGAGGGTTGTAGATGAACGGAGACATGCACATGGCAAGGAGAGAAATCCAGAAATAGACCAGGATTGGCTGCCAAACGGTGACCGTGGCGAACAGAAGCATCATCAAGGAACGGGCTCCGATGTAAATTGACGGACCAGCAAATCGGGAGAAAAGGACACCGAATGGAATGCGGGCAGTGGCGAAACCACGACCTGTACCAATGTATCTGGCGCCTCCGAAAGACAGATCCTGTTGGACGGAGTTGGCATAGATCTGGCAGACGAACACTTCGAAGAAGGGCGACAGCGAGCAAAATTGCTTCCCAAGACGAGTTGCGGCGCGCCAGAAGCCGCGTTCGGTCAACTCTTGAACCACAAGCGGCACGAAGGAGACGGCAAAAACGATCAGAATCGAGGCGATACAGCGGTAGACCCAGTCGAGGACAGGCTGGAGATTGGCGCAACCGGTAGGGAACAGCTCGTCAGTGATGGGCACATCGGCATTGTAGTTGCAGAGAATGGTCTGATTGGCGAGAGCTCCAAGGTTGATCAAGCAAAGCATAAATAGCTGCACCGATAACATGATGAATATGTTGTTCAAGTGGAAGCCCGGATGTGCATAGTAGAAGGACAGGAAACGATCCAGAGGGAGTTGGGTGCCTAGGTAGTAATACTCGCGAGACAGCATCTGCTCACCCATACCAGTTCCAATCTTAGTTGTAAAGTTCAGAATAGACCCAAATCCGAGATCACGACCCTTGCCGCATTGATAATACTCGCAGTGCTTAATACGACCGCCACGGAGGAGCGCAGTCATACCGGCGTAAATATCCTCGTTGAGATGGAGACCCTTCTGGGCCTTGGAAACGCCACCACGGGTGGTCATAAAAACCCCGTTGAGGAAATCCGGATGACCGTAATGGAGCTTACCACCGATGGCTGCCAGAGTACGAGCGAAGAGGGTACCAAATGTCTGCTCCTTTCCGGCCGCAACGTCACCGAGGATACCAATGTTCTCAGAGAAAATATATTCACGAGCTCCGAGAATGGCGACGGGATTTGTCATGGGATTCGTGACACCCGGGGTGTAAGGGGAAACGTTGTCAGTAGTCATCTCCTCGAATTCGGCAAGGACACTTCGAATCTTCAAGCACTCTTCAAGATAGTTGTCCTGGTTAGCATCGATAAGCTGAATGTATTCACCTCGGTAGAAGATAATGGCATGGTTTTGGTTGTCAGATTTCCCGTCTCCAAGGATGGGGTTTCCGGAGAGCTGCACGCGGAACTTAGGTCGGCGCATGCCATTCTCCATGACTTCGGAGTGGCCATCAATGAGAGCGGAATACAGACGCGGCTCCTCGCCTTCAACCAGCGGCGCTTCCTCGTCCAGATAGGCGATTTGTAGATCAGGGTAGGCGCGGAGCAAAAACTCGGTGTTCTCCATCTCTTCCTTCTTGAACTTTGCGTAGCGTTGCATAGAGACGACGAGTTTGAACTTGCGGCGAGCCATACGCTCCAGTTCGCGTTCAAGCTTGTCCGAATTGCCACCAAACATCTGAACCACTTCAGGGTTTTCAACACGATACAACAGCTTGATCGCACGGCTGTAATTCATAAAGCCGGAGATGGTACGGTAGAGTGTCTGTGAGCGCAGCGAGGCCCAAATACGTGTCCGAAGAGTGTACTCTGGGGCAGCCGATTTGAAACCAATGCAGTAAAACGGGAGATCGTCAATCTTGCTCTTGGCGGTATCCTTCTCGTTCTTCTCATAATCACCATTGAACTGTGACGTTTCATCGGCCAGAATCTTGGTATCCTTGACGAAGCAGTCCCACTCATGCGGGTGAAGCTGCTTGAGGTACTCGAGTAGCGTGACACGGGAGTATGGCTCATCTTCGCGAATGATCTCTCGGAGGGAAAGAAGGATCTTCTCGCTGTAGTGAGGAATCATGACAGTGAACGTAGGCATGTTATCAACTGGGACGGGCTCCGGGATTGGGGTTGCTAGAGACTGGGCGAAGAAGGAGATTCTGCGCTCGGCTTCACTCTGGGCGGGGAAGAATTCCGTCTTGAAGGAGTGATCTTCCTGTGAGACAAAGAAAGTTGGCGCCCTGAGAGTCCTCTTGCCCTCCTGCTCAGACGGAACTTGGTGATAGAGCAGCTTCTGCACATGGTCAATGGCGAGAAGGTGCTCGCGATACATGGAGATGACAATGGCGTTCCAGATCTGTGAGATGAGCACCTTGGGCTTGTATTTGATCTCCATGTCCGTAGTAGCGAGGACTTTCGAGTAGATACGCTTGGGAAGGCGGGAGAAGATGTTTCTCCATGGCGTCAAAATCGAAACTCCCAAGTAGAAAGATCGGGATACCGAGTAGAGGGTGTTAAAGAGGATATAACACAGGAAGGTGTCGAGGAAGAACAGCGTCAAGTCGGTCACGAACATCAATGCCAAGAGGAATTTCGGCTGGAGATGGCAGAGGTACTCCTTGAGGATCGTGTCTCCTGCACAGGTCGTGATCTTCATGGTTGACAAATACATGATTGGATCACTGAAGGAAAGCGTCAAGAAGTAGTACGATTCGAGGAGCTTCGCAGCAAAAACCATGACCCAGAGCCCGTAAGACATCCACATGTCATTGCCTTGAAGGCGGGGGTAGCTGGCAGTGAACGTCTGGCTTGCAACGTACTGTCTCGAGTTCTTTGTCAGGTAGCTACCGAATAAGCCACCGAGAGGCATGACCGCGAAGAAGAAGAAGGTAATGAGAGCGATGAAGAACTGGACGATACCGAGAACCAACGCAAGTTTACCATTTTGTGTGTTCGGGACGACGAAGATATAGACACTGGGGCCAACGTTAACGACGAAGACGGCGATGAGGAAGAGAAGCCGTTTGGTAAGATGCTGTGCTCCGGCCCATCTCCGGGGTACGTAAGTCCATTCTGCGATTGTCGCGGCGATCATGATGAGGGTTGCTACACCCCCACCCAAGGCCACCGCGGACCACTGAGCAGAGGCAGGAGGGAGGTTGTTCCTCTGCTGCTCCCAATTCTTTAGGAGAAGGGTGGGGGAGTTCTTCGCGGTGTAAAACCAGAACGCGGTAATGTGGATAACCCAAATGCGGTTGAAATTGACCAACATATGGAAGTACGATCGAGTCTCTTTGTAGGTTTTGAAAAACACCTTGTTCCAATTCACCTCCCGGAGCTTCAGGAAACGTTCGGCCGGAGGTAGGTCAACCAGCCGGGACTTGTCCTCCATGACGATCAGCTCAATACCCTCCGGATACCAGAAGAGTTGATTGCAATCATCGTAGCCGATGACCTTATTATGATCCCTCTCACGGCGAACATATTTCCCATCTTGGATCTCGTAGCCTTGGTCTCGGCAGTACTGATACAGAGGGGTAATGACCGTGTTCAGATACGTGAACTCCTCCACGGGCTCCACCAAATTTTGGCAGGCGGGTGAGTTGAGATAATCATCGGCACATTTGAAGATGAAGCAGAGACATTCCGGCATGAAGCGGACCTGGTTCGCCTCACCCCAGCAGAGAAGGTAAAGCGCGATCTGTCGCACGCGGTCATGTTGTGACATGCGGTTCATCCGAGTCTTCCATCGGTATTCTGCGGCTTCCAAGCTATTGTCACCTTCGAGCTGCTCCAAGGTCTGTGCTTCGTTCTCGGGGTCTACGTTGGCCTTCTTCTTCGCAGCTTTTCGAGCCTTGCGAGTCCGTCGGCTTCCCTTGCCCAATTTCATGTTGGCAAATCCCACCGCGTCATCCAGGTCAAGATGGGCAGCAAAATACCATTTTCGGTAGTTGGCATTGTCGCCTCCAATGTAATCGGCGTGGAGTGAGAGGAGAGCTTGGTTTGGCGTCATGCGAGAGGCTCGGGAATCGAGCAGGGTCATGAGATGATCGTACATGTTGCGCATGCTATCCCGCTGGAAGCCAAACTTGGCGGTCAGATCGAGGAAGATGTCTTCGACCTCCTCCTTGGACAGAGGGATCTGGGCATCGGACGTCCAGGCCGGGTAGGGCTCTCTGGAGCGTTGGCCAGCCGGGAGGACGTTGTTGTAGTCCATGCCATAGTTTGGTGTTGAGGCTCCCGACGACCGGTTGCCGCCGTACGAGACTTGGGACGAAGGGGGGCGGTATCCGCGGCCGCCCATCTGGCTCTCGTTGTAGCTGTTGTAGCGTTCGTCACCTCGTCCATGGTAATCCATATCGGTGGCACGGGCCATGTCCGATCTCATGGTGAAATCACTGAAGGTCTCGGAATCTTCTTCCGAGTCCCCACGACGCTTTCGGTCGCCTTGTGGGTGCTGGCCAGCATGCGCTCCCTGGTCGTAGTACTGGTTGTCATTATAGTATTCGTCTTGATACTGACCACCGTGCTCATGGCCCTCATAGTAGCCGCCGTCCTGTTGGTACGGATTATTTGCATCGGCATTGTAGTACCCTCTGTTTCACCGTCAGCGTCCAAATTCTTTTGAGTTCAGTTTCCCATGGGGTAAAACGCACGACTCATCATAGTACCCATCGCCGCCATGCTGCTGTGCACCATGGTGCCCATGAGCTTGGTCGGTGTATCCATCATGATTATCGTAATATTGTTGTCCATGGTCATCCTGGTAGTAGGAATCCGTGTTGCCCTGCTGAGCATGGCCATAGCCATCATCGTAGTGGGCGTTGCCTTGGCCGTGGGCCTGGCCCTGTTGCGGGTGTCCCGACATGGTTGGGTTCAATTCAAATCACCTGAGAGATAAGAATTAGCAGGCGTTGGAGTGCATCGCGTTTTGGGGGGGGGTTTGGTTTTGGGTGATGTTGGTATTGCGTTTTGTGGTGCAAGCGGGGGGGGGGGGAGGCCAGCGGTCCTTGACCTTGAGGGCCAGATGGATGGATTGGGGGGGGGGGGGCTCGCTATTATAGGCACATTGGAGAGATGTGTATAAGAGACAGGGGATCAACTCACTCGCTATTATAGGCACATTGGAGGGGCAGCTAATTCACAAGATGGGGCGGTCGGAGTATCAGCAACGGCAGCTGTTGCGATGCTGTTGGGAACGCAGCCGGGTTGGTGAGGTTGACGGAGAGAGATTGATTGATCGAGGTGTTGACAAGGAGGGGGGGGGGCGCGAGTCAACCGTCAGGTACGGAGAGTTTGACAGGCGCGCTAAAGGTAACGAGCGGTTGTTCCTTCTCCAAGCGTGGAGGGCGATGTGGTGGTAGTGAACGGAAGGGTTTAAAGGGGAAGAAGGTGAAGGTGAAGGTGAAGGTTGGAGGGAGACAGTTGCGAGTTGAACCGTGCCTTGGTTTGGGCCGTGTGGTGTTTGCTTGGATACCACGACGCACTACAGTACGCACCCCTTATCCCTATCGAACCACGATCTAGAAATTAAAAAGGTCGCTTTTGCTTGGCCGAAGCCCTCGAACGAGTGTGGGTTTGAATCGGCGGAAAACACACAAAAGGAACCAGAGACCGCAAACAGGACAGGGCGAGATTGTCCAGATGCTGGAGGAGTTCCAGAGGGAGATGCGAGGTGGAGGAGGAAGGGAGGAAGAGAGAGGAAGAGAGCGAGGGAGAGATGAGGAATTGGGAGAATACGGAGAATAGGGCGAGGCGGAGGGCGAGATGGCGGAGTGTGGCAGTGTGGATGGTGAATGGAGAGGGGGGCAGGCTAGATAGAGGGCGTACTTGGTACGTGGTAGCTTTGGATGCAGTACAGCAGTCAGTGGGTTCTCTCTCGTACAGTACTCACTACTGCGGCCCTGTGCTGCTGAGCTTAGCACCTCCTGTGGATCGGCGGTGGCCCCCGGGTCACTGGAATGCTTCACGCCGATTCGGCACCCGCTTGTTATGCCCCTGCGTGCCCTGCATGCCCTGGAATGAAACTGATGAAAGGTCCGCCGAGTGGAGAGACGATGCGAGCTACGGGGCGGGGCTGGGTTGCGACAGGGAGCCGGTGACTTGTATGCCCATTGTCTACGTAATCATGCACCTTGCAGATTTGCAGTGTTGGTTGTATGCAGCAATGCTGGTACTTGATGCTCGTTCTCCACTGCCACAGCGATCTGTCTTGGGTACACCACGCAGCACCGAGTAGCACCATTTTTAGCACCAACCACCGCAGAACTTCCAGGGGCATCCAAGGCCAGACACGCACCGCCTGCGCTGCCCCACCAGCCACCGATCACCGCGCCGCCGTCCAACTTCCAACAATTTGGGCAATTCATCCAGATCATCTCCGGGATGACATACATGAGAAATCAATTGTGGGCTGCCATATCAATGCTTATCAATTCCAGGGAAACTTCTCTTTATAATATACACATATATATACCTGTACGTATATGTGTACATATATGTATATATATATCTGTGAGGTATAGATAGGTGGTATATGGGAAGGTATCGCCTCAGTAAATGCCCCATAGTACGGGCAAAACTCTTCCAAGTCAACACCAAGCTCCAAACGGCCAAGATCCTCTCGAAGGACGGGTCCCAAGCATGGAGGAGAGACACAGAGAGAAAAACAACGAACTGAGAGCACACCGCACTGTCGAAATCCACTGCACTGATACGTCCCCCCGCGAAGTACAGTCCTGTAGCACTCGAACTTATCGCATCACGATCAAGTCCCCCCCCTGTGCTGCCAACTGTCCTACATCGAATGGCGTCTGGCAATCGGATCCCCCCCCCTCGCGCACCCTACGGACGTCATCCGGCGCCGCTTGACTCTCGTCGAGTACGGAGTAGCTGTGGTGCAAACCTGGTACGAGAGGACCAGGTCAGCGTGCATGTCATGGTTTTTTCCGCCATGGTTGGACGCTGGAAGCTATCGACAATAAACCAATATCCACCCACCTTCGCCACGCAGAGGTCTTTGTTGAACAGCTTTGCCTCCCAACAAGGCGTTGGTAGCTGCGTGTCTAGTATCCTTCGTACGAGGTACTGGAGTACTTGGTCCTAGATGATGTGCGATCCAGGGGCAGTCCACGGAAGAACCAGCTAATCAACAGCTAATCAACAACTAAAGCAGATCCAGGAACAAGGATACGTCCGCCCAAAATAGATTGAGCCGTTAGATCGTGGCACTGGACCTGGGCAGTGGCAAAGTTGCTCATCTTTTCCAGCTTCCGTCGTGATTGACGAAGACGCAGAAACAGGGGCATTCTGGACATCGGCTTTTCCGCACGCACGATGCGCAGCTTTGCCAATCAATCGTCCGGCATTAATATTTCTCCCCATTAATAATGCCATCCGAGATGTCCGGGTAGCCGGGCGAAAGTCGAGGCTCAGGAGCCAGGAGCGAGAAAAAAGGGGCAGCACATAATGCCATGCTCGTGACTCGACAGCTACCACCCAACAGAGCGGATGGAGGTAGAAAAAGGGGGCTCGATGCGATCTCTCTCACTTCTCAAGTTACAAACGCGGTCTTTTCATAAGCTATGCTATGCCTTGCTACTGCCACTGCTGCGCTCTACGATCACATGCTCAACTCCCAACGCCCAAAGCATAATGCTGAGAATGATCGTCTTCAGTTCTTACTACTTTCATCCCAAGTCACGGGGATTATTCCTCTGAACATCTCGAGTTGTTTTGACCCGTGTCCAGGTTTTGTCCTCCTGAAGAGGCTAAAGCAAGCGCATGGCCGCACGACCTCCATCTGATACACATCTGATACATCGACAGCAAAACCAGGACCGACCTTGCGGGCCAATGTCAAGTCAGCCAAGCCGCATGTCCCAAATTTATCTATCAGTATATCTTCCACTATCGTTCATCTCATAGTTAAATAAAGAATATAGAGTATATCAACACTCTCAGGAAGTCGTTGACGGTGCTGGGAGCGGTCGAAACTAGAACCATGAATAGAAGTTTCTCTAATTCTCTTTACAAGTACGACCAAATGGGACCCAAACCCCCTACGGCTAACCTTGCCGGATGTCGCCGGCCCATACCAGGCCAGGGAATGAGAAACCTCCGACGTCGAGGAATCACCTCAAGTCGTCGAGCGCAGAGCCTTCAATTCTGTACATGCGCTTTCCAAACGGCGTTTCCCAAGACAATCTCCGGAATTCTTGGATGTCGAAACATCCATCTCTAAGCCACGTTCCAGGTAAGGGCTATGCGTTGTTTGAGGCGTGGCTTCCTTTCAGCATCTCCCTATTGTGTTCATTTTATTCCTTTGCTTCCGCATCACTCTCCTCGAAGGACGAGACCTTTTCCGCATTACGTTCTTTGTCAATGCTCGTTGGTGGACACTTCTACTACACCATCCGCAGTCTATTTTTTCTTCCCTTGCTGTGTTTTACCAAGGACGACTTGGCATAGATACTTGCGTATCTGACACTGTCGTTTGCATCTGCTCTTCTGGGAAAAGCCTTTGTTTCTTCTAGCCGCATGAACTTTTAGCATTGTGTGCCTATATTGTAATCAATATTCGATAATCAGTGCATTTGCACATCAACTTTACAACTATGAAGACATCCGGTATTGTCTCAATCGCTGCAGCTGCGCTCAGCGGCCTTCTCTTCACAACGCCAGTGGCGGCGGCGGATCTTCCTCCCATCATCATCAAGGTACATCCCCTCCCGTTCATACCCTCGGCCACTATTCTTGGCATCAAAATCTAACAGCATGAAACCATATAGGGATCTCATTTCTTCTATGAAAATGGCACAGAGTTCTTCATTCGTGGTGTCGCCTATCAACAAGACATCAACGGGAACGGAACCACATCGGCTAATGGCTTGTTCACGGATCCCCTGGCCGATGCCGCTGGGTGTACTCGAGATGTACCTCTATTGAAGGAATTGGGTACAAACGTCATCCGCGTGTATGCCATCGACCCCACGAAAGACCATAAGACATGCATGAACCTTCTTCAGGAAAGTGGAATCTACGTTATCCAGGATCTTTCCAACCCAGTCCAGTCAATCATTCGAGATGCTCCTGAGTGGAACACCGAACTATTTGCCAGCTATGCAGCGGTCATCGACGAGATGGCTCCGTATACGAACACCCTTGGCTTCTTCGCTGGCAACGAGGTTTCAAACGACGTTAATAACACCAATGCTAGCGCTTTCGTGAAGGCTGCAGTCCGCGATATGAAAGCATACATCAAAACGAAGAACTACAGGACCATCGGCGTAGGATATGCCACCAATGACGATGGCATCATCCGTACCAGCCTAGCCAATTACTTCAACTGCGGCAATCGCTCCGACTCAATCGATTTCTGGGGTTACAATATCTATTCTTGGTGCGGTGAATCCTCGTTCACTGCCTCGGGATACGATCAGAGGACTCTCGAGTTCGCAAACTACTCTGTCCCTGCGTTCTTTGCGGAATACGGCTGCAACCAGGTCAAGCCCCGTCCGTTTACTGAGGTTCAGGCACTTTATGGCCCCAACATGACGGGAGTCTGGTCTGGCGGCATTGTCTACATGTATTTCCAGGAGGCAAATGAGTTTGGTAAGTCCCTATGCGTCAACAATCCTTAGCCATATTTACTAACGAACAAAATCAGGTCTTGTTACAGTATCCGGCGGCAAGGCCACCAAGCTACCTGACTTCACAGCATTATCCAAGCAATTAGCCTCCGTGACCGCAAAATCAACCGCTATGGCAGCCTACCAAGTAACCAACACAGCCGCCCAAGCCTGCCCAGCAACCGGCACAGCCTGGGCAGCAGCCCGCGCTCTCCCACCCATCGCCAACGCCGACGTATGCAGCTGCATGGTCTCATCACTCAGCTGCGTCCCCAGCAGCGGAATGAGCGGCAACGCCACCGCCCAAATGTTCAGCACCGTCTGCGGACTCTCCAAAAAAGCATGCGAAGGCATCACCGCCAATGCAACCACGGGCGTCTACGGCGCCTATTCCATGTGCTCTGCCACTCAAAAACTATCCTTCGCTTTCGACCAATACTACCAAAGCCAGGGCAAAGCATCCACGGCCTGTAATTTCGATGGGAAAGCAAAAATCGTTTCCCCGTCTGTAAGCTCGTCGTGTAAACCTCTCATCAACCAAGCGGGCGTTGAGGGAACTGGCACTGTTACAACAGCACCTACTGGCACGGGATCCCCCAGTGGATCATCGAACTCGAACTCGAGCTCGGGATCTGGATCGTCGAAAAACAGCGCAGCTGGCGCTTTGAGAGTGCCTGGGTCTGATCTTAGAATGCTGCAACTGGGAGCCTGTGTTTTGGTTGCGGGGATAGCTGGTGTGGGCGTGACATTGTTGTAAATTACCTAGGTACCATCCTCGAGGCGTTTGGGGGTTTGTTTGTTGGCGTTGGGTAGGGTTATGGCATGTATACAGCATAGATAACATATATAAGTCTGCTGGTGCCCACAAATGAGTGATAATTTCATATAGATATAAAATCATTTTTATTGTATAGAATAAATTGATGAATAAATAAAGATAGGGTTCAAGAGGAATTACGAGTACAATATTGGATCAACTCGTGAATGCCGTCCATAAAAAACGAGCGCAACCTAGAACTTAACAACTAGGTAAAAGCTCTGCAATCCAATCCATGCAGCATTCTCGCATCCGCGATATTGTTCGTTGAAGTCCCATAAATCCCCCCGCCGTTGCCCAGCCAACCAACCCAAGCACCAACACCCGACACCGATGCGCAAACACACACGCAATCGTGAATTCCAAACCCCGACAAACGAGCGATAATGGCAAGAATAGCAGTTATTGAAGATAGCGACGATGAGTTTCCCGAGATCGCGGAGCTGCTTAAGGCGCCGAAGATAGCGAGGGGTGCTGCGACTACGTCAACATCATCAAGACCTAGGGAGGAACAGCGCGCAAAGGAACGCAGCGCGTCACGCGATGAGGAAGTACGGAAAGGGGGATTAAATCAAAGAGAGGGATTTCAAACGGGGAGAATGGAGGAAGATGAGAATTCTGGATCCGGGAAATTAAAGATGCCGAGTGCGAGATTGCGAGGCTCCCAAACTGCAATGTCAACATCAAGACCGAGAGAGAAAAAGCGCCCAAAGGAGAGCGGCGTGACAGCACCCGGTGAAGAAATCTGTGGATTTATGGCACAGGAGGAGCGTGCGATTGAAGCGAGAAAGGCAAAGCCCAAGAAAAGAGTCCTGAAACAGAAGACGGAGAATCCGTTATTACGCCCGATTGCTGGTACTTCAGCTGCGTCTTCGAGTTTCCTGCCAAGGGAGAAGAAGGAGAGGATTAATCCTACGGAAGCGAGGGGCGTTGCGGTTAGAAGTAAAAGGGCCGTTTCTAGGCCGTTGCCGAAATTTGAGGAGGATGAGCGGGATACTGATGGAGAGTCGGATGGGATATCTGATTTTATCGTTAGTGATAATAGCAGCTTGGGGGAAGAGGAAGAGGAAGAGTCGATTGTTGAAAAGGTGGCACCGAGGTCTACTAGGAAGCTAGTTAGAGGGAGGCGGCCACCGACGGATGCGGCTCCAGTTGATGAGTTGAACTTGCATATGGTTAAGTTGACAGTCCAGGATCTTCCCGTACAGCTCGCCGAGCCTGCTGTGGAGACTATAATGGGAGAGTTTGATGATACTGAGGAGCGGCAAAAGGTGAGAAGCGGACGGGGGCGTATCAAGGAGATCTCAGACGACGTTCATAAGAAAGCGACAAAGCCGGCAAAGGAGATTGCAAAACCCAGGAGAAAGCCAAAAGTGCAAAGTTCAGATACTGAGGATCCTTTCACGCGCCATTTGTAAGTTTTTCCTCTCTGTTTCTCTAAATTGAATTTCGCATATATTAACATACTCCCAGTTCCCCGCCACAGGACAAACCCAGGAAAATATCCAACGAGGCCAGAACCAGATTTACAACACCACCCAGCAGCCCCGAGATAAAACCAAAAGGGTTGGTATCTCCTTCAAAAAAGCCTCCTCGCATACCACGCACCCCTCATCGACCTAGTATGGATACCTTCTGGAGTCAGGATGTCGTCAACGACTGGAATGACGAGTACTCCCCTCGGAAAGAGGCCAAAACAAGACTTAAATCCCAACCCGGAGAAGACGAAGACACATCCGGAGGCACACTGCTATTCTCCCCAGCCAAGAAAAGCCCCGTCAAGCAAACCAAAACCGCTCGTGATGCCAAAAAAGCATTCTCCGAAAAGAAGAACGCCATCGCCCACTCCTTCCTCGCAGAGCTCGACGAGAAGATCACAGACAACAAAATCGCCGGGTTCTGCGCATCAACAGGCGGCGTGAAGATAGCCTGGAGCAAGAAACTACTATCCACAGCCGGACGAGCGAACTGGAAACGCGAGACCATCAAATCCAGCGGGCTCGGTCCGGATGGCAAGCCGGCACCCCCAACATACAGGCACCACGCAACTATAGAACTCGCTGAGAAAGTCATCGACGATGAAGACAGGCTGCTAAACGTGGTGGCTCACGAGTTCTGCCATCTGGCGAACTACATGGTCAGCAATATGAAAACCAACCCGCACGGCAAGGAATTCAAAGCCTGGGCCTCGAAATGCTCGCATGTTTTTGGGAACCGCGGGATTAGAGTCACGACGAAGCATTCCTATGCTATTGATTACAAATATGTGTGGGAGTGCGAGAACTGCGGATTGGAATTCAAACGGCATTCGCGAAGCATCGATCCGAAAAGACACCAGTGTGGGGTTTGTAAGAGTAAATTGGTGCAGACGCAGCCGGTGCCGAAGAATGGGGGGAAGGTTAGCGAGTATCAAGTGTATGTTAAGGAGAATATGGCGAGGATTAAGGAGGAGAATCCCGGGAGTCCGCAGAAGGAGATTATGGGATTGGTGGGGAAGGGGTATGGGGAGTTTAAGGCTTTGAAGCTTGGGGGGGTGAAGGGGGAGGGTGTTGGCGTTGGTGGTGAGGGCGGAAGTAGGGAAGTGAGCGTTGAGGATGATAGGGGTGGAGTTGGGGTCGTCGCGAAGAAGTTGGATTTCTTGGACTTGAAGAGTCTGTGAATCTGGATAAATGTACGATTTTATGTTGGTACTTGTATAGATGATATACATCACCACTGGGTAGTCAGCCAACCATTTGGTCTTCGAGACCTAATTAATTAATACTGTTTTTTGTGCCTCCCTGCCCCTCTTAATTCGTCTTTTCATAAGTCTAGGGAATGTCTTTAGCAATTATTTTAAGACCTTCTTTAGGCTGGAGAATAAATACAGATGAACTACTGGTATCGAAATACAGAGCCGGGTAATTAATTTATCTGAGAATATCTTATCTCTTTTAAAAATTATTCGCTCATTTAAAAGAAATTAATAAATGGCTTTTTTGTATTGTCGTAGAGGGGCTATATTTAACTGTTTGTAAAGAGAATATTAAGTCACGGTGTTTTGAGCTTCTGTCTGCCTTACCAGTGCTGGTAGTGTGATAATTGTATAACTGGGAAATCAAGGTGTTTAAGCAACATATTTATATATGTGATGGCTATTTTTGTGCTAAGCTACTATCTAAAAACCACCATAATCCAGGGATGACCTACTCAAGGGACTCCTAGCCCCAATTCCACGTAAGTAACCCATCGGCCCATTCCATAACCCGATCACCCTCAGATCTGTTTCGAGGTGATATTCCCATTCCCATTCCTATTCCCATCCATCCCTAAAGGGCATTAAAAAGCCCCCAATCCTTAATCTTAAACGTCTCCCAAATCTTCGCCGCATGCTCCACGGCACTCTCAATCAGCTTCCCCTGCTTGCCCATCTGCATATCAACTTCTTCCTCCGTGTACTCCCCCTTGATATGGGGGACATTGATGGCGATCAGGATATCAGTGGACTCCTTCTCCAATCTCACCATCGTCAAGACAATAGCCGTGAACACAGGGGATTTGGATCCAGGCTCCGGCGGCGGCGTTTGTGTGGCGATTAATGTAGACACCGGCGTTCCTTCACTGGTACGGTTGAGCACGTGATAAAGTGTGTGGACAGGAAAGGGAATGGGCTTGCTTACGGTAGTTTGGAAAATTCGGTATTGCTGGTATTCCATACTTGCACGGTGTCAACTTCCGAGTCGACGATGTCTTCCAGGTGCGTAGTCAGGGCTGCGCCGTCAATCGCGGGCCCGCTGCCTGGGAGGCCAACTCGCTCCGTGATGTCGAAGATGATGCTAGTGAAGCCGTCCTTGTCGAGGAATACCTCTTGGTGGTCTGGGACCTGTCGGAATTTGCTGCGAGTGTTAGTAGCTGTTGCCGCTGGCTGAGTGACATAGGTACTTACCTGACGTCGGCGAAGTTGGAGGGGAGGTCAGTGATAAGAGCCCCTCCAAAGAGCGGCGTGCTGACGTAGTCGGCCATTTTTAATGGATCGCGTTTTAAGGTCAAGGTCTTTTAAACTTGCGAGAATGGAAGTTCTTCTGATATCTTTTCTCCTTGGGAACTTCACAGTATGCGGGTTTCTTCGACCTTTATACTTGGCTAAAGTTCAGAGCCAACTGGGTCTATGCCTTCGTGGTTGATGCCTAAGCAACCCGGTATGGATTTGATTGGTGAAACTCGGAATGTTGGAAGGAAGGAAGAATGACTCAACATAAAGCGGTGCAGACGGAAACGGGGGTTTGTAGCTTTGTTGTGTGTATTCGAAGCACAGGACAAAGAGGTAGAATGATACGGAATGAGAAGCGCATCAATAATGAATTGCGGCTACGACTTGTCCGCCAACGTGCAACATGAATGACGCTATTGCCGTCTGTGTCCAAGCCTAGCAGAGTTCGCTTAGCCAAATAGCCGACTATCTCGCTTAAGCGCTGCTCATCTCTCTCAAAGAGCAAAAAAAAAAAGAACAAAAAAGAATTAAAAAGACGAGGGAATCAATTTTAATAGCACCCAAGAGAAGCCTCGGGGACAAAGACAAAGAAGAGCAAACAACAGGGAAACCGGCAAAAGGTAAAATTTTTCTGAATAATCAGAGGGTTTGGTTCCAAAGATTTGATGAGTGGAGTATTATGGGCAAGGGCCACGGTCATCTCTGGTAAAAGGCAAGAAATGAATTCTGGATAGCCTGTCCCACTCCACGGGTAAAAAATGTTATTTTGTCTTATATACCACCACCGCGCCTGGCGCCAGCTCCACCTCCTCCGAGGTTCATCCACAACCACGCTTTGGGGGCCCTGTGAGCCCCAATGGCATTATTTGAAGTATATTTTTATGATGATATATTTTCCATACTTATTTTACTTTGTTTGATCGGATATTTTTCTGCGCTGTATCGGCTGCTGGTTCTTTCTGTCAGCTTTTCTTGCTTGCCTTGGCACTGTATATGAATGATCAGTCGACCAACTCCCATCCAAATTTCTAATAGCTGGATCTCTACACTCGCTGCAACCTGTGCATCAATTACAATAGCACTTAATTCCCATAAGAAATGGCATATTGCCCCAAAATAAAATCTAGACAACTTATCCTCCTTCGCAAAGGGTTCCCGTGTGATATACCTCCAGTTCTACTACCCCATCACGTGTGCATCCAAGTAGCCCCTCCCCCCTCGTCCGGGGTCATGGAGGCTGGAAGCTCCTCCATCAAACATCCCGAGAATGACGCGAGGATGTAAATAACCCCAACTCCCAACCCCGCCATCCCCGACATCCAATTCCATACCCATACCCACCAGCAACCACATTCGCTCCTACGACAAAATACCACTTACACGCACGAAATATATCACGCAATCATGGCAGCTTGTATCTTCTGCAAGATCGTCAAGGGTAAGCTGCTCTTCCCCCGCAATCCCAATCGTCGTAACTAGAGGAGTACGTAAACTAATAGCATCCCAGGCGACATCCCCTCCTTCAAGCTCTTTGAAAGCGACAAAGTCTTCGCCTTCCTCGACATTAACCCCCTGAGCAAAGGACACGCGCTCGTGATCCCCAAACACCACGGCGAGAAGCTGACGGATATCCCCGACGATGCATTGGCTGAGATTCTGGTACCTCCCCCGCGCATACAAACACCTCAATCCCGAGTTTAGGAAGTGCAATTGCTGAATACTGCATACATTATGTATAGCCCGTCGTGAAGAAACTCGTTACCGCTACCCGCGCGGAGAATTACAATGTGCTGCAGAATAATGGGCGGATTGCCCATCAGGAGGTTGACCATGTATGTGCTACTACTCTTCGATGGGGGGTAGATGGAATGCTAATCTTGTGGTTACTTTTTGTTATAGGTGCATTTCCATATGGTATGTTTATTTACTCTAGATGGATACGGCGATGGGCGATTGCTAATATGGGGTAGATTCCAAAACCAAATGCAACGGAAGGGCTGGGAGTTGGATGGCCACAGCAGACGACGGATATGGACTCGTTGAAGGCGTTGTTCGCGGATATCAAGTCGAGGATGTAGATGGAGCGCGGATGGTACAGCAATCAAAGGGGATGGATTCTCCAATGGGTATGAATGAGCAGGGATGGAATAGATGTGGCTGGCGCCCCTATTCAATGTGCACACAGACACACGTTAAATGCCATGCAAAAATACCCAACGCCAGCCCCCGCCTCTGATGCGATGATTTTATGTACAGCCTTCCAAATGTCATCCCATCTATCCTCTACCGGCTCTAAGAACGAAAGTCTACTTGTCCAAGAAATCTAATCTAGGTCATCCGCCGATGTCTCCACGGGAGTAGCAGCGACCCCATTAGAAGCTTTTGGCTCCTCCTTCGGCTTCTCTTTAGGCTCGTCTTTCGCTGGGTAGAACTGCCCCACGCCGCTAGGCCCAATCATGCCGACGCGGTCGTAGTATGACTTCGCTCGTACATATGGATCTAAAACCCAGTAGCCAACCCGTAGAGAATCCGCAATTTGATGTCGTTTTTCCTTGATAGCCGTAGAATCAGCATCGGTTGACTGGATCCAGTCAATCGTGACCTTCTCATATTCGTCGACGGTGGCTTCTCGCTCTGTGAGTAATTTGTTCCTTGTCTCTGTATCTTTCATCTTATCGTTCTCTCCTGGTACTGCCTCTTTGTATTGGTAGGTCCAGTCTTCATCGCCACCAAGCTCTTTCATGATATGGCTCCTTGGGATGAATTCTGACATTTCGTCGGTGCTGTTCGTGAAGTGGACTTTGCTGGCTACGACTGGGTCGAGCCACCCTTTGATGATTTTCCAAATACCTGGGTGCCGTTAGATTGGAATACGTGAACTGAAGACAGCTGTATTGTACTAACCCTGGAAAACCCATGGGGCTTTATGGACCAGTACCACGCCTAAACTTTCAGGATAATTTGCTTCAAAGCATTTTATCATGAACTTGACAGGGGCGTAGTCCTGTGAGATAAGAAGTCAGCCATAGCCCTACTAAAGGTCAATACCAGCGACATACCATATTTGCCAGAGAGAATCCCGTCATATCAAAGACCACGCACTAGAACTGTCAGCTAACCCCTTCTCACAGCTTCAGGAAAACTTACAGCAGTATCTGCAGGAGGCGCTAGTATCATCCGTGCAGTCTCAATTGTGTAAACAGTATAACGCTCAAGAGACTCCTCGCTTTGCTCCCCCTGTCTATGAAGACGCGCCCTGACGATGCACATCGGTCTGCCCTCCTTATCCAAACCATGCAAGTAACTCTTCCCCATGCGCAGCTGAGCCAAGAAATCCTCACCCAGCCGTTTCTTCGCAGGATCCTCGTCGCTCGAAGCTTCCAGGGATGCCAATTCGCCATTCTTCATGATATCATCATCAACATGGATATCCTTAGCTCTCCATCTCATCGTAGATATCATCATAATCAACGCCTTCTCGACATCCCATTTCCGCGCGCGCAGGAAACGTAGCAGGAGCGCGTCCGGGTGGTCGTGCTTCACCATGCTCCAAAACGTCGCCCGGAGGGATTCGGGGGATTGGTTTGCCAGGGCTTCGTGGAATTCCTTCGTTTGCCCATATTTGTCGTCGGATTCCGAAACCACCGTGGGCGTGCGTGCACCTGATTCAGTAGACGTTGTGGAATCCGCATCGCTATCCTTGCTTCTGCGGAATAGGCCCATTCTCTTCTTCTTTGATTTCTTGGATCCTGCTGCGTCTGTCTTTTTAGTACCGTTCGCACCGTCGGCCGACGCATCCTCGTCTGTTGTCTTTGCATCTAGGACACCGAAGACTTGGAGGGTTGCAACCCAGAATTCTTTTAACTTTTCTTCCTCTTCCGCCGTCAAATGCCCTACCCTACCGGGAAGTGCTCCTTGTGTCATATTGATCTCGGTCTCGTTCTCTACAACGTCTAGGGCGTCTGCGTTTGCTTGTGAAGCCGGTGGGTTTGCGGATTGCGGGGTAGAACGCTCAACGTCACCAGTGATGAAGGCGTAGAGTATTGCGAGGAGAGAGGCGGCGGCGGCGGCAGCCCACGGGTCAAAGCTGCTTTGGAAAGGACGGGGAAGACTTCTATAAAATCCTAAATCCGGTTTACTAGTCTTCGTGGAAACGGCACAAGGAGTTTTCTCTTGCGGTTGCGGATAACCCCGGCTGGGAGCTTTCGATCGCGAAATACGGCAAATTGAGCGCTGCTGTAAAGCAGGCGGCGATCTGAATAGGCGTCTTTGCAAAATAGTAGGATACGACTTGAGCGGAGGTTCCGGGACTGTTGCGGAGGACGTCCAATTCCAGTTCTGTAGGTACTTTCGGCTGGTAGTTCCGCGAGAGCGCAACAGCTTAACGGACGAAGACTGGCTATGGAGGGCAGAAAGACCCGACTGGACACAATATATAGTTCTTCCACTTGTCATGGACGTCGTTCACGGACCAGAGCGGTCGTCGAGAGGGAGGCTTAGCAGTCGTCGAGTGCTGTTGTCAGATTTCGAAATACGAATATCCTGGTTTGCAGGCTTGGCGTTTAGAGATGGGAGATTGAAGACGTATTAATTCTCCCTTCCGCTACGAATATGTAAGGAATGACTCTCGGCAGAAAGTCTTTGCGGAGAGAGGAAAGATATGGCCAACTTGCGCTGTGATTGTCTCTCTATTCCCCTCGATATCTATAATGTCTTTAACCCCCATTTGTGCCCGCGTGCCTTCGTCTGCATAAAAGCTCGGGGTTTTGGGTTTCCTTGGATTCTTGTGGAGTCTCCACGTGAAGGAATCGCGGGGCGTCCGACCGAAGCGCGGCCCATGAATTCAAGATCCGCGTTGTCGCGTAACGCTGATGTCCCACGTCAGTGTTTACGTGGATTTACAACTGCTCCTCAGATAACGAGCGCCTTCAAATCAACCAATTTCTTTTTTGAAGCAGCACCAGTACAGCGATTCCCGCCAAAACCATGTCTTCCTCAACTACACCCCCAACTACGAAGCGCTCGAACTCTACCACCCGCCGACCCCTCTCCCGGCCAACAACGCCCTTGCGCCCCCCGTCACGGTCATCGCTGCGCGAATCTGGCAAAAAGGCGAGCATAGGCGGGCTCTCAGCTGCGCCTATAGAAGCATTCGAGCCTGCTTTTGCAGAGCTATCGGACTCAATGGCAGATCTGGAGGCCAATTTTATGCATCTGCAGTTGATGCATGAGAGTCTGTCTAGGTTCAGCGAGAATTTCGCGAGTTTCCTATATGGGCTGAATATGAATGCGTTTTGTGTGGATTTTCCAGAGGTATTTTTTTGGTTTTGGGAGGTTAGAGGTTGCGTAGGCTGATGTGTGTTACAAGGCGCCGATTTCCGAGTCTTTTCGTAGAGCGAGAGAGCAGGAGGATAATTTAGGTAAGTGGAAAGAAGTAAACAAATAGCAATTGTTGGCACCGCTGACCGTTTAATAGGCAGGTCGACAAATTCAGAAAGATATCATGGTGATATTGATGGAGAAACTACATTCATGTACGTTGATTTTCCGGCCAATTGCATTTTATTATGCTAATTGCTTTTACTCAGGACTACCGATACATCCTTCGTTGACAACCCCCCCACATCGTCGAAGGCCACGCCGAAATTCTCCACGCCCGCTCCGGCATCGCGAACAGCAGGTTCGGGACGGGGTACTGGGATTCCTGCCGCAAGAGGCGGTACGGCACGCGGCGGAGTTCGAGGGACCCGGGCAAGTGGACTGGCCAGAGCAGCAAAAACTCGTGGCCTGAGATAGTGCAGATACCCAACACAGATCATGCCCGGAAAGCATAACTAGGCTGGCAGTACTGCTGCTGCCGCGTTGTATGACGGGCTTTTGGTGATGTGATATGATATGTTCCGCCAGAGAGGAGCTCAGGTTGCCACATGGTCCTCCAGCAAGCCCGAGTCCTCCATCTCTACCTCGACATCTTGCGTGTTGTCCTTCGCTGCCTGTCTGGGCCCATTGTCTGTTCGGAGACCAACAGCGGCCTCAGCCTCCTTCTGTGTGTAGGCGCCTTCTTTCAGCAACTTTAACCTACCGCAATCATAATAATCAGCCTCCGAAATCAGGATGCCTCGAGGCACGAATTTGTGATTTTGGCTTGTTACCTTCTCTTGTGCGTGCTGCCCTTCCGGTGGGTGACCAGACTGTGGTCGCTCTCAAACCATTTTGCGCATTCGACGCAGTAATACTGGCCGAGGCCAGGCAGGTCCTCGACGGCCTTGGTGGCCTTGTGCAGTTCGAGGTGCCTGGGAGAGCGGAGGTCTGCTGAGACCTGATCGACGTCTCTGCATCGCGGCTATTAGCCACTGGGGATGGAATCGGATGGGATAGGAAGTAAAAAGGTAATTGCTGCCTCGGGTAGAGGGAAGGGGAGGAGCCCATGGGCTATCGTCATACCTTGTCCGTCTGCGCGTCTTCGTGCGGGTTGTCTTTTGCGGAAGGCCCATGATGATTGTGCAAGGCGAGGCAAAGTGTGTTCGAAGTGTGGTGGGAGTTATTTAGTAGATGTCTAGTATCTACTTGGTACAATATAGAGAATGGATGTCAATATTGACACTGGTTGAATTCCTACTGTAGTCTAGACTCCCAAACTCTCGAACTCGTGAATTTCCGATGTGCGCGGCCCAAGAAAAATTTCGCAGAGTGCGGCCGAGAAAGGAAGTTTATCCTTGCAGGGTCCTGGGTGGTTTCCGGCTCCGGCTCCGGCAAAAGGTGCGCTGGCCCGGGGGAAACACGAGCCAGAGACGGAGAAAAGTAAACAGAGAGAGAGAGAGAGACGAGAAGCCGCCGAGGCAGCGAGGCTGCTTGCTTGATTGATTGATTGCTGGTGCCGCTGAAGACCGGAAGGATTGGGGAAAAGCACAGTACGAAGTACACTATGTATCATGTTTACAAGAGTAGTAGTAGCCCTGTGAAAGTAGTAATTAATAGCAAATATAATGTTAGTATGTCTTGTTACTTTATAGAGTCTTGAGTCTTGAGTCTTGAGTCTAGAGTCCAAAGTCCACAGACATATAGGTACCTAGGTGTGTATAGCTTCGTCGTATAGCTAGGAGCTCTTGCGCGCGTGCAGAAGGTAGTAAGTAGTAACGTAACCCAACCCAACCCAACCCAACTCTACACACGGCCTCCTCCAACATATCGCCAGAACTCTGTCCAGTGGTGCTGCAGCTGCAGCTGCACCGCATCTTGCAACTTAATTATATACAACCCTCCAAGCAAAAAACCTTTTCCGCGGCTTGCCGGCTTGGCCCTCTCCCTTCCTCGCCCTTTCACGCTGCCAAACAAGCCCAAACCCCCCCAAATTCCGGTCTCGCACTTTTGGTTGCTCCCCCGTCGGCTGGCCATTGGAATCAGGTTGCCTGTGATTGGCCCGCCCGCCAGTTTGCCCACCCACGTCACCGCTAGCCCCAAGGCAAAGCTCGGTACATTACTCCACCACCACCATCTCCAAGGACAGAAACCCCTTCCGTCATCCTGCTTTTTGCTTCTTTTCTTCCCCTTCAAGTCTCCCTCCTCCCTCTCCTCTCCTCTCCTCTCCCCCTCCTCTCCCCTCCCACAGCTGCCAATTCCTCAATCCTCCATCATGTTGGCCACACGACAATTCCTCCCCGCTGTCCAGCGGCGAGCAGTCGCGCAGCTGGGCGTCCGCCGGATGGCCACTGTGAGCGATAACCCGCTCGACAGGAAGGTCCACCAGAACATCCACGAGGCCAATAACTTCATCAACTACAAGAAGATGTCCGAGAACCTGGCCATTGTGCGCCAGCGACTCAACCGCCCGCTCACCTTCGCCGAGAAGATCCTCTACTCCCATCTCGACGACCCGCACGGCCAGGAGATCGAGCGTGGTGTCTCGTACCTCAAGCTCCGTCCGGACCGAGTGGCCTGTCAGGATGCCACCGCCCAGATGGCCCTCCTCCAGTTCATGTCCGCCGGCATGCCCTCCGTCGCCAACCCCACCACCGTACACTGCGATCATTTGATTGAGGCCCAGGTCGGCGGCGCCAAGGATCTGGCCAGAGCAGAGGAGATCAACAAGGAGGTCTATGACTTCCTCGCGACGTCGTGTGCGAAATACGACATTGGTTTCTGGAAGCCAGGATCCGGCATTATCCATCAGATCCTCCTCGAGAACTACGCATTCCCCGGTGGGCTGCTGATCGGTACCGACTCTCACACTCCCAACGCCGGCGGTCTGGGCATGTGTGCGATCGGTGTCGGTGGAGCGGATGCCGTGGATGTCATGGCAAACCTTCCCTGGGAGTTGAAGGCACCAAAGGTGATCGGTGTCAAGCTTACCGGTCAATTGTCCGGCTGGACCGCGCCAAAGGGTATGTGCCAAGATTTTTTTTCCTGTTGAGTTTTGGGAGATTGATGCTAATGGCCTGTGTTAGATATTATTCTCAAGGTTGCTGGCATTCTTACCGTGAAGGGTGGAACTGGTGCCATTGTGGAATATCATGGCCCAGGAACTGATACTCTGTCGGCTACTGGTATGGGCACGATCTGTAACATGGGTGCCGAGATTGGTGCTACTACGTCTCTCTTCCCCTTCAATGACCGCATGCACGACTTCCTTGCTGCCACCAAGCGCAAGGATATCGGCGACTTTGCTCGAGCCTACGCCAAGGACCTCAGAGAGGACGAGGGCGCCGAGTATGACCAGCTCATCGAGCTCAACCTTTCCGAATTGGAGCCCCACATCAACGGTCCCTTCACTCCGGATCTTGCTACTCCCATCTCCAAGTTCAGCGCCGCCACAAAGGCAAACAACTGGCCCGAGGAGCTCAAGGTCGGTCTGATCGGCTCTTGCACAAACTCATCGTACGAGGACATGTCCCGCGCTGCCTCAATTGCTCGCGATGCTCTGAACCACGGCCTCAAGGCCAAGTCCCTGTTCACCGTCACCCCCGGTTCCGAGCAGGTTCGCGCTACCATTGAGCGTGATGGCCAGCTTGCCACGCTTGAGGAGTTCGGCGGATTGGTCCTTGCCAACGCTTGCGGTCCCTGCATTGGTCAATGGGATCGTAAGGACGTGAAGAAGGGCGAGGCCAACTCCATCATCTCATCCTACAACCGTAACTTCACTGGACGTAACGATGCCAACCCTGCCACCCACGCCTTTGTCACCTCCCCAGATCTTGTCGTGGCCATGACCATTGCAGGCAGCCTGCACTTCAACCCTCTCACCGATAAATTAACTGGCGCTGATGGCAAGGAGTTCCTCCTCCAGCCACCAACGGGTGCTGGATTGCCCAGCAAGGGCTATGACCCAGGAGCGAACACATACCAAGCTCCTCCTGCGGATCGCTCTGCCGTGAGCGTCGCCGTCTCGCCGACCAGCGACCGCTTGCAGCTTCTCGAGCCGTTCAAGCCGTGGAATGGAAAGGACGCCGACGACATCCCAATCCTCATCAAGGCGCAGGGCAAGACCACCACTGACCACATCTCCATGGCTGGACCTTGGCTCAAGTACCGTGGCCACTTGGACAACATCTCCAACAACATGTTGATCGGTGCCATTAACGAGGCTAACGGAGAGGCCAACAAGGTCAAGAACTTCACCACTGGTGAATGGGATGCTGTCCCCGCCACCGCTAGAGACTACAAGAAGAAGGGCATCCCATGGGTTGTCATTGGAGACTGGAACTACGGCGAGGGAAGCTCCAGAGAGCACGCCGCTCTTGAGCCCAGACATCTTGGTGGTCTTGCCATCATCACCCGCAGCTTTGCCCGTATTCACGAGACCAACTTGAAGAAGCAGGGCATGCTTCCTTTGACTTTCATTAACCCAGAAGACTATGACAAGATCAGACCTGACGACAAGGTAAGCAAACCCTCCTATATTACATTTCCATTGAGATCTTTGCTAACAAGCTGTTTGCAGGTTGATCTCAAGTGCACTGAACTTGCTGTTGGCAAGCCATTCACCATGGTTGTCCACCCCAAGAACGGCGAAGCTTTCGAAGTCAAGCTCGCACACACCTACAACGCTCCTCAAATCGAATGGTTCAAGAATGGAAGCGCATTGAACACCATGGCCAAGGCCAACAAAGCATAAAGCGAATATTACGGGCGGTGTTCTGGGGGTTTTCATCCAACTGTACTTTAGTCATTGCAAATCTGGATCTTTCTTTTTTGTTATGCCTACGATCATTTGTGAGCGTCTGCTTTTATCGCCGATCTTGTAACCTCTGTCTGTACTGGGATGGATATACGTGATCATGACTCTAAGCATATGTGCTCTGCATAATCTCCTGCTAAGCAGGACACGCTGGTGGGATTTTCTTTTAAAAATACCTCAATAAAATGTACCTTTGACAACCTACCCTGAAAACCCTAGCCTGACCAGTGTAGCGCCGTGCAGCCTCGCCCTAGTAAAACCGTCAGCCTTTCGCTAGCCTGCAGTAAGCGACACCGCGTGTAAATACGAACAAGCCTTGCTGTTCTATTTCTCTAACATGCCTTGAACGCCCGGCACATCCACCCGCCAACAAAAATGCCAGCACCAGCTTGTTTAACAGACTAACTGGGACACATACCTCAGAATACTTGTGCGTGCGACGACACCAACTTTGCGAAAAAGCTCGCGCGTTTCCAACTTCAACCGGCAGACCGAGCACTTCGAAGGACACCTCCCTCCCTGCCTTCACGATGGCTCCGAGCCTGCCGCAGTTTTCCGCGGCGCGCATGCGCTCCTACATATTCCGCCTTCCTCTCTTCACGCGCTCGGTCATCGGTGTGATAATCCTGCTCTGGCTCCTGGGTATCCAGTCGGTGTGGAATGTGCAGCAATGGGGGGCATTGATCCCTAAGGAGATCGGGTTACAGACGAGTTTGTCCTCCCTCCTTTTTCCATAATCCACATTCGTTCGTTCGCGCGGAACCATTTTTTGCTGATAAATATGTTTTCCATCCAGTGTACCGGACGAATACTTTCCCGCTCGTGCATGTCGGCTTCTTCCACGCTTTCATGAATATTCTCGCCCTGACGCCCCTGTTGGAGAGGTTTGAAGCTGAATATGGGACGCTTACAACATTGGCGCTTTTCCTGGGTCGTATGTGTGCCACTTTACCCCCAGTCTAAGGCTTCAAGATGCTGACTTTGAAATCCAGCTCTATCCACGATTCCGGCGTTGATTTATACGTTTATTGAGAGGGTTATTCTCCGCATGAATACCACGGTGTTGGGTGCTAGGTATGAGACTTCGTATAATTGTTTGAAATTTCGGCTGCTGATAGAGTTGCGTCGGATAGTATATGGGTGTTTACGCTCCTGGCTATGGAAGCTATGAAGACGTATAGGGCGAATCCGCATTTTCTCCTGGGGTCGTACAAAATCCCAACGTGGACAACGCCTCTTGTTATGGTGATATTCGTCTCGGTCCTGATCCCGAACACTAGTTTCTTAGGGCATATGTGCGGGCTGGCGTTTGGATATGGATGTATGTTCAAGTCAATCTATCCGGAAACGCTACAGAAGCTAATTGTGAAATAGGGGGTCTGGGGTATCTGAAATTCCTAGCACCGCCAGAGAAAATCCTTCGATGGATAGAAGGGAAGCTTAACCTGCTGGGGAGACTGCCACATTATGTATCCGTGGATCAGAAGACATATGGCAGATTCGGTGTTCTCCCCACATCATCACACGCGAGTGCGTCGGCGGCGGAGAATGGAATAGGGATGGGGCTGGTGGGGAGCACGCAAAGATTAGGCCCGTGAAATGGGGAATAACGGAATATGTATTTCCTGGTAATGGTCCTTGTACAAAGAAAGATAAGATTTAGCATGGTTTTGGCGTCAGGGCGGTTCCTTGGGCGCCGGCTGCCGGCTGTGGCGGTTCAATTGTTACGATAGAAAGTATATGAATGGGAATGCTTTATTACTTGAAATATTTGAAATATAATCGAATAGCTTTATTGTTAACTATAACTTATCGTTTTGAGATGTGGTGACATACTTATAGTGCAGACATATCGAATTTAATAACTTAGTCCCGTCGCCTCGGCCATCATGGAATAGCCAACGTCCCCCCATATGTCATTGAAAGATACCCTCACGCCTTTGTCTCCGTGGTCAAGATCAGAGAATTAGGCAATGAATATGAATATACTAATATACAACCGCCGAGGATTACCGTAAGCTCTTAATCCCTTATTAAAATCCCCTCTATTATCCCCCCACTTTTCCATAACCCAACCTCTCTATTACTGTATCCTTAATAGTTGTGCTTTAAGAGCTGGCGATCTTACGGTGCAAGTGACCCAGGTGTTAGGCCGAGGCGAAGGCAACGCGCACCCAAGGCCTCAATTATAATACCGACGCTCACGTACCGATATAACACTGTAAACACAGTATGTGTACATATCTACTGGCTGAGCGGTCCCGATGGCAGCGTCAATGCCCAGCGGACGCTGGACATCCACGATCAGCTGTCCCAGTTCTTTGCGCAGGACCGGTACCGGAACATCGTGGTCTTCTACGGCCTCCTGAATGAGCCCACCCTGACTCCGTCGCAGAGTAAGCTCATCTCCTGGACCCAGGCGGCGTACAAGATCGTCCATGATAATGGGGTGGGCGCCATCCAGGTCTTCAGCGAGTCCATGCGTGGTCTGTCGCCCTGGCAGGGCAAACTCACGGGCTACGGCGACTCGCTGGCCATCGACGTCCACGAGTACACCATCTTTGACGACGTCGTGGGGGAATGGTCCCAGGCTGACACGGACTGTGCCGAGTCCCTGAATGGCGTGAGTACCGGGTCCCGTTGGGAGGGGACCTTCTCTGGCTCCAGTTCCCCCCATTGCCCGACCAAGGACCAGAGGAAGCGCAAGTACTATCGGTTGTTCCAATGGTTTTTTGCTCTACTCTCCGTGCATACTGTATGCCCGTGGAGATACGCCACAGTTACACTGGCATATGATTCACCCAAAAACAGCTAAGTCAGCTCAGGGGAATATAGGACCATGCAGTTTTGAATAACAATACAGAGCAGGAGCCCCTAGATAGCGAGGCTGATAACGACGAAAAGAATGACTCTGCAGCAAATGGTAGGGACGGAAATACTATGTATGACAGCGAAAATGATGAGGAGGAGGATGTGAACGACTATGACAATAATGGATATATTTCTGAAGAGGAAGCAGATGAGAGTGAAAGAGATGATGAGTCCATGGATGAGAACAGCCAAGCCAGCCATGACACAGTTATCGATGCAACTAAAACAGCCGACGTGACGATGAAGTTAGAGGAGACAGCACCACCAACTTATCAAGACATTTAGAAGGCAGAGGGTACCAATTCTCTCTATGTAAATCATTGGTGTTGGCGGTGTGCATTTTGTCACAGCCGAAGTTGGATGACCTTTCTGATAGAGAGGTTACCACCTGCGAAATTTCTTTCGATTCTGAGAGCGTTTTCCCGCTGCTTCAGCCCGACCGAGGAGATATGTACGTTGATCCCAAGCTTGATACGCCCCGAATACACTCTAATCATTTTGCAATTAGCGCGAACGCCCTAAGACCTTTCCTGCGTCATGTAGCAATCACAAAGTTCCAATCCAATCTCGGCCAAAGCTCTTCTCGGCCTGTTTCACTCCTCTCGAAATTCCCAGTACCCTTATTCTCTACAAAATCGGGCCGCAGATATGGATCAGTGAACAGGTTCTTGCGTAGGGACTCGTAGTAAAGTTTCAAGCATTTCAAACTCGACTTAGTAGCTTCCTTGCAACGAGGTAAGGTCCATTATTGTTTAATAATGTGGCCCTCATGAGATACTAGTGATACGAATTTGTCGAGAACCACGCACGTTGTAAAGACGCACCTCCCGCAAAGTTTAAGTCCATTCGCCTACTGTACCTAACTCTAACCTTATAATCTAGCTCGCTTAGTTTTCTTGCTTTCGCTTACTAGACTCTAGATATTAAGAATAAGAATATATAACTTTATAGTTGTGTCTGTTAAAAGCTAAATATACTTGCGTTATAACAAGAAGATCGATGCTAAGCTTCCTACCAGTAGTGATTAATTCCCTTTTCTCCGCACTAATTAGGAATGCTATTCCAATGATCATAAACTCATTATAGTACGAAAAGCGTCTTCTAGTAGCAGTACGCGATCAGCTTGAAGAAGTCGAACCGAGCCTTTCGCATCGTCGTTAGTCTTTAGATCTTCAAAAATGAGTTTCGCCTGCTCCCCAACAACTGCGTCAAATGTGCCTTCTAAAAGTGTTGCAAGTATATTGCCAGCAATTTGGGTTTTTGATAATGAGAAGCTAGCCCCTTTTAGTTCAGTAAGGCATGACTGAACTTGTACATAGCATTTTATTGACTGGCCCTTAATGGTGACAAGGGTTTGCTCAAGTAGAGTTGCTCGGCTTAGTTGCTGCTGCATCGGACCATCTAAAGCTTTGACCTGGGTTTCAATCGCAATTGACTCTTCTCTACATCTGGTTGATATCAGAAGTGAGTCTCTGGTCTTGTTCAAAGCCTCGGTAGATTGCGTCAGTGTGTTTCGAGTATTATTGACAAGGTCTTGAGCATGATTGACCGCATCCCTTAACCCAGGTAGACTCTAAGATGAACGTCAGTAAATGAGAAAGGTCTGTATTTAAAACCTTTACTGTTTGCATAGACATACTGAAATAAAGTGGCCTAAACGTTTGGCTTTGCGCAGCTTGGCTCTTGCAGAAGCCGCAGCTGCTTCGCTGGCTTGGACGTCTGCCAATTGCTGAGTAGCTTGAACTTCAAGAACGCCGATTGTAACTTCATTTTGCTTGATATTTACGTCCAGCTGTGCGACAGATCTTTCAGCTTGGACTTGAAGAGGAATGAGCTCTCCATCATGAAATTGGACTGCCTGAACATTTATCACGGTCAGCGGTTTTGTGCTCAAAACGAGGATTGTAACTGCCGCACCTGTTGACTGAAGGTCATGGCTAAGAGCAATGAATTACCGGCCAGCTCCTTTGTCTTCTCAAATTCTCCTAAAATTCCTTGAAAGACAACATCCAGGCTCGTTGCATCTTCCTCAGCAATGACACGATCATCATACTCACCACGAATTAGCTGTGCAACGCTGTTCAAAGACACAAAAGATACACCCAGACTTAAAAGAGATGATTGTGCATTTGTCTTGACCTCTTGGACTCCAGATGAAGACATTGCTTCCAAGATGTTGGCCAAGCGTGTTGTCTCTGTTCGAAGTTGTTCCAGAGACCATGTATCCGGAGATGGCTGAAGCTTTGCTCGTTGTTCCTCTTGTACGCGTAATTCTTCCAAACGACGTTTTTCTTGGATCTCGGCTTGCCTCTCACGAAATCGTTGCTCTGCCTCTTCCTGCGCAATTTCTTCGGGGGTCATATGCAACCAGTCTTCAGGATCTTCAATAGGTTCTATCCGCTGGGGTTCATCGAATCCATGATGTATAGCTCGCATCTCCATGATGAAAGATATCAATTTCGGATTATATTATGTCGTAAGTGAATAATAATTGAGATGCTGTTTTCAGCTGTGCCTTGGGAACAACTGAACTGTTGTCAAGCAGAGGTTTGAAATACATCAAGTACTGGATAGAACTTGGATTCAGCTTTACCAAACCGTGTAATATGGACAGATCATTTTCATGCAAGACTGTCTCTGTCTAGTAAAGTGCCTACATAGTTTACACAAAGGTGTCAAGCCAAGAGGGTAGGCTTGAAAAAAGCAGTG